TTGAATCCCGATTTAAAAACAACAGTCCAATAATTGATCACTACCTTGATATCCTGTCTTTCTCGGTAACTAAAAGAACAATAGTCTCGGTGAACTAGCAGGCTCTGGGGTGGCAACGCATCGTATGATGTGCTTGCGAACCAACGTATTATAACTGAGCGATGCACTGCCCATGTCTTTGCTGTGTTGGTTCGAACGCATGAATGAACATACGACTACGGTGAGCTGGAAACTAGTCTGCGACGGTCTCGGGAACGGGAGGTTGCTTCCGCGTGTAAAGCTTGTTCGTATATCTGTTGCCACTGGTGGCATGAACTGTCATGTGTTGCTTGACTTGCTGAAACATCTGGATCTCAACAACTGACCTGTCGACAACAAGCAGTCTGCGATTCTGAACCTTCATCTGTTTTCAAACATCCGCAAGTACGCGGCAATAAGCACTAAGATGTACGGCGCTTGAATGATCCCTGAGGGCTATGGCCCCTTATGCTTGGAACAATCACATGCTGGGTATTTAAGCTTAAACATAAGTGCAAGGTTGACTTGCATTGCTTCCTCCTCGGCCCAAGGATGTCCCCTAAGACCTTCAATATGCGTACACGTAGTTCCTCAACGTAAATTTGATTTAGAGATTATTGACAAGTTGATGAACCATGAATAGATCTCAGCATGAAAAGATCACGAAGGATAGGACAAGTTACTTCGGTAATCGGTCGTTCCCTCGCCCCTTGGGCAAAAAAGTGCTACGAAAGCCTTTCAGAAACAAGACAAGGGGTATCCTCTATTTATAGCATGGAACGAAAGTCTTCCGTAAGGCGTTGAAACAAATTATCATGGTCGAAGCGCAACAAAGTTTGCATTTAACCCCTATGCCTCGAGGAGAGTCTCAGGCGTTTCAGGGCACTCGTTGAAGCTATGGGCAAGCTGGACAGAAGTGATCCGTTATAAGTTTTAAATAATTGCTTGGATGAGTGAGTATCTTGGGAGAGGTGAGGGTGATGTTGCGTCGATTGCCCGGCATCAGGTTGCTTGTTATGCATCTAGGTCCGTCTCCAGCTGGGTAGCGACATCTTCAGCAAAACTTGCACCCCAAGACCTAGGCCACAGCAAGTGGGAGAGGACTTGGAAGGGTATCATGAGTGAAACGGAGATCTTACAAGGTACTCATCACCAAAAGAGTAGAGAGGGTGTAATTCAATGTTCATTGAAAGCCGCCAGCTGATCAAGCCGTAGATCCATCCACCAAAGCAGCCGCATCTTCAGGTAAGCGCATGCTCAAAAAATACTTATCACTAGTTTGAAGGCTAACCCAGAGCCGAGTAATATCTGTGAAGGGTGTGCTGTTGCCCGTTGGGCACTTGCTGAAAAGTTTCAAGCAGCCTTCATTATCCCCCATTGGAAACTCAACTTACTCAAGATGAGAACCAAGTTTATCCCAATCTTTTATAATTTGTGGCACTTGGCAACACAAAAATTATGTAGTGAGAAGTTCCCAAAGAGATAACTTTCAGCTATGCGTTCTTGCACGTTGAGAAGAGTCTTGGCCAGACTCTCACCACCCAAAGAAGAAGAACAAACAACTGGACCACTTTTCCCTCCTGGATTGTAGAAAGGATGTGGTTTTGATAATTTTCTATAATATTTTAGTTCCTGCCATTGCCCTCTTAAGTTAGCCTGACAATCTTCCGATTGCTGTGTTCTGAATTCTGACCCGGATGACTGCTTCTGATGCTGAACTCGCTGTCATCGATTGCACTGAGCCATTGTATTAGTTAAAACAAGCATTTTAAGCTTGTGACGAGATTCCAATGCTCTGGAAACATATAGGACTCTTATTTATACGAATATTCTATAAAAGCCTTTTTTCTTGTTTTGACTATTTAACGTTGAGCTTTTGGAATCGTGATGATCAACGGCACCCATTTGATATGCCTGCGGGCGTTACACTTGGACCTGGTCGAATTAAGCTTATTTCTTAGCCGACCAGTCTCGGAGGTTTCATCTAATAGAGTTCACGCAGTGAATTACGTCTTTGGGAAGGAGTATAAGCGTTAGCGTCCTTCTTCGACATGCCGTGGTTTGGGTTCAGCATGGCACTGACTTCCATCTGATGATGTTCGTACTGAAATAAGATACTGGGAAATTTGCTATGGCTAATCATCTCGAGGGTATATCTAAAACTTAGTTATCTACATAGAACGTCAAGGTAATTCTACTGGTTGACCTTTGAAACCACTGGATCTGCAGTCTTTTCTCCATGCCCTTCGTCTCGTTCACTTGCTCCATCGCCAATACTTCCAGAGCTCTCCTCATCAGATACCCTCGAGTCAATCGCTGTGCCCTCATAACCACCCTTGACAAGCTGAGGATTCCTTCGAGCCCACCACAACAAACCAAGCTGCACGAAAACAGATGCAAAAGACATTGCCGTAGCCAGTGGAAATCCAATGGGGTATTGCGGCGCATCTGCGACTCTGAATGCACGAAGTGGAATCGTTGCATGACCGATATACACGATCATAACCGTGAGCGCAACAACAATCGCTCTCGCTTCAGGCTCCTTTCGCATAATTTCCGCAAACCACGCCATCAGCGAAGGAGCTCCAGCGTTGGCAGCATAGGTCATGAAGTAGAATGCCATAACGACCTTCTGATCTGATGGCCAGGCACAGAGAACGCAAAGAAGGACACCAAAGGAGAAAGTCGATCCTGTGCTGATCTGCCATCTCCAGTGTTTCCAATCAGAGAGGCCGTTCAGGATAAGATTGGAAACAATCTGCAGGGCATAACCACCCAAGGGAAGAACATTCACCTGGTATGTGCTATACATACGATTCCCAGCTGCATCCTTGAGGCTTTCGATGTAGAGAACAAAGTAAGAAGTAGCGCGGTGAGCCCAGGCACTCAGGGCAAAAGCAACGAGGAAGAAGTACGTGACAGGATGGACGATCAACTTGCGCAGCTTTTGCTTCAAGACAGCTGGAGGGATAAGTTTAGACGTATTTGCGCCAAAACCCTCCATACGCTCACGAGACAATTTCTTCTCATCCTCCGTCAACCACTTTGCACGCGTGTACGAAGGAGTGTCAGGAATAATGAAGAAGCCAACGATTCCTTGAGCAATAGTGATGACGCCCGAGACGATGAACAGCCACTGCCATCCAGCAATTCCATGAGCACCGTTTAGGTTACGGTACAGGGCGGCTTGGAGGGCACCGAGGAACATAGCTCCTGCTACGTCGGAAACGTTGAAGCAGGCGATTCGGAAGGCGAGTTCTTTGGGTGTGTACCAGTTGAAGATGAGGGAGACGACGCTGGGCCAGAATACGGCTGAGAAGAGGCCGAGGAAGAAGCGGAGGGCGTAGACAGTGGTTGCGTTCTGGGCTTTGCAGGTGCTGTTGTCTGTGTAAGTGAATCATAACCGGGAAACTTTAGGGATAAAGACTTACACTATGACGAAAAGACCCCAGATAATCTCGCAAGTTGGTAGAAACAGAGATGGTCGGACCTGATATCTGATTAGCATGACTCGTAAGCACCAAGTTTGTTCAACTCACTCTCGTTTGAGCCAATTGGCCCGGAACAAGTCCAATAGCATATCCAATAGAGAAATAGGTATTGAAAAAGACCAACTCATTGCCGTACAGACCCAATGCTTCTCGCATTCCAGAAACATATGCTTGTGTCGTTGCAGACTGATCCATCTCCTTCATGATACCAGCGATGAAAGTCCATGTAAGAAGGAGACAATCAAGCTTGAGAATCAAGACATGTCTAGGATTGCGAAAGTAAGGTATCGCTTTGGAGATATGCTTAAAGATGCCGGTTTGAGGAGGATATGTTACAGCCTCAGCTGTATCCGTCCGTTCAGCAGTGACAGTCGCCATTATCACAGCTTTCTCCAAGTATGGATGTATCGACAACTCAAAGATGATTGAAACACATCTGATAGAATGCGAAAAAGACGGCTCAGGGTTATATACATAACAATCATCACGACCCTGTCTTCACCTCATCCCCAACTCGACAAACCATGACAGATGTGAAACTCCAGATAGGAATTTAGCGGGTCAATCCAGCATCTGCAGTCCTCGCGTCATTTGCCGCCCAAAGAACGACATTCCCCCGAACGGGCGATATTCGTCGGCCAAACCCCGACGCTTGCAGGTTAAGCTTATATCTTTATCGATATCAGATTATGTGCTTTATTATCGTCGCATAAAGTGCGACTGTCTACTCAGATCTATACCTTTTTAAAGGGAGGATTTGCTGGTGGAGGCGGACCGATCGCGAATGTATCATCTTGACAGGGAAAATTAACGGATCTGGTAATTCTGCCGTATCGCGTGTTTACCTCTTACAAGTGGGGGGGATATGGTGTAAGCGAAAATTATTGCCAAGAACAGGCATATCACTTGATATCGCAAGATGGTTCATGGTTTGTGTGTGTAGATAGACTCGTGCTTGTGTAAGAAGCCGATATAAAGCACTGGATGAAAAGCAAGATGAGTTGTTTAAGAATCGTAGCACTCTGGCATTAGCATAGTGGAGGCAATGGCAGTCAACACTGCTCTAAACAGACCATCATGATTTTAAAAATTTGAGGGCTGGAGAGCCTCATCGATAGTCAAACAATAAGACGAAATTGTAGGCTCTGGTTGTTAGCTTGAATTTTTATTCCGCCTGGTGTTCGATGTTGAATGAAGAAATAACTCACTATGTGTCCATGATGCATATTTTGAGGCCATCCAAGGCTACGCTCACATTTCATAGGTTGCCCATTTGCACTTCACAACACCACTGCACAGGATCACGCCTATGATACCTCATCCTTTCGAAGATGCAGCTGGTCATATCGCGCCACAACGTAGACTATCTCGCCCGGTTGATATGTGAAGCTTCAGTTTTCCTGGGCATCTGCCGTTGCAGAGAAGCATCGCCTTCATCGCCAGTACCTATAAAGAGGGCTCCTTTTCCTAGCATATCTAGAAAGAACATCCAATATCACCCAGCTCTTCTGTATGTTTTTCATTGCCGAGATATCACTTGTGAAAAGAGATTAACTGGCCTATTGCTGCAAAAGTCAAAGTACCTGGACTTGGACAAGATATTCAGTTATTTACGTTGATAAGTCTTCATGTACATCCCCTCGCCCTATGCTTTGAAGCACTATAACTGACTGAGACTAGCCACGTCAAGATGTCTTCAGAATGGAAACCTGATTACCAGGAGGACAACGGTGCTCCAGTCTACGATCAAAAGGAGGAACAGCCTGGTCCAGCATATGAGGATAACTCCGCTGAAGTTGTATTTGAGGGAAGCAGCGATTCTGGAAGTGGCTGGAATACTGACGAAGCAAATGAGAGCCTGTCTGATAGCTCATCTTCTAGTGGATCCTCGTCTTAGTTAAGGAGCTCACAAGTCTGAGTGACAGATATTACAGACATACTTGTACTTCGAGTAAAGCTTGAGAAGAAACACTATTGTTACATATGCACCAGGAGTGAGTGTAGTTCCAGTCATAGATGGACTCCATGATTTTCAAGGTCACACCACTGGAAACCGCATTCTTGTATTGCTTTGAGGGAAGCAAGGCGACGAACATGGCTAAGGAATCTAGATGACATCCACAGGGAAAGTCACATTCTTTACGTGTTTCAAGCTCCGTCATGTGCGCCGCGTTGGCTGAGACATAACATTGCTGGAGCCAGATGAAACAGAGCATGCCAAGGACATCATTCAAAGCAATCCAGTGGCACAGAAGTAGCTCAGTGATATGATTGTCAAAAGTTTTGCAGTCACAATTGCCAGTAATCAGAGTTGAAAGGAAAAAGAGCGTCATTATTAGTTGACTGCAGATAGGCTATTCCCAAAAACCCCAGTAGAATTGAAACTGCATTAAGTCTAACTACAAAGTCAGTGGCACAAGACAATGCCACCATTTGCATGCGGATCTTCCCAAAGAGAAAACCAGAAAGGAAGGCAAACGTTCAAGATCAGAAACTCAACTGTTGCAGTCGCTTAGAGAAGAGCGGCAACAGCAGCGAGGAGAGCAAGAGCGCTGACGGCCTGCTTGCCAGCACTGCTGACAGTGACGGGGACACAGTGGTCACCCTCACAGCTGGAGCCGCTCTCACCCTTGGATCCAGAGCCCTCGGAGCCGGAGCTGCCCTTGGAGCCTGAGCCAGTCTCGGGGGTGGTGCCCTTGGAGCCAGAGCCCTCAGAGCCAGAGCCCTCAGAGCCAGAGCCCTCAGAGCCGGAGCCACCGTTGGAACCTGAGCCACCGTTGGAACCGGAGCCTCCGTTGCCTCCGTTGCCTCCGTTGCCTCCGTTGCCTCCGTTGCCTCCGTTGCCTCCGTTGCCTCCGTTACCACCATTGCCTCCATTGCCTCCATTGCCGCCGTTTCCACCGTTACCTCCGTTGGAGCCGTTGTCGTGGGAGGGGCAGGTATCCTTGGTGCAACTGGGGACCTCAACCTCCTTGCACTCAGCGGGGGTACCCCAGGAGTTCTCCCAAGGCTTGTAGACGACATCACCGTGCTCGCAGACATCGCAGTCAGCAGGGACGAAGAAGTTGTCGTGGTTGTACCAGTCGTGGCACTCCTCGGGCTTGTAGACGGTCAGACCGTGGCAGCTGCCGTTGGAGCAGTACTTGGGGACGTATTGAGAACCACCCTGGCAAGAGCAAGCCTCAGAGATGTAGACGAGCTGGCCGTCGCACTCATCACCAGGGTAAGAAACGAAGATGTAGACAACCTTGGAGCCGTTGTCGTTCTCGGGGTAGCACTTGCCGTTGGAGCAGACGTAGATGGCAGTGACGGTCTGGGTCTCAGTGGCAGTAGCATCAGAGATGGTGGTGGTGAAGGTGGTGGTCAGGGTAGACTGGTCAGTGACAGTAGCGGTGAGAACATCGGTGATGGTGACATCAGGGCCGTTGACAGAGACGTAGACAGTGAGGAGGATGGTGTTAGGGATAGCCTGGCGGGCCTGGATGCGGCTGCGGCGAGCGAGAGGAGCATCACCACCACAGAACTCAGAGTCGTCACCGGGGCACTCAATGTCACACTGGTCAGTGTCGACACGGCTGGTGTTGTCAGCATCGATCTCGTCACCGCAGTAGCAGTCCTCATCGTGGACACCGAAGTAAGCACGGCCCTCGCAGATGCTGGCGCAGAGGTTGAGGTCCATGGAGCCGGAAGAGCGAGCAAGCTCGAAGGTGGGGAAGCCAGCGGTTGAGCCAACACAGCCGAAGAGAGCAAAGTCGCCGATGGAGCCGGGGAAGCCAGGAGCAGATGTAGCAGAAGAAGTAGGAGCAGTGGTCTCAGTGCCGGTAGGCTGAACGGTCTCGCCCTCAGAGTTGGTGGTAGCACCCTCAGAGTTGGTGTTGGTAGCAGCAGTCTCGGTCTCAGTGCCAGTCTGGGTACCGGTAGGGAAGACGGTCTCACCCTCGCTGTTGGTGGTGGCACCCTCAGAGTTGGTAGCAGTCTCGGTAGGCTCAACGGTCTCGCCCTCAGAGTTGGTAGTAGCGCCCTCGGAGTTGGTGTTGGTAGGCTCAGCAGTGCCAGTGGTATTCTCGCCATTGCCGCCACCGTTACCGGCACCAGGGTTGCTGGAACCAGGGGGGCCGACAGCAAGATCAGAGACCTCCAGGCGGGAGGAAGTAGCACCGCAAGACTGAACAAACTCGACGTTGGGGGGGTTACCGGTGGAAGCAGTGCTATCGCCAGACTTGGAACCAGATCCGGTTGAGAGGCCCTCAGAGAAGACGCTCACACCGTCAACAGTGACATCGAGGCTGCAGTCGGTCTCGGCACGCTTGCGAGTCTCAAGGAGCTCAACAAGGATCTCCCAGAGGATGATGAAAAGGTCTCCAATGGGGAAGCCGGAGAAGATGTCGTTGGGAATACCGATGGCAAATGAAGCAATGCCATTGGGAGGGGCGAACAGGGAACTATAGGCTGATTAGAGTTCGGAACTAGGACGCGGGCCGTTAAGGGCAGACTTACATAGCGATGCTTCCATCAGGACGGGTGATGAACTGAGAGTTGGGACCAAGCTCAGCGCTACCGAGATCAACGGGCTGGGCAGCAGCAGCAGAGCCGGTGGGAGCAGCGTCAGTGGTGGTGGTAGCAGACTCAGTAGCAGGGATACTAGAGTTGGTGAATCGCTGACCCATGACGCTCGAGGCCGCAGCCAAGAGCAGACCGGTAGAGAAACGCATGATTAGTTACTTTTTTGCTGTTTAGCGAATGTATTTAAAGAGTGAATGAAAGAATGTGTTCTTGTTGTAAACGAATGGACCTGGTCCTCGATGGGAAGATTGAAGTGAGGATGAGATGAGAATATCCTGGACAAGAACACCAGCCCCTATATATACAGATTTTCCTACTTGACATCTTCATCTGCTGTTTGAGTTATTCACCCTTGGGAATATTGGTCTCCTGCATGCAAACATTCCTCATACACGGTTGCTAGATCCGAAAACATGCAAGGGCGATACCGTCACTCCACCCAGTGTGGACCAAAAGCAGATGGTTGGCAAAAATGTCTCACCAGCACAGGCACGACAAAGCAGTCTAGACGAGAATATTCCATTCTTCAAGGTTTTTAGCTAGCTATTTGCAGACTACCGCTCGAGCTACTTTTTTGCTTTTGTATTTACGGAGTGCTTTAGGAGTCAAGATATGGAAGCGGCCCCCTATGTCTCCCTTGATAAGGCAATTTCACCAACGAATTCCAACAACGGTTTTCTGTGCCTATTCAATAATAGAAATACAAAGGCTTGGAGTGTTACCACGTTTTACAGGCATACCAAGCTTTTGTTGACCAGCCACGCCAAGAGTCGTTATCGCCCGCCCATAGCAATGAAGTGTAACCGCACATAACTCCCCCAGGCGACAACAGAGACAAGCCAAGACGTGACAAGAAATGCACAATACCTTAGTTCAAAAGTCAAACAATCCTTTTCCACTTATCACATTTCCCCATTGATGCCCTTGACAACAGCCTGTACTTGAAGACCCCCTCATCTGGTGGCTTCACCACGCTGTAGCAACAAAATTTCAAAGGGCATGCTCTGATCTGCGAGGCTCAGACACGGCGTAGGGCAAGAATCAGATTTAACCAGTAGGGAGAAGAATGAGTGTCACCTTTTTCATTGAAACCAGTGGCGGAATCAACCGCACCCGTCACTGGACGAACCCAGCAGACTGCAGTATCTGAACCAGTGAGATCTCGGTGCCTTGCATGATGTTTGACGCGTAAGTCATAATTTACAGTGTTTCTCCCGCAATTGCTTAGCTATGTGGCTAGAAATTCTTGTGTGTGGTTGATGTTGCACTTGGATCCTGCCGTAAGCCCTTTTGAATGATTTTGTTTGAATGGTTGCGGAGATATGGTGTGGTTCAGATTATCGGAAACAAGGAACCGACTATGGGTCATTTGATCATGTCTTGATCTAGTCTATTGTCTCCAGCATTGCGTAGTGGATGCGATGAGAGATATCGATCAGATTGATACCAAGATAACATCCGCATAACGGCTTTACAATAGATCATTAAGCTAAGAAAAACAACAGGCCCAAGCTTCATCATTCGCTCCCGCTGGTGACATGCATATCCAACATGCAATCTGCACATAGGGATCTGAATGTCACTGATGCAAGGGCAAAGCGACCTGCCCGTGGTTATTGACGGGAATCTACCCTATGCTATTTCAAGAAACTTCAAGAGTGACAGCGCTTATTCTTAGCGTTGAACTAAACGGCAGACCAGTTGAGCGCCGTTTGCGGTTCGACGTTAATGGTGGAGCGTTGGAAAGCGTCGGGACTTGTTTGCTGTTAGCGCGCCTTATCACATGAGGTAAGGTTTGTTATCTCAAAGAAGTTCAATTCCGGAAGTCTATTGCAGTGCGGAATTGAACCCAATGATGATGTTGGAACCTTGATGTTGTTCTGGTGGTGATGGTCGGCTTTGACATTATTCATGTCCCCTGGGCCAGCCGCTCAGCAACCCATTCGTATAGCAAACAGAGGAATGAACAAGAGTATGCAGTGAATTATCCATCGTCAAACCTGCAGGATCTCCCTTCTTATCCCCAGTCCCCTCCAGCCTTGTAAGGACCTAGCGCTATTCCCACGGAGATCAAACAAATCCGCAGCAAATATTCCCTGCATCGACGGCCCTGGAGACGACATTTCTTGCACCTTGCCAAGATGGAATGCAGAATTGTGTCTCAGGAACAAGCTTTGGCTCCCGAGTTCGAGGCTGAGAGAGTAATTGGTGAAGAAGAGAAATGTGAGACAATGCAAGGGTGTTGCCTGTGATACCCCCTTTGTCAAGATGTTGCGATGGAATGTGAAGTTGGGAAGAAAGAGGGGGGCCGAGCGGTGGGTGATCTTTGGAATGGTGTCATAAGAGTTCTATGACGATGGGAATAATTGGATATGATTCATGGTTAGCACAGCGAAAACGGGGAATAGGAGGAGGATGCTCTAACAATTACTGAGCCCTTGTCAATTTAAATGAGCTTAACTTGTTCCCAATGTGTAGCTACTACAGTTGCTAATCGCGACGAAATACATATTGGTAGTTGTTTTGTCGGGCATCTTTGCAATTAAGAAACAAACGCTAGGAGAAATAATTATGTTATAAATTAATATGAAGCCCTCGTAGCTCATTGAGGGAATAACTAGAGGGATCTGTTGAGCTGCTACGAATAATTGATTGATCGAGATTGCTTCAAAATGTCGTGGTTACCCTGTACTTTAGCATGGTGTGACATTGTCTTGGAAGACCGGATATCCGGCAACAGACTCGTCAGCGTCGATGACGAAGGCAAATCGCAATCCATTCTTCAAAAGAATACTTCAAATGAAGCATTTGTGGACAAGATTACATCCAAAAGCGGTGGCATGTTGTGACCATGAAATCCTCGTATTTTCCTTTGGCGACCCGTTTTGCCGGATCATCGCAAACGGCCTCGTGGAATTGACTTTTCGACCGTTTTCCTTGGCAAGCTATTTCCAGTCGACACATGGTCTACACATGATTCAATGACGTCGCACGACGTCGCACGGCGTTCCATTGATCGATCACGATTAATTAAGTCCGTCCATCGCTTACAAGTGGAGGCAGCGATGCGCTTGTGGTCATTACACGAGTCACGACAATGGGTAAACAGCTGGGGGAGCAATTTGTATATCAAGAGATAGACTGCCAATTAAGTATACATTTCCATTTTCCAAAACACATAAACCAATTATGATATCCAGCAATATTTTACGCACCGCCCAAATGCAAGATGCACGCAAACATTATTTGAACCGTTCCAAATTATCGACATAGAATGACCGAGCAAACACCATAGCTTGCTTACAGCTGGAAAGCACCAGCAGCCATGGATGAGAAGAGCAGAGCACCAATGGCAAGACCAAGAGTGTTGATGCTAGACTTGGGAGAGAAACCAGCAGCAGCGTTTCCGCTCTCGGTAGAAGTCTCAGAGCTAGCAGAGCTAGTACCAGTGCTAGTAGAAGTACCAGAAGCAGTACCCGTAGAGCTCTTGTCATCATCGTCCTTATCATCGTCGCCGGAGATGACGCTAGCCTGAGCGGTAGCGGGGACGTCGGCGTCCTTTGTCTTTGTGGTCTTCTTGCTACCGCTGCAAAAGACATCGGCGTCGGGGGCGCCGTTGGAGAAGAGGCACTTTGCGAGCTCGCCGATGGTCTGGTCGAGGGCGACGCAGTAGAGACCGCAGCCGTTGTAGTAGCTCACGATCTTTGCGTCACCGCAGCACTTCTGCATGATCTCGGTGTGGTTGTCCTTGAAGGGCATGGCGCAGGTGTTGTCCTGGTTGGGGGTGTCATAGAGGTTTGTGCAGGCCGTGGGGACGGCGCTGGCGGTGCTGAGAGTGGTGGAAGACATGATGACGGTTGTGTGTAAAAAGTTATTCTTAATTAAAAAAAGCGATTGTAGTTGAAGAAGGACGAAAAAGAATTAACGAATGTTGGTGATGAGATGATGGAGGAACAAAAAGCTACGCGTCGGCTGAGGGATGGGTTAGGACGGGACGGTTCGGTTTTTGTCCATGGCTAGGCTCGCATTAAGGGGTTAATCCGGGGTTCCTGGCCTATCAGCAACGCCACTCCAAATTTAGCATCGCGAGCCAAGGCTCGTATCATTACAAGGATGTGGAGGTGAGGGATCCAGTTGCTAGGCAACTTGGGTAAGGATCAGAGACAGGTTTTGAGGATGGACAATACGTAAGCGGAGGTAATCTTTGTGAATGCCTTCCGATACATGCTACAGATAGAATAGGGCATGAAGGAATAGTTAAGCTTGAGATTCTACTGACGGTAGACGGTTGATGCAGCTGAAGAACGCAAATTGGTATGATGTAAGTGGACCACTTCCCGTTCTTGGCGTATGGAGATCAGATCAGTTCGGAAATTGGCTGTCAAGGCTGCATCCTGCACAGACGTTGAAAAGTCAACTTGGAAGCCCGATGGAAGCCTGACAATGTCTTTGACATAACGCCCCATTGAACACAGTGACACGCTTGGTGTAACTCTACAGAAGCATCGCGAAAGGTGAGTCCAGAGTCGAATAATTGATGGTAACCGAAGGTGCTGGAAGCGTGGAAATTGCGATCGCTTACTTCAAACATGGTGAAACTGCTAGCAGTCAGTAAGCGATGGCTTATATCATGTGATAACAAGACAGAAGGTCTTGGTAGCAACGCCTGGGGTCATATATGACCACTTTTTAGATGCGTGACGTTATTAGTTGATAAGGGAACATCGCCGTACTTGTCGTCAGTTATAGTTAACGAAATCGTCAGGCATAATTATATGCTTAACGGAAGGTATTATAGCAGGGGACGGTTATAATTGGCACGATGTTTATCTGAGACAGTAGGCAGTTATTAAATTCTAGCATTCCTTATCATCCAATCTATTCAAAAAGATCAGGCTCATTATGTCAGTAAAGAGGGCGCGGTTGATCCGACGACAGTTGTTGTTGCCAATTCATCAGCTAGCATCTTTTCCCTCTCATCCGCCAACCAAGCAGGATTCGCCTCAAATCTAGGATCAAGCCAAAAACAAGCCTCGTCTCCATCTTTGAGCATCTTCCGAATAGGTTTCGCTCTAACATGTCCCCCGATATAAAAGAGAGCCCAGCGAACAGCACCAAAGACAGAGACGAAACTATACAGCTGCTTGTAAATAGGATATGTAGCGATAGTGACAAGTCCAATGCGCATATCAGGACGGTGCCAGCAGCTGAGATAGTTGTAGAGAAGTGGAGGAAGACAAGCGACAAAGGCGAGACCGAAGAAGAAGATCCAGTATTCCTTATGCGCGCCGAGAGCTACCAGGACGGGAATACGAACCCAGTCGATGACCAGACAGGCCAGTATGTAAAGGAAGAGACCCTTTTGCATAAGAATTCCTTGGATAGTTCGTTGGCCATTCATCCGAAATAGGTGACGCGTTATCTTCCAGATAAGGCTATGTCTTCCCATTTCCCATGACTTGATTCTCTGCTTGCACCAGTTCAGCCCAGGACCAAGCACAGTTGCTGGAACTTCTGTTGCAAGCGTGACCTGAGCATCAAAAGCAATGCCCTTCCCAAGACGCATGATAGAAAACCCAGCATTCGCATCTTCAGCAATAAAGTCCATAGGATGATATTTCGAAAGAAGCTCAACGAATACATCGCGGTCAACAAACCAACCAGCGCCGTGGGGAAAGTTAACGCCGCATGTACGATTCTCAGCGAGTTTGACCAGACCAGCCATACGGTACTCACAGTCCTGCCAGGAGACCATACCAAGGGGAGTGTTCCCATCTGCATCGGTACCTGCCAAAGGAAAAGCAACGGCTCGTAAGTGGTCGTTCATAAGATGAATAGGATGACGGTAGTTTTCGGGGAGAGAGACATCATCGTCTGTTGTCAAGATGTACTTGTAGTTCTTGGCTGCTAGAGAACCGACGAGTTGAGCAGCGTTCTTTGAACCGATGGGGGACCAGATGTAGACGAGATCGGGATGGAGATTTTTGAGCCAGTGTCGGAAGGAGAGATCTTGTGGGTATCTAGATCTACCATTATCGATGATGAAGATGTCTTGGGGTCTGAAATGGGGATATGCAGACTCGATCACCTTTCTCAAGGCATCGCGATCCGAGTTATGGCAGGGAATGACAAAGGCAGTTTCCCAAGCCCCTGTAGTGGTCACCGCCACACCACGCTCCAGACCACCAGGACATTTTTCATTCACAATCCCCTGCACAACTTGCGAGGGATGTGCCTTGGGCGGGTTATATGGCGGAACTCTCGCAATAGACAAGATTATGAGAAACATGAGAGGCTCAAGAGTAAGAACAATGACAAGAACAGGTAGCATGTAACTTCGAGTTTGAGCAATGGCTTTTCTCATCCAACCAGTAAACCAGTTCGAAATGACAAGTGCAGCAACGCAAGACATGACGAATGCAAGCGCAGCGCCCTTTTTAAGCGTCATCGGGTATATGTACTCTTTGGGGTGGATGAGTTCCCAGAAGGCCTTGGGTGAGAACTGGTTACTCAGTGAGCGCCAGAATCTTGTCCATAGTGATAGCTTTTTTGTGTATTGGGGAGGTTTCTCAGAGTCCGGGATCTTGCTGGTAAGTCTGTCACCAGATAGACTGCTTAGAGATGTCTGAGAGGGAGAGGGTGAACCGTAGATGCCAACTTTGCGAGCAGATCGGTCTGAAGATATTGCCGGCGGTGGAGTAGATACAGGACTGATGGAGGGGCTTGCGGGGGAAGTAGCAAAGGGGTTATCTGTAGAGCGAGTAGAAGGGCTAATGGGAAGAGCTGAATGTGGTTGATCTTGCTGAGGCACTGGGACTGAAGGGTCTAGCCTGGCATGGTAGGGGAGTGTCAGATCCTCACATGAAGGATCTTCGTTGCTCCAAAAGGGATTATTACTCTTGACAGCCATCTAAACAAATGGGACTCTTGAGTATGATTGTAAGGTAGGTAGGTAGGTAAGGAGAGGATGACACTCGGTAGAGGGAAGAAGAAGAACAGAATAACCAGCAGAAAGAGTGACGTTACCAGCTCTTTACCTCCACCGATGTGAGAAGTTGAAGAGTTTTTGAAGATATTGCTACATCACGGCTATCCACCGAATGAAGTAAAAGTACCCATTTCAGCAGTGATGTTTAGAAAATTTCTATTAACCTCATCTTCTCAGCGAAACCTTACGACGAGAATAATATCGAGAACTGCACTTGCGGATGAGCCGAGAGCGTACAGCGGAACGTGGATATCCAAAGCTCCCCAGATCAGTCAGCATTGCCAAAAGGACCGAATCTAGATCAGATTATCTTTGTTGGTGCCTGGTAAAACCGTTCGGGAAGGTGGGCAAGATAGAGTTTCAACGTCTGCACCGTTTAAGCTTGAAGCCACATGGAGAATCCACCTCGCTTATAGCCTTCCCGGCATGGCCGTTGGCGAAGATATCCACCTTCCGAATGTACTGAGGTAGGTCTAGGAACGGCGGGATACTGAAGAGAAGATTATTAATGGTTTTGCTTATGCTTGGCTCTTGGTGAGGATTGATATGGAGAGTAAGTGCGTCATCTATGTTGCTCGACTACATCTGCTCTTCCCTCAGTATAATGATCCTCCCTAGCTGAAATCTTACTCACATCATTTTTAAAATGCATTTTATGGTCTGGAAATGCCTTGATTGCGGTGGTTTGAAATGATGCAGACCCATTGAGTAATCATTGCATCTCAGACAAGGCATCAACAAGTTACAACCCACCAAGTGGATAGCTGTCAACCGTTCCGAGATGAACGTGCACGCCGTTAGTGTGACCGGAAAAAGATCAAAATGCATCTAGAACACATGAGAAACACAAGCCCGAGGTTCCTAACGCCTGCATCATCCATATACTTGCTCAGCTTCCCCGTTCTGTTCGAGGCCGTTATGGAGACCATCCACTTTCAAGTTACGACTTCGATTTGTATTACAGCTATGATAGCTTTTCAGTAAGGCCGTGGACTCGTTGAAACTTTCTCTGTGTTAGCTTTCGGGCGTTAGAACTTTTGTAAATGGTTGCTGTTCAGTCATGCTGTTAGAGGTCGTTGTTCTGGATTTGAGTATATAAAGTAACTGCCCATTCACTCTGATAAACTTGAGATTTATCTAAGTCCTACAAGAAAGTATTTATCTTGATTCACCACTGGAATTAAATATTGCTTATTATATCTCTCTTTCTTCTCCTTAAGCTTCATCATGAACTGTCTCCAATCCTCGGGCACCATGACCCCAATCACGGACACCGCTCAGTCGTTGAAGTCATCATCTCGACCAAGTACTCCCGCAACTGAACAAGACATCCTATTCAGTCGTCCCCCCTCTCCTATTCGTGCAGCCGCAGATGAGTACGTCCTCGTCGTTGGTGGCCTTGGCTACATCGGCAGCCACACTACTTGGGAAATTTTGAAAGGCGGAAGCAATGTTGTTGTCATAGATAACCTCAGCAATGCTTTCGTCAACGTTCTTGACACTCTCAATGACATGACGGACCAACGCTTCAACACCAATCCTCGCCGTCCAGACCTTCACTTCTACGAGGCTGACTTCAGAGACGATGTCAAGATCCAGGAAATTCTATCTCTTTATTCCTCACCCTCTGGACCGAAAATTAAACGTGTTATTCACTTTGCTGCATACAAGTCTGTATCAGAAAGTATTAAGCAGCCACTCAAATACTACGACAACAATGCCGGTGGACTTATCAGGTTCTGCAACACATTATCAAACTTCAACATCAAAAACCTCATCTTCTCATCATCGGCTACTGTTTATGGTTCTCTAGCAGATGCAGGTGGTCGTTTGGTTGAAGAGTCTTGCAGTCATTCCACGACGGAGTGGTGTGATGCTAGTGGCCAAAGACAAACAACTCTTTCAGGTTGCACGGGTCTTACAAACCCATACGGGCGAACAAAATGGATACGCGAGGCTATTCTATCTGATTTAGTCGTGGCTGATCCAGAATGGACTATCACAGCCTTACGGTATTTTAACCCTATTGGCTGTGACGACTCTGGACGTTTGGGAGAAGATCCCCGTGTCGCACCAACCAATTTGATGCCTGTCCTCCTCAAAGTCATGCTTGGAGAGGTAGAACAACTCCAAGTATTCGGTACAGACTGGGATACCCGAGACGGAACAGCTATCCGAGATTTCATTCACGTCTCCGATCTTGCTAGGGGTCATCTTGCTGCCCTTGCTGTACAAGACGGCCAAGGCTTCCAGACTTTCAATATTGGCACTGGAACTGGCCAGACAGTGTACGAAGTTGTTGAGGCTATGAAGATTGCCTCGGGGAGAGAGATTCCCGTGGTGAAAGTCGGACGCCGCCAAGGTGATGTGGGAGTCTGTGTCGCTGATCCTGGAAGAGCTATGACACAACTGGGATGGAAGCCCCGGAAGACCTTGCTTGATAGTTGCCGGGATTTGTGCAGATTTCTGGAGGCGAATGGGACTAAGATAAATTCGTAAAGGAGCTATTGCTAAGGCCATAGTTTAGGAGGGAAACTTTTGTTAGGCGCTATGGATTGGGGGCTTATTTCTCTTCCTTGGCTTGATTTTTGTTAGTGTTATTGTGTTTAGCTGGGCCGAGGAAACCGGAGTTCATCACAGAGCGGATTTGGAAGAAATAGAACTGTCGATTAAACATTTTGACGTCTGCATCTGTGCTTATGCAAGGGTTCCGATTTTGCAGATTTAACTTTGACGATTCCGATCATACGCTCCACTCTTCAGCTGTTAACCCACATGAGGAGGCTGCCCTTCTCGGTTTCGGATTTGATCGAGAGTCTTGCCGTGGGTCTGTGATCTACTCATGGTTAGACATCTGGCGTCTGGGCCACTTGTCGGTCCGTCAATGTTCAGCCCCGTAAAGTTTGTTCATGCGTAAGGACCTTTGAAGAGCCATGTTCAGGGTCTCTTTGGTAATCTCCAGCCTTTTGTCCACATGTGGAGCTGAGTGGCTCCCGGGGTGCCAATTTATTGGGCTCAGGAACCTTGGGCCACGAACTGGGGCATAACGCGCAGGCAGTTTTGCCAGGTCAAAGGGGCCTACGAGGATAGCCATCCAGAAGCAGCTGATTTGGACGCGAGCTCAATCGTGGTTCGGATATCTGGGGAAGTAGCTTCTCTTGGCATCGGCATGTCCGGTTCAAGTGACGCTATATCGTTGACTCGAAGTAACTGAGTAGTTGCAAGCTCCGCAGGGAACATCATTCAGCCGCACCGGATAGCCTCACGCCGTTCGAAGTTCAAACATAAGTTTATTTCAGTATTGTCACGGTGAAAAGTCGTTCTGTGTATGGATAATCTCGAAGCATGTGTTGGTGTGTTTATTGGTGACCATCAGCCTATCTCATGCCCCGTATTAGTGAAACGGTGATCTTGAATAATAAATGACCCGTTGATGAATAATATGATAATACGTAACGCCGTAGTCCATCGGCGTGGCTGAAGCTTTCCAAGTGGTCCGCCCCTTATACCCCAGGAGCTTTTAACATCGTTGGGGTACTCACAGGCCAGTCAGTCAAACGAGTGAGTTCTAAACCCTTTGTAACAGAACATCCATTTATACGGCATTGGAGACAGTCATCAGGACAACTAACTTTCTAGCCAAAAGCTACATCTTAGGCATCAGTGAGGGCAAAGAGTATATTGCCTATATATGTTAATTTGTGTTCTTTACCTTTGTTTTGGGTCTGAAGCTTCTTTCAAACCCTTAACCATATCCCCTTATCACAGTAAAAGAACATCTCTGCATGTATATCCGACTTTCGAGAGATGCTTATCATTGGATATTTTATGCTAGACTAGATTATGAATGGACTGAGGTCCAATGCAGTCGGGCTGTACTCAAGACAAGAAATAGGGTTCCCCAACGAGTGAGTATAATAATAACAGCTTGGAAAGACGGCCTTGCCGGAAGGGCCCAAAATGGATCATGCTACCGCCTTCATAGTGTCTATCTGGCCTTGTTGCTGGCACTTCGAATGTAAGGCTCCAGCGGAAATACCTGAGCATCCGGCGTCACACCCTCGTACAGTTCTGCCCACCTCTCACGTAGCGGCTCCGGAGTTTCCCAAGCATTTTCAGGATCTCTCAACCAAAGACGAAGAAGATGGCGCCTTTCATCGTTAGCCCATATCCAACAACTAGAGCGTTAGACTTACTGCTGAGTTGGCGAGTCCGTAAATGCATCTCGAGCGTGAAATACAGCCAGGTTGTTGATGAACTGCATATCCCCCTTTGCAAAGTTCGTAGAAACACTTAATTTGTCTCCCAAGAAGTGAAGAGCATCGAGGGCTTCGGCTTGAGCTTCTGTGATGGGTGGAATGTCATGACTCCTTGGAAGTGCACCAAATCCGACAAAATATCGACGAGCATACTGCAGAGCTACGCGCTCTGGCAGCGTATCGGTGGCCTTTTGATGGTAGAGAAGCGGACGAGTCGTAAACTTCTTGTTCGGGTTTGCGAAACTGGAAGCGTCAGCCATCTGACCATTAAATATTAGAGTTTTCTTACTTCTCAACATCCCAATTCTGCGACAGCGTGTGAACCAAATCAGGCCTTGTCCTTGCTAACTCATTATAAACCCTCCACGTACTCGCAATCCTACTCGCACCACCCTCTAAGGCCGTCTCAAGACAAAACAGTGAGACAATATCACCGGAATCAGTATGAAAGACCTGTCTGTCAGTAGTATATGCCGGACTTCCAATTGCGCTCTTGTCTCGACCGGCGCTGAGATCCTTGACATGCGTGAGGACAACGTCAGCTGGTTTGCCGTTGAATTTGCTGTCTTGGCGGCCACGCTGTGATGCGATATGTGATGAGATACCGACGTAGATTATGGCGTTTTCTTCGCGGGTGTAATTATCAACGTTGACGCCGCGGATGACGAAGAAGCCGTGGCCTTTGTGTAGCTCGTCGGATAACTTGCGTAGTTCTGAGTGCAAGTTGGGGAGAGGGAAAGTCTCTGCTGATAGATGTCCGAGTGAGAGACCAAGACCTGATCATGTTAGATGAGGGGTATACAAAGGTTAAAGTTGAGTACCTTTAAAATGCTGTAAAGCTCGGTCGATTTCACCAAGCTGGTCTTCAGCCAAGTTGTACGTCCAGTCGTATGTTTGACCAACTGAATCGCCTTCCCAGACAAGATCTCCAATTAGTTGTTTTGGAAATCCATCTGGGACCGAAACCGGGAGGTTCCCCTCTTTGAGGCGCTTGGTAGTCCTGGCCTGGTAGTTTTCGTAGTTAGGAGCGTAAGCAATGTCTGGCTGACCAGGTGGAGGTGCAGCGGTAACGGTTGTTGTAAAAGACATGATGTTGAAGTTATAGTTTATAGTGTAAGAAGAAAGTGTGTCGCGCTCGTTATACTCGACGGTAATAGCAAATGGGTTTAGGTTCATTATTAATACTGGATAGAGCAGGTGGTGGGATGATCTGCATGATGAGGTGATGCGTTACACTGATTGCACCATAGCACATAATACTCTCCAAAATCCTGCGAAATGGAGCAAAGCTCCATATGTAACCGTGTTTAACAAGAGAACACAGCACAGGGCTATCAGAGAGTTAATGAAAGAATGAATCTGTAACACTTGTTTTCCTCAATTACAGGAACGCATTCACTCTCTAAACTCTTCCAACTTAGTCTTCCCATGATACAACGTCCAAGCCCAAAGCGAATCAACAACCAGAATAGACCCGAAACTAAACACAAGGCTTCCACCAAACACAAACTTATAATACCACCATGCGTTGCTGTCGTTCAAGTCGTCCACTTGACATGCGATCGCCCACGGCAGCACATATAGCAAATTGCTTGCAAGGCTCTGATACAAATACCACCTGGGTCGGGTCGCAAGAAGAATCGTCGCGAGTTGAGTTGACATGGCATAAAAGATATAACACCAGTCCAGACTTCGCCACATGTAAGCTGTGACTTTTGCGACTTCGTCTGAGCCGCTGATGTATGATGCAAAGGGCTTTGCTCCGAACAGCGTAAGGAATATGGCTATTGGGACTTCGAAGATGAGGGCGATGACTAATGATCTGAATGCTGGGCGTACGATGCCACGAAGGTCCTTCAGTGATGCTTGAGGCTTTCGTGTGCTGATGTCTACGCGTCTTCTCCAATCTCCCCAGTTATGGCCGATGAATTGCAACGCTGTTGCCTCCAAGGCCTGAACTGGGACCATTATCAGACCCCATCGGATTGTGTTGAAGACACCCCAAGCTGTTGCATATACTGCCCCCAGAGCAACGATGGTACTGACCAACCACAGATACAAGGCATTTCTGACAGCTGACTCGGTGAAGAAGATCAACCCAGGCCGTAGAAGAACTTTGAGCGCGTCAAAGCTTGGACGCAGCTTCTCTTGAGGATCGTGTGGTGTATGCCTCTTGAACGACCAGGTATTCGACCAAAGAAAGTAAACCAGTCCTGCAAAAGCTGCAACAAGATTGCAGACCAGTTGAATAGTGCCTTGCATGTTGACGGTAGGCGTGAAAGAACCGACATGGAATTTCGAAATGAGAAGAAAGTCAAGGATGATGTTAACTGCAAATTTGACAGTGCTGATCGCCAGTGGAATATCAGGCTTGTCCAGTGCTCTCGTCGCCGTCGCTACTGCAGTTTCGAGCGCTCCACTGAACACGGTGAACGAAACGATACGAACATAAGTCAAACTCGCATCGCGGACTTCCTCAGGAACGAAGCTATTCGCAAACGACGACGCAGCCCCAAGAAACACTAAGCTCAGTATCAATCCAATAGCAGACTGGAACGCGATGAGAGTATGCGTCAACTGAAGACGCTTTCCAAGCGACCTCGATGCTTTATCGCCAATGATGACCCATGCTGCTCTCGGCAATCCCTCATTGACTGCCTCGGAAGCAGTGTTCATGTATGTATACGCATCGGTGAGCACCACCATGGATGAGTCAATGTTTGCGACCCATAGTTTGGATAAAGTGCCGTATAATGCGGGGAGGATGAATGATGCGAGGTTGAAGAGGAGGGAGCCGGTGTAGTGGGTGCGATGGAGGGCTGAGGATGAGAATGCGGAGGGGAGGCGGCGGATGCGACGCGTGATGCTGTTGAGAATCTTCATTGCTTCGCTGGATCTCAGGTCATTTTTGGAAGGAAAAACGGTACTGTTTGCTGATTGAGGAGAGCAGAAGGATGATTGAGAGGGGAAAGCATTGTGTAACCGAGAATGAGGGACGAAATACGGCGTAGCCAAGTGCGTGAACCCCTCTTCAGCTGGTCGGCCTCCCGCATGAAGAGCGAAGCCGTTAACGGCTAAGAGTAAAATGATGGTAAGACTGTTTATCAAGAAAGGTGTTTAATAGCAATAAGGTATCTGGGCAATGCTATGCCATTTAATATACCCAAGCAGTAGCACAAAGTAACCAGCAATTTAGAGCTCTACATATTTGTATCGCATATTAGATAGGGATATTTCAGTCTCTGCCCTTACAGGTCAGATAGGTCCACTAGCAGGTGTCGAAATTCGAAGCATAGTTCTCTTCCAACCCTTAGGATACAGCAGATTTCCCCTAATCACGAGCTCATTGCGGCCTGACGATTATCTAGCTTTATCAACTTTAATCGCCTTGAAAAATGAACCCAGGTTCCTCAGGCGAAACGTCTTCCCCAACCTGCTCATAGATGCGTTCGAGTCTTATATCTTCCACCAGACCATCCCCGGTCTTTATCGCCTCACTAGCCAATGGAACCGGGGGCTCTTGGCTCGAGAGAGCCACGGGTGGCGGATCTTGCGAAGACGATACCAATGGATGGAAAGATGGTTCGGGGTTGTTGATGAAGCACTGTTCGATCGAAGTAGCGGTGACGATGCTGGTCTCTATAGAAACGACCTTTGTGACCGGCACAATCTCTCGGACATGCTCGACTGTGACGTTCACTGTGATAATGGCGGGTTTCAAGTCAGGTACGGTCATGGTTTCTCGACAGTGACCTGAGGTTTCACGTATCAGCTGGGTCTATGAGAGGAATTTCTTGCACATACCTTGTGTTTGGTTGTTGACGGTCACCACCTTGACCGATTTAATGACAACTGTTTGAGTTGGGAGAACCTGGATTGTTTGTCAGCCCGCAAGGCTCGATGGAGCCTCCTTGCCAACAAACATACCTTCTCTGTTGTCGTTGTAACGTTTTGGGTAACGTATACGGTGCTGACAGGTGATCGAACGATTTTGATATCTTCCATGATTCCGCATTGCTTGATATGGCCACCGCATTCGACCATCGTCTTTTCATCGACAGATCGTGATGTGCTGTTTTCAGGATCCCATAAAACAGTGGTCGATACTGTTTGACACATATTAGGGGAGTAGGTGAACAGAGTCCAAGGTAGCATCCAAGGACAGAGGAATGAAACTTACACTCCTCAGTAGCGACCAGGCCCAAGAGCCACAGCAGCATGGCGGCGAAGGATCGCCAAAAAGGATTGGCCAGCATGATGAAGTACCGTATATGCTAGGAATCAGAATTATAGAGGAGTGATGAGGAAGTCTGTTTAGCGAGATGTGAAGCAATGGAGTAAGTTGCGAATTGTAACAGAGGTAACGATCAAAATTTATTGACAATGAGAAAGAAGGAGGAGGGACGAGTGAAGGAAGCGAGACTCGAGAGATGATGCCAGATTTCACCCAAATCCTCCTGTAACACAGACAAGACATTCGACTCCCATTTCTGGACATGTGATGATTTCTCTGATCTAAATCATCATTATTCTAATGATCCAACACAGCTGAAAGGAACAGTGAGCCCTTGCATACGAGACGAGGCTTGTGATATGAGTCCGAGAACAGGTCTCAATGCAAATTAGCTACCTCAAGCCACAAGTAGTAGAATGAAGACAGGATTTCTAACTATGGTAGAGTATTGGTGGACAAATCGCAATACAGGATGGGGCAGAAATGTGACAAAAAGAGTGGCTTGCTTAAAATTTCAATGGTAGGGGACGATGTACACAAGGCGACGGCATTTATTAGACCCTTACATTAATTAAGGAACGGAAATGATGCGATTTGTCCCGTGGTACTTCATTTACAGTTAGGTCGTTCCTAAAACGGTTGGGATATATCGGTTGTGGCTGGCGGATATGGCACATGGCTGGCTGGAGCTCAGTGTGGTCTAGACTTTGACTTTTAAGCCGCAATATGCAGCATGAATTAGTTCCAGTTAGATCTCACAAACTCCAAAACAGGAGATCACTGAAAAAGGACAAGATTGGCAGTTTTGTTGTCCAAGACAGAGCTGAATGCCCTGTCTGGAATGAGACCTCGTGGGGCCGCATGATATTCATGATGGTTCCACAAAATGTGATGACGCCGGAAGTGTTTCCGTTCTCTTGTTGCTTATGAAGCTTCGCTCTCATCACCGTAATCGCCAAGAATTAAGCACAGCAATAGCCTAACGAGTCGACAAGGTATGTGATTCGGAGGCCGTAGACTGACCAGTGTAATCTGAGAACGTCGATCGTTTCTAAAGCCCTTACAGAGATTGCGATAAATGGCTTGATCTCGGGCTGGCTGACGTGAAACCTTGATTAGTCGAGAAACGAAGCCAGCAGTCCGATAAGCGCATGATTCAGGCTAAGAAATTGATCCTTGGCGTTAGTTGAATATTGGTTTATTGGTAAAGGATGCTACAACCAGGGCAATGGCGAGACACAGCTCAAGGTCTATTATCAGAGGAACTCCAACAGGCTGAGCCTTTCGTACAGCGTCCTCGCCGTTGACAACAAGTGGTCTCTTCAGGAAGACTGGTCTAACCGAACTGATGTCACCCAGGCTCATTGAAGGGGGGCAAGAAAGTGCTTTAGAGGTCTCATTCATCTGTTTTTAAGCAAAGCTGGAGGGTTTTGAGTCCGCGCAGAGATTTTCCCCTACCAGATGATGAATATGACTTCAGTAGTGGATAGCATTCTCGCTTTCTGTTTTAGTCGACAATTGATTCTTAACCGATTTACTTTATGCCATTCGACACAGAGCCTCTATGCTTATCAGCTTCGACTGCTGTTTGCAAGTGAATGTGAACACGAGAATAACAAAGAGACTTCAAATTCCTACTCATAAATCCGGCGAATCGTGAGGTGTCAGTAGCTGAGTAAATCATGGTTCCCGAGATCAGACTTCCCGCGGGAAGTTCGTGGCAATAAATCCGGGACGTGGCAGGCAGGGTAGTCAAAATAGACCCCACCCCCTATCTTATCTCGATTCTCCATGCTACTCGGCCGAGACTGCATTTTCGGCGTTCAGGTGCTCCGTGAGATCAGATCTCTCATAACCTAAAGTCCTGCTGCTGTACGGTCTGGCTTCCCCCTTTCACTATTGGGGTGATGTAAAAGACGTTCTACAAATTCCTATAGACCAATTTTAACACGGATAAAAGAATGGAATTACCGATTTCTGAGAACCAGTTCTTCCTTTCGTTTTGTGATGCCACGGAACTCGCTTGCCCAGGTGCCTTGGTATTTGTTCTTTGCCTGTTTGCGAATGCTTGGAGCGTATAACAATACTTGATTGAGATGTCAAGTTCAACATCGCCAAAAGATATCCATACACGCTAGATTTATATCGATTGCGTGCGACACCCTTGCCATGCTTCAATACCAGTGTCTACTGCAGACCAAGACACTTGAAAGCTTTCGCATAGCTCGAAACGTCAGGGTCACTATCAAAACCCACAGAAATCACAGGAGCCGAGTATTCCTTTCCAATAGCCTCCAGAGCTGCAGGGAAACCAACACCATCGCAGGTTATATACAAGGATGCATAACGAGTAGTCGCCGCCAGGGTAGCTGCATTCCCAGCGGGGATGAAAATGGTCTGGCCTGTCTGGACTTCCTGTGCATACTCTCCAACGTCAACCCTAAAAGCTCCCTCAACGACGGTGATGGCTTGGTGACTAGGATAGCTGAGCTTGGGCAGTTTGGATGGGATCCGGTTAGTTCCTTCAATGCGAGATACCACGAATCAGTTATGTGTCTGCTGTAAACCGACCAATGGCTTAAAGAGGAGTCCTGCGGCCGCATACTTGGGACCGGCGTCTGCCTTGAGAAAATATGGTTCTGGCCCGTCTGGGATAATGTTGTCGGTCGGCAGGCAGAACGTGACTTCAGCAGCGGGATGATCTGGGACAGGCACAAAGTCGTGTTTGCCAGGTAGATCCATAAGACGAGGAAACAAGGTCTTAGTCGGGTCCCTTGTATCTGGCGTCTAATACAGGACACTATCCTCGGGGGCAATATCACCCATTGCATAGAACATCTCAATACAATCCGCAGGAACACTTGGGCCCCAGAACTCTGAATGGGTACCCAAGATCTGATAACGATGTATGGCCCCTTGTAGAGACATTAATATCCCAGTAACTAACATAGTGAGAAAAGCGTTACGCTTACGGGTGGTGCACTAGCCATGTCTCCTGGATCGAGAGTACGGCCTTGGTCATTGGCCCAGACGTTCATTTGACCCTTGGTACAGAGAAATATATCATGTGCATCTTTGTGGTAGTGGAATCCAATAGGAGACCCTTCTGTAAGTCTCGAGGTAAGCTACTGACCACTTTTCCAGATTGCTATACATACCAGAACCGCCTGATGTCACTAATCCAAAAGTGTTATTTGTCTCCTTCGCGGTTACCATTACTCGGACGACCGAGGAGGAAGAGGGTATATCAGCAACATGCCCTTCGAGATATGGAATCAGGTAAGCTTCATCGGGCTTGCCTGGGGGGACTAGAGTAGTCTTAATGCCGGCCATGGTGATGATGAGAGGAACAAATTATAAGTTAATGAAGCGCAGGAGGACTTATAGGAAAATATGGCAGGCATATCAATTCTATATATTTTCTAGGTACTTAAGTTTAAATGAAAACAATTACTGCAGCGGAATAGGAGGATACTCGTTGGTTGGTGAAAACAAAAAGGTTGCGGGGTGATATCTATCCAGGGAAGATGGTGTCGGGGACGGTCCGGAATATGGAGCCGAAATCCAGGACCGAGAACCCAATTACAATGTGGCGAGAGAGCAGTGTATCATAAACTGACTTTGACGCTCTAAATAATCGGAGAGAGGCATAATAGTACAACGAATTCTAGTATAATTAGTACTCCGGATCCAAGGTTGCGGGCGGATCGGAATAGGAGAGCCAAGTGGGTACTTCGGAAGTAGGCTCGGCACAGGGGACCTCCTCCAGCATTGAGTACTGTAACTTTCAACTTGATAATCACTATTAATATGGTTACATTTTTATTGACTTCCCGTTACTTTTATGTTGAACCTGTTTGCGGTCCGCTCAGAAATCATGGCATGGAGCAGACTGGCGAATATGTACAGCTATCTATCGGTGCCTAATGTAGACAAAGGCTAATGGCTACTCATAATTCAAGGCAAATACATTCGGTCGGTAGGTAGAATGTCGCCTAATCTTTTAGAAGGTTCAAGATTTTGTAGCAGCCCAGCCCATGACCACGATTGACCGCAGTTTGAGGCCATTCAGACTCAACGTCTTTCCACATCGGAAGATCGTTTCTGCAACCCTAGACACTGATCTCTAAAGTATGGCTTATAAGACCGCAAAGTATGCCACATCTCTGATATTTTATCTATATTTCCTATTTTTTTTTTATTTTTTTTTTATTTTTTTTTATTTTATTATTTTTTTTAAAAAAAAACAAGCTATTTATGATAATATTATTGACTGCAGCTTTACATCACCGGCCAGCGATATTGTCACGGTAGCCAGCGACGGCGCCCCCCGCGTGATTGCTGGCACCATTGTGCTCTCACTATATCGGATCAGACTCTAATTTAACATTCGATACCATAGCTATGAAAGATCCACCACATCAAAAGGAAGATGCGACGGGGCGGGTCTGTCCGTCTTGCCGGCGATCAGGCCACTAAAAGCGCCAGAGGTGATGAAACTGGCGGAAGATGCTATATTAACTACTGCTTATCCTACTGGTTGTTCTCGAGAAAGGTTTCTCGGACCCCTCCGCGAATAATATAGGAACAGGACAAATATGAGAAGTGGGACCAGAGTCCCAAACTCCCCGATTACTAGAATGCTTAGCTGAGAAACCACGCGGGTTTTGAGCTCTGTCAGAGATAAACGTACCCATCTTCCGCCAAAACCAATCTGAAGGTATGCGAAGCTCCCCGTCCTCATTATGCGGGAAACCATCCGAGTTAACAGCGAAGAGGCTTGTCATGAACGATAGAGGGGTCTAAGACAAGCCAAGTTAGTGATCATACTCAGTGTGTTGGCTCGGTTCAAAATGAACTTACAAAGATAACAGTAACAATAGTAAATGGGAGGATGATGAAATTCATCAAACGTGCCGACTCTGCCTCTTTCAGCGACGCTTGGGCTAGCATTGCCTGAGTGATGTTGTTGAGCTGGTCAAAATCACAAATGTGTTAGTAAAGGTTAGGGTGTCCCAGTGAAGGCTTGCTTAATCTATGATCAAATATTGTTGAAACTTACACTTTCGAGGGTCTTAGCGGCGTCGTTATCCATAAACTTGATCCGGTTTATCATACCCTCTAATTCTGACACGAGAGGGCGAATGTAGTCCGGGTCTACGAAGGTCTTCGCCTGCTGTGGCGCAAGAATCCTGGAAAATTGCTTGACAACCTTCAACTGACTCGAAGAGACCTTCTGGATGAGGCCTAGCTCGTCACGAATATCCTTTACGTGCCAGGTGCAGCTGATAGCTCTGTTTGCTTGTTTGGAATCCCAGTCGTTTTGGGTGAAGTTGTTATAGAAAGTGGCTTCTTCATCGGCCTATGTAACCAAACAGAGTTAAAGGTAGTTGCTTCAATGAATCTTATTGGTCACGTACCTCAGAGGCGAGCTCGCTTTCAAATACATCAAGTATATGCTGGCCGAGCCCGGCCCGCATAAACTTGTCTGGAAAGGTGATTGTTTCCTGCACAATATGCTTCATAAGGTCATCGACACTGGAGATATTATGCAAACTGCTCTCCCGGATAGTTTCTAGCAAGTCATCTGCCATGCACATATTTCTCCGCGACGGTATCGCAGTAAGAATAGTGCCTACCGAGTGAGATTTGTCAGTCTGATGATGAAAGGATGAGGGGGAATAAAAATACTTACCGTCGTTTAATTTCCAGAGCCAGAGCTGCCGAACCATAAGCCATTTTGGACGACGTTCCTTGCGGATACTCTGCATCCTAGTTGAATCCCCAGCCCCTTCGCCCCCGCCGGCTCGCCCCGTGCGGCCTGAAGATGAACCTAGAGTTCCTTTGTTCTCATACTCTTCGATTCGTCCTCTTATTTTACGCAGCAAAGATTGGGTTTTGGAAAACGGATTCCGAGCCCTCCATTCTAGTGGAAGTTGCTCTAGCTGTGCAGAGTCCTGTTTTTGGGACCATCGGTAAATGACTTGGTTCTCCTTGCATCGCAATTTCGACAGACTCTCGGCGTTGATAGAAGTCTGGTCTAAGGTTTGTGGCATCTGTACTCCATATAACCCGGTAAAGGGAGAATAGGCTTCCTCACCCTGTGTTGCTGTAGAAGAATAATTGGGTTCCACCTCAATATCTATAAACGGAATCTGCATACAGTCTCGTTAGCAAAGTGCTATCAACTACAAGCTAAAGACATACTGCAAGAGATACCATTGATCTGGTTTTGGTGTTTTCGCCATGATCATTCTTGGTTGATTTAGGGGCATCTTTGCTCATCATCTGTTTTCTTGTCAATATCACCATGGATTTGCATTATTCCGAACAAAGCAGTTCAGATATTTCACATCTGAAATTTACATCTCAAACGCGAAATCCTGACTCACATGAGCATGAGGTTCTCTGATGCGACAACCATTGTTTCTCGCGTCGCGGACCTTCATGTTCTTTTCGAAGAATTTCCAAGTGGTGTCATCAATATTGGAATTGTCTTCGATGAATTTCTTAATTATTGAATAATCTGTAAGCAAAGTAATGACATAAGATCTAGATGCTGAATATTTATTCACTTACTCTAATCCATGTAATCTGTTTGAAGAAAGATGTTAGCCGAGCACTTTGAAATAAAATACGCACGTGGAAATATCTCACATTATTTGCAGGGAAGTTCACCCATCTCCATGTATCTTTAGCCATCATGAAGCTGCTATTAACTTCTGCAGCTTTCCCGGCTGTAGACTTCAGCTCAGGTTGATGTTCATCTTGGTGGTCTACTTCTCTAGACGATTCGAAAAGATCCTCCCAGGCGCATTGACATTCCTTCTCGCATTCAGCGAGGAAAGTAGTGTCTTTCGGCCAATTCTCTGGATAAAGAACGTCGGATACGGACTTATCTGTCGCGGTCCAATACAGAGGATTGCTGTTCTCAGTGGCAAGTTCATTTCTTTGGTAGCGACAATAGACTGGAGATTTATCGCAGACAGCCATTCTTGCCTTGGAATTTCTGCTGTGGCTCTGTGAAAGCTTCCTCGATGGGGCGAAGTGGTCTGCACCGATCGTTTGCTTTTCGCGGGATAGTATAGTCATGCGCTTCCAGAAATCTTTATCCGACCCCTGACTATCTAAGAAAATCCGTCTAGGGGTCTTCCCATCACGATTTAGAGTTTCCGGATCGGCACCGTTGCGGACCAGCATCTCGATTGCTTTCAGATTTTGTAATTCACAAGCGATGTGCAGAGGTGATTTTCCTAGAAGTAGTATTAACATATGCCATGCTATGAAGAAACGAGCTTGACGTTGAGGTAGTCGGGACTTTAAGTTTCACAGCTCAGCTTACGTACCTTCCATGTCTTTGGTATTCACTTCTGCTCCGGCCAATAGGAGGCTATCCAAGAGAGGTATAAGGGACTCAGATTTGCGGTTCCTTTCTTCCTGGCCGAGGGCTGCTGAGAGCAATAGATGAAGCGGAGTCATAAAACGCCAATCTAAAGCGTTTATATTTGCACCATATTCCGATAATGAAGCAAATATCTTGAGAGTCTTGTCTAGACCATCAACGTTAGTCAACAAGATACCACTAACTGAATCAAAAACCAAGTTGTGTAATGCAGTCCTGGACAAGATGTCTCCAACATTGATGTACGTCTCCGGTGACGTGGAGGAGCTCTTTTCGAGGATATCGCATACAAGATCGCAGTCTTCTTTTGATACGGCCTTATGGAGAACTGTCTCTTGCGAAAGCGTATTCTGCATATGCAGCTTTAGATTGCGCTTTGTCAGTAGGTAGTCCACATCTGACTTGTGGCCTCGACAGATGGCCATCCATAGGACCGAAACTGTGCCAGGCATCCACTCTTTTGCACGTTGTCTTTCCTTTTTTGTTAACTTTCGACTTAAGTTTGCCAATCGATCTGCAATGCCTTCAAGGCGGGCTTGTACGGCCATTTTGTACCCCGAACCGCGACTGCCGTAGACCTCATTCTCTGCAATATCGGTCTCAACCGCTTTTTGAAGTTTAGTTTTCGGGCGATAGAATAAGGATCCTGCCTCGATCTTGCCTGAATAGGAAACTGCCCCAGGGTTACTTGACGAGAAAGCTACTCCGCCGTTGCTTGAGACATTACTAGAGGATATCACACGCCCCTCTAGGTTATTTGTGAGGTCTTCGAAAATCTTTCGGATATCTCCATTGTTACCAAAGATGACTGCGTGCCATATCTCATCCTCTTTGCTCAGAACAAGCTTATCCAGAATAGTAGTACTCGAAGGCCGCCACCGGGACCAAATATCTTCGTACCACCAGTTTTCGAGGTAAACCAATCTCTCAAGCAAGAATACTAGGACAGAAAGAATATAAAATTCTAAGAGTGAAGTCATGTTGAGATCCGCAGAAAAAGCAGTAGAATGGTGAAACAGTGAAACAAAAAGCTGGAAGCTGGTTCGAGTCTATACTGTAGACATGAGGCGGGTATTTAATTTCGAAATGCCATTCCGCCACCCAGCTTACAGGTTACAAATACGGCACCGGTGTGAGCTATACCTTTCGGTTGCCTGCGGGATTTGTTGTCACCCTTGGCTCATCACCCCGCAGATATTGTCACAACTTGCACATTCACCACCCTATTGATGTATGTAAATCGAGCTATTAGGAAAGAGTTCTGCATATCCCGGCAGGTGTGGCGTGCTAGGCCCAACATTATTGATTGTGTTTAGCGGGGCTTATTGGCGGGCCTCAAAATGCTTTCAGCTGTAGGGTCACGAGATAAGACACCGCATGCAGAACACGACTTGATAATGCGATGTAGATCGAAACGCAATGTCAGAAAAGCAATCGATTAATTGACTGCTTTACGAGCGAAGTACCCGTGGGCACTAGTATTACTCACAAGCAGCTTCAACGTAATTTTGACTTGCTATCGAGATACAAGATCATCTACATGCCGTAAAATATGCAACATCATGTGTTTTTTTTTTTTAAGACAAGAGAGCGAATTATTCAGCTGGCAAAAAAAGGCTGCTCGACGTTGTGCAACCCTGTTTAAATTATCCTGTAATTCTATTGAATTAATTGCCAATGCCCCCGTTGTTCCCTGCAAACAAAACATGGGATCTGACAGCTGAGCTTTTCAGCTAACTCGCTTACTGATCGCCGAGAAAGTTGTTAAATCATGGGAAGACAGATCCAGCAGCGGAGAAAGGAGGTAACTTAAATATAAATTTATAAAGTATAACTCACGTTACTGGTATGCAGTTGCGGTAGCCAGCGGCGGCGCCCCCCTAGTGATTGCCGGCACCATTGCAAAAGAAGCAGTGGCTTTCGTATCAGGCGCTTAGTCCGTAGCCGCTCAAGCTGTAGTCGCTGGCGCCGCCTGCGAGTTAGCTCTCGCCGCCGTAGTTGCAGCTGAAGCCGTAGGTGCCGTAGCTGAAACGGCGTTTGCTGCGGCTGTTGCTGCTACTGCATCAATGGTTGCTGCAACAAACTTCTGGAATCCTGTTGGATGGGACCTTGGGGCCCTTGTCGTTGACGCGCGTGAGACAGCACCTCAGACTATCACCTGGGATTGTTACAAGCCTATTATACACGAAGATGCGGGCACACCAACTGAGCTAATGCTGCTAGCCGCGCTGGTTACTCGCCCGATGGTCGTTCGAGTTTTCTCCTGTGGATTTTCACGCGATGTCGAGAGCGCAGTTGAGATCACAACAAAAACCACGTCTGCCTATCTCCCTGATCTAGAGATAGAGAATGCTGTTGTCGAACTGTACCTACTACGGGGCGTCATGTTACCTTGGGGCGCAATTGCATATCATGCGGACAGGATGGAGGAATGAGTTTCCAGAGTTTGCTTATTTGTAAAGGGAAGATCAAACGGGATCCTGGTCAACCATTGGGAAAAGTTGATAGAGATTGTATACGGGAATAATGGGAGAAATTGCGTGTGTACTTGAGTAGCAAAAACCCCAGCATGTGTTCGCGTGTCCCCTTGACAGGTATATTCTTCAAGAACGGCCAGAAGAAAGCCATTCATTCTCTCTAGAATATGCTTGATGAATTAATATCTTAGGCGAATTAATGTTGAAGATGCCGATCTCAGACAGACTTCATGCGAGTTCACAGTAACCTGTTGGTCTCTTTGCTAGGCAGAGCGGTCGCCAAAGCCCCTGAATCATCTATCAACAATTACTCCTTTCAAGAGCAAGTCTCTCGTGTGACGTTGAGGTGCCGATATAGGCATGAAAGATCACAGTGAGTATCTCAGGGTCCTCCAATATTATACAAGGTTTGCGGCTGAGGTACGTGGTGCTGATATCTCAAAACCTGCAGGGGGACACTTGGGATGAAAACCCCACGTTTCGCATCTTGGTGCCCGCTACTGGGTGTCACCCAACCCAGTTTGGGGTTTCAAGTTTCAGGTGTAGGAGAAGTCATTTGGGAGCTGAGATTATGTATGTTGGGCGGTGTTGGTGACGAGTCGTGCGTGACCTTTTATCATCAGCCCATGTTGAGAACTTCTTGAATATGGCCTGATACTGCCGTTTGGTAGTTTAAAGTTACTCCAGGTTCTATTCTTCCAAGATGTATCACCCTGACGTTATTTTCACGAAAATAACTTTGGGTTTGTGATGTAATTAATGGCTAGGACAAAAAGGTTGACGACTCGGCAGAATTTACGTTCGTTTATTGTACCAAGACAACGGCACATCAACCGTCCTTGGCGATGCGAAACTTATTGCCGTTAGAAACTTTGGCCGGGACTAACCCAGTAGTACTGTGACGCGAAACTATGCTGCATCTTGTCAACGACCTGAAGTTTATATCCATAGCTTGCCATTGACTTTGGCATCATGTAGCCGCGTCAGACTTTCTTGTTTCCGTCTGGCCGTCTAGATGCCATACAGATAAGCTCCGGTTAAGAAGAGACTGTCGCTATCTACGTGCGTCCAATCCTGACTCAACGCTTTGTAATAGTGTCCCCTTTTCAGCTGCATGCATCGTCTGATCTTAATATCATCAGCTGCAGTGTCATGATACGAGAGTCAGCAGCTGTATCCATTGCACTGCAGTAGCTTCAAACCCTTTACTGAAGAGTAATGACCGCAGTTGTGAATTAAAACGCCGAAACTTCTCGCAAATTGATCAAGCGCCCGGCTCTATGTTTGTCAAGCCCCGGTTTCAGCTAGACCCACGTCTGCCATGTTGTCGGATATTGAAATCGCAGCGGCTTTTACGTTGTATTGATCGTGGATATCATGCTACTCTGCAGAGTCAGTATTGTGTATCATCCAGAAAAGATGAAGTTCTGCTATTGTAAATCCACCAGATTATCTCATTTAAAGTACTGCTAGTCTACCAGATCGTATCGATGTAGCCACTTCTTGATCCTGTATCAATGCATTTCCATCGGCCAAATGCTGAGTCTCAGGGCAATGCCATGCCAGGGAACTCGGCACTCAATTAGAGTGCAGCTGTGGCTTGGATTTAGTTTAGTTGCTGTCTCGCTTACATCCTCGCTAAGCTATATACCGTATCGTAATAAAACATTAAATCATCCCCAATCGCCTTGCGCTCCAATAAACCCCGATTTTTCTAGAAGACTACACCGAAGATCAGTCTCGGAGCCGCAATGAAAGGGCACGAAACGGTTTACCGGCCTTCCCTCCATCGTCCGGACCAGAAGCTGGCTATCGGGGTGTGACAGGGATGTAGTCGTTTAGTTTGATTGGCATCTCGCCAAACCTGTCAACTCTGAAACACGGTAGCGCAAACTCTCACGGTAAACCGGCATCAATAACACGATCTGGTATTAGACGGATCGTTGAATGAAACCATCCCGCAGTGCCATTCGATTTCCCCTCTTACGAGCCCTTTTTCGCGGCCGCATTTCCCGAGTCCAGACCAATCCTGGAGAATGGCAGTTGTGAAAAAACAGGGGTTCGGCATTGGAAACAGCTAGGGAATGATGGACTTAGTAAAAACCTCGTCAGCATCGACAACCTAGTCAAAGTCATCAGCAAGGAAATTACTTCGCGGTGTTCTGGAATGTTGTATATAAGACTAGACCTCCTCTAACCACCAACGACATCCAATCTCATCAACGCATTCTTTTTTTCAAGCTTTTATTTCTTCATTCATTCATTTCAAGCAAACTTACATTCATTTCTAACAACACCAACGCAAACACTTTCATCATGTTCGGTAGCATTTCTACTTACTTCGTCACCCTCTTGGCCGCAGCCTCGACGGTTGCCAACGCCGCTGCTACTTCCAAGAACCCCGTCTACACCGGTCTCGGTACCCGATACGGTCTCAGTGATGGCTGCACTGAGGAGGATTGCTGGCAGAAGGGTGCCTGCAGCTTTGTCGACTACAAGCTGCCCCATGGCATTGACGGAACTACCTGTGTCTCTGAGGATATCTGGAACAACGGAGCCAACTGCGGTGGTTGCATTCAGGTTTCCTACAAGGGCAAGTCCCTCAAGATCATGGTAAGTCCAAGTTTAAACACACAGTGACACAATATAGATCTAACTGGTATAGGTCACCAACAAGACTGGCGGCGACAAGAACCATCTCGACATGACCCCCGCCACCTGGTCCAAGCTAACCAACGGCATGACCGGCGGTGGTGTCGACGGCATCAAGTGGAAGTGGATTGCCTGCCCTCTCCCCAAGGGAACCCCCCTCCAGGTCCACATGCACGGCGGTGCCTCCAAGTACTGGTTCGCCGCTACCATCGAGAGTGCCACCCACCGCGTCAAGGCCGTCGAGGTCAGCAGCGACAGCGGCAAGACCTGGCAGAAGACTACTCTTAAGGACCCCAACATGTGGATCCTCAAGGGTACGCTGCCCAACGACACTGCCTGGGTCCGTGTCACCAGCGTCAACAACAAGAAGGTCATTGTCAAGAATGTTGCTCTCAAGTCTGGACAGGTCACCAAGGGTACTTCCAACTTCTAAGGGGATTGAGGGGCATGGTATTGTGGATGCAGGGCTCGAGGCTCTGAACTATTTTATTTCATGTGTGTGTTGATAATCTCAAGCTGGCCTTTATGGTTCATATGAAAAAGTTTCTTGTATATATATTCTGCTGGGATGGACGCTAGAGGTATCTCTCAGCCCAATAATATGAACCATATCTAATCATTGGCCTCTTGGATGACTACCACTGGGCACTGAATTGAGAACTGAGTGTTCAGCGCATTGAGAAGTGGTTTGCTACAGAGATAACTAACAACATCCATGTCTTCTCGGGTATACTCATGATAAATGACCTCCCTTCGCCCCAGGCCTGTCATGAGCCATCATATCTATCAAGTTATCTTACTACCTCTAACGAGTCTCAACCTCAGTAGCACGAGGTCCCTTAGAATCCACCTCGGTCATCATAACACCTCTCTCCTTCATATCAGCCCTAGCAACCTCACCAACATCAACCGCATCACCATCGAAGTACTTGGCGATTTCTTCCATAGGCGTGTAGCGGGTCTCGATGAGGAAGAAGTAAATGACATACACCTCAAAACCGAGAAAGACGCAGTAGATGGTGTAGTACTTCCAGCCCATGGCCTCGAGAGCAATACCGTTGATGTACTGGTTGAAGAAAAGCGCGGCAGTGACACAAAAGTTGAGCCACGTGAAACCCTTGGCACGAAGACCGTAGGGCAGAATCTCAGTGGTGTAGTTGGCCATGAGACCAGACCTGGATCCTTGTTAGCTTCGAAATTGGGGTAGGTAAAATAGTGTCACTCACTTAATGTCGTAGAACAGACCGTAGATGAAGGTCAGCGCTACAAAGGCATAGCCAAGAGCCTTGTTGGGATCGATGTCATATCGAGCCGAGACAATGGTCCAGAAGGTGAAGATGACGCAAGTTCCAATGGTCGAGGTAAGATAAATAGGTCGACGGCCCAGAACATCAATGAAGAACGCAAAAGCCGTGTTGATGATCAAACCCTGCGTCTTCATACCCGCATTGATACCAAGCTGAGTCTCTGCCTTGGTGATACCAACATTATCCATGATGCCCTTAAGGTAGTAAGAGATCAGACCGTTACCACTCCATTGACTGAAGAAACCAAGAGCAGTAATGAGACCAATTCTCTTACGGTTGCCAGGAGTCTTGAGGAAGTCTACCCACGCTGTCTGTCCAACTTCCTTGTCGAGGGCGATGGCGGCCTTGATCTCACTGAACTCGAGCTGGACGAATTCATCATCAGGGTTGTCCTCTGCGTGATAATGAGTGAGGACCTTGAGGGCTTGGTCGTGCTTGTCCTTGCTGAGGAGCCAACGAGGACTCTCGGGCATCCAGAAGATACCGATGAGGATGATGACACTGCAGATGGACTGAAGGAGACTAGGAAGGCGCCAGGACCAGTTACTCTATGTCACATATTAGTACCTCGGCAACCTCTTCTCGTTGGTGGGGGGACATACCTTGATCTGAAGAGTACCGTAAGTGACCCAACTGGAGATGAAAGCACCAGAGTGATAAGAAGCACCACTCAATGTCACAAGAATAGCACGATCTTGAGGATGGGCAATCTCAGCGATGAGTAGAGGCGCCGATCCAAGAACAATGCAATCACCGAAACCCAGAATGATACGCGCCGCAACAAACATGCCAAAGTTCTGAGCTCCAGCCTGAAGACCAACAGCGAGCAGCATAAGAATACAGCCAATCTGCACACCAACCTTGCGACCAGCCCAATCAACCAGATAAGGCACCACAAAGAGTCCAATGAGAGAGCCAAGACTCATAGAGGCGTTGAACAAGCCGAGGATGGAGCCTCGTGGGCGATTGAAGTACTCTTGCCAGTAGGAGAGGGTCTGAAGACCATTCATCATGGAACCTGACCATATTAGCAAACTGTGTAAGCGAAGTAGTGACATGGTGAAACTTACCATCGAAACCATTGGCAGTATTGGTGAGAATAAGAATAACAATGTAAAAGTACAGAATTCGCATGTTAGGTCTCTTCCACCAAGGCACACGAGCAAATTCCTTGCCAGCAAAGAAGAAATGTCCTTTAGCTGGCTTATCAGGAATGACCTTTTGGGTCCGCTGAGGAGGAGTGAGAAGACCCATGATGCCTGTAGCTTTCACCAGTATCAGAGATTGAAGATCTGAGCCAAACGATCAACATCGGGGAGACGCAGTAACTTTATATTACTGACTCAGAAACTCGACCTAGCCAGATGATTCACGAACCCAGAGCCAACAGACTGTTCCATCCATGCACTCAGGACCCCCCACGCTCAGTCATTGGCTCGGCTTACCCCAAATTGAAGCTTCTTTCCCCGCATGTCTTTATCCGAGCTACGAGGAACGAAAATCATCCCCATGGGGAATTTATGTGCCCAATTGGCGTTAACCGGCTAATATTGTGATAGACATGCGCGGGCGTAAAGGTTAATTAGCCTATTACATTCTTTAACGGGTAAATCATAGCCTGAAAGCTTAATTAAGGGCCAACAGTCATTAGAGTCATGTGCCATAAACCCAGACATTTTACAATGGGACATGCAATTCACACCAATAGGCTGGACCCGGATATAAAAGTTGGGAGCGTAGCCGAGCCGAATTCAATCTTAATTGACTTGGCATTGGATGTGCTATCTACTCAACCTGCAGATCAACGACTTCAACCGTGACATTCTCCTGCGCCAAGGCATACGCACCGATAACGGGACCGACAAAGTCAGGCCCTGTCATATCGAGCGTGTCAAGCGTCGCAATGTGTTCCCAGTCTTTACCGGCTGTGTAATATACCCGATATTCCTGCTCTGTGTACTCAAAGCGGAATTGGATGGTGTCAACATCCTTGTCCAGTGCGCGCTGTTCCGTCTTTTTGAGATCCTTGGCGTTGTTGACGAATTCGTAAACTACTGCCTTTTCGGCGGCGTCGTAGTAAACACGTAAGTAGCGGTGTTCATCTTTGTAAACTGCGAGACCGGTCTTGATCTTTGAAGATGTGTTGAGCTTGAAGGTTGCGCTGCTTTGCCCTGCGTGTAGACGCTGTCGCTTACCGACAAAACTGGGAGATTCCTGTGGGTGCGATAGATCGACAGACGACGAGGTTACACTGATCGTCTTGCTGCCACTGTCAATCTTGTATTTCTCCAAAATTGGGTCTCGGATGTACAGGAAATCCACGCCCTCCACTGCTGTCAATCCCTGCACTGCGTTGACACTTGCAAGTCGGGATGTATTGATCACAGCCTCGACGGATTCAAGACGGAGCCAATCATCGGTCCACTTTGCAGGCGTGAGATGCGACTCTCTTCCCATGTTGTATCTTCCGTCTTTATCTCTGCGCACTCCGAGAAGAACTCCCCACCACTGGCCGTTCTCATCCTCAAACACGTCGCAGTGGCCTGTATGACGGACATACATGTCTTTGCTCGCCGGGACTAAGATGGGGTTATTGGGACATGGCTCGTAAGGACCCCAGACATCGCGGGATCGAGCCATGGTGATCATATGGTCTTCATAAGTTCCGCCCTCAGAAATCATGAGGCAGTACCAGCCGTTTCGCTTGTAAATATGCGGGCCCTCGGGGTAAACGCCTCCTGTACCTTCCCAGAGGATCTTTTCCTCTGATAACTTCTTGCCCGTCTCAATGTCAATCTCAAACTGAGCGATTCTGGTATAAGGACCAGGAGCCTTGGAGCCTTGGATATATGTCTTTCCATCATCATCAAACAAGATGCTGGGATCAATGCCGTCAAAGTCATACCAGATGAGGTCATTCCACTGGCCTGACCAGATATCCGTGGTGGTGGCAATAAAGTTCTGCAGAGAATACCGAGTATCCTCCGTTGCTCTCACAACATTCGTGCAGACAACGTAGAAAGTGCCATTGTTGTAGCGAATGGTTGGAGCAAAGAGACCACCAGTCGCGAGCATGACTTCTCCAACATCTGGCATACGGTTGACTTCGGTGTCTGATTGTTTCAGAATAACCTGCCCCGGTCTACTAATAACATTTCCTACATCATTGTCAATAAGGGACACGCAGAAAGGCATGGGTAGCTTACCGATATGCTTCCACGATACAAGATCCTTCGAGGCGTAGACGGGAATACCAGGAAACATGTGAAAGGTGGAGTTGACAAGAAAGTACCACTCGCCAACCTTGACGATGGACGGATCGGGGGAGAAACCAGGGATGATGGGGTTGGAGGGCGACATTGTGGCTGCAGTATCTCTCTCTGACTTGTTGGACAAGTTTTGTACAAGCTTGGCCGTTTCAAGATGGCAGTTCGCATCGGCAGCTGAGTTGATACTTATGTTCCGCACCATGTGGACAAATGCATGTTGGTGATATCCGGCTGGGCTGAATGCATTTAGCCGCCCAATCGGCTGACGCTAAACTGAGGGGACGAAAGGTGCAGTGAGCAGTCTGATCGACCTATTGAAAACAGCGTGTAGATTGTTGTACGAGAGTGCTGTGACTTTCTGGGCAGTTGGTGCGGGGTGACAGTATGCTATTATTTATCAGCTCCACCGCGTGTTTGTTGGTTACTAAGGTATGATGTCTCTCAGTGGAAGTGGTGGGGTTACCCTGCAGCTACCACAATAAAATCAGGCGACTGGATCGCACGGTCGCCGATCGCGTTCTTTTGCCATAGCTATGTTGTGTTTGTACCCTACAAGAGGGCTGAGATAAGTTTGTAGGAAAGGCTTTGGATATTACGTGGTATCTGTCTAGACCAACAGAAGCATTCCACATAGTTACGAATTGCTTCATGGTAATGAAACATTGCCCCCCGCCAATGGGAGTGAAGGAACATGTGTAGCAATTGGTTAGGCGTTATGGTATAATTTTTAAATAGTGAGCTAGGGGAACGGATTCAAACATTCGGGGACTGGAATCAGCGGATGGCATGAGTGCCAGTGCCACTAGTCAAGGATCGTATGGAGCATATCTTTGTGTCCAACTAGTAGACGGCAAAGATTGAAGGTTTCACATGCAATATAAACTTAGTGATACGTGGCATTCAATATATTGCTATAGACCCAGGCCATCAGAAGCGGATTCCTCTCCCGCGGTAAGTTGGCACTCCGCGGCGGAGGCGATACAAGAGAGTACAAACAGTAAGCAAAGACTGTCCAATAGTGAACAGTCAAGCCATCTAGTACCAAGTAGGCTCCTCATCTGGGGTGGGAGCATCAGGCTTAGCATATCCATAGCGGATCATCTTGGTGGTCTCACCATTGGCGAAAACAACCATCTGTCCGTCGGTCTCAGCGAGAACCCAAATGGTCTCGGTAGAGACCTCGTTCTTCCACATGAGAAGGTACTATACTAAGAATCAGCATTTGACTTGACTGAGAAATAATCAGAAAGCCTGTACTTACCTCGTTCTGCGGCTGAAGAGTGATCTTGGTCTTGCCGACGTGGCTGTCACGATCAACATAGATAGTTGACCAAGCCCCGCCAGCAGTCGACTTCTTAACAGCAGCATACAGCTCCATAGGAACTTGGGCGATACCAAAAGAACCAGGCTTTGCAAAAGTACCAGCTGCCTGATTCTCGGGGTTCGAGAGCTGATTCTTGTCATAGGTGGTGAGATAGTTGGGTGAGATCTCCACCTCGTTGGTGCTGGCAACTACCTGCTTATCGGCAAGTCTCTGTACTTTGCAACCTTTATGGCAAAAGCGCGAGGGCCACTTATAGGGTCGCCTGGGTTAACGCTGCTGACAAGGAAGACCTTGAAGTTCTCGGTCCACTTGAACTCAGTGGTGGAGAGAAGCTTCTTCCAGTCACTGCTGGCGGCAATGCTGTAGCCATCAAAGACTGTGTTTAGGGACCCATTGACCTTGCGGGCGATGACGAGCTTGTCACTGGATTGGGTGTTGAGGATGGCCTTGTCAATGGAGACGGTGAGATTGAAGCTAGGCATGATGACGGTTGGTTTTTTGAGTGATGAGTGAAGATGTAAGTGCTTGTTGTGTGTTCTGTTCTGTGAGTTGTTGATGATAATGTTTATTTTACTGGCGATGCGAGAGAGTTTATATATCTGATTCCTCATAAACCTCGGCAGGAATGTTGAAGATTCAAAAGTCCATCTTCCATGACGCTCGTTCATCCCCATCCTCCAATTTGGGAAGAGATGGAACAATCACGGAGATACCGAACCGTACAACGGAGCCATCTCAACATCCTTCACAGATTCAGTGATCACGCCGAGACACAAACTCCTTGATTTCGTCCCATCAGCCCTCCACAATCGATAGTCTCAACCAAAGTCCCCCTTCGATGATGCCAATGACCAACCTCATCGTCTTGGCGATCGAACCGGACATCTTGCTCCTGTCCTTGCCGGACCACCAAACAACTGATCAGAGGCAATATCACCTATGATGGCGTTCGAACAATACAGCATGTAGAGTTGTCACAGTGGCTATACGAGAACTTGCTCGTAGTACAGCAGACAGGGCACTTACTGGATAGTCTTACTGAGACAATACCAGCCAATAAACGCCGCGCCCTCTCTTTGGAACTGGTGAGAACGATGCATAAACGAGACCCGTTATGTGCAGTCCTAGCGCTTATCTGGTATTCAAGCCAATGATAGCGATTTGGATTTGCCGCCTCGTCATACACTGCAAGATAGTGCGCTGGGAACTTCTGAGACATGGCTCCAGAACTGGTTATCATGCTGAGTTTTTTGTCTGTCTAGACATTGAATACTGCATAACGAAAATGCAGCATCGGGCAGTCCGAGACATATGTATTCTCAAAACGGATTGGTCAGCCTTATGCTTCTATTCATGACGCGCTTCATGATGGGGCCAGATCTCACTATTCCCCGATTGAGGCTATAGGGCTGGGATCTGAGACATGCCTAGGCTGTGTATGGACGTTTAGGCAGCCCCGGGTTCACCTTCATCATGTGCACTGCATGAGGCTAACAATCTAGCCCTTGTGATTCATTGAATCAAGCCATAGGGCTGAGGAATCTGAGAACAGGACATGATAATTATAGCTAGTCTGGTATGCTCAAAGCTCTTGTGGTAGGCTATCATGAGTGATAGTTTCTACCCCACGTCTTGCAAGAACCCTGTTACATCGATCATGGTCAGATCTAGATTACCGATGAGCTAATCGAACTAAATGCGTGACCACGGATATCCTTTCTGTTTTGCCAGTACTGTGAGACAATCGTTATTTCCAGATAATGAGGACCATACCAAAGTTCCTTAGGGCTTCTCACAACCGTTAGACTTGGGGAGAACGATGCCTTGGCGTTGTGATTGACCAAGGAGGCTTCATGTCAATACCAATAGCGTATGTGTGACAAGAGCACAAATTTCGCGGGATGGGCTATTTCGCAAGCAGAGCCAAGACACTCACTGCGTAGCATGGCTGGAATTGATCATCAGAGGCCTCAGGAATCAAGATCGAGAGAGAGGAAAGCGTCAACGGCAAATGAGTCCCTCCTGTGTTGGGCATATCGATCAATTCCTGGCGCTCCCTCGTTGAGAAGCCGCTGTTACTTGCGTCCTTGAACCCAGGGAATGTTGCTCTCGCAAACAACTCTATATAAGACGCCCAATAATCTTTACCCAAACATCACCAACACCTTCTCATCTACCTTCCCACTTCATCACCCAAAATACCTCTTTGCCCAACTTGCTCCGCTTTGACTCTGGAATCTCTCGTCGCCACCGATGTCGAGACCCAGAAATACGGCTACAGGCTTGTTGAAGATCTTGACATTCTCAGGCAACGTGCAACTACATGTGAGGTCTGCAGACTTGTCGAGGAGCGCATCAATGTCCTTCCACTTCCTTCTTCAACTGTGAAGAAAGATGCTGCCGTTTGGGCTTCTGGCATTTCCACTACTGATCCGCCTACTACGCCGTCGTTGACTGGTGTCATCTTTGCTTGCAATGGGCGAAGTGCGACACTAAATATCTACGGCAATCCTCCTTTGGAGAAGTAAGCCTTACTAATCTTCACATCGGGTAATGAGCTAAATCAGACAGCAGTACCGTCAAAAGACAGGCCATTATTCCAAGTATCGACGTCACCCGCGTCGCCGACTTCGTCAAGCAGCACGAGCAACAATGCCTGACACCAACCCATGCTCGATGCCACCAAACCCTAAGCGGCGAACCCCTTAACAGAGGCTACAGACCTCCACGTCTCTGGAACGTCAATACCAACAAGCTCGAAGAAGATCCTCGTGAAATGCAGGCTTCCTCATATAATGCACTGAGCTACACCTGGGGCCGGCAGCGAGCCGTAGACCCGTGCTCTTTATCTATTGGTTTCAAGATAGTCCAGTCGGCATCCGAATGCTTTACTTTTACCGTCCATTAGAAAATATTCTAGCTAATGACACTCACCAACCAAGTTTATTGCTGACAGTTAGCTCGTCGGGGCTGAAAACCCCCTGTCCATAGACCATCTCGACTGCGTTAGATGCGCGTTAGATGCAAGGTACACATCATTCGCCCCCACACACTCACGGATTTAATCAATCTCGACTTCAATAGCCTCTCAAACTATTGGCATTAGCGCGGCGCCAACGACTAAATTTGCGTCCAGCCAACACACCTTTCGGAGTCTTTTTGGCAATTTGACAGCGGGCTTTAAATAGGAGGCGCCACGCCAAATAATCTTGAGATGGATTTGCGTTCTGCAACCTCACACTCGTTTACCTGCACTCTCTCAGTCGCTTCCACTCGTTTAATCACTCGCCCGTGACTTCGTTAAAATGGTTCACTATTCTATCTTTGCCGTGGCTTTTGCCATTCTCGGAGCCGAAGCTGGTCCCTGCCGACCCACGACCGTGACAAGCCACGCTGTGGCCTCTTCGACGGTCGCTTCCGACACCACGGTTACTACGTTGGCTACGACTGTGACCACTGCCCTTGCCGAGACCACTTCTACCGCTGTAGATGAAACCACTTCTACTGCGGTTGCAGAAACCACGACGACTACCGAAGCACCCGGCTGCGTTGAGACCCAGGTCGTTGTCAACCCCGGCTTCGATGACAGCGACAGCAATAAGTCACCTTGGTCCGGCGACGGCTCGCTCACCACCGACGGCCCCAATTCCGCTCCCAACGCCATGTAAGTCCCGTCATCTCTTTACATTTCTTTGTATGCTAATAGTGCTTCAGATCCTTCATCTTCACAAATGGCCAAGGCAGCGCCCAAATTTCCCAGACTCTGACCAACCTCGACGGCAACTACCGACTATCTTACAAATGGGGTGTCTTTTCCGGTGTCAACGTCGGCTCTGGTTTCTCATGCACTATCACCCCCAAGGTCGGAAACGATAATCTTCCTGGCATTTATCCCTACACCTTCGTCGGTTGGACTCCCGAGAGTCAGACTTGGTCAAGCGGTGGTAACGCCGTGGCCGAAGCTGACTTGTCGTTTGTGATGCAATGTTCCGGAGAGTATGATCAGCTTACGATCAATTTTGATGACATCACATTCACGAAGCTCTGCGGTCCTCAGGCTAATTAAGGGCCTACCTAATCTCTCCAGGCAAGGATGCTATAAATGATGAATCTTATGTCACATATTAATTCCTTGTGCCAGCATTTAGCTCTGGACAATACATATTCGTTTCGTTTTTAGACGGAGTAGTGCTGTCTAGAATAAGATATTAATTAACACCCTACTATTGTACATATCATATTTCCGTCTCTGATAAAGACTATGAGTACATCTGATATATCTCTCCGTCTGTGATGCGATGTTCCTGGTAATCCTCTTGCTGCAATATGTATTAGGAAAGTGAGAAAGTATTATATAAAACTCTCCGTAGCCGCATCCAATAAACATCTCATATGCCCAGCTTTACGTCACTCAGCATCCATGAGTAGCCTAAATTCCCAATGGAGCCGCATAGCTGACACCGTCTTACCGCCAAGACACCATGATCTCCTACTGCAAGATCTCGATGTATGCTTCTCTTTAGCTATACAAGATTCAACGAAACCCCACGATAATGTGATTTGTAAGTTAGAATCGTAATAAATCTTATTGGATGTGGGATGTCTTAGGCAGATAGGATCCAAGAATGGTAATCAAAACCTTATTTCGGTGGTTTTCTGCCATGATCTGGTGAATCCTTCGTCATCCAAAAACGTCATAAGCTTACGCAGAGTATCTCATGACTTGGACTTGAGGGGCAGTAAGCAATACTGTAAATGATTATGATTCCTTCCTCCGTGGAGATGGGCTAATATAGCTAATATTGCTTCGTGGGCCGTCGGTCTTTAGGGTGTCTTTATTATAAGATAGTGAGTAGCTCATTGTCTACTATTCCCATTCGCTCAGATACAGTTCAGGTCTGATCGAAACCTTCAGCCAAGATGAAGACCCTTCAGCTTTACCTCTATACTTCTCTCTTTGTAGGAAGCTCCCTCGCAGTTCGCGGGGGCCACTGTCCGCCTCTCGGCCCCGTACTTCCCGCGCCTGTCCATCCTTCCACGCACACCTCCGTCAAGGCAGCAATAGCTTCTATCCAAGAGCGACTTGAAGAAGTTACTGCTCCATTCAATGAGTCCTCCCTAGCAATCGCCATCAAATCAACCTACGAAGATGACTACCTGCTCGAGTTCGCCAGCACGCCTCCAAAGGTAGACCTTCGTGGAGTCGATAAAGTAGACTCAGACACTGTATTCCGCCTAGCCAGTCTGTCAAAAGTCTTCCCTGTACTGGCCTTGTTGAAACTTCACAAGGTTGACTTTGACGATGTTGTTACGAAATACGTACCTGAACTTCGCGCATTGAAAAAAGAAGCTCGAAAGCAAGATGCTGTTTGGGCAGTTGACTGGGATCAAGTCACTATTGGGGCATTGGCGTCTCATATCGGCGGTATACCAGCTGACTGTAAGTATGCGCATAACTAAGAATTGAGATTGTGCTAATGTGTTAGTGGCAACTGATGTCGAGCCTTACGGAGACTGGACAAAACTTGGCTTTCCAACAGCTGACCCATCTAAAAGCCTCAACTGCTCTGGTATTTTAGGTATCCCAGAGTGCAGTAAAGCAGGTAAGTTTCTTATAACGTCGTAGTTGATGGGCGCTCATATATAGACTTCTTTGAACGGTTCGGCGAGAGGTCCCCTGTGTACGCACCCTACGCTGTGAACCCTGTTTACTCAAACGTAGGATTCGCTATAATGGGATGGATCATTGAGAAGGTCAGCGGTATGTCTTCTGGGGAGTTCATCAAGAAGGAGATCTGGGATCCTACTGGAATGGAGCATACATTCTACTCGAAGCCCGATGACTCATTGGGATTCATCCCCGTTGATGATGAGTGGTGGAACGCAACCCTTGGCTATGGTGATCCGTAAGTTTTTCCCAGATGTTCTTCATGAGAAGCACTGACAAATTTGGCCACCAGGGCTGGGGAATATTATTCTTCTATCAATGATATAATGGCTTTTGGAGACGCGATCCTCAAGAACAAACTTCTTGGTCCTGCTGAGACAAGAAAGTGGATGAAGCCTGCTACTAGTACATCATCAAGAGGTATTTTGCTAGGCGAGCCTTGGGAGATATTCCGCGCCGACAACGTCACCAAGGACAGCCGCCTCATTGAGTTTTACACCAAGGCCGGTGATATCACCACGTATCATTCGCTCATGGTGTTGATCCCGGACTACAACTTGACCATTACCCTTCTCAACGCTGGTCCTGAAGTCAGCGGCGGTCTTCTTCAAACTCTCTTTTCGGAAATCGCCAAAGAACTCCTCCCTGCTGTGGAAGAGGCCGGCAAGGATGAAGCTGCCAAGATCTACGGTGGTACATACACCGATGACAAAACCAACTCTACGCTTACCCTCTCAGTTGATGATGAGCCAGGTTTCCACATCACGAACTGGACAGTCAGAGGCATTGACATCGCAAGTACATACCTCAGCATCGGGCTACCACCAACCTTTCCTACACCTCTAGGGCAAGTCCGCTTCCGCTTATACCCAACTGGTCTCAAGAGCGATACTGAATCGTCATGGCGAATGATGTACACTGTTGGGTCAGAGAAGGATAATGAGGAAGCAAATGCGCTGTTTGCCTGGCCAGATGGGAACTGTAATACTTGGGCATCGTTGGATCGTATTGTGTACCAGCTTTTGTCTCATGATCATTTTGTGTTTACTGAATCTGGGAAGGGCCGTGATAGGACGGCTGAGAAACTTGAGCTTGTTGGCTACAGGGTTACAATGGATAAAGACAGCTAGTTATATCTGTATGACGGGACTAGCTGCTTGAATACGGTACGGAGGTTGCTGCGGACTTGAGCAACGTACTGAACTGTGAAAATTACTTGGAGCTAGAAATAAACAATCTGATCATTTCAGCACTAGAGAAAAAGATCATTTACCAGCAAGCTATGGTGAATAGATTTGCCCATAAAGCTGTAGGCAGCCAACACAGGCAATAGAAGAGTTGTCATGGAAGACTTTAGGTCTGCTTCTCATCTTGCCTTATAGTCCCCGCAAGGAAGAAACCACCTTGGTGAAGACCCGCTTGAGTTGTCGCAAATGGCCCTGTACTTGACCAGCGTACAGGCAACGTGAGGTTGGACACTAGTTTGTTGATCTCTGGCGCATCGTTCTTGTGATCAGATTCAAGTGAAGCCAGTGCCCATTGTGCGCTCCCAGATGCTACGCCGCTGAGTGCACCAAACGCAAGCAAGGCTGCGCCATCTGTCAAGACCGCAGCGATAACAATGGTGACAATACCCAGAGCCTGGAGTATATCCTGGATTATAGTGAAACTTTTAGACTGCTCAGTGTGATGGTTGTTGATAGATGGCTGTGTATTGGTGTAGGTGAGAGCCTGATGAGATGCGTCAAGACCAAAGGTCATCCAGCTTTGCGATTCGTTGAATGCCGTCACAGTCCCGAAGAATTCTTCAAGAACAATTGTCGAGGTTTTAGCGTGTGTCTTGATGACAGAATTCTGCACTGCGATCTGCAGATCTATCAGATAAGATTGATACACCTTTTTGGGATGGACAAACACTTTGCCCGCGGCCTCGAAGAAGCCTTGGAGCACCCCGGCAATCAACACTCCTACTCGAGACGGCCCCGCTGGTTCTTCTACAGGGATCTCAGGCAGTGCGACACGCTCGCCAGCATTCAGGGCCACCGTCAATTGACTTGTATCGACTTTCAGTGATTCAGCCTGGATGCCAAACTGCTGACGTGTCGCTGGCCCCAAAAAGTCCGTGATAAACATAGTTGGTGAAAGCATAAACGCTGCCTCGCATCCTGCAGGAATGAAAGAAGGATCAATCTGTGTGACTGACCCAGGTGTAGATTTTCCAGCAGTGTTGTATAATATGCCGAGATAGCTGTCTGCAAGCGAGCTTCCAGAGACATAGGTATACGCAACAACGGAAGGCTTACAAAATGCCCACTGGGTATCTGAGCCAACGCCAGGATCGAGCTCAACGCTAGCAAACACGTGGTTGAACTCTGAGAGGTTCCCATTGAGCCACGTAGTCAAAGCCTCGGTGATGAAAGCTTTATCAATCGCACTGGGTAACGGGTGACCATTGGCGTCCATGAGTGAAACAAGGGAGGTTGGTGGATTATTGGGATCAACAACGAGGTCATGACTCTTGTCCTTGCCATTAACAAACTTCAAAACGAGCTGTACCCTAGCCGCTAGGGGCCGGTAACTAAACTGCGCGATAGTTTGGCGATCTTTGGTGACGCTACCGCGGATGTGGGAGAGCGGAACATCGAACATGAGTATGTTCGCAGCGCCTCCAACAGTGATCTGCCAGGATCCAAATTCGGCCTGTACAGCCATCGTCTGCGTTGACAATTGCATCTTGGTAGGGGATCCACCTCCACGATGAATGGCGGCATTGATGAAAGGTACAGTGACCAAAGAAACAACATCCTATCCATTCATGTCCATGTTGTCTGCTGGTGGAATGAAAAGAAATGGACGTGAGAGTAGGGTTAAGAATGAGATCGTGAGCTGAACTGATTTGAAAGCAATGGAAGCCAGTGATTTCCGGACCTGTTCAGATGTCTCGAAAAGCGTGTTGGGGATCTGACCCTCCTTCAGTGCCTGTGTCAACACTATATAGTCTTGCAACTAATGTTAACAGGAAGTTGCTTTGTTGTATGAGGATATTGGCTGAGCCGGTCTAGACTGCTTATGAAAAGGGTTGGCCAACAGGCAGAACTGCCGAACGAACCGGCATGCATTATTCTGTCTTATCTTTCAGCTTTCCTGCAACTCCAAGACATTACATTGCAGTGCCCAGAGGATGATGCGAGGAATTGCAAACACCGCTGGGGCTTTACCCCAATCCAGGGCTCAACTAGGCAATGAGATGTATGTCTCACGAAAATGTTGGTTCTAGATCATCGCAGGTGGGAGTTGATCTTTTCAAGACCCCCGTCCACAAAAGGTCACCTGGGTTTCCTCGTCGTGAACAGTTGTCGCAGGGGGGCACTGGAAGCATGGTTAAGCGGATGCTTCCCGTCAAAACTGGAATCTTCAAAGGTATTATGAATACCTACGCTCTTGCTGGGAAGTATATTCTGATAGAACTCGCTCTGGAGTGGGTTCCGCAACCCAATCAGATCCAATTCTCCATTGACGACGATGTCTCGACGGTTGAAGCGGACCTGAACAACAACACTACAGTGACTAACGCTATTATTCGAGCCTTCGAAAACGGCAAAGTCACATTGTCTTCGTCAGCCACCATAGCACCTATCACCAAGGGGGTCACTTGGAAAATCACAGATCCATCGTCAGGCATGTCATTCTATGCCTACATCACCAACGTTGGCGGCGCGAACTCAATGATTTCCGTGTATCAATACGTCGTGCACCGTCTGATGGTTGCCACCAACCACCCCATCACCCCGGTGACAGTTATCTCTGCAGGTAACATTAGTGATAGGATCGATGGCCCGATCCTGAAGGAACTCATAGCAGAGAATATTGATCGAAACTTGAAGGAATTCAACTTCGTGTTCGCCACTGTCGATGTTGTGACCCAGCTCGTTGACACAGATGTCTGGGCATGGCTGCAGCCTACGAGCAACGGGTATGCTGTTGTCGAACCTCTTGAGAACCCGACCAACGACAACTGTACCTTTGCGATCCTGTCTATGGTGAACAACCGCCCAAACCCGAAAGCGACATTACAGGTGGATGTGAATGCTATTGCCAAGGACTGTGCTAGCAGTTTGCTCATATCTCCCTACATGTTTCTCAAATATATGCTGGCTCCAGGAGTTTCCGGCATTTTCCAAGGAAGCAGCAAAACCGACTTTACCATTGACGAGTCAAACTTATCGGTTACCAACAGCAGCAAACTTACATGGGCTAATGTTGAGCTGTAGAAAGGCAACACAGTCCAACTTTCTGTTGACGAGGGTCATTTTGCTACGACGATACAGAATGACCGTATAACTCTGTCATTCTCAAACCTCAACTATCCCATAACCATGCTGGGTTTGGAAGTTGGAAAGACCAACATTATATTCAACGGTCAGTTGAAGCTCAGTCTTCAGACGGGTACCAATGGCAACAAAACACTTTGGTTCGACGTTCCGGAGAACCAGGCAAACATCACCAATGTAAGCGCGGTCATGGACGACGCGTACTACACGGCGGAGATAATTATCGGCGCCATCACCATCGCCCTTTCAGTAATCTGGCTCGGCGGCGTCATCGGTAAGAGTATAGCGTCCAGAGCAGCAACCAGAACATTGAAGGAAGCTGGGGCAGTGGAAGCCACGGCCTCCGCTAGCGAGATCAGGCTTGCCTTCCAGGATATCCTTAAAAGCCCACCAGCCAAGCGAGCTTTCATTGGAGAGGCCGGCGCTGATGCTCTGGAGATGCTGAGCAAAGCTGTAATCAACGTCAAAAGAGCCAATATGTGGGCTTCGGTCGCGAAATGGAGTGGTACTTTGGCTGCACTTACTGGTCTTGCGGATGGAACGCTGATAACGCTTGGAGCTGTGCTTGAGCAGGCAGCCCAGCACAAATGGGAGACAACGCCAGCCTTTGGAGGTTTTGCCAATCGCACTATCGCTCCATACACGTTTGGCGGGTTGAAGACTTTCAAAGTCGAGACCGCTTCGCTTGCGGGGTCTCTGCAGATTGGTTTCAAAGCAGCGGCATAGATGATATGTGCTGATAGGACAAGATGCAATACAATAGTGTTGGTTTTGTTTTTAGACGTATTAGTATCTATTTAGTTTGAAAAATTTAACTTCAAGTCTACTTTCCTTTCAAATGCCAGAGGCAACAAGTGATGGTGGCGGGCGAATTCAAATCAAGAACTAGTGAGCTACAGCACACGCAGTAGCGACAAAGATCAACGTCCTTTACTCCACTCCCTTTGTATAATTTGAATTGTAGATTTAATTACATCGCGATATACCTTGTTCATGCCCTCTGAGTTTCCCGCACCCGTTGTCACTCTCTAAAGACAGCTTCCTTACGTTCCTCATCTCCATCAAGACGTCGGAAAGTCAACTTCGATAGGTGTAGCAGGCACCAGCGTAGCCAAAGACAAATGCGGCCAACTCAACCCGTTAAAGTTAAGGAAAACAGTCTGCGAGTACTGAATCTGCGTATAAGTCACAGGGATCGTCTTAGGACCCGTAACAGGTCCCGGAGGTGTGACAGAGAATGTCGGCAGCGGGGGAGGCGTCTTGCCCTGAACCTGCTTATAGCTTGGCTGCAGAAGAAGAGGCTTCCCAGGCGTGTAGTTCTGAACAGTAATCTCAGACTTGATCGTCTCGACCCAGAATGTAGAGTCCATCTGCACGGCGTTTGCGTTGGGGCCCTGGGAATTTGCTCCGACTAGGAAAGCGATGTTTGCTGTACCGCCGCCGGGGGTTGGAGCAGGCTGTGTGCTAACGGCGAAAGTGCTGGTTTGTGTGATGTTGAGCTGGCTATTTATGTCGAGAAGGATCTGGATTGGGTTGTCGAGAATAGCCTGGGTGATAGTTCCCTGCTGAATGAAGAGGCTAAGGTCTTGGGGCAGGCGTGCTGTGTTGTTAAGAGAGGCAGTCTGACTGGGCTTGATCTGGGCATCACCTTGGTTTCCAATGACGAAAGGGGTGATTGACCGTGGACCAATATCTGGCGCTCCCGAGGTCACGTTGGGGGGGTTACCCTGTGCATTGATGGTAGTTCCATGAGGAATAGAGCCAAGACGGACGAGCGTGTTTCCCTCCACGGGGTTATTCTTCGTCGGAGGAACGTTCAACCAGAAGCCAGTCTCAGTATGGATACCCGTCTTAGCGCCATCAGCTTTGCCAGTAGCTGTGTTGGTAACATCGTTGACAGTCTGGAGATATGTGACTCCATTGATGATAATGTCGTTCTGTTGCTCAAGACCACGATTGGGGACTCTTCCCAGAGGTTGAGAGAAGACAAGATCCTCTTGCGTCAGATTGAGCTCAAGGACTGAGACATTGGGAGGAGAAGGAGGGGCAGGGAGGACGGGATTGGTGAAAGTGGTCGTGGTGGGGGAGACAGAGTTTGGTCGGAAGATGGTGTTGAAGCCAGGTCCGGTCCAGGATCCGGTGAAGCTGTCCAAGATGCCCAGAGGAGGATCTGGCTCGTCTCTTGGAGGGGAGGGGGTAGGGTCGAAGTTGACTTCATCGTACTGGAAGCCTTTGGGGAGGTGAATACCAGCACGCGACGATTCCTTGGTAGGGGTCATTATGGTTGCTGTATAGCTTGTGGTGGTTTTTGAACGATTGGGTGTGTTTGGCTTTCTTGGTGAAGATAATAGAGTCGATTGAGTGGATTACTTACAGTTCTTATATTCACAGGCTGCAGTTAGACGTCAGTGCGCTTTGTTGGTCTATGAGTATCCAGATTAATATTAATACCTACCTAATATGCAATGAGTGCTCACATGCCTTCTGCAGCCGATCTATGGTACAACAGTACGAGATTGCCTTTGTGACTTACTGAATTCAGTAAAGCTCTTCATCCGTTGCCATATCACCCAGTGGCAATGTTCATATCACAAAGACACTTTCACTTCCAACGTGACGCGGCAGAAGCACGCTAACAGCTTTACATATCTCAACTCGAACGATCTACCAATATCTGCTCTCAGTGGCTGGCTGAAAACGTGCATCATTATTCCCCTCCCGTCCAGTGAGCATACCCGAATTGGAAAGCTGAACATCTATGGCTTACCAGCACACAACTTCCCCGCAAGGACTCCGAGACATCGCACAGCCACTCACGTATCAAGAATGAGGCGGAATTGACTTCTTGCACTTGTCACTGGCTACGGCCCGTCCCGGTGAGTCTAGACTGGTCGCATTTTGGTGCGCCTTACCATGTTGGTCTATCACATACCTGCAATGAAACGGGGACTCAGCCCGTGTTTGCTTTCAAATATTGGTGTTTTTATTGGCATGTGAGATGGGAGCTGAAAATAGTGGAATGTAAGTGTCCCGTGTGCGGTGCGTACATTCTGACTATTGAGCTGAGCGGTCTGCGTGAGCTGTGCGATATTTCACATGTTGAAGCGAGTCCCCTCACGAAGGTTCGGAGAACGGGTATAAAGAACACGCCTAATACCGCCTCTCTTCGCTTAACATTCTTCAGCACTTCATCACTTGTTCGCTTTTCTTCTACTATCATCAATGACTATCACCGTCAAAATGGAGCCATCTTTCCAAGGCAACCAATTCTTCCCCGGCACAGCTGCCTACAAGCGTGCCAACAACATCTACGCCACCTCCACCTACGGCGTAAGTCGCGACATGAACCCCTCCGAGATCCTTCAACCCGCAAGTATCGAGGACATTCAAGAGGTTGTCAAAGCCGCTGCCAAGATGGGCAAGCCCCTCGCCATCAGATCTGGTGGCCATCAATACAGCGGTGCATCTTCAACTGGCTCCCAGGGTATCCAGTTGGACTTGAAGCCTACCTTCCGACGCCCCAATGTTGATCTAAATATCTTGAGGGAAAATGGCAAGGTGTACCTTCGCTCGAGTGTCAGCTGGCAACTCACTGAGATCTTTGACTTTCTCAAGGATAATGGTGTTTTTATGCCGACTGGTCAGTGCTCTACCGTCTGTCTTGGTGGACACGTCCAGACCGGTGGTTATGGCATGCTTGCACGATCATTTGGTCTTCTTGGAGATTATGTCCGAGAGCTTGAGATCGTTAACTACAACGGTGATGTAGTCAAGGTCACAAAGGACACCCATCCAGACCTGTTTTACGGGTTTCTCGGAGGCAGTCCCGGCAACCTCGGCGTCCTGACGCACTTCAAGATTGAAGTCCAAGACGACAAGAATTATCAGGGTTCCAAGGGTCTATGAGTTGGCTTCGCCTACAAGGAGGAGACACTCAAGGCTCTCTTGGATATTCTCGTCCAGAAAGGAGAAGATGCCAAGCTCCCTCGGGGTTATGACTTTACTGTCAACATTGTCAGCAGACAAGCCAATCTGCTGGATCTTTTCCCTGGCTCTGAAGATGAGCTCAAGCAGAAGCTGCCAGACAATGTCCACGACGGGAAGGACAATATTGCTGATCTGCTTAAGTTCAAATATGCAATGATTGTCGTATACGCACAATGGGTCAATCTCAATGAGGAACTATATTCCCCCGATCTCTTCACCCAGATCAAGAATGTGCCTAATGAGTTCAAGATTGTCAAAGAAGCTCCCGAGGGTGCTCCAATGTCTGCTATCGCAGCCATGTGGTTGTTCGGAAGCCCACGCGAGTTTCCCTACCCCTACGACAAGCGCACCAACAGCACTACCTCAACCGAGCTCTCCAAGGCAGGCTGGCCATCTTGGTTCTCCGGCCGTATCAACGAGGTGATCAAAGACAAGCACAACGGTCTCTGGGTCTCATCCCAGCTTCAGGTCTACGGCGGCGAGCAATCCATGTTTCGCAGAAATGCAGGCAACGGTACAGCTTACTGCTTCCGAGATGCTACCTTTGGAGGAACCTGGGATGTGTTCTATCAGGGTACAAAGGAAGCAGCTGAGAAGTGGCAGGCAGTGAATGATGAGGGCAGAGCGAAGTACTTTAGCAAGGAGGATCGACGTGTTCTCTGGGGATCGTATGGTGATTGGAACATGAAGGATGTTTGGCAGTTCTACTACGATCCACAGACGTACAAGAAGATGCAGAAGATCAGGCAGACGTACGATCCCAAGGGGACTTTTACTGCGAACCCTTTCTGCGTGGAGGCTTTGAAGTAGGATAACATTTACAAAAGGCTTTAGCAATTTTCTGATAAGAACACTCATTGAGACACTTTTTCGTTTTAATTACTATTCAAGGTCCTCGGGAATGATTAACAAAAGGCCATGATTTTCATTATCGCAGCCAGATGTCATTGGCTTCAAAAAAGCAAAACCATCGCTCGGGCCAATTATCACCCGTCGTAATTTTGCGCCAATTTACTGAACCCCGCCTATCTTCACACTTGCTCAGCGCTCTTCTGGACATTCCAGCATCAACATGGCGCAAAACAATACTCGCCCGGAACCACCAGTAGTCGAAAGAGACGGCTTCTCGCTGACCAAAGGTAGCTTCTGCGCCAGCAATGGAAATGTCGAACAGGTCAGCGGCAGTCGATTGCACGAACTCTTTTGGCCAGAGTCTCTACGATTGAAAAGAGACCAGAAGAAAGCCAGTGAAGAAGCTCGAGAGCTATTTAAAAAGGCATTCTTTGCAGGACAGCTGAAACATTATGGGATCAGTTTTCATCCAAGGAATTCCAAAGTTGGAGAGTTGAAAGAGCTTTTGATAAATGCAGTTGCTCAAGGACATGTTAGTCTTGGTTTAATTCCTGCAGGGTTCTAGTGATCTAACGATTGCCAGTGTGATCATGTTCCGCAGTCAGTACTGTCTTTGAGACAGTCAATGGAACAAGTTCTGCAGCCTTTATATGAGAAGTGGGAGAAGGACGTCCATGAATGGGACACAAACGACAGGCGTAGAAGACTGGAGGAACTAAACAACTGCAAAACTCTCGGTGAGAAAGCGAGCTATAATTTAGATCTCTTTCTCGAACACTACTTCACCACAAATGGACAGCCTGATCAGCATAAAACACCAGAGCCATTGTCATTAGAAGGGTTTGATGACAAACTGCCTCTACACCTCAAGGCAGGAGAGATTCCTGGACTGTATACAAAGAGTGGAGGCTCTAAAGATAAGCGAACGCTTTGCATCGGTTAGAGTACAAATGCTGTGAGTGCACCGGCAGTGTCTATTAACACGCGCGCTCGTGAAGCAGAGAAGCGTGAAAGGGAGATGAAGTGGGCGAAAGCGATGGAAGCACACGAACAGTTCACATCAACTATCAAACCACCTCCACCAAGTCTAGGTCGCAAGGCAAGCCGCGCTTCGACCTTGAAAAATGTCAAGGGTCGTATATCATCAAGTGCGATTCTGTGACTGATGGCTGGGAGCATCTTAATTCTCACATACTAACCATGAACATCTTCCCTGGCAAAGGGAGTAGTTTGAGAGCCAATTATGATTTCAGGATCATTACTGGAGCTATGCTCTTGTATAATGACGAGGAGACCTTGGACGATCCCGTTGGCGACTCTGATGATGATTCAGGAACGGATGATAGTGCAGAGTCTGAAGATAAAAGAAGACACGAAGAGCGGCGGCAAGAGAAACTTGAAGAAAGACACGGAAAGAAAAACCAAATTCCGTCCTGCAAAGAAGAAAAGGATTCTGTCTTCGCTGTCCCGACGGGATTTTTATCGGTTGCGTGGCGAAGAAACTGGCGAAGGCGAGATTCTTTCCGACACAGAGGCTGGGGAGATCGATTTCCTGAACGACGACTGTACCAAGTTCTCTGGTTTGGCATGCGAACTCCCTTACGTAGGGAGTAGCATTTATCTCGATGGTTACAAGATTCCTAATGCACCCAAGGGATTCGTGAAGAATTGGAATGATTATTCTGGAGCGGCTTATGAGCGTGCGAGGATGGGACGGTTGCGATAAGGTACAGTTGGTCGTATTCTTAGAGGATAATGAGACTCATCGGTTTGAATCAGTTACTCATTAATTCACTAACATATTTAAACATTTTCTCATATCTTGACTCTAACAATGGAGAAAGCGCCCGCCATCTAGCCAGAGTAAGGCTTCCCCTTCTTAAGAGTCTCAAGAACCGCAACACTAAGGTTAGGAAGCTTAAAGTTGAAAGCACCCTTTCCATCAGCCTTAAGAACAGTCTTCTTAGTATCAACAACATTGTTACCCTTGTGAGGATCATTAAACGCAAAAGGGTCCTTCTCCTTGTTAGTCAAAAGCGTAAGCTCGGCTTGAGCACCAGGCTTGACACCCTTGAAGGACAGAGAAACAGGAACGTCAGCGCCCTTGGTGGTGTTGTACGCAGCACCCTTCCAGATAAGAGTACCCTTGTCCTCGTTCTTGCCAGCAACGTAGTAAAGAGGGTCGAAGTCGGCGGTGGCGGGGAGAGTATGGGTCATGGGGTGTCCGGCGAAGAGGGACCAGACGTACCAGCTGGTAGAGCGGGTAGTCATGGCGGAATCGGCGGCGAATTGGATCATGGTGATGGCCCACTGCCAGCGGTTCTCGTTCTTGAGGATAGGAGCGTAGAAAGTTCCGGGGATGCGATCGGCATTGCGCTCATAGCTGCAGAGAGCGACGGCCTCGCCGACACCAGAGATCCACCAGGGGTAAGGCATCAAATTACCACTCCAGCCAGTTCCACCGTTGGGGTGAGTAGAAGCGACCTCACCAATGATATGACCATACTTGTTGTTATCAAACAGGTCAAACTCTTCAACAAGAGCATCAGGCTCACGGTAAGGATGATAATCACCGATTCCAGGAGCAGGAATGTCGAAACCAGCATCCTCCTTATTGCCGACGGGGTCGATAGAAGCACCAGAGGAGATAACGGTGAGATCAGGATGAGCCTTCTTAATAGCATCAAGGAACATGGGGAAACGGTACTCCTTGTAAGAGTTCCAGCCGGTGGGATAACCAGCGAGCCAATCCTCGTTTCCGATCTCAACGTAGGAGAGTCTGAAAGGCTTGGGGTGACCAAGCTCAGCACGCTTCTTGCCCCACTTGGAAGTGACGGGACCTCGAATAAATTCGATCTCGTCGAGGGCGTCGTCGATGAGAGGCTGAAGTTGGTCCTTGGGGGTGACGGAGCCATCCAGAGAAAGACCAGCGTAGACACCGACAACTGTAGATCGTTAGCAGCAGCTCAATCAATAGTAAGTGTGTATGGAACCTACTGATTTCAAGGTTCATATCCTCAGCCCACTGAAGGTACTCCAAGATTCCGAGACCGTGGGTCTGCTGATAGCTCCAGACACCCTCGAAGCCAGGACGGTTGCGGAGAGGTCCAAGGGTATCCTTCCAGTCCCACCAGGTCTTGTTGGTGTTACCCTCGAGCATGTTGCCACCAGGGAAGCGCAGCAGGCTCTTTTCGAAATGTCAGCGATAACTCAACTGTGGACATGAGCTGGTGAAGCTTACTGGGTGGAGACCTTCGAGAGCCTCAGCAATGTCAACTCGAAGACCGTTCTTGCGGCCCTTGTAGGTAGGAGGGAACAAGCTGATGAGGTTGAAGTCAAGAGCTCCATCAGCGCCCTAATAAATGTCAGCATAAGTCACGTCTCGCTTTTGATAGTATTCTCACCTTGGGGTCATAGGTAATAGCAAAAGTGTTGTTGCTGTTAGGAGCATCCTTCTTAGGCGTAAGCACAAACTCATGCTCAACCCACTCCTTCTTGTTAGCCTTTGACTTGACCTTGACGCTGCCAAAGACATCATCAGTGAGGTTGGATCGCAGAGAAGCAGTAAAATGGCCCCTGTAAGCACCCTTGACCCAGAAAGAGCCAGTGTACTTCTGCTTCTTGACATCCATTCCCCAGTAACCCTCGTTGAGGAAACCAATCTCCTTTGACTTGCTCTTTCCAGGCTTGACGTTCATAGAAACGGGGAGAGCGTCGGAAAGAGGGTCATCGAGACGGTTGAGGGAGAGCTTAGCATCGTTGATGGATCTCCAGCCAGACAAAGAAACAGGGTATTTCTTGCTGTACTGGAAAGCTCGGTTGCGGATGAGTTCAGCGTAGATACCGCCATCACCAGAATTGTTAATATCCTAATTAACCAAGGTTAGTACCCCAATCATCATCAATTGTGAAATGAGACCAACCTCGTGAAGGAAGCCATATTGGTGACCGCTAGTAGCGTTTCCGCCCTTGCTGTCCACCTTGATGTTGACAGACTCAACAGCCACGAAGCAAGCCGCAGCCGCAAGGATTGAACTGAAGCGAACCATGATGTCAAGTGTCGACCTTGCCTTGCAGATGGGTGAGATTCAGAAACTGCGACGCTGCTACGGTCTTATATAGGTATCCTTCGATTCAGGCACAAACCTGCACAATTCAACCGGCATAACCAACCCCATTCCGTTCCTGCAGGAGACAAGCGGTCCAATAATCAGCAAGATAAGCTTCTCCGCACTTTGACGATCGTATCATGGTCACTGCCGAGAAAGTCATTGACACCTTCAACTTTACCCGAACGCGGGGGGACGATCGTAAAAAAACGGTTAAATTCTGGGGGATCATGACGTTTAAGAAAATCTGTCGATCATGGCTTGTTTTCGAGTTGGGGAAAAAGCTCCAATTGAACAGGGGGTTGAGGGGAAGTGGGAAATGATTCGTGCGCATGGTAGAGCTCGTGTGGACCTGAGTCGTATTTTGTCGTGATCTTCATGATTACTCGGTGTAGCTCACCAAAACAAGCTTAGTTTTTCCGATTGACAATTTCTTCCAATTCATCCACGAATTAACGCGATATTTTACAAGGGGCCAAGGGATGTTCACATGAGAGACCGGATAAATGTCACTTGGCTAGTGATTAACAAATCTTTACAGAACAAATCCATATCATGTCATGTCATAATCATACTAGCATTCTGCTTCTATCGCTATTTCGTAAACAATTGCTTCATTTTCCCCAATTACTCTTCTCCTTGCTCCAAGTGATCAGCCTTCTCCTTGCTTGCGAGGAATTGCTGAGGAGTGTTGCGAGGTCGCGTCTTTGCAAACTTGACTGTCGAGAACACAGATGGCGATTCCTTGAAGATGAGCTCGATCTCTTCGAGGTTGCGACCCATGGTTTCAGGGAAGAACAAGAAGACCGAGATGGGAACGCATGCGGCGATGACAGCATACACGATGTAGTATTGCCAGCCAATACTCTCGAGAGCGACGGGGGTGACCATGACGACGATGAAGTTCCTACTGATGTTAATATTGGTGGCATTAGGAATGAGGTGGGAAAACATACCAAAGCCAGTGGTTACCGGTCGAGATGGAAGACATGGCCATTCGAAGGCGAATGGGAGCAACCTCGGTACAGTACAAGAAGTTGGCGCCGAGGAAACCGATGGGAACAAAAGTGTTGTAAAGGTAAATGAAGCAACCAGCAGCAATCATGGCAGGCTTGTTCTCGCTGCCGAAAGACGTGGTGATGGCGAGAGCAATCATGCAGGCTGACATGCCAACACCACTGATCATGAAAACGGCTCGGCGACCGAAACGATCGATGGTGAAGAAGGCGAGGAAAGAAGCGAGGAACTTCCAAGTGAGAGCTCCTCCGGTGAGAACCTTGGCTGTCTCGGCGCTCATACCAAGGTTCTTCTGGAAGAGAACGTTGGCGTAGACGCTGACGAGGTTGGAACCACTCATCTGCTGGTAGAACTGGAGGAGGATGCAGAGGATGAAGCGGTACAGGAGCTTATCCTCACCCATCTTGAGCATATCGCCAAGACGAGCAGCGTTATCGGAGGTCTCTTCGAGGGAGTGCTCAATGCCAGCAACTTCAGCGAGAACCTCTGTCGAATCGATGGGAAGACCTCGAAGGGCAGCGACGGCGTGACGAGCCTCCTCAGATCGATTCTTGAGGACGAGCCATCGAGGGCTCTCGGGGAAGAAATAAATGCTAGCCATGAGGATGAGAGAAAAGGCAATGGCGATCGCGATCGGGGGTCTCCAGGTAACAGGTCCATGGTGAAACTCGAAGAAACCAAGGTTGATCCATGACTCGAGGACGTAACCAAGACAGATGAAAAGACCAGTCAACACAACCTGACGACCACGGTTCACGGCCGCCGACGTCTCACTCTGCCAGACAGGGACAATAGAACTGAGCTGCCCAATTCCAAGACCAATGATGACTCGTCCAACAATGAACTGCGCAAGCCCAAAAGACGAAGCCTCAAGGATCTCTCCAATCAAGGAGCAAATAGCAGCAACAAAGATGACATTTCTTCGTCCAAACTTATCACCCGTATACGAGCAACTCAACGAGCCAATCAGCGCACCAATAACAAACGTCGCAACCACAAAGCCCTGAAGAGTAGATTTCGAACTCTTATCAGCACCGGTAGAGTTAACGGTGTCGATTTCGGGGAAAGTCTTGACCCAATCTTCCTCTGATAGGAGACCGCCAATACCAGCTTGGTTGTAACCGAAGAGGACGAAGGAGGGAGCGACGATGGCGGCGATTTGAAGAATGGCGAGGGACTTGCCGCTCACGCCCATGTATGTTGGCACGCTCATCTTGTCTAAAGTTGGAGACAAGTTGGAGAAAAGGCCTGGGTTGGAGATTGGGATTGGAGTAATGAGACAGGTTCGTCTCTAGGTTTTATACTAATCTCATCAGCGGGACTAGAGACTCCAGATTTCTGCGGAGCCCCATGGAGAAGCAGGAGACAAGAAACCCCTCGTATGTGGGGATAAGATTTAGTTGATCCAAGCTTCAATTGTAACAGTGAGAAAAAAAAACCATGAGATTATTTTCTTACCCACGACATCTCTCTCACGGGAGGTTTGGGGTTATCGGATAATACGGCACGGTCTCTTTTCGGAGGTGCCATGTCGATTGTGGATATCGGGTCTCGCGATATGGGTCCCCTCGCTCCGCAGTCGTCATAGTCGCGAGTCAGAAAATGCAAAATCTCTCAGTGATAACGTCTCGGAGTAACTGTAATAGGAATTCCTTATCGCCAAGCTTGAGGCTCTTGGGGGGAATGCATGCACGGCATTGGATGACAGCGGGTCCGGTAGAGGCTTGCTACCCCTGGTCACGAACGGCAAAAACGGCACTTCAAGAAGCTAGTATCATCGCTGCCTACACTGTTTATTGAGGTGTTTACGGGAAATTGCGGAGTCTGGTGGTATCATTTCATTGCCTAGACCTTTTTCATCGCTACTGTTAAAGTAGTTAAGCTTCAAATAGTCTTCGGAGTACAGATGTGAAAGATGCAGGCCGGAAAGCTTACTCGCGACGTTCCCGGACTTGGGCGATTCGAATCATTCTAGAAAATTTCTAGGGGAGAAGCACTGTCGATCTCTGTTCCGTGGCGCTCTCGGCCGATCCGTTGTCCGGTATTTGAGAGCTTATGTAAGACCAACGAATGACGTCTTTTGATCATGGAATTGAATCAGTAAACCATCTGATTCAGCACGTTACTATTGTTGGTGTAATAGAGAATATGTAATATTGACGAGAGAGATATCGGGGAACTTGATATCTCTGGCCAATAAAGAACAACCCATTTATAAAATTGTGGAAAGACCCTTTGTTCATCTTACCTCCACGGGGAATCTCAAACTAAATCCTCCGTTATGGGTATTCCAATCTACCCCATAGTATAATCACTTGCTCAACAAAAAATCTCTTAATGCTTCACTGATCCACTGCGGTGAGATGGCTCCAGTTTAGACGGCTCGGGTATAACTTGGAAATCTGGAGCCTCATAACAGCCCCCCACGGTCCACTTGGATGCTCAACGTTACATATGCTGAATAAAAACAACGGGCAATCGCCTCATTACTTTATAAGAACGGCGCCTGCCAGGGAAATAGGTCCGGTTTTGCTTATGAGATGTGATGAGCTTGGACCTTTGAATGTGACCGCAAGATTCGTGTATCATATATCGCTTCAAAACGGGCAACAACCCACATCACGAAGGCGATGGCTGGGAACAGATGTGGTGTTTTGTGCGACCGAGAATATCGCCTATACATATCCGAGTCGCTGCACTGATAACAGCGTCGACTTTGCATGAATTGAGGATGTTCTTCGGTGACATTTACGGATGCGAACAGTACGATGAAAATGGAGTTCGGACATTAACGTGATATCTCCGCGAGTTAATGAATTGGCCCGAGAATATTGGAGAGTGATGTGAATTAAAGTCGGAGACGTGGAAAAAGTCAAACTGAGGCTGTCGTGATAATCAATGATGTTTTGCAATATTGCTGAACCAACTTGTAAATATCTTCTAAATGCGGGGACCGAAGGAGCATGAGAGATCTGAGTTTATGGTTGCGAATAAGCATAGATCATCTTGATTAAACCCCAGATAGACCCCTCAAAGCATCTCAAAGTCCCAAGACAAGACAAGACTGATTGAGATGAGCTGGAACATGCCATCTGCTAGCATCTCCTACCCTGAAGCATATCCCAGCCAGCAAAAAGTCGTGCCTTATCGTTATCGATTGCTTATCAATATAGTGGCTGCGATGTGGCGCTTACTTGTGTGCCAAGCCACAATGGAACTAACCGATTGCTTGCCTGGCCAGATCATGTCAACACGCCACTAAAAAAACCGTAACAAAGGTATCTGAAGTCGACGATGATCGGCGTATTTATATTAAAGAGAGGGCGAATAGCAAGAGGAAAGTGGGAATTATAAGAGAGGTTTGAAAGACTCGAAAGATTGACGGTGCAGAGTAACCGGCATCCGCGGACCTTTGCAGCAATGGCCGGTTCCGTCTGGGGCATTACGAAGTACATAGATAAATTCCTATGGCACAGGTACTCATCAGTATATGATACAGCAGCACCGAACCAGAGTAATTTTGATTGATTTCGATCGCGGTCAATAAGATGAAGCAGCAGAAAGGCCTATAATCTATATGCACTGTTCGCCGCAATGATACGATGTTAGCGAGACAACAATTTAAGGCTCGACATGCTCAGTAGCTGGTACAAGGAAAAGAAGTTAACGATGCCCCGCGGGTAGCGAAGCTCGGGTCCCCGCGGGCTTCCCCAGTTCCCCAGAACGAGCAGAACGGCCTCAATCTCTTCCAATTGGAATAGTCAATCCCATAAACCACTGGAATTTCTGGCTCTCGTTTCATCACTTTGTATCTTGGGGCATGATACCGCGGCATATTGTTAAAGTTTGCGGGGTAGCATTGTAGCGTACCCGAGCTTTGCCCATCGTATGCCAGCGCTGAAGATCATTCAACCTCTTTCAATTAATTATATAAACTCGGATCCTCGGTACTGTACAGGAAGCTCGATCGTTCTTCTTTCCCCGAATTCTTCACTTCAAAAACACTTGTCAAGATGCCTTCCATATCAGCCTCAGCAGTCTCACTTATCATAAAATACTTCCACCAGGAAAAGTCCATCCTGGACAACGAAGAGAAAGTGCATCAACTCATTCAAAGCAAACACCTTCGACCCCAAGATCATCGTCCCCCAAAGAATCTCGGCTCAAACATCACCATTACTCGCGTCGATGTACATGAATGGCCTTTATATAAAATATCCACAAAGAATTCTCAGAATAAGAATCAACAGCGCAAAGCTCTTCTTTACCTCCACGGCGGTTCTTTCTTTGAGGAAATATTCGCTCAACATTGGCAACTCGCTGCTGAGATCGCTCGCGAAACGGATCTCGATGTGTTGATACCGATTTATCCACTTCTTCCAAGGCCAGTGGCTACAGCGCAAAAGCTCATGGATGGGTTTGTTGACATTTGCCGATTATCGAAGCAACCCGTTGTGAGCATAGCGGGTGATTCGGCAGGCGGTACGCTCGCTCTATCAACAACTCTTCACCTACGAGACACACAACCCGAACTATTCGCAAAACTGCGCTCATTGATTCTGATATCGCCTCTTCTCGACTGTGCAGTCGATCATCCTGAGGCACTACGTCTAGCCGAGATTGATTTCTGGCTCGGTTTAACTAGTCTACGCATCGCAGGAAAGATGTTTGCAGCAGATTTACCGATCAAACATCCCCTCGTTAGTCCACTGTACGGAAATATAGATAATATTCCGCCGGTGCTTATGTTTGGTGGTCCGAAAGATTCGCTCTGTGCTGATGCTAGACGGTTGAAGTCCAAGTTGCTAGGGAAAGGCGTGGATGAGGCTCCGGCGGGGAGTGTAGAGACGGATCGGCTTGTGTATGTTGAGAAGGAGGGTATGCTCCATGTTTGGCCTTTGCTCCCGCATAGTGAAGGCGCTGAGGGGCGAAGGATGATTGCTTCTTTTATTAACAAGCATTTCGAGCGATAGATATCTACTGAAGGTTGGTAAAGATCTTCAAATGCCAAGCTTCCCAACCGACTTCACAAATCACATCCGAAAGGTCCTTTTGGCAGCAGCCCCATAAGCCTCAAGGTTTGTCAGCCGTCGTTCGTAAGCATCTAATGTCTGAACCAATCAGATCTTACCGAAAATTCCGAACCCACCAATTTTTAAGCATCTCAATCTCGTTCACCAATCCTACAGGATCGTCAGCGAATAGTTGTAGTGGTCAAGACCCACCTCCCCAAAGGAGCACCCGGAGCTTGAAAACCATAGGGCTGGGGTTATGTCATCGCCTGCAATGTTATCATGCAGTGAGATGATATATTGGCTTCGGTATAAAGAGGCGATGATGAGACTCATACTTGCTTCATAACTTGTTCTATCCGTTACTGATTTACACTTCCAAGATGCGCTTCTTTCAACTTGCCCTCGCCTCATTGGCTTCCGTCGTGGCAGCTACTTCATCCTTTGACACTTGGGCTCACGGACGAGTGGCCCTGCAAGACGTTAGCATTCACTTCCGCTACGCAGGATCAGGACCCCCTCTTCTCCTAGTACACGGAAATCCCCAGCACAGTCTTACGTGGCAATTCATCGGCCCTATTCTTGCTCAGAACTACACTGTTATTGCACCTGATAACCGAGGCGCTGGTGACTCAAGCATTCCTCCCGATGGGAACTACACTGCCGCTGCATCTGCAGATGACCTCAAAGGCGTGCTGGACTTCCTGAATATCACTTCTGCGTATGTGTTTGCGCATGATAAAGGTGTCGGAGTGGCAACTGCACTAGCCATCAAGTATCCAGATCTTGTCAAGAGACTTGCTCTGGCTGAGTATGTTCTTCCCGGCTTCACCTACGAACAATCCTCAAACCCAGCGCCATTCTGGGATCTGTATCAGAACTGGCAGTTGGCTTTCTTCCAAGTCCCCGATTTGGCCGAGTTTCTCATGTCAGGCAAAGAAAAGCAATTCTTGCAGTGGTATTTCTACCATGGGAGTTACTCCGGCGTTGAGAGCTTTAGCGAAGAAACAGTCAACAGATACACGAGCAGTATCTCGAAGCCAGGGTTTTTGAGAGCTATGCTTGGTCCGTTCTCAAGTTCGACTGTTTATCAGGATGGGAACTTCTTTAAGGCTGCGCTGAACGATAGTCGTTTGAGCGTGCCACTGCTTGGAATGGGTGGTGAGGCAAGCCTAGGATTGAAGTCAGTTCTGCAACAAACGTTTGAGCCAGTTTCATCTGATCTTGAAATTGATGTCATTCCAAAGGCTGGACACTGGGTTGGTGAGTTTTCCGAGACCTTGATGAAGTATCTAGCTAATTGTTGAGTAGCGGATGAGAACCCTAGATGGACTGCGAAAAGAGTCGCCAGGTTTTTTGGTGAAGATGACGATAGCCTGTCACAGGTTGACTTGGGTTACTTGGATGATTTGGTTACACTGGATGTCGGGTTTTACGGTACCAGGAGGAACTTTGCGCTGGGTACTCAGTAAGCGATCTGGAGGCTTTTGACATAGCCATTGGAAAGACTGGAGCATGTATGGTTTGGATTATGTATGGGAGAATAAATGGATCTCTGTCGTACATCAGAATGGAATGAATGCTTTAATAAAAGTCTGATAGACAGGTTACTCTCTTCATCATGGAGGTTCATCACAGAATCGCAGTCGACATAAATACGTAGTATGTAAATACTCTCCAAATAGATACAATGAATGTTGCACCTGGCAACTCCTACACTCAAACTCATATATGATCCATCATGACTATCCCGAAGCTCACTTCTTCACAGCGCATCCAATGCGCTTAGAGTCGATAGCAATGTCGTCAAACCAGAAAGTGTTGACAGCACCGCTATAAGACTCCCAACCAAAGTAAACACCCTGAACCTTGGGCTTAGGCTTGCTCCTCGCCCAACCGTTGGCAAACGAGCTGGGAGACTCAGGCTTGTAGACAAGACCCTGTACAGGGTTGTCATTGAGCCAAGTGGCGATGGTACCATCGGGGGAGAGATGGTACTCGAGGCACTGCCAGGTGTTGGCGGGGATGTTCTTGGAGGCAGCGATGCCCTGGGGAGAAAGGTCGGGAAGAGTGGCATCGTCGGATTCGTGGTTGTACATCATGATCTTGCTCTGACCGCCGATGCGGAGATGCTTGCCCTTGCCTTGAGCGGCGTCAGGCATAGTGATGAAAGTGACGTGAGAGTCATCAAAAGCCTTGGCAGTCTTCCTATAATTGGAACAGTAATTAGTAGCTATTCTCTTGGCATGTTCAGCCTCAAACTTACATCCAAGTTCGGACGTAGACATGACCCTCGGGAACAGCATCAGTTCCAAAGAACTTGTGTCCACAAAAACCATTGGGCCCACCAGTGACCTTGATAGAGTTCTTTCCACTATGCCCAGTAGTCTTATCAAGCTCGACGCTGCCGCCCTGATCACAATCAGGCGCATAAGTCGGCCAAGCGACCTTATCCCAACCACTCTCGAAATCCTCAGCGACCTGGCCGAGGGCGAGAGGCAGCACGGAAAGTGCAGCAAGAGCAACTTGACGAAGCATGATGAAATGGAGAAAATATACGAGAAATGAATATAGACTGAAAGAAGTGAAGTAAAGTGAGGATGAAGCCAAGGTGCCAAGAATGAGGGACGATGCGAGATCTATATATGAGCTGACCATTGATGGGCGATATTAGGGACTGAAGCCTGAAACAGGGCGGTTCTCTCGCTTGTGCTGTTATTGGCCGTGCAAGGATGTTGCGGTTAGTTCGGAATCGAAAGCCCGCAATTTCCTTGTCGGGCCATGAGGTGAAACCTGAGACGAGCATAACGGGAATTCTTCCGTGGAAGGGGTGTGAAACAATATATTTATCCGTCTTTTGACTGGATGATTTTCCTCGTACTTGAGGGGTTAATTGGTATTATACATATTTGATCATATCGGTTCATGCATTTTTCGGATCAAGATGACCGTCTATCCGATAATATGTAGCATGGCAAGTGGATTATTGTAGTATATAGAACATCACTGCTGGACTAGGTCTGACTGGTAATTCGGATCACACCGTAAAATGCTCAAAGTGGAAAACGAAGTGTTCTGTTCGGAAGTTACTTTGCTCTATTCACTACCGACAAATGCCTAATGCCTAAATACAAGCCTGACTATAGAAACGTCCGCCAGGTTGTAGCTTACCTAAACACAAAGAACAAACACATTCCAACTTACCTTACCCCATACATCGAACAGCGCCAAACAGCCCAAACGGGTGCATTTCTTTGGCATCATACATATGAATAATGCCTCTAAGAGCACTAGGTAACATGATCCCGGTTGATGAAATCTTTATTACCATCATAGTAGTCAACTGTGCAATGATCGCGCCTGTCACTTCGGCTGGTATGGTAGCCATTGACAACGGTGGCGTACACGGCTCCGGGAGGAGCCTTTGCGACTACGGCATTGGCGATACCGGTTTTTCTAGATGGGTTTTTTTTGTACATGCTGTCTGGATCGAATGTAACGTTGGTGACGTCCATTTTTGGCGAGAACGGTTACTTACCTTTTGGTCGGATTTGAGTAGACGGGCGATGGATGTGAAGCGTTCTGATGTTCCAAATCGGAGAGATTAAGTACAGAGATGTCCTGCAGAAGGCATTTTACGAGTACCATCTTCCATTATTATATACAACAATCAGAAGGTCGAAGCGAGCAGTGATGTTGTTTCAAGTGAACAACTCAGTTGTTCTTTAAATGTATTTGAGTATAAAGGATTTCGATTTATCAGTAACAGGTAGAGCCTGAACATGGCATACAGTATTCTTTGTCTGGACTTGCGAACTGTACTGTCCTTTCACCGCTCCAGAGGGTTCCTTTGATGGGAGGAAGAACAGTGTTGGTACAACAAAGCCCAGTTGCGATAGCAATCATGTTCGACTTTAAGTTGAGCCGTGCGAAGACTAGCGGAACTTGCTGACAGATTTAGCAACCAAGGACAAAGACTTGATCATGGCTATTTTCGTCGCACGGATCGGGACCATCTCTCACTTGGATCAATTGATTCATGGTGGAAAATGCGGATAAGGCGGTGAGCTGCTCAGAGTGGAAACCAATAACTTCCTATTGCCTTTACTTTCCTCTCTAGCTATTAACCAAAAAACACCCAAACACCTGAATATCCAAGGACCCAAGGACCCAATGACACAAGCACCGAAACGCCAAGCACTAACCGAAAAGATTAATCGAACTCCTGCCCATACCATAATCCAATAAGCCCATCCTGACTCTACCAGATCAATGTACTCTAAATATTTGGCTCATCGTGTGGCTAATTGGTTCTATAAACATGCTTACGCTCAAGAAACTCGCGCTCATCGTTTTCGTAGTCCACGGTACAGTGTTCCTTCACGTCACTGTCACTGTCGTGCCAGCCAACCTCGACGAATGCGAAAACAGCTTCAGCAGGAGCTTGTTCTACCGTAAATCTGGCTATTTCGGCTCTTTTGGCATGGCCGACTCGCTTGTTCTTTGCCTTACCCAAATACATATTATTCTTAAATTTAACATTGGCAGCGTCCATGTTGACGGCGACGTTGGTGATTGTGTTAAGATTGATTGTAGGCGTATAAGGTTGAATGCGTAAAAAAGCTTCAAGTCATAACAAAAAGGTGGACCGCGATTTTGGTATTTGAGTCGAGCTGAATAAATCAGAGTTGGTGGAATTTGGTGTTTGTGGGTGGTACACAACAGAGACTGAATGTCATAGGAATGGGGAATTGGGAATGTTGGAATGAATTGGTTAGAATAGGTATCTGAGGATTCATTTATAGGCGTGAAAACAAATGAGTAAATCATTGGGATACTGTTCTCGGTGAACCGTGGACTCATCTGGTTGTTCATTGTTCCTGTGCATGTTCAACGACATATGTGTGGGGTGAGATCGCTTCTAGCGCAGGTAGTGAAAGAGAACACTTATCATCGAAATATGTATCAGACTGAACTGAGAACAGGACATGTTGTTCTTCCTTGAAGTGGGCGATCAATTCATTGTACACACATTACTGTCTCTTCAAAGCCCAAAAGTGCTGGCAAGGTAACTAGTGCCATGGCGATGCTACGACTGAGAGGCCAACCGACCTCCATGTTCTGGTTTAAAGCGGGAGCAAATGTTAGAGCGGAAAAAAAGGCCACTCGCAATCACATGCAGCTCACAACTTGGAGCGAATTCTTTCAACTTGAAACGGATCTTGGCTGTCACATATGGGCCCCGCATGGCCAAGACAAAGAGTGTTTGCTGTCGAGGCCTATTGTCATGGCGCGGATCATGGCCTGTGATCCCATCCAGCATGATAGCTAATAATATAATGAAGTGGCTTCGGCGTACCCGATCGAGTTTACTTGCCCCTTTGTCGCAGCTTCGGCTCTTCATTATCCGAGTCTGGCTGAGACATGAGGCCCCAGACTGGGTTTATCGTGATGCAATCCCTTGATTTTGTGGCATTAGCCTCTACACTAACACACCGTTGGTAGGGCGAAAGTGGGTTGCAACTAACTAACAATACGATGAGCACTCTGTTGAGCCATTCCAGGTCAGGAAACGGCCATCCTCTTTATTCTATTTTGGCAGTATGAAGCTAATCATTCTCCCGGGTTGCTGTTGCCTCCGTACAAGACCAACAATGCTTCTGATATTCATTGTCTGTGATGAATTTTAGAAAGTTATAAACCCTTCGCTTCCACTCCTAAAGTATCCAAAATACTCTTCAGAACACCGTTTGCATTCTCTCAAGACACGTCACCATGGCAGATATAAGCGACTCTCCTCCACCAACCCCGACACGTTTCTCATACAGGTTCAAGAATCGGAGTTCGCCTTGTGAATTTGCTGACGCATACTATCCCGGGGGTCTCCATCCAGTTCATCTGGATGATTTCTTCAATGATGGCCAGTACAAGATCATTCGGAAACTTGGGGAAGGGTCATTCTCCACTGTCTGGCTTGCTCATGACTTGAAGTTAGTTGATCTCCCAAACCACGTCAACCGTTCACTCACTGACACTGTGAATAGGAACTCTCGGTATGTAGCCCTGAAGATACTTGTCTCAGACAAAGAGAAACAATCCCGAGAATTGCAGATTTTGCACTATCTCGCCAAAGTCGCTCCTGTTGAATCGGCACATTACATCACGCAACTTCTCGACGAGTTTGAGCACAAAGGTCCCAACGGCACACACAAATGCCTTGTTTTTGAGGCCATGGGCCCATCCTTCTGTCAAATGCTTCTGGACCCTCCGGGTAGAAGCAGGACAAGGCATGACAAGATGCAGTATCCGCTTCAGACCGCAAAGCACATCCTTAGGGACGTCTTGAAAGGTTTGAGCTTTCTTCATAAGAACGGCATTTCTCATGGAGACTTCCAACCAGGAAACGCCCTTTTCCCACTAAACCAAATTGATTCCTACGATGAAGCAGCCCTTCGCCAACCCCCGGAAAAATGCAAAGGTCGTTCTAAAGTCCTAGTTGTGAGAAAAGACGGCAAGGAAGACAAATGGGCACCTCAGTATCTGTATGCCGCAGAGCCGTTGTCTAACTACACAGGCCTTGATGCGACCTTCAAGATTCTCGATGAGAACCTCGAAGTAAAGCTATCAGATATGGGTGGCGGTAAGTACATTCCCCCTTGTATGAATTTTGACTAACAATTAGTAGCATACTTCTTTAACGACCCGCCGAAGAAACCTGTCGTCCCTATCGGTCTTCGAGCTCCTGAGCTAGTCCTGAAGGGTGAACTTCACAAGACTCAGGATATATGGAGCTTCGGATGTATTCTTTTCGAATTGATCACTGGAAGACCTCTTTTCTATATATTTGGTCCATTCAAAGACGAGACCGAACCAGACGACGAACATCTTCTTGAGGTTGTAGACAGGCTTGGCCCACTACCCGATGAGCTTTACAGCCACTGGAAGACTTCCTCGCGCTACTACACCAAGGACAGAAAACTATACAATTGGGCGCTTGGTGGTGTCGAAGAAGGTGAAGAGCCGAATATGCCGGAACCGTCTCTACAATCTACTATGGAGGAAGCCTTCGACAAGGAGAGCCCAGAGATGACCGACGAAGAGGCGGAGGAGGTCAAGAAACTCATTCGATGGATTCTTCAGTATAATCCTGCCAAGAGACCCTCGGCTGAAGAGATCCTATGCCATCCATGGTTTGCGAAAGATTCAAGTGAGAAGGCAGAGTAAGGTAGATGCTGGTGGTATTTGATGGGAAAGATGTGCCAAGGAAAGGCAAATGGGAATGACTGGTATGGATCTTAGATAATAACGTTCGCGCAGTAGGTAGATGAAATTATTGATTTGTGTTTTGGTTCGTTAACTACATGACTATACACGTTAATATAACTTTAGCCCCTGTGAAGCACTTTGGCATTCTAGTTCTTTGGCTTCTTGAAAGCATCCTTGGTAAGCTTAACAACGAAAGCGCCACGCTCAATAGTGTTGATGAAGATGTATCCCGACTTGAAGTAAGCATAAGAAGACCAAGTCCCAACAAAAGCAACAGTGCCACCGCCGGGGAGAGCATCATCCTCGGGGTAGATATCGAACCAGGCGGCTTCGTAAACACCCGCACCGGTAGGATCTTGAGGAATGGAGCGGCCGTCGAGGACTCGCAGACCAGCGCCGTAGTGAGACTGGTAGATGTAGTTGTCGATGACGTACTGGTTGTGATCGATGGACTTGGTTGGGTGCTTGAAGAGACCAGTCTGCTTGGGCTTCTCAAGATCACGGATGTCCCAAATGAAAGTAACGGGGTAACCATCAGCACCAGGACCGTTACCATCACGTTCATCGAGTTCGTCGTCCATGACAAGAAACTCTTGGTTCTGGGTGTCGAGAACCCAGCCTTGATGAGTGTAAGACGCACCCTCGTAAGAGATCTTGGAGATGATGTTGGTGACATTAGCCTTGTCGGTGACATCGTAGATAGTCAAAGTATCCTCATTATATCCGTAGCAGATATCACGACCCTGGTAACGCTTATCAGGACCACGGTAAACAAGACACTGCGCATCGTGAACATAACCATCACCCTTGGCGCATCCAAGAGACTCTGGGTTCGAAGGATCAGTAAGATCAAAGAAGTTAAGTCCAGAGAGACAGTTGGAGTCATTGCGCGGCTGAGCACCAACAGCAACACCGTACTTCAACTCCTCATTGACAACAACATTGTGAGCTCGACCAACAGGCAGCAGAGCAGAAAAGTGGCTGGTGAGATCCTTCTTTGCGTCAAAGACAACAGGACGCTTGGGGTTGATCTTGAGAAGCTTCTTCATGTCGAAGATCTGAATACCATGGCCGACGGCTTCGGATCCGATGATAACGTAGTTCTTGTACGTGCGGATCTCGCGCCATTGAGAGGGAAGAGAGTACTCGGGCAGACGACCAAGATAAAGGAGCTGTCCCTTCTTGGTGATCTCTGCGAAAGCAGTGCCGTCGTACTGACCGATAGCGACAAACTCACGTCCGTTATCGGAAGTCCATCCCCAAGAGGAAGAGCCTCGACCGCCCGTGCTACCAAGCGCAGCATGACTCAAGAACGAGTAAAGATCAGCCTAGAGACTCGTTAACCAGTGTAACCAATCGTTCCACGGGTGGTATACTAACGTTGTGGCAGGCAAAGGTGTTGTTGGCATCACCCTTGATAGCCTCTGCGTAACCCTTGACACACTTGGTGTAGCCGAGCTTGGGATACTGCTCACTGGCAAAAGCACCAGCGGCCTCTTGCTTCGCCCAGACAGCCTGCTTGCTGGCCATGAGCTTGTTGTGCATCTCGCCCGAGTCGTACAGCCTAGCGGCCTTCTCCTCGTTCATCTTGATCTCCTTGGCGGTGACATAGGAGCTAACAGCGGCGAGAGCGCCGAAGAGGAGAGTGGACTTGACCATCATGAAAGATTGAGGATGATAGTTGGGGATGGAGAGTGAGGGGTTCAACGAGGAGAGGTGTCTTTTTATGTGTGAATGGCGGTATGTGTATCTGAGAATGCAGTGTTGGAATCTTTGTAGATCACGTATACCGGCATTCCTACCATAAGCGATCACAGCCGAAAGGTCCATGCACATTCGCGCCTTGAGATCTCCCCAATACCAATCATCGCTCGCCCAGCGTCGCACTGAACCATTATCTCAACTTGGCGATAGTGACGGAATTTCTTGTCTACCGGAAATACCCCAGATCTGGAAGGTGTCTATCGCACACCCGCTTTGTTATCAGAACTTATGATCAACTACACTGCAACATCAAGGTTCCCCATTGCAACCTAAGAAAACACCAATGTCTTACAAAAGTTCTAATAGCCCGCATTTCATTGGCCAAACGGTATATCTTTCGCAATCCTTGGCGTCTTGTGTACCAATCCTAGTTCGGCAGGTAAGTTAAGCTTATTGGATAGACTTCTTTTCTCGGACATAGAGCCGATGGTGCTTTTTTAATCTTATCGTGAAGTTTAAAGACGCAATGTGACCTTGGAGGGGCTTGGCGGGGGTTGATTGGAGGAATTGTTATGGAGACTAATAGGGGATTAATGCCGATCACAGATTCAAGCTTGTCTTTTTCCTCCGCGGTTATCTATGCTTAAGTCATGGCTTTTTTCAATATTTAAAGTGCTGAGTTTTAGAGCCAAGTTATTGCATCAGAGCACGTGAGACACCCCTGACGATCTCTATCTACGAGATAATAATCTAGTAAATATACCTGAGCCCTGATTGTTCAAAGTCCACCCACTTGTGGCCATGCATAGCCCAACTTCTCGTACTTGATGGTGGTGTCATTCATTGTGTCACCATGACCTAACTTAACCTCGATTCCGCCCAAACATCTTGCCCATGTATTCATGCTACTAAATGTACTTGGCCACCTTTACAGTTTTGCCGTCTTTCATGGCCGAATGGTATCCTGCGATACCCGGTGCTGGGCGCCCTTCAAGAACACTGGTTACCAATTCATGTACGACATGAAACTTCCTTGCACAAATGAAAGATGGGTCCTGCCCTCGAAACAGCCGACATGGTGAAGCGACCAAGATTAGGAGGAGGCAAATCACTCCGGTCTGATGGCTTGACTGCTTTGTGCTCAATACCCTGCTGACGATAATTACCAGGGGTGGCAAAGAGAAGTTGAGTGGCTTCTGTTGCCGATCTGCTGCTACCTAAAGTCCCAATTATCGTAAATAACTTGCTATAGGAGTATACAGTTTTGAAAAATCCCCGGGTGACCTCCACCGCAACTGGGCTGTCGTCTAGGCGAATATTAGCAGTCTCGACGGGGGAGGTGTTATGTTGGGCTTGATGGGATAGCGGAAGTTTTCCAGACCCAAAACGTGGCCTTTATCGATTTGACTCTCTAGGAGGCATAGGGTTGGAAAGATAGCATGAGTCATGTAGTGAAGAGGAGGCAATGTATTTCAGTCTTCGGGCCAGTTTTCCATGTCTTTATATATGGCCACCACGGGGGAATGAGATGGACCTAAGTCGCGACGTTGGCAACGATCTTGTACCATGGGGTATTCTCGCGTGTCGATTGCAGCCCCCATTATCATGTACGTATTCGCTCTTTTTGTGCTGCAATTATAGCTTCTTGGTTTTCGATTGAGGTCGCCAAAGGCAGTGTGCAGGCGCAATGCTTGACAAGGAGGAGACCTAATATAATGGCTGGTGATCATGGGAAGTCATGAGAAGAGTCTTGAAGGCCATCTAAGATGACATCTCAATCCGAGTTGATTGAATTGTAGGGCAATGACCTGAGAGATAAGAGTGTCATGCTTGAACACGCTTGACCCGCCGCTTTGTCTTTCAGCACAAGACACCTCACAGTGGAAATAAGGAGTTACATTGAGAGAGAGTTTAAGAGTCTATTCCATATACTGGAGTTCGATCTACAAATCGCTCAACTAGCTATCAAAGAAAAAGTCCAAGCGTTTGTTGCCTTGGTCGCTAGTATTGTTCAGATAGTTCGCCTTTTCGTGCGCAGTCATACTATCCCACTTGGCCCTCTTAGACTTATTCCGATAGGTATAATACCCTTTGGCAAAAGCATATGCAAAGATGGTTCCCACGGTAATACCAATCAAGTTCTTGTTTCCACGATGATAGAGCGGCTTATCATCCTCACGATAAATGTTGGACGACGCAATACCTGACAACTGGATGGTGATGTTATACAAAGCCGCACTAATGGCTCGGGTTCGGACTGAGCCGGACAGTCTGGAGCACCAACCAACCTGAGCTGCATGGACGGAGGGTTGGCCGATAATCAGGAATGCCACAGCGTACTGGGCCCAATGCGATAAACTCTGGACCGAGGTATATTCGACAATGAGCAATGGAAGGACCCAGAGTTGGGTGAGTAGACCAAACAGCGCGATTTGGTGGAACTTCTCGGTAAGAAAGGTGATCCAGAGCATGTTGATGGCAGCAAAGACCGTAGCAGGGATCGCCAAAAGTGTAGTGTTGAACGTGCTAAAGCCCAGAGCTCGAAGCGACAATGTAAGGTAAGTTTTAGGAGGTGCGGTAGGAATCTCGAACAGTATGCCAATAGCATACACAGGCCAAAGGTCATAATCTTTGAGACTCTTCCAAAGCATCCCCAACGTGATCGGTTCACGGTTATGCATACCACTCTTGGACGGATCATCGCGAAGGACACGATTGACAATGATCTTCTCCTCGCGCTCGGTAAAGTAGCCCGAGGGATTCCACCACGTCTTGGTCTGCGTAGGTCCAGGAACAAGGAAGAGAAAACTGAAAACGCCAACTACCAGACTAATCAAAGCTTCCAAGAGGAACAGCCAACGCCAGCCTTCTCTACCAGCGACACCGCGCATGTGGAGGATGCCGTATGCCATGAAGGAGGCAACGACACCAGACATGGAGTCGACGAACCAGAAGAGGGCAAGACGTATAGGCATCTCGGTCTTTTTATAGAAATAAGAGAGATAGAGGATCGAGTCTGGGATAAAACCGCCCATAAACAAGCCTATGAAGAAACGGCATGCAAAGAAACCTGCACGGTTGTGCATGAAGAATTGTCCGCCCGACGCTAAACTCCAGAGGATGATCTGAACAGGGATCCAGCGATCAGGGCCAAGACGCTTGCCGATCATTTGCGAAGGAAGTTCGGCAATGAGAAATCCAATGCGGTACATGTTCTGCGCATTGTTGAAGTCGTTGGTATTGAGTTTAAGATCGTCAAGTAGGTTATCAGCCGCAGCGTTGCCAAGATTACCGCGATCGATATTAAGACCAAAGAACATGACGAGGATCCACACAAAGATCTTCAAGTCGGTCTTACGTCGGACAGCGTATTCTTCGCGATAAGTCCATCGTTCGCTTGGGTCGAAGCGATGGACGTTCTCATACTCTGGCGGCGGCTGATAGAACTGTGCCAGGTGGGGATCGTCAAAGACACTTCGCTCGGTGGCGATGGCGTCGAGGTCGGCGGGTTTGTTGCGACGGGTGAGGGCTTCCCAGATGCCGATATTTCTGCTGGTATCTTGGGGTTCTACCAGATCAGTCGGTTCATCCTTGGGAGAGTTGATCTCAAAGGATGGTGCTTTGGCGTCGATGTCTTGATTTGAGACTTGGACAATATGACTAGGATGAGTCATTGCGGGCAGTGGAGGGCCAAATGTCTCCGAAAGTATTTGAGAGTTGAGAACTTGTAGAAACGATGCTGGTGATTCTATATCTCCAAGAGCGACAGTTATCCCTCTTATAAGTAGATACCTTTAGGATAGTTCAACAACGCGACTTACACCCTGCGCAAAGGTCATCTTCAACGTGCTGGTGCGTGCAGATGGTGTGACCAGCCGAGGCCCCAGTTTCAGAGATAACCATCAATTCAAGCCTACTACCTTGTGCGACTCGGCACCGATGATCCGAGAAGCCATCACGACATTATGGGGATAAATGGGGATTGACTAGCTACCCCCAACACCCATTACCGTATGCGGGATGCCACCCCGGAGCTATGTACCGGCCCTCTCACTAAAGAGAATGTATATATACAAATGATGGGGGTTTTATTGGGGGTGCATACGGTTAGTCGGGCTGACAAGCGATAGGCCGTGGAGGTGCGATTACCAAGACTTTTCTGGGTGAATGAGCCAATGTGCATGGGACGATGACAAGCGTCCCTTGGATGCATTCTTTTGCTACCCTCGATTTCTTTGCACTCTGTTACTCGTGTGCCTAGTAGATAGAGTAATAGTGATATAGTGGTATTGAATGGTGCAAGTTCTATACACCAAAAGCTTCCTTGGACGCGAGAGACGAGGGGATAAGACTGTGCTTTAGAGGTTTACTGCTATGTTAGAAGTAAACCAGAACCTTGCGACGGCTACTCACTATAGCATCCACCGTTATATACATCAAAGCAAGAATAATTCATTATTTGTAGCACTAAAAATATACTGCATCAATCTCTTGTTCCCGCAATACCAAATGGCAGATTCTTGTACTTTGCAACATCCCCCTTTGTCTCAGGATGTTCAACATCAAGATCCCATTTATCCGGAACTTCCAAACCAGCATCAAGATGATGCTTATTCAACAGCACCGAGATTCCATCACGGTAAAGCCAAGGGTCATTCGTCCTCCGCTGCCAATCCTCAAGTCTATCCCTCAACTCTTCCAAAACATCTTTGTAACTAGCGTCTTTAGCTAGATTCACAACTTCTTGCGGGTCATGCTCCAAGTCATACAGCTCTTCAGGCGGGCGGAAGAAATAATCTTTCAGGTTCCTCTGCCCAATTTTCTTGGGGCTGTCCTCTGAGTTGCGAATATCATCCCACGTCAACGATCCATAGATGTCGTTTGCAAATGGAAAGTCGAGTCTCCATGCGATGTTGCGATGGTACTTGTATCGCCGCGTTCGGATGAAGCGAGTAGGCCAGTAGTTGGTAGACTCGTGGAACGTGTGGGATCCAAACACATGGTCCCATGCATCAAGACCCTCTTCTTGGTCAAGAATTCCAAGAAACGAGCGACCCGATAGTTGCTTCTTGGGCTCTTCAGCAGCTTGACCAAGTGTCCAGTCCAGTATCGTTGGCAGAATGTCCACATATGATACTAGGTTTGTGTTGACGGAAGCTTTGAAGCCTGGCTGTCGCACAATAAGCGGCAGCTGAACGCCCGCGTCGTACAAAGTTGTCTTTGAGTTCATAAACGGAGGTCCGTTGTCGCTCATGAAGATGACCATTGTATTCGATGCAAGGCCCTCGTTCTCAAGCTCGTCGAGGATGAAACCAATTCCCTGGTCTAAACGACTGATGGCTTCTAGATATTCTGCAAGCTCTTGTCTGGCCCCAGGAGTGTTGGACAAGAATTCGGGAACAACCATATCTTGAGGGTTGTACTTGACGCTTTGTATACGCTCATCCACAGGTTCGTCATTGCCAAAGCCACCACGGGTTCGATCACGATGGGGATCATGATATCCAACGGTCAACACAAAAGGTCTCCCATCTTCCTTAGACGCACTGAAGAATTCCTTGGCCTTTTGCGAAGACCACCAGACGTCCCTTGTCAAACTCTCGGCTTTCCATTCCCATGGATAAACAGCCTCAGGCCCAACATGAACCTTGCCGATAATCCCAGTTCTCACACCTTTCTTAGCTAGGATAGCAGGACCGGACTCGATGTGATCAAAGGTCATGAAATGATGCTTTCCACTGTTGAGACCATACTGCCCGTTCTGGTGGGTATGCAGCCCGGTGTAGATGGTAGAGCGACTTCCACTGCATGAAGCAGTACTTGCAAAGGCTTTGTCAAATCTGACACCTTGGGAAGCAAGTTTGTCGATATTTGGAGTTTTGGCATTGGGATGACCGTAACAGCCTAGTTGTTTGCCTAGGTCGTCTGCAACAAGCAGGAGGACATTCTTTGCCGTCATATCGAAGAGAGTATTAGATGGATATCTGAGCGTACGTTTGTGATGATACAATGGAAGTAAGAATTGAATGAGACTGAGATGCGTAGCTCGTCTTACTCAGGGTTTGGGCGCGGATGTACATGTCAGGGTCAGGGTTGGCGATTGCGTGACGAACGAGACTATGTCGCCATGCAGCAAGGAATATATATCTCGGCATCCCACGCAACCATAGAGTAGATGATATGTATCCGACGTCAAAACTGTGCCGAATATCCGTGCTTATCATTCTCACATCGCAAAACTACTCAGAATTCAGCCTCAATCATGTCGATCAAGTGTGTAAACAACCTAGTGCACATCTGTCAGATTGGCTCATCCACAATATCACAAAAAGCGCACCAATAAGGAGAACCCTAGCGATTATGACATCCGCGCTATTTCTGGATATAGCATGGGTTTTAAACGGCCGAAGTGTAGGGATTCGGGTCCGACTCTCAGGCGCCCCCAAGGGATGGGTCTTGACTAGAATGATTTACTCAATGTACTGGTACATACAAGGCATTTCTAGCTGTCTAATACTCGAAGAATGAAATCCCACGGTAACTACGAAAGGGTCTAGTCTCAGATAGGCGCCAAGGTCCGTGATGGTATCAGAACTGCCCACGATTGAACGCTGCTAGATGCATCGGTCAGAGTCCACTCACTGTCTAGATATCCCTTGTCCTGTAAGTCCGACCGGAACATCGGCAACCTTGGTCTGATTCTAAGGGGACACAGGTAAGATGAAGGCCATATGTCGTGCTCATGATGAATGTTAGCAACAGTTAGTGATAGCTCCTGAATCTGCGGGTATGGCTATTGACCTGAGAATGAATAATTACATTGTGTGTCTTTGGGCGGGTATATATTTCAGACTATATTCTGATTCAGAGTAGATGAAACTCAACATCCAAAAATTCCTCCAAGATGAAATTGTTTCTCGTCACGGGCTTATTCTCAGCCTTCTTAGCAACCGCTCAACTCACCGGTCCCGTCGGCCCAACCACAGCCCTCTCACAAAAAACCCACGAATGCAATATTCTCGACTACGGAGCTGTGAACGACAACTCAACTGATGCGGCAGACGCCATCGAGAAAGCTTTCAAGACCTGCGTCGTCCCTCACGCTGGAAGTCGTCTGGTAGTCCCTGATGGAAAGTACTTGATCAAACGCTCAGTCGTTCTGACAAACGGTACAAACTGGGCGTTCCAGCTCGATGGGCTCATCACTTTGGCCTATGGTGGTAACTGGACTGTTGATCGTAAGTTGGTTTTGCAGGGCTTTGCGGGAGTTGAGCTGCTGAACGCAACTATCAATGGTGAAGGTGATGGGCAATTCTTGCAGAATGGACTCACCATTATAAATCGTACGTATATCGTCCAGTAGTCCATTATTGCGTAGCCTAATCAAGTTACTAGCCGTCGACTTTGAGTTCTATTCGCAGAATGGAAAGGGTGCCATTCAGGGACAAGGCTATATCTATAGAAACCTGGCAAAGTAAGTCTCCCCTTTGGATATAATTTTGCGAAACGCTTATCTCCAATTTAGTACTTTCCGTCCCCGTCTTGTTAGACTCATTTCACCCATCAACACTTCTGTTCACGACCTTATTCTCGTTGACAGCCCAAAGTTTCACATTGTTTTTGACTTTGCTGAGAACCTCGAGGTATATCATCTCACCATCCGAGGGGCCAACTTGGGTTCTTATGATGGGGTTGATGTTGTTGGCACGAATTATTGGGTCCACGATATCGAGGTAAGAAACGTTTTAGATAAACCCATGGTGCATGTACTTAAGATTCCAGGTAACCAACCGAGACGAATGTGTATCGGTCAAAAGCCCTTCCAACCATGCTCTTATCGAGAACTTGGTTTGTAACCAAGCCGGTTCTGGTATCTCGATTGGCAGTCTTAACGTGTCAGCGTCTATCGCCAATATCGTAAGCAACCTCTACCTACAAGAGATGATGGGCCTGATTCGTTTGTTCTAGCATGCGCGAAACATCAATATCATCCAGGGAAACAACATTGCTTTCATCAAGACTTACCCAGGAGGCTCTGGTCACGTCACCAATATTACATTTGAGAACTTCCGATCCAAGGCATCCCTTTACGGCCTGGATATCAATCAGTATTGGCAGAACACATTTGAACCTGACACAGGAGCCGTAGCTTTGAGCAACCTTGTCTTCAAGAACTTCTCCGGTATGCGTACACAGGATAAGCAAACTCCAAAGACTAACTATCGCATTCCAGGATCTGTCGCCGATGGTGCCAAGCGACCTCCTCTCTTTCTGGTCGCCAATGACCTATCATTCGCCACCAACGTCACAATCCAAGACTTCAGCCTCTGGACTGAATCTGGAACATCAGTTGTCAATAAGATTAGCAACATCTTTGGCCATGGTGACGATTCTTATGGAGAGGCGAATGGTATCAAATCGCTTTCCTCTGGGCAGTCACCCACGCCTTACACCAGCACCTACACTGTTACCGCTACACCCACTGGCTGGACCGCTCCACCACTCCCAACGTGGGCTGCTGCAAGCACTGGTTATGGAAGTAAGTCATTTGATGGGTTTTATATTTACATGAGCTAACTCTTGTTCTAGCTGATATACCTATTCCGGTTTACACGCCAGCTGCTCTATGGAAGCCGGAGGGTGACTATGATAAGCATTACTGGGGCTCTTTTTGAGGCGGTTTCATCGTCAGCGATATCTGACACTCGACCTCCAATACAACAAGCCCAGTGATGGAAAGAGTCATCTCGAGATGTGAGTGATCATTCATCCATCGTCTTTGAATGCGAAGGCATCTACTCCAACTTGAAGCAATATTAAAAGTGGATACGGTCTTGGTAAGGTGGGCTCGAAGTGGTAGAATAAATAGTAACTCTTATACTAAATTAGATCAAATCAACCTAAAAGGCCTCTATCTGCGAGATAATAGTCTAGTAAATATACCTAAATCCTGATCGTTGAGGTCCCGTAGCTCCAGCCATGTCGACCTTTCCATCTTCATTAGCCACGGCATTCGCCTCAGTCTCTGCCTTATCCAACTTCTTGTTCTCCCATTTATGAACATATCGCAATAAAAGAGCAAGAAGAGCGACGATAACACATATAGCGGCATTGGCACTTCCACCTGGTGTGTATTGAGGACCGTCTTTGCTGGGATACATGTATGATCCGTAGATGCTGGCTGTGTTGCCGATCATGTTGCAGATGGCGATGACGGCTGATCGTTTGACAAGAGGACGAGGGAAAGAGTTTGCGACCCATGATACGATGATTTGATCTACGTAATGTCAGTTCCGAGATAAAATTAACAACTGGAATGATGGAAACTTACAAGAAGCGACAGAACCCATTGGCATGAGAAACATGGCAAAGAATCTAGCTCCAACGACTGTAGTCGCAGCTGCAATTGCGTTTCCAATGGCAGCTACGAGCATTAGACAAATAATATGCAGCGATCTATCATTCGTCTTGGCAGAGCTCAACGTGACGCAGACCGAAAGAAGAAAAGTTGCAAACTACCAACATCATCAGCAACATCACCACAATCAATGATATCATCTTTAACTTACCCAAGCAGGTGCAGTAAGCCACAGAGTGACAATCTTTCCATAACCAAGTGTTCCGACAATAGTTGGGAAGAAATATTGGAAGGTCTGGGAAATCAAGCTGACGTGCTGGAGAAGCACGAATAGGTATAGACGATAATCGCGAACGGCTAACTTGACGCCGTCCCAAATTGTCTTTTCGCCGTAGGCATCGACTTCGCTGATGTCTTGGGCTAAGCGCCATGCTGCGAATGCGCGCTCTTCTTGGGTCAACCACTTTGTTGTGTGAGGGTAATTGGGCAGAGCGACAGCGGCGACGAAGGAGAATCCGATAGCGGCAACGCCCTCCTATTTGCTTGTCAGCCTTGTCACTACGTTGATGTCAAGATCAAACTCACGATGATAAAAAGCCATCTCCAACCGGCAATGCCATGTGCTCCTTCAAGATCACCCAATATCGCCGCCCCAAGAACACCTCCAAACATATTCGCCAGCGCATTTCCAGAATAAAGCCAAGCAATGCGCCGAGTAAGCTCCGCTCTCGTATACCATGAACTCATCAGAAACACCGCCCCAGGAAAAAACGGCGCTTCAACAAAACCAAGAAAGAATCGAATGACGATTAAATGACTGAAGTTATCAGCGGCAGAATTACAAGTCGACACCACTCCCCAAAGACAACACGAAGCGCTAAGATACAGCGATGGCCGAAGGCGCGTCAGAATAAGATTGGAGGGGAGTTGCATAAGTAAATATCCCACGAAGAAAATTGACGTGGCCAGGTTGAAATCTGTACCAGACATTCCGAGATCTTCTTCGAGAGAACCTTGTCTAGCTTGTGCGAGGTTCGAACGGTCGAGAAAGTTGAGGAGATACATGATGACGAGAGTAGGCATTAATCGCATATCGACTTTGCGGAGTAATTTCTTGTCGAAGTCTTTTCGCCATTCTTCGGTTTGGTTGTTGAAGTTCCATGACTCGAGGTTTTGCTCTCGACCGGCAGTGGTATCGCCTTCGTCCATTTGGACGGATGCTTTACCTGTGTCCATGGTTCTGTTACAAGATATGTGTACTAAGTGGCGAACAAACGAGCTTCACTACTTCAATGGGAGAATAGTGAGAACCTGGGAGACGAGAAGACCAAGAATTCAGCTCCGATGACGGTATATAAAGCTCTGTTAAACGAGAAAAGAGCAAACCCCGGCACAAGTCTCGGCAAAGAAATAGACCGAATCTCCATCATTATTGGCAACAATTCAACAGAGATCAGCAAAAAATGTAACATCACCATGCCCGATAAACAGTTTGACCAACGAGAAACAAGACGATTGCCTCAAGTCGGTAGATCTTCCCCCGCAATTGACAAGACTACCCCGCAGCTGAGTCGGGTTGATTCTGGGGTAAAATGGAAACCAGCAAGGTCTATGACTCGGGGAACACCAGTGGTGTCATGATGACCCGCTGACTTGTGGGGAGGACGTTGGTTTTCGTATGTGCTGTTTGATGGGTATTATACTGATTGGGTTGGTGAAGATGTGAGGGTGGTATTAGGCTGCAGTTACAGGGACATCACATCATGGAGTTGACTGCAATGGTCAGTGCATGTTCTGCTACGTGGATACTCAGATTCAGTAAGAATCACATCTTGTCGAAGCGAGGCAGATGTTGAGATCCAGATCGGACAGGGAAACATCAAGCCGGTCAATACTATGACCTGGCAGCTAGTATAAGTATACCGGTACGGAGTATTAACTCTCGCTATACCCGACAGAGCTTCGCCCTTTCACCTTGCATAGGATAGAAGGTAGCTCTCGGAGCCAGAATTGGTCATCGAGACAGTCTCAACAAAAAGCCGGAGTACTTTTGCGATGTAACATCCGAGATTTCCTATCTTGAAACGCGAATTAGGGTTCAAATGCAACGGTAAACGATGCAGGTATTTCCGTTCAACCAATCAGGTGCATTGTCACTATTAGGCAAAATGGACGTGGTGATCGGCAATGCGGAGAGAAAGCCATGTGAGCGGAGATGCATCCCGACTACGCACTGATGAATGATGGGTTTTACTGAGAGGTAATATCAGCCGATGTGATGTGCAGATAGAGAAGGGGAATGTAAACGCAAAGGTCGGATCAAGCATTTTCACTCCGAAATTGAGTAATTGTGAGTCCAGACTCTATGGGTATCATCTGCTTTGGCTATGGTACCTATATATGAATCGTTTTGAACCATCAGCTCCATTGGCTTGCGAATAAGAAATACGACCTTTTGGCGTCCTAACCATGGGCATGATTTCTTTCTTTTAGACAGCCATGTATTCACTGAGCCATAGCTCTACTAATAACAGACCAGGTGTAACTCCATTGTGACGGTAGTTCACTGTTTAGAACGGAATTACTCTATTGGGTATGCTTAACTCAAACGGCGATAAGCTAAGTTCGCAGCTTGGATCATACCCTATTACTTGCACTAACGTTGATGGCTGGTGATGTCACGGGATGGAGAAGCCTAAACTGTTGACAAATCCAATCGAGAAGTTAGATAAGAAACCCAAGGCCGCTCCTACGCTAAGATGAAAGTGGTCAATTGATTGCAATATTTATTTTTTGTTAACATTCGAGGTCATCTCTGCTGGATTGAAGCATAGCCTCAGCGAGTTGGTGGGGTGATTAATGCTCAATCGTTCACTAAATCTAACCAATGCCGAGGATGAGCAAGGGTCATTGAACTCTATTTCGCAGACTCGATTAAGTTATGATCAATGCGACTCTGTTTGAATAACGCTGGACAATTTATATTGACTTCAAACCGAGTTGATGCGATATTACTATGACCAGTCAAAACAAAAAATCTGTTTGTTTTTACCCGCAAGGCTTACCTACGTCTTGAAATACCTAATGCAGTGACACCGATTATTCTTTCACATTTCCTCTAACTCTCCCCAAGATCAGGCACAATACTAAGATCAAAGCGGTTTATTAGACTAGAAATTCTCTAGTATAGATCAATAGTCGAAGAAACCAAGTCGTCGACAGGCAAGATAACCTATGACCAAAAAGGATAGTTCAAGCGACTTCCCCGCAAACTCAAGGATTGTGACAAGGGGGCTTGATAACATGGTCACGATCGTTTGCCCTGGTTTATGCAAAATTACGAACAAGCCTATCATCAAGCATAATCCAATCTGTCTTGCGTATCTAGATCAATTGTGGAAACAGGAGCCGGGTCTAGAAGACGAATTGACGTCGCTTATCAATTTGACACATGAAAACTAAAGGCTAGGACTTGGGCTTGGGGGAGCTGATAGGTAGCATAAGTATATAAACAGGTCCAGTTGTCGTTGGAAAACAATCAGATACCATTAAAGCTGTTCATACTCTTCATATTCTCTCTCTTCCAACTCAATGAAGACTGGAGGTCCAATCTCTAGCCTGCTTCTGGTAGTAGCTCTTCTGCTATCACCAGGATCAGCTGCTTCCAAGAAGTCAAACAGCAAAACCGCCATCGCAGACACCGTCTTTCACAATGGCTCAATTTATTCCCTTGATCTTCTTTCAACAAAGTACACTGCCCTCGCCGTCAAAGATGGATATATCACCTTCCTAGGCAATGAAGAAAGCATCCAGTCATATATCGCAAAGAACACTTCGGTCTTCAATCTTGAAGGTCGTATGATGATGCCCGGCCTAGTGGATGCTCATATGCATCCCCTTAGTGGTGGAGCTAATCTACTGAAGTGTAACATGAACTTTCAACCATTGGGTCTTAATAAAGTCCTGGAGAAGATTCAGAGCTGCCTTGATGACGATAAGGATAAGGGTGATAAAGATTGGCTTGAGGTCATTTCTCTTGACTACTATGCCTTGGTTGACGATACTGGTGGCGTCACGAAGAAGGACCTTGATAAGCTGAAGACAAAGAGACCTATTCTGGTCACGTCAGCCGATTCACACACGTTCTGGGTCAACTCAGCTGCTTTGAAGGTATCCTCCCTCACAGCCAAGACCAAAGACCCACAAAACGGTAAATTTGAACGGCTTCCCGGAAGTCAAGAACTTTCGGGAATTCTGCAAGATTCCGCGACAAGCTTATTAGCAGGCCCAGCCCCCCCAACAGCCGAGGACAATATTCGATCTGCCAGAGCAGCCTTGAAGCTCCTCCGCGAAGAAGGAGTCACAAGCTTCCAAGAAGCTGCGTCCAGCGAAGACACAGGCCTTGCATTCGCTGCCATCAAGAAAGAGGAAGGTTTAAGTGCCCGTGGCTTTTTCGACTATCTTGTTCAACCACCTAACAACACTGAGGGGATTGACGATCTAGTCAAGGACGTGGTCAATGTTACTTCAACGTGGAACGATAAGAAAGAGTTGAGCCCCAGTCCCTCTATGAAGTGGCACGCCGTCAAGATGTTTATGGACGGCGTTCTGTTATACCCCGCCAATACCGGATCCCTCATCGAGCCATACTTTCAACCCGTGGCTAACACCTCCATGTGGGCACCCAAGTCAGACTTCGGACCAAAGACGTACTGGGACAAGGAACTCCTCAGCCTCACCCTAACGAAGTTGTTCAAGAACAATATCGACGCTCAGATTCATGTTGATGGAGATCTAGCTGTCCGAACAGCCCTCGATGCACTTGAGGAACTCCGTAACAAGAACCCCAAACTTCGTGATTACCGTGTCGGATTCGCTCATAATGAAGTAACTGACCCGTCAGATTGGCCTCGCTTTGCTGAACTTAAGGCCGATCCTATCATGAGTTTTCAATGGTCACAGGCCAGTTCAGTCTGGCTTCCAAATGGCGTCAAGAGCATGGGACCAAGACGTTCGCACTACATGGAGGCTTTTGGAGAGCTTGCCAAGTTTGGATCTGCTATTGTCTATGGTAGTGACTGGCCGGTATGTACTCACAAGCTAAACTGCAAGAACATTCAGACTGATAATGACCATAGATTGATCCTCTTGACGAATGGCTCGCCATCAAAGCCAGCGTCACGCGCTCAGGAGATCCCCAAAACCCCAACTCCCCAGCCTCACAAGGCGCACCCTACGACGGCAACGGTCTTCCCGGCTTGACCCTAACACGAGACCAAGCCATCCGGGCCATCACGACCGAGAGCGCTCGCTTCCTGCGAGCTGATGCCTACATCGGTTCACTTGAAGTTGGAAAGCTTGCAGATGCTATTGTTCTGAAAGCCAATTACTTTGAAGTCCCCGAGGAGCATATTGCCAGACAGAAAACGCTTTTGACAATGGTTGGTGGTGAGGTTGTGTATATTGCTGATGAGGTTGATTTCAAGAATGGTGTTAAAGCTAAGTTTGCGAATAATGATACTATTTCTAGGATGATGAAGAGGAGGAGTGTTGGGGGCATTCAAGGGAGGGATTTGTCGGAGGAAGGTAAGAAATCTGTACAGCGTCTGCAGACTCGTGGGGCTTGTGTGCATTCTCACCATTACTAAACGCAGGAGAGTCTTGTGTGATAGGCCGGGTCCTTCCGCTCAATTCTGAACATGGGATCATTCACGTTAATAGCGTCTTCCATGCATCGCTTGTATGTCTCTGTCTTGTGTAGCTACTATTCCTGCCAAATACTCATTATGAAGCTTGACAATCATCATCCATGTTTACAGCAACTCTTCAAACCCTTCCTCAATCCTTGACCACTGCCGCGGTGTGAAGAACCCAGATAACCAGTAGTTACCATCAAGATCTATCGTATGAATGTTGACAAAGTTCCTCATTGTAATTCCGGCATTCAACGACGAAGCATAGTGATGAACGGGTCTTCCAGGACGGTTCATCCGGTGTTTGTGGTTGCTAGCCTGGCTTACTGCTGGCCTAAAGTCGGCTGCTGTAAAGAGATCGATTTTGAGCCTGTTGTTGGTAACTAAGAGTACACTCCCAGGTGCAGCAAAAATCGGCGCCCTTGTTTTGCCGCCATCCCAGCGCTTGCGAAAGAGTTGAAGGATGCCTATCAAGTTCGACTCATCCAGTTGGTGCATTAAGCCCTGGCGACTCACAAGGGCTTGCTTTCCCAATCGTCCACGGAGCGTATCTGGTGCGATGTTGACAAAAGACCCTAGGATCATGTTCTGAACGTAGACACCACCTGCGTTTTGAAGTTGAGATAATCGGGTGCGGGCATCGATCGGAGTAGTCATGCTAATCGTGCGGGTAGCTTTCGATGAATGGACCAAGGTACGACTGAGCCACGCCAAGATGGCATCACTTGGACTAACCCATGGATCATCTTGATCTGAGCTCTCATCTTTGATATCTGCTAGCGCTCGCTGATGTAGTCTGTCTACCACGTCCTTCGGAAGGCAGATAATGCGGCTTTCAACGGTTGGTTGAGTCAGGATGATCCAGAGCATACGAACGACAAAGAATATGAACGCTAGACCTGAAAGAATTCGGGCTTCACTCGCTGCATACAGCGGTCCAGCATGGGTGATATCTCCGAGGTTGTAGAGAACGTCTTCCTTTGCACCGATGAGATTTGGGACACGTTCTTTGTGACCAGCGAGTATTGCTGACCACGCCTCAATCAGGTGAGAGAACCCAACGCCATCGAACATAACATGTGGCCATGTAATAGTAACCAGTGTCGCGTCCTGGAATGTGATAATGTGAAGGCTTATCATGGGGACATCCCGACTGGTATAATCCTTCAGCGACGTCGGTGTACCTGGCGGTATACCAAAGTCTCGAGGCCCCGATGCCCCAGGAAAGATCGACGGTCGGCTTGTCGCTTGCGGCAACAGCTTTGCTACGTTGTGCTCTTCGATGCTGATATCGTAATGTTGGTGCGAGTAAGACACGGCGGGTCGTTCATTTGTGTAAGTAGTCGGGACATGAACCTCAAGAGCCCCTCTCTTGTTATGACCAGCTCTTAATCTTCCACCAAGTTTCTTCCAGTCGCCAATGGTAAGTAATTCCGATAGCGATTGGTGAAGTTTGTCAGCATCCATGACATCGTTGAAGCGCATGGTCCATGCCATCACGAGGAACTTCAAGACCGACACGTTGTCTATCATGTGCGTGGGATACGCAATATCGTCCGACGATGAGTTTGAAGAAGCCATATTTTCAGGTGGCTTGAATAAAGATATAATACGAAGTTGAAGATATATACTGCAAAAGAATGATGAGATATTTTAGTAGTCGCGCTCACCAAGACCCCAATCTCACGTAAGCGTGGCGCTCACAGCAACCTCTCGATGCGACATTCCTAGATCTTTCCAAAGCCAGCATTTCCAGGAACCTTGCTCCGCGCCGTAGTAGCCTGCGTAGACCTTGCAATAGGCAACCCCTTAAACTCCGACATGAAGCCAGTATCCTTTCTGTTAAAAGCACCGGAAGAAATGAAAATGTTACCCTGGCACACGCGACCGAGGTATTGCTGAGTAGCGCTAGCAGCGGCGTTATCAGGGCAACTGTTGAGTTGGCCCTTGAAGTCGGGGACGACCACTTGCTTCACGTTTTGGAAGACGTTGCCTTCGAAAAGGCCCTTTCCAGCGGTATCGCCTTCGATGGCGTGGCCGTTGATGTCGCGCCAGACGTTGTTGACGGCGTGGAGGAATGTGGTGGCTGAGAGGGCCGGGCCACGACCGGCTGTGTGCTCGATAAGGTTGTCTAAACTGTATTAGTAGGGCACATGGTTTTGTAATGAGGGGGAGTATACTTTGGAGGGTGATCTGATCGCCTTGGCCGACCATCTCAATGGTCCAGTAGTGGTAACCGTCGCACCCAGCGGACCACTGTGTTCGGCCATCGATATGGTTGTTGGAGAGCGTGATACCAGTACTCTTATCGCGACCAAAGACGTAATGCTGGCGACCTAGGAGCGAAGTCTAGAAATGTTAGCAATCCTCCAGGCTATCTGAGCAGCTGAGCTTACCGTGCAGTGATCAACCCAGATCTTGCTGGTACCCGAGAAGGTGAAAGCATCACCACCCCAGACATATTGAGGGTTCAAGTTCGTGATATCTATCGCGCCATTAGTTATAAAGCATATAAACGGCCAGCAGTGAACTTACGGATGTTCTGAACGATGATGTTCTTGACATTAACAAACCGCAATCCCTTTCCCTTAATAATACCCTTATTCCCAACCCCAACAATCGTCTTATCAGAAGCGACATTAATCCCACTCGTTCCAGCCTTGCTATACGTAACATCAACCTTGGGATTGTTACCGCACCAATTGCCAGCAGCGTTGATAGCCAACTGACATCCCGCACCAGTCTTCCACGGCGCACATCCCTTCTCTTTAACAGTCCCCTCCGATCCGATAAAGTCGTACGTTCGATCAAGCACAATAACGCGGGGCGTCTTGTCGGTGAGGTATGTTACCAGCTCTTGGATGTTCTTGGGCGTAACAGCTGCAGCGGAACCACCACCCGTGACGCCTTGGGCGAAACCTTGTGCAGAGCCGGAGACTTTTTGGGCTGTGACGGAAGAGAAGAGCGCTGTGAGCGCGCTGATGCAGAGGCTGAACTTCATGATGGCGATAGTTGGTGTTGAAGCTGAAGCCTGCCAAGCAAGAGATTGACTGGGGAACCAGTCTCATCTTATATGAAACAATCATCCAAACGGTCGTCCCAAGTACAAGGGTCCTCGGATTTGTCGGAATGTTCCTCGGAGGAATTGCCCTATGCGAAGTTATCTAGCTCCTTGTTTCAGTTAAGTCTAAAGCACGGCCTCAGTGGAGAATATTATTTCCGTCAGTGAGCAAGTCAGTGTAGCCTTGTACGACCCTTAATTTCGTTAGCTTCGCTCTAACGGTTACGACTATCGTATAAATGCCAGTGACATTAACCTATCCAGTTATGCAGGGCGACTCTTCATTGGAAGATATACAGATTGATCATCCCATTTTGTATCGAAAAGACAAGAGAGACTCGAGAGTGATATGCGCCGTAAATACGACGATGGTGTTCAGACCGTGTTTTCACCAGTCTGGACAACGGACGAGAAAGTGGATTAGTAAATGAAACGGAACATCCCGTACGGTCGGTGACCCGATAAGGTAATGCTGATTGGCAGGGTTAAACCAGGATATATATAGTATAGGAGGAATTACAAGCCATAAGAATAACCTTTAGACAGCTGACACGCTATGGGATATTTGCGCGCTCAAATAGCTACCCTGTTCCTTCAAAGCCGACCAAGGTAGGTTCTTTATATCTACATAGATATCTACTATTTATGTATTCGCTGTACTTATCTCACTCTTGAATTGCCTGACATTCATTTCATCGCATAGCGATTTGCGCAAACAGCTTAGCCGTCTCTTCAGGAATGCTCACAAAAGGGAAATGGCCTGAAGGCAGCCTCTCAACCTTGTCAAAACCTCCAGCCTGAACGAGCATCTCCTGGAGTTCCGGAGGGATAGTTTGATCCTTTTCGCACAAGACATATGTCTTTGGAATCGTGACGTCAGAGTTGATAAACTCGGATACGTGGCCGAGACTCTTCTGACTCTGACTTCCTAGAACAAGTTTCCAAGCTTCGTCCTGTTTTTCGGGGGCAAGATCACTGAAGAAGAGAGGCTTTGCGTCTTCTTGCATGTGGAAGACTCCATCCTGTGGCCAACAGCATCAGCGAAGGGATCTGCAGGGTGAGGGATTGACATACCTCATATTCGAAATATGACATTGGCGGTGCTGGCTCCGTATCGCCTCTGGCATTCCGCCCTCTCCGGGCATACGCGAACCCAGCTACTGCGACATAACCTTTGATACCACCTGATAGACCCTTTGCTTTGCGCTCCTCAATCGTGTGCCCTTCGATGGCGAGCAATGCGGGGAGACTTCCGTAGCTATGGCCAAAGATGACAACTCCAGATCTTTTGTCAAACTCCGAAGCTAGGCGGTCGTGGATTTCCTTGACATCATCTAGAAGGCCTTTGTTGGCTAAGTCTTTGAACTCTGGGCTTGCAGGATCTTTGGAAGTGAGGTTTTTAGTGACCGTTAATCTTGGGATGGTGACGGTGAAACCATCTTGCTCCAGAATATCGGCGACGGGCTGATAGACTTCGGGACTGCAGAAGCCACCGGGGACAATAACGATGACAGGCTTGGTCTGCGACATCTTGTCGATATGAAATGAAGATGGGGTAATGGAAGTATTCAGACAGTTGGATTTGGCGTAAGCATCCAGCGATAGCTTTTATATGGTCGGGTAAGCGCTATACGGAAATTCCGATCGTAAGCAGAATTGTACCAGATCTAGTATAGCTCAGGAAAGGTAGCTTGGCTTTACAGTTAGATTCTGTAAGAATTTAGTGAACTTAGCTTGTTCATATGATAAGATCCTGAAGTTCAATTGGCTGCGATGATTCTCTGTGCCAAGCATGTTAACGATGATTTGTAACTGGTTTATGAACGACCATGGAACCTTTGGCCACAGACGAATATTATAAATATTAAATTCATTTCACCTCATTCTCTTTGAATCACTAGCTCCCCTAAGGCTTCATTGAGCATCATTTAACAAGTTTTAGGCATTACGAAAAAAGCTCTCATATCTTCACGTAACTTATCAGTATGCAGTCCCATTAACGAAGTGCCAACGAGCACAAGTAATTCTAATAAAAACTTCTTTACTACCTCTAGAACCTCTCTTTCGCCTCAATGTCATTACTCAATGAAAACAAACAGTACAGTTGAGTGGCTCTCTGCGCTGATCATGATAGACGAGTCTTACCCTTGCGCCTTGGCCTGAAGTCACTCAATAATAACTGGCGGCTGCCTGTTGGGTGTAGCAAGGACAATCTACTGTGAGACATAACAGGGAGGCCATTGGATAATGCATTTGTTTGTGAGTGTGGAGCCTGCTGGGGGCTGCGTGCATATCTATTAAGACGCCGAACCAACCCAGCCCTTCTCCTCACAGCATACTTTATCATCTTGTGTATCACGCCCATCTCTGTAAATTGACCATAATTCTGCTGCCTTCTTATCCTCGCAGACGGAAATGGGTATGTTTACATGGCATTCTTCAAAGAGGGTACCTCAATCTTAATGTACATAGCGCTAAGCATTGACGAGTCTCGGGCCCCAGAGGCCCTGTTCCTCGACTTATCTGTGCAAAGGGTACTCGTCGGGACAGGACTTTGCCCCGTTGAGCCCTGGGCTACCTCGTACGTAAATGCCGTACGCGACGGAAGGCTCGGAGATGCGATCTGGGCACGCTATCACATTTTTGGGAATGTGGTAGACGGCAAACTGGAGGACGGATCCACGATTCTCGACAGTGTTGAGGAGGAAGCAGTGAGGTATAAGAAAAGGGCTTCGCGCGAATGGGCTGATGCTGTGGCATTTTACAAAAAGACAAGTAGTGCCGATACTCATCACGAGGTCATCGAAGTTATCCTTCGAGTTGATAAACAGGATGTGAGCGGGATTCAGGTCTCGGACAGTGGATAGGTCTCTTACAGTCGGGTTTGATGGTTGGAAATTGCTTTGAGGTAGAATTGGATGAGCTTTACGCCCTATCATCACGAATAGAAGACTTTGAGTCTTTTTCTCAGTGAAGCAGAATTTAACTTCGATAACTCTGCGACTCGGCACACCGAAGCCGAGTGAACAGGGATGAAAGTACGGCCAACAGAGAATGAATCAGACCACCTCATGCGAGCCTTAGTGGTCTGAGAACTTGAGAATAGAGCGCCCTGACTCAAAAGTGTCATGGTAATTCTCAGACTCGACAAACAAGAGAGCATTCATATCGCACTTATTGCTCTCAGCTACGAAGTGTAACTACGAATGAAAACAAGGAGACAAGTGATTAGAAGTCTGCCTTTTGCCTCTACCGTGATAAACAATACACCGAGTGAGGATATTGCATTGGCATTCATCTAACTACAGGTTCCATACAAGGCATTCCACACCATGACATCGCATACCAATCGCTGGCCTTCATCATCTACTATCAACAACCCCTTGAAGTACATTTATCTTGGCGATTCCTCCTGAGATGGATGAGCTACTTCATTATGTTAGCCAGTTTTGTTCCATCGCGCCCGGGGATCATGACCTCTGGTGACGTACATCATGTATGGCGACAGCCACAGCCTCCGCAACGAAGAACGTAAGAAGACCCCTCGGTAAGAACGGTGGCGGGCTCCTCGATATAGCATCCGAATTCCTTGCTGCAATGACGGCATCTGTGGGTTTTCTTCAACAGCTCGATGACGGTGCTGATCTTCACGAGAGAGAGATTCTTAACTCGAGCTTGGAGTTTTTCTAATTCTCTCGCAGCCACCAAGTCTTCCATGAGCTTTTGGATCCTTTCACCACAGGCCTCAAGTATCTCAATCGCGAGATTGTGTTCAAGATCGAGAGTTCGAAGGACTTGCGACGAGGTGAGTTCCTCGATGTACTTGGCCGTAACCGAGGCGATGAGCGAACGGAGGTCCGCATCTCTGTTTGAGATAGACATCTCCTGGATGATCTGAGGAAGGATCAAAAAGTTCAAGTCATTGTGAAGAATGGTCTCGATCTTTGAAGTCGAAAGTGTGGCCAACTTTTCGATGTTGTAGTAGTCGGCGATGGCGTTGACGCGAAGGTGGGATAGGATGTTTTCGGCAGTCTTGTCTTCCGTCTCCTCTGACGCGGGAGAATCTTCTGACATTTTGTCTTCCTCGCCATCGGTCTGATCACCCTGACTATCTTCATCGTGATCTTGCTCAATGACCTGAATAGGCTTTTTCTCGGTTTCGGATGCGAGTTCATAGTCTCCGGTGTAAAGGAAAGTGACCATGTTCTGAACGGTCGGGACATCGAATTCATTCACAGAGATGAGCTTTGATGTTGTTTCCTGCTCAAAGAGTCAGCGAGAGCCGGTGGATGAGGTTGTATTCACGTACCTCAAAGCCGCTGCAAAGGGCAGCGGTGATAACAGGCGACTGAGGGCAGACGATCACCTGGTGAAGCTTGAACTCATGGTCCTTGCAAAGGAGAGTGAAGTCACTGAATCCTCCAGATTCCACTAATGGCAAGAGAAAGGAATGAGCCTGGGACGCCATCTCAAAGAGTCTTCTGTTCGATCAATCAAGCTCGTTGGTGTGGTGTGAAGATGGTAAGATGGTGTTGACATTTTGGAAAAGAAGAAAAGAATGAAGACCACAACGGTGAATGATGTCATACAGATGGAGCAGGCTTCTATGATATTCTTTTTGTTGTAAATAGTTGTATGTTTATCTGCAGCTGGCAGTGCCAAACAGTGCCGTGGGGCCCAAACTCATATGCCATCCCGAACACCCAGTCAATTATTCAGATTGCCAACTGTCGCATAGCATTTTTTGGCGTAAAAGAGAGGTAATTAATGCTTGCTACTTTCTGAATAAACTAGCAATTAGCAGTGATTTTCGCGAGAGGTGCTGTTTCATACAAACGAGGCATATGCACGGCAAAGTGCAGTGACAAATCGCCTTTGTGTTGCACTACACACTGACTTCCAATCACAGAGGCAGACTGAGCCGGGAAGTTGTGCTTGTTGAGTGTGGTGTTGACCTATCGGCTTGCAAAGGGTCGAGCCTGATTTCTCTGGGCCTGCCCGCCCTTAATGTTGCCAATGGCCTGAAGGTTGGTGAGAAACCAATAATGCAAGTTGGAACTGTAACAATGATTTAGGCAGTACCAAGATGACTATTCAAACTCAGCAAACGTGATTCGAGATCCTTTCCTGCTTTTATTGCTCTATACTAGAACTTGGTCTTTGCATGCAGACCTCCCTCAGTGTCTGCACCCACTTGCCATGAGCCCCTCACAGGCATGATTGTCCAAGGCGATAGCATTGTCCTTCCCATCGAAGAAGTTACGGATCTACTGCAAAACCTGGCTGCGGCGAGATTCACCACGTTACTTATGTTCAGATATCAATGTGTAGTCAAAAACGCTTATTGAATTGCACGCAGCAAGTAAATCACCAGCTTCTATAGAGTTTTCACTGTACTATCTACTGATAAAAGAAAATGCTCTATCACTTATTAGCTAACCTGATATCCCTTGGCTGTCTATCAATTTGATAAGGTAGCTTACCAGGCTTTTCCGCTGTTTGGTTGTGTGTCTTCATGGGGTCGGTCGGTCGTGTGCGTTTGGAAATACCAACCCCTAAAGATTAAGTAAAGTTACTTGGGAATGACTTGAAAACTCACTCGAGGGTAGTTGGGTACGGGGGCCATTCACCACCACTGGCCCGCTTTCAGTGAGAACGTAGACTGTGGGATCGCCACAAGTGCAGTAAGTATTACCGCAAGTTGGGCAGGGCATCTTGTATGCAGACTGGTTGACAGTTGTTTGGGAAACGATTTAAGGTCAGAAGTTACTATTTGGAAGATAAGCACTTTAAATAGCTGTAAACTGTATGAAATTGAGCCAACGCCATATACCAATCATTTTATTTTCAACCCATTTTCTGCCTGCCACGTCAGGCTGCATTATCCGGTTCTGGGAGGGTGGTCAGCGGCACATCACAACCAATCGGCAGTTTAGCCAAGCTTAGAAGCTGAGACTATGGCTCTCAGATCCCAGTGAAGATGAGGCAGATCGGCAGCGCCATTTTCTGCCTTGTTCGCCTTATGCAGCCCCAGCCCCATTGGCATCATGTGGTTGACAATTGAAATATTGATTTCAGATTACCGGTATTCCAGTTCCTTTTGTTTCATTCACTCGTTGGATTATTTGCCTCTGAAGTTGAGCTAGTCATGGAAGCAGTTGGAGCGGCTGCTTCGATTGCAACGCTCGCAGAGATTGCTCTGAAATCCTTCCATGCTGCCTCCAGTTTGGTCAAGGACTTCCGTGGTGCACCCAGAGAGCTCTCCCGCCTTACTCAACAGTTGAGCATCTTGCATTGTGAGCTGTCTCTATTATCCGACATTGAGCAAAAAGCCTCTCAAAACGATGACTTGCTACTGCTTCCAACCGAGATCGACCTACTCAGGCAAGCACTAAGCAACGCAAATGAGCTTCTGTCCAATATTCTTAATGGCCTGCATGACCTACAGCCTCAGAATTATGGGTCGAAAGCTAGGCTTCGATGGGCGCTTACAAGTAAATCCCGAGCTCAAGACTTGTTGACCAGCCTTGGCCATGCCGAAGCAGGTCTTACGAACGTCCTATTACTTGTAAACGTGTGAGTACTCGCCATTTTTCTGTATGAAAGTGTTAATAATCTCCCGCATAGTCGTTTAAGCGCATTTTCGTGCAAGTTAGTTACTTCATCGCGGGATCTCCAAAAGCCTGCAGAAAAGCAAGGCGACGGTTTATTTGATCAAGGACAGCAGATGAATAGCAATTTTCGTTTTCCTCATACAATTCTATATACTCTTTTCGATAGAAACCCACAGCTTCAGAATTCATTCTACGGTTCATGGCGCTCATGGGACATTTCAGTTTTGTCTTGGCTTGGACTTCAATTATCACTAACTATATATGGAAACGCACTTCATACCACTTTCTTCTTCTCGGGAAAACTACCACTCTGGGAATTCCCTCAAGCTAAGGCAGTGTTTTTCAATCTTGGACTTCGAATTTTCCCTTTAGCCAACATGGGCTTCTCCATTCTTAGAGGAGGCCTCTCGGTCAAAGCAGTCGTACCCGACGACTCTGAGATAATCACGGCTTGCAAGCGAGGGGACATTACCACTGTCCAAAGATTGTTTGTTTCTCGAAGGTCATCTCCATACGATGTAACCATGTCAAATTGTGGACCATTACGGGTGAGAAACATATAATTACTTGTCTTGAAGGACTTACTTACATACTACTTGCTTGGTAGTTCGCTATTGAAAGCGGCTCTTTAGAGCTGGTCAAGCTGCTCTGTCACTATGGGACTGATGTTAACACGACGTTTGGACGGTTTGAGACGTGAGTTTTAAGCATAAATAAGTACTCTTACTTGGTGGAGTTTACTGACGATGATGTCCAATAGGAGCCCTCTAGAATGGGCATTCCGAACCAGACAAATCGAAATTGCGCGCTTCTTCCTCACGCAAGGGGCTTGTTTAGACTATCTCTGCTACCGCGGTTGGACTCCAGTAATGCTACTCTTCCAGAAAGACTTTCCAGAAGTCCCGCCTGAGTTCTTTGAACTACTGTCTTGTTACTCCTTTACAGATATCGATGTTCAGGACCGCTATGGAGCCACGGTATTACATCGAGCTGCTTTATGGGGCACAATAGGAGACGTGAATGCACTCCTACAACTTGGTGCGTCGCCGTTATTGATGGATACTGATGTTGGATGGACGCCTGCGTTTGGAGCAGCAAGTACGAATAATGCTGCGGCACTGAAAAGGCTGGTCGAGGTTATGCCCCCGGACTTCATTCATCATACGGATTTCAGGGGGCGGACGATCCTACACGTTGCTATTGAATCTGGGGGCCTTGAAGCTATTGTGCTTGTTCTAGAGCTGGGAGTCGACCCCCATCAACCTTCACGGATAGCGGCTGATGAGAGTGGCGCTGTAAGAGATGTAACGCCATATGAGTTTGCGAGGTCAAAGGGTAGCGATATCTACGAAGTCTTCATCAGGGCTCTTCAAATGGTTGGACATAGTATCTCAACTGTCGAAGAAGTAGAGGTGGGCTTTATGTTTTGGGATGCTATGGAACGAAGGTCCACATAACAGCGTTGGTATATTGAAGAAGCTTTTAGTCCTGAGAGTAACAGAACTAACATGTTTAAATTACATAGAAGCAATTAGTGGCAGTTTACTATTAAAATCTCATTTTCTCTAGATTTATTTATGTATGTAACTCATTTTCTCATCTTAGTTGTGGATAAGTTTCCTAGTAACTTTGGGGATGGTGCTGGCGCTCTCGGCTATGGATAGAATAATAAGTAACGCAATTTGATGCAATAGTGAGCTAGATGTGTTATTTGCAGTTGAGGCCTGTGGCTGAGAGGTTATAATTACCACACAGAAATTAGTAGAAAAATCACCTCATATACCTCATGCGACACTTCAGACCGTCGTTGATACTCTTCATGACGCCTCGGCCAGTGCCGTCAAGGCATTTCGAACAAGCCTCTCTTCAGAACAATACAACAAGTTAGAGGCAATCGATTGCCCCAAAAAGCTTGAAAGCGAGCTTGAGAAGTCAAGTGATTCTTTCGTGTCGCGAAAGGTTCCGCGGCTTTCAAGAAGACTTAAACCATTCTTGCCAGTTAAATTTCTCTAATAAGTCCATCGATATCTTTGTTCCGTCTAAACTAGAGATAGCTGCCCTTGTTCGGGGTTCTTTACACATGCTGATATAGGCAAGTAGTAAGCAAAACATTAAATATTTTAATATCAATCTTTTTATACATTTATTCAAGACTTAGTCTTATCATATTACCCTCTGTCATAAGGAGCACATAGACAACCTTACTAAGACTTTGGGATACCTAGAACGACACTTGCCCAGGGCTAAGAGAAGAAGCAAGGGCAAGAGTATGCCTTCTGCCTCAGGCACCGACCTTAGGTCATGGCTAAAAAGGCCAGAAGATGCCTTCCTGGTACAATCCGTCGTCCAATTCAACTTCAATCCAAATGGACGTCGTCGCTTGGTCTTATATGTTACAACTCCAGCGATAACAGTATCTCCGATAGTAGACCGGCCACATCGATTATTCAGATCTACTAAAGTTAACAACATGTCTTCCAAATTCTGCCAAATCTTCCACGTCTTGCCCTGTGAGATACCAATCAGAGTTATCCAACAGCGACTGAAAGTAGCTATAATACTCATCCAATGGTATGTCCATAGGGATTAGGTTGTCGCTTGGCACAGTCCCTGTATTAACTGCTGAAGGTATCCAGACTTGTGACATCTCATTCAAGTTTGACGGATGTTGTTCGGAGTCCAAACGCAAGCCCAAACCATCTTGTTCAACGCTGTTCAGGTCAGGAACAGGCCTCGACAGACCTAGATCGACCACTGGTTGTGTTGCACCATATGTTGCGCCGTTGTCGTTAATAGGCTCTGTTCGATCATGAACAATGGGGCTCTGACGACTATTATCAGCGACCTGGCGTATACTGTCATACGCAGGTTGCGAGCGATCGCGCGAGGGGACAGCTGTACCCTCGTTTGTTCGTAAATGTTCAGGCAAATGATGCAAAATATCATGGATCTCTTGGAGTCGTTCAATGGCGGTAGTGTTGTGGTTGTCGGCCAGGTATTGCAGACTCTCCATGGCCTCGCCAAGTCCAGGCGATGGGTTGATTTTATCTTTGCCTTCACAAGCAGAGTCAAACACAGCTGTGAGAATCAAGACAAACGTGGCGGAAAAGATGGCATCGCAGTCAAAGAACCCAAAAATAGCTGTAGGTTGGTGGTTTTAGCCTTAATCTCAGCTCCAAGCTTAGGACGGCACTCTGAGGGCTCTTACCTAGGAGATTCATTCTTCGTAATGTTATGATAGTACGCACTATACGCCTAGCTGCTTCAGTGCATGCTCGGCAAAGCTGTGCCAGAGAAGAGTTCCCCAGTTGCTCCAAGCCAGAACTCGCTCTCGCAAGTATTAAATGTGCTACGTGTAGCATTACCGGACGTATTGTGAGTAAAGTGGCCTGCTCCTGTCAGCTTCAACGCTATCCAAAGCTTGAAGGACAATATGTTGGGCCTAATTAGCTGCCAGGAAGAAGCGACTTACCTGATATAGCATGAGTTGAAGAGAGGCAGTTGTTCTCACAGAAACATTCGCATTTGGTCCGTGAGCTACCGTTGCTAGATTCTCTGGTATCTCGCTCGAAATATCATGCAGACATCTGATGATCTCTTTGACGTCAAGCACGAAAGAGTCTTGGTTCTGACGCTTGGGGTTATAGAGGTCTAGTGGTTCTCAGTCAGCCGGAAGCATGGAACTGTCGGCGTTGAAATAGATCCATTACCTATAAGGATGCGGCTTGTAACTCTCGCTATTCGAGCATTTGTGCGTATTGGTTGAGTGGAGCTGAACCCCGGCTGGTCAACGGGATACTCTAGCACGATGAAAGCGTCGTCAATACCATATGGGTGGCCTGTCGCTGCCGCCAACCGTCTAGTAATCGACATGTTAACGAAATGCGGCAAAAAGACCAGTTTTGTATACACATTACCTTTCTTGCATATAAATTGTCCACCATAGCCTACCGATGTGGGCTTTCTCGGACCGAAGTATTTGTGTCCCCTCCAGAGGACGATGGTAACCGTGTGTGACTGCGAGCCGCAAGGCTATGCTGGTCTAAATGATCAGGTACAAGATTCATGACTTGTAATACAGATGGTCAAAGGCTTACATATATGTATGCTTCTTCCTTTCGGTTCATGGCTTGGAGGTAAACCCCGAGCAGCGTCAATGTCTCAATTGCAACCCTCCCTTGAGCATGTTGCTCGCTAGGTGTTGGCAGTCGAGCATGCACGAACTCGAACAAACTACTTCCCAAATCTGTATCGCCATTGCTCTCTGTGTTTTCGCCAGAAAGCAGCTTTCCCACTGCGAATATCATGCTCATCCGCAAAAACCATGGCGTCGACGGGAGCTGGCCTTCCGGATCCGTATAGTAGAGCTCGATGTTGTCGGAAACCTCTCGCGCGTCAAAGTGACTTTGACTCTGACCAATGTACAGGATGACAACCTCGAGGAGATGGTAGGCTTCTGATTCGCTAGGCAGAAGGGGCAGAGAGCCGTGATGCGTGGTGTAGGCCTGTCTTGGAGACAAGTTGTTATTGTTAAAGACATGGGCGGTAGGTGTAGGGTGGGGGATGTCGCGCCTATGTCGAGCATTACTGAGCAGGTTCTGAACCCTAAAGCCAAAGGTAGCGCTCGAGCTCAACGACGAGTCGGTTTCTATTGCTGTAACATATGTTAGCACATGCTGCTCCTATGTCAAAGGTGAATTGTATACACCGGCCGGTCAATGGTATCGAGGTCTCTGGTCTGGTCGTAGATCTCGGAATCGGTGAAGGCGCAATGGCCGGCGTGTCTTGCGGCTGTTGAGCGTCGTGACCAGTAGAGAAAGGACTTCTGGAGTATGGTCAGCTAGCGTTACCTCTAATCTATGTAGGACGATAACACTAACCGGGAAGGATCATCAACAGCATCGGGGACCCATTCTCCCATGTCTTGAACCCTTCCTTCATACTGAGCGAGGCGATTCTCGAGATCTTCAACGTGACTAGGAGAGTGTCAATGTGGATGCATAACGACGCCTGAATGGCAAACCGCGAAGGGACGCTTACGTTACTGAATAGACTTTTCTTTCTTGGCGAAGAGGAACACTGCACTGTAGTCCTCGCTTGTGGCAGTATTCACAAGGTACGGTCCCGGAGCATTTGACCTTCTTCTTCCGACATGTTAGGCATCTAGATACGCATTTGTCAGCCCGGAGTTCTTGTCAGGGAGGCACAGCTGGTTAGCGAGTGAATTCGCTTACGCTAATGACGTCTTGTTCTGTGCTTTTCTCACACCCGAAGCCCTGGGAGATCGAGACGGGGTGGACATTGCTGCTGACCTGGCCCCCAAAGGAAATGAGGAGTTTGGGTTCGGGAAGCGGGCCCCGAAGGTTCAAATACTTAAACCCACAGTAAGGCTAGTGAATTGGCTTTGTTAGCTTCGGGGAGAGGGGTCCGATGCTAAGCTCGGTTTGACACAGCTCGGGTCCATAATTTTAACGTGTGAATTGAGTCGATTACTGTATGGTTGATAGAATGAAGGATAAAAGCGAACGACAAAGTTGGGCCCATTTCAGAATCCGAGACTTCATGCTTCTAGTAGCATATACAAGACATAACTCACTCCTTCGCCAACATGTTCTTCGACAATGTGCAGCAGGGCGCGCCCGATGTTATGTATGAGCTCAAGCTTCGAGCTGATGGCGATACAGATCCCAATAAAGTCGACCTTGGCGTCGGGATCTACCGTAATGAACAAGGTCTTTATCACGAGCTGAAGGCTTTGAAAGATGTATTGTTACCCAATCATCTTTACTTTCATTGTCAAGACCAACGAGACTAACTATTCAACAGGCGAAAGATCATCTTGCTGTGACAAACCCCAATCACGATGTAAGATGAGCAAATGGCGGACAATCAACCAAGAGACAGAGCTGATGAGTGTTCATTGATAGTACCAAGTTACGACAGGTAATGCCGAATACTTGCGTAATGCTGCGCGAATCGTCTTTGGAAATGGCTCCAACATTTTAGAGTCAGGCCGAGTATGTCATCGCGGGAGCCTACATGCAATATGTACAAGTTTCTCACAACTATTTAGGTCGCTTCTGTACAGACCATATCCGGAACAGGGTCAATTCATATCGCTCTCATGTTCCTAAGCCGTTCAATCCAAGGCATGGAGAAGACGGTGTATGTGGGAACACCCACATGGGGCAATTATCAGCCAATGTGCGCGCTTGCTGGCCTCAGCTTCCAACCATACAGGCATTACTCCCCTAATACCGGTCGTGTGGACTGGAACAGCGTGCTGGAAGCTGTTCGTGGAGCGGCACCAGGCAATATCTTCATCCTTCAGGCTTGTTGTCATAATCCGACTGCAGCGGACTTCTCTCAGGATCAGTGGAAGACCTTGGCAAAGGAAATGAAGGCAAGGCGCTTATTACCTTTATTTGATATGGCATACCAGGGTCTTGGAAACGGCCTAGACGAAGACGTGTTCGGTTTACGCCATTTTGCCCAGGAAGGCTTTGAACTCTTGGCTTGCCAGACTTTCTCAAAGAGCTTTGGCCTCTACGGGGAAAGAGTCGGTGCTCTTCACGCTATTTGTACTACATCTCACGTCGCATCGGCTGTGCATGATCAGCTTCGATTCTTGATTCGATCTGAGTTCTCGTCTTCACCAGCATACGGAGCCCGACTCGTGACCACGATCTTGTCAGATCCTACGCGCGAGTCAATGTGGTAAGCCTTTAATGTTTTAGATATCGCTGCCAAGAGAATACTCACACGATTCTTACAGGAGGAAAGAGCTCAATACTATTCATCAACGACTGCGCGCGCTTCGAGAAAAGCTATTCCATCTTTTACACGATGTTCATAAGGTGAGATAAGCTAATTCGGTGTATAACCTAGGCGCCGCGAACTGACTATTTTCGCAGACCCCAGGAAACTGGGAGATCATAACTCGCGGGACAGGATTATTTAGGTAAGCATTCTCTACCACGACCTTTCAATGGCTATGCTGGTATACTAATAAATGCAAGTTTGTTGCCATTGACTGCGAAGCAATGTAAGACTCTACAGACCAAATATCACATCTACCTGGTTCCCAATGGTCGCATAACCATCCCTGGTCTCAACGAGCGGAACATCAAGTATGTAGCGTCAAGCATCGATGAGGTGGTACGGGCTTCGGAAACACCCATCCAACATCATATATAAAGACCTCCTGGGACGGTAAATGCAAAGAACCTCACAGTAGAGAAAGATGAATAAAAATAGGAAGGCCATCACAACTTCAGACCTTTTGCGGCTTATTGGTGAAAAAACAGTTTTGATCCGTGCATTTGTCGTGCTTAAACGCCCAGGATATGCTGAATAAAGCTGCAAGGCTTCAAAACTACAAGGGGACTAGAGTTTGCATGAAGCTTTAAATTTCCCGAGATTTCGGAGACCACTTTCCGGCGTGCTGGGTAACCAAGTCTTCCCTTGATCTTGTGGGCACAGGGCCTCAAACAGTGAAGGGTGTAGAACCAAATTTATTGGAGACAATATTGTAGATAGCGTAACGTGCATGATGAATGATAAGCATGCGCTGCACTTATCTTATTCTCGGAGAACCCAAACGCTGGGCTTGTCTAGGCTCGGTGCGCCAGCCCGAGCTTGTTTAGCTGAGCTCGGTGCCCCAGACCGATTATCGTCATGGCCTGATTACCGGGGACTAAGGTTAACCCCTCAATCTGAGCTTATCAGACAGGTCATGTTACTAGACAAGATCAGTGGGGGATTCTGGGGCAAGAAACAGAACATGCGGGCGGCCTGGCTTGGCTCGTTCGGCTAACCGAGAAATCTCCTATTGTAGAACCAGTGGATCTCACTGACACGAGATCAACACGGCCTACACGCCACCACTCTGATGCCAATCTTGGAAATAAACAATGGAATCTTGACGAAGCAAATTATATGGTCTAAGCCGGAAGACTTCTCGATGTGATAATGTCAGACGGGGAAAATATCAACAGCTAGAAACACCCTGTAAATCATATCGACTCCTGCAAGACATGTTCAAACTGGAGGAAGACCCTCAAAACCAGTGACCTCCCATAGCCAACCATTAACGTCATCAAGATCCGCACCAATATTCGTATGCCCATCGAGCAAACTGGCAACATTGAGTATCTGGTTCGGCGATATTCCCTGCTCTCCCAAGACAGAAATACAGTCGTTTTCTTGACCCTGCGACTGTGTTACAATGCCTTGTCGGTCGATCAGATGCAACATATCATGTAGACGCTCAAGTTCCTGGCGCCGAAACCGTGCAGGTAGATTCCCACCTGCTATCAGAGCGTCAAGGATATTCCTTGTTAGTTCAAAGGAAGACTCTCCGGCTGCGTCTGGGAAGGGTTGGATGGCGAATATAAGTGCCAGAACGAACCCAGCCGAGAATGCATGGTCGAGGTCGAAGGGGAGAAAGAGCTCTTTGATGCGTTAGCTTGTCGTTGCGGCAAGGTAGTAGATTAGGGGAATCATACCTAGAAGATCCTGCGACTGAAGTGTAGTCAAGATGCGAAGTGATTTATGGGCTGAGTCGTAGCAGGTCCTGACTAAAGCCTTGACAGGCTCGACAATCTCGTAGTTGGCGTTGTTATCATGTCTGCTCATCTCCAGTTTGTCCCTTAAAATACACATGAGGAGAGGTCTCGTAGCAAGCACGATGCACTGGGTTCGTTAATTTTCAGCATTTATACGAAGGGAAGGTAATTTGTCGGGCTAACCTGATGATAGCATAGGTTTAGGGTTGCAGAGACGCGCGATAGTGGACTTTGACTGTCCAACTTCAGATCAGGAGCTGAGTTGAGCTCGGCTCCTAGCGCAGCGAGTTCCCTCAATATACTCATGGTGTTTTTCGGGAACGAGACATCCAGTTTTCCATCGATGCCGTATATTGCTAGCTTTTGTCAGTTCTCTGGCGTCACATATTCAGTGGTGGGCATGACAAACTGTTGAGGACCTTGGTCTTGAGCCTTGATAGCTTGATATGCATTTCCAATGAGCTTGACCTTCGAGGCGTTGTTTGATCCCCTGGAATCGGGACAGAGATATCACTATCTTGAACAGAGCTTGGGGCGCCCATCAACGATGAGAACTTCCGGTCGAGGATGTACAGTGTCCACCATGCATTGCGATATCGCCTGACTTCAGGGTCGTCGGCGGATTCTCCAGCAATATCTCGATGCAGACCTTGACTGAGCGCTATTCTCAAACCCATCCCAAGCTACAGAATGCCATTAGTATCCGTGATCCAAGGAGAAGGGGTACTTACATAGACATAAGCACTGTTGCGGTGATCAACAGCCTGGAGATATAAAGCAAGGCCGCAGCATACTTCAATCGACAGGATAGGATCTATGTACAGTCCATAGGTATCTGGGAAAAGCTCCATTGCTTTCATGAAATACTCACTCCCCGGTGAACCAGCTTTAGACATGCCGCGGGTAAGCAGTCCTTTGCCAAGAGCCATGATAAGGAAGTACTGAACATACCACATCCTGTTCTCAGCAGTCACCGGCGGTGGTCCATCGTTGTATAGTGATAGGAGGGCCGGTATGAATTTCTGCTCGTCAAATAGGTGGTAAGTTTGGACTATGTGGAATTTGACGGTGTTGGTGAGATATAGCGCATAGTCCAGAGAAGGCAGGCTTTCGATGTTGACAACAAGTTCAGATTGCTTCATACTAGGAAGCTCAATATTGAAAGCAACACCATCGTGGTTTAGTGGTACTTCGGGTGAGAGCTCATGGCCCACATACTGAGCCTGCGTTAGCATGAAACGGGGATTGTTTTGTTTGGACAAAAGTACCTCTCTGATCATGCCCATTACATGGTGACTGTATGCCCATGTAGACGAAGGGCCTAGAAAACCTGTACCACTTAGTCTCAAGATCAGCTGAGAGGTCAGATCAACATACGTTTCCTGCCTTGGTGGTCTACAACAAACTTAGATGAGGGCGTCAGTAGAGGATTGGTCATCTGTGGTAGGCCATCGTCGACACTCGTTCTTGGGGCGGTCGCTGTAACCGCTATATCTTGAGCAAAGTTGTCAGTAAACTTCAAGTCAAATGATAACTATTCTCACTTGTACTCGTACCCGCAGAGGTTTTGTTCTTCTTCTGTTTTTGCGCCTCATCCCAATCCTCTGCCTTTCGCTTCAAATCATTGAGCAAGCTACCATAATTCTTAGCAAGATTCGCCTTTATCAGTGCAGTTAGATGCACTCACTTCTCAGATACAACAACCTTGCGATCTTCCTGCTCAAACACGCAGTCTGTTGAGCGACGCGTACAGTTCGCGCATGGACAGGTACCTGAGCAACGAACTTTTCGTTCACGGCATTGCAAACAACTGGAAGATGTTGTGGGTATTTAGTAATTGCTTCATCATTTCCTGAAAGGAGCGGTTTTTATCATGGATTGAGAGCTACTCACGCAATATTCTTGTTGCGTTTTCCCTGCTGTGGGGGCGTAGATTGCGGGTTCATTTGAATGCCTGTATTGTGTATCGGTATCTGTTGTGTTTCTTCTTCTTATTCGCTGTACGTATTACAATGCAATTAGAGAGAATCTATATGCTCAATTTTAAATGAAGTCAACGAAAGGGAAATCACGGTTAGCTGACGAGTCATGGCAAAGCTAATGTTGGTACGAAGGGCTAAAACTTGGCGGATTATCGTATTGCCGGAATTCGATGACAGCGTCTCCTACCCGGTATCTAGATGGTTCGTTTTACTACTTGTAATTAGTCCTTAGTATTTATCTTGTATATTAAACCTTTTCTGATAAAAGAAAGTCGGGGGTTATACTTTTGATACCATCTTCTATTTTTTAGTAGATGTAAATCTATTCTATATGGAATAATTTATCTTATCCTATATAAATTATACTAAATATTTATGTTCTTCTGGCGTAAAATGCTTGCTTTAGTGATGAACGACATTTGAAATTAAACTAAAATACTAGGAGCTCTACAATGTATACCTGAACCGTTCTCGCCCCTCGCATAAATACTTGCCCTTATCTGCTTGCTGATTATTATGTCGGAGCATAAGCATTGTCAACGCAGCTACGACGACGGCAGCAACGTTGATGGCCATGACAGCAACGAGTCCCGGGATATAGTTAGGTGCATCTTGTTGGCCTTCATTCATGTTAGCTAAGACGTGCCGAATGAAGGACTGGTAACTTACGGAAGACCATGCTCGAGTAAATTCCACCAACACCACTCATGCTGATAAGGAACCCCGTGGATACAGCACGTCGAGCATCACCGACGATGTTGTTGGCCTGCCACGCAAGTGTCGTCACAACCAGGCCATTAGCGCCAGCGACGCCGAGAAATGTGCCGACATAACGAGGAGTCGGTGCATTGAGAAAGCCAGTCATGCATAGCCCAATGATGCCAATAAGACCTTGGAAGATGACGAATGGTCCTCGCAGCCTCGTCTTGTCGGCAAGCCACGAGATACCCATGGCTTCGATTACTGCAAACAGCGATGGCGGCGTGCTCAGAATAAACGAAAGCTCAAGTGAGTATCCAAGACCACCTCGTAGGATGATAGGTAGGAAGAACAAGAAGGCGTAGACTCCAACGGCACCGGCCATGTACATCAGCGAAAAAGCCCATGGTTTCCAGTCAGTAGCTGTCTGGCCAATGATCTTCATCGTCACCTTCTCTCGTTCTTCAGGGCCACGATCTTCAGCGAGTCGTTCTTTAACGAAGGCGCGTTCTTCGGGGGTGAGGAATGTGTTTTTATCGGAGTCGGGGAAGTCGACGATGATGAACCATGAGCCAATGCCGGCGACGACTGTGATGGCGCCTTCGATGATGAAGATCCAGCGCCATCTGTACTGGTGAGCAGTCAGATTGAGAGTGGATAGATGAAGAATGCCTACCCTTTATAATGATGAGTCTTGGAAATCTGAATGAGGCCGTATGCAAGAATGTTGGCGAATGCTGACAGCGCAGAAGCTGTCAAGAAGAAACCCGCCATACGCTTCTGTACTTCGTAGCGCTTGTACCAGGATGACACAAGGTATACGCAGCCTGGAAGCTAGTCAGTATGGTTTCCACGTCAAATTTGGGAAAATTGGTAGTTACCTGGAAAGAAACCAGCTTCAAACACGCCAAGAAGAGCCCTGAGTACAGCGAGACCCGCCCAATTGTTCAAGAAGCCAATGCCAAGGGACACCAAGCCCCAGGCAAAAGCTAGAAAGGCAAGCCAATTCGCGGCCCCAAGCTTGTGAATGAAGGCATTGCTAGGGATCTCGAAAATGATGTACCCGATGAAGAAAACCATCAAGACGATAGACACGCGATTACCAACAGCGAGGTCGAGGTCTTCATCCATGCCTGAGATGCGAGCAACCGCAATGTTGGATCGGTCGACGAGAGCGATGGTGTAAAGACATCCGAGGATAGGTAATAGGCGAGTATCGATTTTTCGAAGAACTCGCTTCTCGAATTTGGTGTCGTGAGTTGATTGCTCATGATCTTTCGCCTCAATTTGTTCTAGGTCATGTTTTTCTTCGTGAGACATGCCAATCTCTGGGTGAGATGTGGTGTTTTTTGCCATTGCTATAGTGAAGAAGACAGTGGCCAGATGCTACTGGCAGAATGAGCTCATGCAAGTATCGATCGGATCCGGGGAAGTCTGGGGTTACTTTTATACATGTGCATTCCAGGCCAAGATCGCCACTAACCCTTGTCTCATTTGATAGCTTTCTGGTTTGAGAAGGGTAACGTGAAGGATGGAGGATCTGCAATGGCTAACCACAACCGATGTCGGGGATGGCCATCGGCTATGGTAATTCCCGGGATCATCTCCGCGCAAACAAACATCTCGGTTAAGCTTGAATCAATTTAGCGTGATAAATATGCGGGGTAGACTGCATCCTTCACCCCGGGCCCACTGTTGGATGGCATTCCCCAGGCGGGGAAGGGCAACTATGCATTATCAGGAGGGTTATGAGCTACTCATCATAATTGGGCGCAATGGATCAAGGAAGCCCTTCACAACGGACCAGGCGAACGCCCAATCACGGCCGGAAAAGAGGCACGGCTTGTGAGCGTTGCAATCGGAGACGAACAAAGTGCGATGGATCTGTAACTGGGGTGCCATGCTCAGCTTGCAGGAAGAGTGGCCACCATGAGCAGTGCACACTCATTCAGTCACGTCGTCGAAGGTGAGTTTTTGACATTTCGCAGCGACCAAAGCCTGATCTTTGTCGTTAGAGGGCCCGATGGGAGATACACGCTATTGCCAGACGTTGATTCTCGCAGCTCGGACAGCCCCAGCATTCACCCGAACAACGAGGATGAATCCATGGGTTTGACTACTGGAGGCTCCCTAACAGGAGGAGAACAGAACGGCAGCTCAATGCAACAATCGAGCGATTCGACTATCACAAGGCCTTCTTCTGACCAGCATGCCAGCCCCAACGCCCAACCAAGCGTCGTTGGTGAAAGCTGGTATGCCTCTTATGTCATGAGAGGTTACACTCCAGGTCACACCAGCGTCCATCGACCGATTGGGGAGTGTAACGAAACAGTTCAAAGTGTAACCCGAGACACGAGAAGAGAGAGCGTCAGTAGCCGACCATCCTTATCTCGCGACAAGATTGGCTTGTCCGACCTTCCTTCACCAGGACTGTTAGACCGACTGATAAAAGTCTACTTCGAGAGATTCCACGCCTTCTGTCCAATCCTTGGGAGAGAGTATTTCCTTTCGTCTCTTGAGGACGGAACTATGTCTGGTACTCTACTCCAAAGTGTCCTTTTTGTTGCATCGTTGCACTGTGATCCAGAGGTACTGCATCTCATGGGTTACAGTACTCGATGGGATGCCAACAATGCCCTGTACAACAAAGCTAGTGCGGCCTTTGACGCTGATCGAGAATCGGGTCGAACACACATGATACTATCGTCCTACTTACTCCATTACTGGTTCGGAAGTCCAGCAGCTTATCGTGATTGCCACTGGTGGCTCGCTGCTGCGATACGATCCGCTCAGTGTACTGGGTATCACAGAAGCACAAAGAACAGTAAGATGCTACCAGAGGAAAGGTCGCGGTGGAAGCGCATCTGGTGGTGTCTTTATGTAAGTTCTTTTCCAGTTACAGAGAACAGTGACTAACAAATCAGGTGCGCGATCGTCAGATCGCCATCTCTACCGGTACACCGATGATCATCAATGATAATGATCACGACGTCGAAGAACTCGTCGAGGAAGACTTTCCTGAAGAAGCTCCAGAGACGGTACAGTACATGATATCACAGGTCAAGTTGAGTAAAGCTAGTAAGACTGCCCATACACTCAAGTCCTCAAGATCGTCCTGGGAAATACTGACGGAATAGTGGCTCGATTGTACTTCTCCCACTGCTCACCATCCCGTCTTCCTCTGTGCAAAGAAGCTCGTGTTCTCCACGAGGCCATGAGGGATATCCAATCAACACTGCAAACCTGGCATGAATCGTGCCAGGCATTGAATTTCTCCAACGGTAATCATCATCTAAGCCTGACACTGAAAGTCTGTTATCAGTACGTGTCAAGCTCTCGGTTGCCGAACACGAAGCTGATTCATTAGTTACTATGTGATAAATCTCTCTCAGAGGCTACAAAGGCAGTGTAACGCGTCTAAGGAGGTCAAGCCCGTTCTTGATGCAGCAGCCCAAATTTTCAACCTGGTAGAGAATTCCTTGCTTTTCTGGACACCAGAGCACTTCCCCATGATCTAGTAAGTCACCTACTGTATAAAAACACTCCTGTTCTAACATTGTGTAGTGTCTCCGCTCTATTCTCGGCCATGATGGCTCTTGCAGTTGATGCCAAAGCATCAGCGCCTAAAAGTGACCAGATCTTTGTCAAGATCCGGCCTGGATTACTGGCTCTCAAACAGTTTGAGTCAGTGTATATCCTCGCGCGATGGATCAAGAACTTCTTCATGGATATTCTGAACCGCCCAGCTCCTGTCGATACGGTAGAAGCGCAGAGACCACCTACCAACCTACATGATGATGACATAACTGGCGGGGTCACAGGCTCAGAGACGGTGAACAGCACCGATCTAAGGCATGAGATCCCGACAATTACTACATCAGGTGGCCAAGCCACATATAACGCGACAAGTTTTGAAGACCCCAATTTTGCATTTGACCAAAACTCAGGACTTGACGAAGGCGGGTTTTGGCCGACATACTTGGCAAACGGTGTCTTTTCGGGTGTGCAATCAAGTGATGACATGGAGTTCCCGCATCCTGACTCTTTCCAGTATCAAGCTATGTACTTTCTGGCCGACCTGGGAATAGCAAGTACTGAGCCTATAGATCAATAAACGCGTTGTGAGAGACTTGATCGTAATTTTGGCGTATGAGATCGTGCTCCTCGGCTGGAACGCAGGAAGTCCATATTCTTGGCATTGTTTTAAACGCGATTGATGTCTTGAGCAAGTGCGGGGATCGGAGGTCTACCAACCTATGATTTGCCATAGCATGGGCTGAAGGGATTCGGCTAGAGCCAATAGCCTGTTCTGCTACTTTGGAAAGGGAAATTGCCTCCCTGGGAATGGTACTGTCCATAGCCGAAGGGCTCAAAGTGCGCTGCTTATGATCTGCAGTCCATAGCCGAAGGCACCACCATCCCCGAAGTTCCTTGGAACGGTGGAACCTCATCGACGAGTCGGATAAGAGAATGGAGTAGAGTACATAAGTGATTCTCAAATGAAAGAGGTTTTAATAATAAATTGAAACTAATTGCTTCTATGTAAATTAAATCTCTTAATTGCTTTGCTCTCAGCACTAGAAATTTCTGCGATCTACCTAAGCTGTCATGTGGGCTCCAGGCAGATCGTTACGCTGGGTACGACCTTTTGGTTCACGGCCAGCTTCCTCCCAGACTCGACTACCAGCTCAACACTTTCGGCCAGTTTCGAATACATCACAAGCACATACTTCAGGATCGACAGAATGGCAAAGAAGCAGCAAAGGCAAGTCTTTCATTACATTCATAGACAAAGTACTGATCTAGACCACACAGGGCTATACGTACTGGGACTGGCAGCATTAACAGTCGGCATGGCTGGAGCGCTTAGTGTCAACAGCCTTCCAACAAAGAGACAGCTATCATCAACACAATCGCTTCTTGATACCCCCACAATACAGCACGATCTATCGGCATCAAATATTCAAGCTGCCTGCAAAGAGTTCACTGCAATACTGGGGTCCGAGAACGTCTCGACCGAACGCACAGATCTCGTTACCCATTCTGGCTCAGACTACCAGTCGTATGCCTGGACCGAGGAGTCTGCCATTCTCTCACATGTTGTCCTCTATCCAGAGACAACTGCGCAGGTCTCGGAGCTGATGAAGATATGCTTCCGGCGCCGATTACCAGTGACGCCATATTCGGGTGGTACATCGATTGAAGGCCAATACATACCCCATTTGCAGGGCATATGTATCGACTTTGGTCGAATGAACAACATTGTGGAGCTCAATAAGTATGACCTCGACTGTGTCGTTCAACCTGGCATTGGTTGGATGGACCTAAATGAGGAGTTAGCAGTCCATGGTCTGTTCTTCCCTCCCGACCCTGGGCCAGGCGCCATGATAGGAGGAATGGTTGGAACAGGGTGTTCTGGAACGAACGCAGCTGCATATGGGACCATGAAAGACTGGGTTCTATCACTCACAGTAGTTCTCGCTGATGGCACGATTATCAAGACTCGTCAACGTGCTAGAAAGTCAAGCGCGGGATATGATTTGACGAGGACCTTCATCGGAAGCGAGGGAACCCTTGGTCTCGTCACGGAAGCTACACTAAAACTGGCAGTCAAGCCGCCTTGCGAGGCAGTGGCTGTGTGTACCTTTCCAACGCTACGAGACGCGGCTTCGGCAGTCCGAGAAGTTCTTTCCAACGGTATCCAGGTTGCAGCAGTCGAGATCCTTGATGAAGTTCAGATGAAGAGCATCAATGACTCTGGTTTGACGAGACTGAAGTGGAAAGAAGACCCAACACTGTTTTTCAAGTTCACTGGCAGCGATGAGTTCATCGTGGACCACCTCGCCAAACAAGTTGGAAAGATCACGAAACGAAACCACAGCACGGCATACACCTTCGCCTCCGATGAGACTGAGCGCAACGAATTATGGTCCGCAAGGAAGAACGCCCTCTGGAGTATGCTCGCCATGAGAAAGTCACCAACTGACAAAGTCTGGACTACAGACGTTGCCGTTCCCCTCAGCAGGCTTCCTGATATTGTAGAGTTTGCCAAAGCCGATATCGAGAAAACGGGGTTACTCGGCTCCATCGTCGGGCATGTCGGCGACGGAAACTTCCATACCCTGTTGCTCTTCCCCGAGGAGAAGCGTCATATAGCTGAAGGAGTGGTTCACCGAATGGTTGATAAGGCCATCGAGATGAAGGGTACAGCTACGGGTGAACATGGTGTTGGGCTTGTGAAGAGAGATTACCTAGAGAAGGAACTTGGTAAAGAAGCTGTGGATACGATGCGATCGGTAAGCATTTTGGACTGTCAAGGGTGATGTGATACTAACTCGAGGGCACAGATGAAGAATGCCTTTGACCCATTGTGTATACTGAATTGTGACAAGGTGATACGTATGCAAGCAGCATAAATTAGAAAGTGATTTGCCCTCTCACAGAAACGGAGAATGAAAGGCGGTGGAAGAAGGCGAAGACGAAGAGCAAGTAAAGTTAGAGCTTGTCAAATGCAGAGAGACAACGTCAGATGAAAATTATTGCGATGTGCTATTTAAGTAGATCCATTCGTCGCCTTTGATGAAGGGGTGTTCTCAACAATTTCTATAGCAGCCAAGCATTTCGTTGCAGCGCCCGCGATCAACCCTGAATCCTGCTGGCATAGCATGAAACGCACACCCAGCGTATGAATGGCCCAGTCGTGAATATCAGGCGTGTCATAGATACCTGCAAGACCCATAACCTTTCCATACTTCCTGCATGCTTTGCTCACTCGTGTCAAAGCCTGGCGGAATCTATCGCTGCGAAAATCGGCAGGGGCACCAAGCTCGATGGCCAAGTCATTGGATCCAACCAGTACAACGTCGACTCCCTCCACGGCGGCGATCTCCTCTACTCTTTGGACGGCTCCCTCGTTCTCTATCATGACAAACACTGTTGACGCGTGCTCGTTGGTCTCGCGGATCACGTCAGGCTGAGGAAAGGACTTGAGAGATAAGGCGGGCAGTTGGCCAGTGATTGAACGACAGCCTTGCGGAGGGTATTTCGAGATGGCCACAGCTGCCTTTGCTTCATCTAGGTGGAGTGTCTATTAGTAGAGCAGATAGAACATCCGCATCATATGTTGCTCACCTGCGTTCTGTACATGAGGAAAGATTATTCCCATAGCACCTGCGTCGAGGACTTTCTGGACGAATCCATTGCCGCATTGATGTGGCACTCGTACAAAGGGCGTTATGCCGAGAGCAAGTCCAGCACCACATAGCTTGCCAGCGTCGTCGAGAGAAAGTGTCGAATGTTCCAGATCGATGAAAAGACTATCGAAGCTTGCGTTCTTGGCCAGTTGCACTACTTGAGGGTTTGTGACGAGTCGTACACCAAGGGCCTGGAGGTTTATATCATCAGCACTTAGCAGGTGCGAATTTCTCTACACCATCCAAGGAACTCATGATAGAAAATGAAAAGCACATTGCGTTATGCTGTAAGTAGGGATAATCGGGGATGCATTCATACCTTGCAGAGCTGCCCAGTGGCAGCCCTTGTCTTGAGGGTATTCCGGCAAGCGAGCATTTTTCTTAGACAGAAGTGTGGACTGACTGTATCAAACCTGAGCGCCTGGCCTATAAGTTAATTAGATATCGGTGGGCTGGCTACGCTTGCTTTATCTAGATGGTCAGTCTGCCCTGAGCTCGCAGTCTCCAAACGGTCTTCGGAGACCACTCTCCGGCTCGGGGACTGCTCCCCGAACACCGGATACGGCCCTCGGCAATCGTTGGCACGGTGGACAATGCCTTCGTGTTGGGCTTATCACGCCAATCACCCACAGAGATACTGATGTGCAGGCCACATAGCACGTACCACAAGAAACATAGTTCCGTCTGGTAATCAGCCTGTCTACCAGCTGCCTTAGATTACGCCTTACAGTCATGAGGTCTATAGTGACTGAATAAAGAAAAGTCGCACTGTTGAAAGACTCTGTACAATGGCCATTCCTATTCGCCAAATCCATCAACCCATGCTTGAGTAGGCAGTAAGCTCCTTTGTAAACGAGTCGCTGAACAAAGACTGGCATCCAGAACGGGCTCAAAGGTATGACAGAACCCTATCACCTCCGAAGTCAAACCAAAGGGCAATGACTGGTATCTAATGCGTAAGTATCCATCGATGGCTCATGCGCTCATTGGTCTCTTTGTTAGTGTTGAGGTGATTATGTATTTCCTTCGCAAGCCCGATGCAAGAGTGAGCTTGAGCGCAACTAGATAAGCCTTGTTGCCTCGCAATGGAAACATCATTGCCGAAAATTGGGCGTATAATGCAGACTCTGTACCCAATGCTAATAGCTCCAGAGACTGACACGATAGGAAACCGGAAGCTGGTAGGGCAAGGAGGTATACAATCTTATCTCCGACCTCCTACATCTGACCGAATGCCACCAAAGGACGATGTTCAAGTAAAGAGATGGGTCTTCGTTGTCTAATACCTAGAAGTAATCATGGCTTTTATCGCTTAAACTTCTTGAGAACATTCTTCCACAATCCACCTTCCCAATGGACTTCCTCCTGCTTCTCCGTCTCCTCCCACTCTCGTCTCCCTGTGCTGAGGTCTACGTCTGAAGCAGACCAAAAAGTAGTCTTTTTTGAGATCTTCCACCAAACAACATTGAAAACGAAGATCACGGTGCCGAGATACTTGAGGACAAAGACCTCGGGCTTGAAGTGGGGGATAAAAGCATCATAGCCTGTAGTATCCTAGTTAGCAATTGCTCTTATTTCCTGGGCGAATGGAGGGTGCTCACCATTGAAAACAATAACCAAGAGTGAGATAAATAACGAAAAGTATGAGCCATATGGCTGTAGAAACCCAACATAGGGCAGATCAGCTGCGACGATGCCTTGCGCCTTTAAGGCTTGGCGGAAACGGATGTGAGAAATTAGGATAGCAACCCAATTGAGAACAGCAAAAACGGTCACAAGGCTGACAAAGTAGCCAAAAACAGTCGAAGAAGACTTGCTGGCGTTCATGTACCCCAAGCAGATGAACAAAGACGTGATGCCAACAGCGAATATCGGGTTGCCGTTTTCGCGCGCTTTGGCAAAGATTCTAGGCGCCTGGCCATCTTTGGCGAGACCGTAGAGAGACCGCGAGGCGCAGTAGATGTCTACTAGCATTAGTTCAAGTACATAGACACGGTGAGTGACGAGTTGGCATACCTGAGCTTGCGGCACTTAGAGTAAACACTAACAGGCATCCGTTGATGATGTCGGCGAAGATGGGGACGCCACCCAGAGTCACTGCAACGACGAAAGGAGAAGCGGCTAGAAGGGACATGTTAGCCAACTGATCGCTTAAAGTCCTATAGACTTCTTACCTCCACTCGTCCTTTGCTTAGTGGCGCCAATAAGTTGCTCATTATCATAGGGAACGGCCATGCCAAGCACCAAGACGCCCAGGATATAGAAACAGGCGATTCTCCAGAAGGTCTGTTTAACAGCTCGAGGGACGTTCTTCCGTGGGTTTGGGGTCTCGCCGAAAGTCATGCCTACGACCTCAGTGCCCTATCCATCTTATCAGTAAAGCGTCGTGCCAAGTTTCAAGTCTACGTACCGTGAACCCGAAGCACGCTTGGCAACAGCAGGCCCAGAAACCGAGGAATCTTCCCTTAGGCCCCTCGAGCAAGTATTCGGCAAACGCTCCAGGGTCTTGCCAGTACCGAAAGCCGGATCGATGGTGGTTCGGACCGCCACCCATGGCAACCACGAAAGTGGTGATTATCAGAGTCGTCATGATGAGGATCTTAGCAAAGCCAAGCCAGAACTCGGTTTCGCCGAAGCTGTTGACATGGAGAATCTGGAGCCTTGTTAGATACAAAGGAGGACTTTTGCTGAGGATTTGGGCTGCTTACGTTGACAGTTACAATAGCAACTCCAAAAATGGTGATCCAGATGGCCACGTTCAGATCTGGTCTCCAGAATTGGATAACCAGCCCAGCAGCCGTAAGGTTTGTCGGCGTGGCTATGATGTACTTGAAGAAGTAGTTCCAACCAGTTGCAAAACTATAGCATGTTAGTGCGGAGGTTGCCACAAGAGAGATCATCTTACCCAAGAGCTGGATCAACCATGCGCGTCGCATAGCCTCCAAATCCCTTATTCATGGGAAGGAAAGTCGCCATCTCTCCAATGGCAGTCATGACGAAGAACACCGTGATTCCTATAAGGATGTATGCAATCAAGAGACTGCCTGGCCCTCCTCTGGACAAAGCACTGCCTGTACCAATAACAAGTCCTGTGCCAATTGCACAAGCAATTGAGAACATGAAGACCTGGTGCGGCTTGAAGTCTCTTCGCAGTTCGTTAGGCTGAGCCATTTCACCCTGCGTTTGGGATTCAACCACACCAAGGTCGTTGGTCTTCTCTTTCTCAAATGATTCTGTCATTGTAAAGTAGGCCTTGTAGTGTCTTCCGGTTGTTAAGTTGTTGATTAGTGAAAGCTGTTGATGCGTTCGACATGTCGGTCTTTATCAACAAAGATTCGATTCTAGACCAACCCCTTTCATCCTAGTAGCAGCCACTGAACCTTATCATGGCCTCGGTCCTGCTCACCGAGGTGGGTGCTTGTCATGCTATCTTACCCACTTACCCCATGACACCCCACAAAGCTATCCAAGAATGGCTCCGAGTCTGGGGTCGAGTCAGGCGACAAAATGAGGCTCGATATCATTCGGAACGTGTGGCAAAATTGGGCAGGGGCTTGTTACCCCGCAATGATAAACCTGGGGAGATAAGAGCCTTGTCTAGTGCCGAGACTTCGGAGAGTGCTCTCCGAGGCATTGGGCCTGTTAGCTTGTAGTCATCTGCAGCATGACTGGAAATGCGTGCTGTCTAGACCACATAAACCCTTCAGAGTAACTGACTGATATCTGAATACCCAGGCACCTGCCGGCGTTTCTTGTTGTCACACCACCACTCATCAACATTCCCGACTATCAGAGGCTAAGCCAACAATAAGGCCAACAATGTACGTCGTTCTCGGAGCTGGCGTAGTCGGTTTGACTACTGCACTGGAACTAAAGAGACAGTACCCTTCTAGCAATGTAGTGGTTCTCGCCAGAGATCTCCCGGGAGACTCTGCCCCTACATACGCATCAGCCTGGGCTGGCGGAAACTGGATCTCTAGTGCAACTGACAATGGCCCCCAAGAAGAATGGGATCGTGTTACATACCTCAAATTCCAGGAACTGGCCAAGGCTCATCCTGAATGTGGTATTGAACCAATGGACTTGCGATCTGTCTATGAGGATAACATCGAGAATGTCAATCTCTTGAGTCGAGTAACCAACAAGATTTGGTACAATGACCTCGTCGGAGGGATCAAATACCTGCCAAAGGAGGAGCTTCCGCAAGGCACCAAGTTTGGGTTTGAAGTCTCGACATTTGTTATCAATGTGCAGAAATACTTGCCGTGGTAAGGGTTACCTGGATTCCATCAAGTAATTGCTCAGCGTGCGAAAAGGCTAACTGAAAGACGAAAAGGCTCCAATTCGAGGCGACAAAACTCGGCATTGAGATACGACGAGCAATCATAGACGACTTGTCAGACATTCCAGGCCGATTCCCTACCACTTCGGCCATCTTCAATTGCACAGGACTTGGCTCTCTAGCGTTGAAGGGCGTCGAAGACCACCATGTATACCCAGCAAAGGTACAGATTAAAAGTATTTCTGACCACTGTTTACTTAAATACTAACAACTTTCCCAGGGCCAGGTCTATATCGTTGAAGCGCCACCGTCAGGTATCTCAAAGATGTATTTCCGCTCGAGTCAGCGCTTAGGTAGCCACAGCACCCATGTCTTTCCTCGAGGAAAAGACGGGGGTGTGGTTTTGGGTGGCTGTAGGCTCAACGGGGACTCGAATGAACAATTCGATCCGGTTATTGGCCAAGGAATCAAGGAGAGATGCTGTGCCCTCGTCCCAGAGCTCGGGAGGGCAGAGAACCTACGCATCATCAAGCAGGGTGTGGGCTTCAGACGTAAGCATTTCTTATTCTAGAATTAGAAATCCTGATCTTGCCATGGCTAACGAGACGGCGAAAATGCAGCGAGCAGAAAGGGTGGTGCGAGAATCGAGTTGGAGAGAAAGTATGGTGTCAAGGTCATTCACAACTACGGCGCAGGTGGCTCGGGCTACCAGGCTTCTTGGTAAGCAGTACTTGAAAATATGAATGATCTACTCTAATCAAGCTAACCTTCTCTTAGGGGGATGGCCAAAGCTGCTGTGGATTTGCTTCGGCCATCAGGCAGATTATAACGACACTCAACGTCACCGCGATTCGGCGGAGCTGCTATGAATATCGCTGAACGCAGGGCCACGGAGGAGCCACTCAACGCCAGACATCTCCTACTAGACACGGTGCACCACGAGGATCAGTCAGATGAGGACTCTGCTGTAGCTAAATATGGAGGAACTTTTAGGGCAAATAACTGGAGTTAGCTATGAGAAATGCTACTTATTGATCTAGATTCCCACTCGGGCCTGGTATGAGAGACGGGGATATAGGTCAATTGGTACAGCCGAAAACTTGTACCCAAATCCAGATGCGAATGGGAAGGTTTGGACTTGTAGAACAGTCTTCTTACAGAAAGATATTGTTTTGAACAAAATATTGATACTACCCTAAGCTTGGTACTATCGCGGCCTGAAGCATCTAAAGAGCCGCCCTTGTCTGTGTGCTTAGCCTGATCTCCCCACGCACGACCTCATCCAATGAGTCCGCCACTCTATCAATGTTATTCTGGTTGAGGCCTGAAACATTGATTCGACCGCTCGATGGAAGATAGATGTGATACTGGTCTATGAGTCTCTGGCACTGTCGAGGATTGAGGTTGAGGTAGCTGCTTGTGATTAGCACAGTGAACGGCGGTCAAGACGGGCGCCACTTACGAAAAGAGTCCGTTCTCTACCAAAATATGGTCCCAGTCTCCCGGTGTCTGTTACAAATCAGTCGTAAGCACTACGTTATTCTCAATGGTGACATACCTTCAAAACCTGAGTTAATCTGCAATGTAATTGTTTGCGGAGAGCCTTCAATCGATTCTGGATCTCAGATAGCTCTTGGACCCTGTTGCGTACAGCATTAGCATGCATATTCCAGTCTAAACCTTATCGTTAAGGAAGTACTCACCACTCAGTAGTGAGCTTATCCGAATCCAACACGATGGTGGCCAAGCGACTACCATATGCCGGTGAAGACGAAAACTCCCAGCGTATCAAACATCGAAGCCGATCTTGAACGACTGCTGCTGTCTCAGGAGACGAGCACACAGCATGTAGGGCACCGCATCGTTCGCCATACAAAGCAAAGTTCTTGGAGAACGACTGGCATACAAACATGTCAAGACCCAAGGTAGCGAAGTGTCGAAGGGCATAAGCATCTTCCTCAATGCCATTGCCCAACCCTTGATAAGCAATGTCAAACAAGACAAAATGAGAGTATTCTTTCAGCACCGCACCAAGTTCCCGCCATTGTTCTCTCGTAGGGTCGGCGCCTGTAGGGTTATGACAACATGCTTGCAGGATGAAGACGCTTCGAGGCGGTGCAGATGACGCTGCCGAGATGATGGAGGAGAAGTCGATGGTACGCGTGTGGAAGTCGAAGTACGGATATTCGATCACTTGTAGGCCGACGAACTCAGATATGAGCTTGTAGTTACCCCAAGTTGGTGTGCCGACGTAAACCTGTGGACGCGGGGAGATGGATTGGCTCAGGGCTAAAGCAGCGAGGTGGTTGGCTCCCGTACCGGAGATGGTCTGGACTGATGCGATCTCGGAACCGTTAACGGGTTGTTGTTGGTACTGAAAGACCTGGGTACATACCTTTCCAGACTCTAGTGCCTCGCAGCCTTGTCCGAACAGAAGACGGGCAGCATGGCTCAAGAACTGCTGGTTTCCGATTGTGATCTCATACTATACCATGCGATTTAGATGTGACGATGAATGGTGTCAAGGAAGCAAACTCACGTCGTGGCCAGGATCACTCTCGGCCAAGATGGTCTTTGCCTAGCGGAAAAACACCAGTCAGTGCTTGACCCTTTCATTCCGGGTGTGAACCGATTGTACCTTTGCGACAGATCCAAGCTGACTATACAGACCACTTTCGTTTCTATAGATACCAACGCCAAGGTCGACCTTATTTGGTGACGCATCTTGGTCTGCGGCGCGCTTAAGAAAGTACATGGGGTCATCAGGACCCTTTCGAAACGAGGAGAACATATTGAGGGACGTGTAGAGTGCTAGTGTCGGGTAGAGCTGCGTGAAAGGAACGGTCAAGGGTATACGCCACGCACGCTTTTAAGTCGATAAGGGACATTTGAATTGAGATTTGCCAAGCTGAATATCAAGAAATTTTGAGAGATAACACCGAGATATGGCATTGCAGCTGGACTGGCCGAGGGAGTTGCTCGGTGGGCCATACCGAGCCCCCCCTTGAAACTTTGCTCGGTCGACCCCGCCGAGTTCCAAAATTGTAGATCGGCAGCCACAATCCATTACGGCCAAGGGATACTTTCCAGTCTGACTCGCTTTACACCGATAACAGGATGAGTGACTGCAAATTTGCTCTCGAGGCAACGATCCACTCTGGCCACGGTTCCACAAGGTCAAGTCGCGGCCTGATCTGGGTTCCATTGTCTCATCTACACCGGAACTTTTAAAACATTACACTAATGGGGAGAGTCGAAGAAAAGGGTGCATACTTTCTATCATACGGTTATCTTTGCAGCGCTATAGTGTCCCGTCTCGTAGCTCATACCGAGGTAAATACTAGTACTCAAATGAGTAGAACCGAATCTCAAGGAAAAACGCACTGAAGTACCATTCAGTTGAATGACTGGCACGTAAACTTTTCATCTAATTCCATGATATTTATACACTAGTTCAATTGTGGCGATGTTAATTACAGTCTATATCCCCTTGCCGCCTTGAGTTCTGCAGCATACCAATTCTGAATCGCCCTAACATCATAACTCAAAGCAACCGTATCAAAGACATCCAGATGTTCCTTGCACAAAGTTCCAGAGTTTGACAATCGAGCTACCCATTTTCCATGCTTTCTGGCCGCTGCGACAATCTTGGCAATGGCATCAACAAACTCGGGCTCATCACCTTTCGCCGGAACATAGCCGAGGAGAGAAAAGGCTAAATCATTGGGGCCGATAAAGACCATATCTTGACCGGAGTCAGCTCTGAGCACATGGTGGGGGAATTTGTTGGTAACTTACCCACACCTGGCACAGCACAGATAGCATCCACATTATCAACCCCTTGCCGTGATTCGATCTGAACGCACACAATGGTCGTCTCATTGGCCGTCTTGACATATGTTGCAATATCGATGTTGTGAGCAAAGCCTGCGAACGGCGACCCTTGTCCTCGAAGGCCTTGCGGTGGGAATTTGGAGTACTTTACTACCTCGCTTGCTTCTTCAGCAGTGTTGACTTGCGGTAGAATTATACCACTAAGGAACATCGGTAAGAAGATTTACTTATCCACCTTGCGACTGACTTACTGTGCACCACTATCAAGAGCCCTCTTGATAAGGTCAGGATGGGTCATTCTTAGACGGACGAGCGGCGAGACGCCAGCGGCGGCAATGGCTGCGGTAGCGTCATGCATGGAGTCATCGCTAATATGGCCATGTTCGCAGTCAATGATGACCGCCTGGAGAAAGAGTCAGGAAAATGTTCCAAGGGCACAAAAGCCAAGCTTATTATGCGTAGAACACTTACATCAACTCCAGTGGAAGCAACAATCTGAGCCGTTCGAAGAGACGGCAGCCCCAGAAAGGTCATGATGGGCTTTCCATTGGAGTGTAGAGCATTTAACATGCGTAGCTGCGGGTTACGCACTGGGGTCGTGATAGCTGATGCTCGTACCATGATGAGAAGTGTAATATGGTTTAGTAATTGGTCTAAATTGGGCAAAACGTAAGTATTTCTCGAATACCAAGTAGTGAACTGGGCTGGATGATTTGACTACTTTTCTTTCGTGTTCAATTCAATTACGTCCAGAATCGATACTTATCAAGGAATATCAGTGCTGTACAACTGAATTACTCTACCGAAGTGAGACTGCAGCCATTTCGGGGCGTGGGGCCGAGTTGACCTCGCGTCTGCTCCGAAAGCTGATGCCGAGGGACCGAGCTAACGTTAGTTCAGATTCACTGTGGCGAGGGCTATCCATGACGGATGAGAAGTGAACTTTAATTAGCCGCTGGTGGATTCGCAAGAGTCTATCTTTGGGAAATTGCGTAGGTAGGTGGTCGGTCTGCTACCTGAAGAGCATCTGGCCGACAGCTAACACTTCTCAAGTCTCGCCTCGAGTCGACTTTGGCTTCTGGGTCTGTGGCCTTCTTACATTTCCTGGGACGAACAAATAGGTAAGTGAAGTTCGTTTCCAGACTTGTATAACGGTTCAATTATTTGAAACATTACAGATGAGAATACTCTGGTGGTGAAAGCAGCTGAAAGCTCCATCGTTGATCAACACCGGAAACAAAGCTATCCTGGGGGGATAAGTTCCATGAAAGTTCTTTTCTGACTGTCAAAAGAGGTTTATGTTACTGGGCCATTGTTCGGCTTAAACTGATTCAATTCTGCTATCTGAGCTAGATGACCCTTCTCCCTTCACAAATCTGCCATTCATCAACCAGCCCTTTAATCCCCGATGTCACTCCCGCCTGCATTCCGTGCTGAGATTAACCAAACTCAAACGCTTAGTGTGAGAACAGTCTGGCCTCGGTACCATTGGCCTCGGCCTCAGCCACAATCTTCTTGTTGGCTCTAGTCAAATCCCACTTCAAAAACAGACAAGTGAGGCCACTAAGCGTAGCAAAGACAATAAGCAAAATCATCGCCATAAGATATCGAGGCTCGTCTTGGTCGCGGAAAAAGTACGGGCTCATGATGTTGCCAAGCTGTGCGATAACGTTAATCATGCTTGTCGCGACCGCCTTCTTCTCGGGTGTCTGGTTGAGAACACCCGCGGCCCATGAGTACACGAGACCATTGGCAGCGAAGCAGCCAGTGACATACAAGAATGATGCCACGTATCGCGCGGGCCCGTTGAGTGTTGACACGGAGATGACGAAGCCAACTACCGAAATGCCCATGGGGATGGCGATGTGATAGGACCGTTCGTTTCTCTTGTCGCTTGACCAAGAGATGAACAGGGATGCAATGGCACCAATGAGGAATGGTGGTGCTGTACATAAGAGGGTGATGGTGCGGGAACCAAGACCAAAGCCACTGACGATGGAAGGGTAGAAGTAGTTGAAGCCGTAGGCGGCATGGTTGCAAATAAGCATAAAGATCTTGAATCAGAGTCAGTATTTACGAAGGAGGCGTTGGAGCTGTACAAGGGAACTTACGAATACCCAGGTTCGGTAGTCGGTCACAGCTCGCTTGAACCCCCACCAAACAGAGCGATTGCTCTCTTGAGGAATGCGATCCATGGCAATTCGCTGATTGGCAACTCGAAGCTCCTCCTCTGTGAAGAGCCATTTCTGGCTTCCAGTATTAGATTCGGGAAAGTCGGGCAGCAGAACGAGGGCGCAAAGGGCGAGCATGAAGTTGACGGATCCGATGATGATGTAAAGCCACTACATCGAGTCTCGTTAGCAGCAAGTCCCCAGTGATGCGTGGTTTAGCATACCCTCCAACCTGCGAGACCTCGGACCTGGTCGAGGTTCGAAAAGACACCAGCTGCGATAAGACCAGAGAACGCTGTTGCAACAACAAGACCAGAGTATAGAATTGCCATGCGGAGACCGAGTTCACCACGCGTTTACCAGCAAGATAGAAGGAAGAAGACTCCAGGGAAGAATGGAGCCTCTGCGATACCGAGAAGACATCGAACGGTGATGAGATGACCGAAATTATCGACGGCGGCGGTACTGGCTGAAACGGCAGACCAGACGCAGGCCCAGATGGGTAGGTAGATAGAAGGGCGAACGCGAGTGAGAATCATGTTACTGGGGATTTGCATGACCATGTATCTGTTGTTTATTGTCAGCTTTGAGTCGAATCGGAGTATCAATGCACGAACCCAACGTTGAGGATTGAGACGGCTGTGCTGAACTGGGCTCCGGTAAGGTTGAGATCCTTCTCAATCCCATTCAGCTTGGCTTGACTATCCTTCGAATCAGCTTCAATCCACCGACTCAACAGTAAAAGTACGCACGCAATAGCAGTTCGGTCGAGATAGTTGAACAGATACAAAAGCCAGATAATCGGCATCAACGTAAAGTCCAGCTTACGAACGATACGTCGAGACGTCTGCTTGAACTGCTCATCCTCGATGGGATGATCATCAGTTTGAGCCTTGGCCAGCTTAATACTAGGTTCCTTTTGCCCAAGACCCTCGTCGTGGAAGGAATCAGGCTTGGAGTTAACGGTGTCTGCCATTGTGACAATGAGACGTAAAGTGTATGAAAGATACAGCTTGTTAAGGATGAGAAGCACGGGTTCAACTTGAGAGAAATATAGATCCCCTAGGGCTGCTTCATATACCTTTTCTTTCAGCTCATCACGCTTGGGAGAAGATCCTTGGGGTTGTCTGTTTTCGGGACAGGATCTGGGGTTTGAATCCGGGGTAAGAGGGCGAGCCAATCGCATGGTGGCCGAAGATATTAAACTCTACGCTTTTTTAGTCTCGCTTTCTGTCCGAGCAGATCAGACGGGTCAGTGAGTTACTCAATTTCCCCGCACTCTTCCCCGGATAACACCAAATCTGTGGGGGAGGGCGAGGTCGAGACTTTCGGAGTTCATCAGCATGACGATATCTTAGATTGCGTTTTTCTCCGTTAGATTCGAGAATGAAGCTCAGCGGACGAAGTGCCCAAGAATGCCAGATATCTACATGGATTATTTTACTCTTGCTGTGATGAATTGGAATTCAAGTTTGTACTAGACATGTGATCGTTTTTGTCAATTCAAGAGAAGCATGTAACACTTTTCTCTCAGCTTTACCGTTATGTAATCACTTTGCGGGGTATCGTGAGATAAGGTACCTCTCAGTTCTGTCTGGAGTTACCCTTAGATCTAATCCATGCAGTCTCGGTTCAAATAATGTCACAGCCACGGAGAAAAAGGCCGCGGCATACATCTGAAGTCGACAACAGGCCCGCAAGCGCAGCAGCCTGTGAAAGATGCCGATCACGCAAGGTCAAGGTATGCAGGCCAATTATCTACACTATCTGCTTTGTCTAACCATTCATTGTCAGTGCGGCGCTGAGTTTCCATCATGTCAAGGCTGTCTCAAAGCCAGTACCCAGTGCATCATTGCTGATCCATCGGCCCCAAGACCGTATACTCGAGAGTGAGTCTTGACATACCAACGTATAAGTTATGAAGGGAGATGCTCATGAAAATCTTTGCTTAAGGGAAGTTTTTGCACTAGAACAAAAGTTGAAACAGCTGCAAGAAAGAATAGCCGCGATTGATACCTCCATTGCATTTCAAGATGCCCCTCGACCCATCCGACAAGCAATTGTTGGTCGAAACGCAGCTCCACCAGATGTCGGTCGGTATGTTGGTCAAGATACGGGCGTCAGGTTTGTCGACTGTTACCTAAGAACTTTGGTGAGGAGCTAATGGGTGCATACGAAGTTTCTTGCTGTCAAGGCTCCATTCAGCATCGGATCGGTTACAGCAAGGCTTTCCATCAAGGTCGTCAGACGATATCCCGACGCCGCTTACTCGTATTGAGTATCACTTACCACATCCGTTCCCAGCTTATCACATTGCTATGCAGGCTATCGACCAGTAGTAAGTCATTGTATCTAAGCCTCCGTTACCTCTGAGAGTCTGACAAATACCAGCTTCAAAGAGTTTCACATCGCGCACCCTCTTCTTAAGCGAGAAGCGCTGCAAAGCTGCCTTGAGCAGGCTCCGAACTGGACGACCCAAGAAAGGACCAACTTGACACCCGAAGAGAGGCACGATATCTTCCAGCTCTACATGGCCACTGCTATTGGGAGTATCCGATTGTTTCGAGACAAGATATTTGACCAGCATCCTTTTGGGTTCTTTACGGCTGCATTGGAGATGAATCCTCCTGCAGAGTCTCGTTACAATACACTTGGGAACATCGAAAACCTCATCCTGATTGCTCGCTTTGGTGTCTATTATAATATTGGTACGTATGGAATACTAACTACATAAAATCACTGATTTTGTGACTGTGCTCATACGATCATCAGGATGCTCACTATGGGAGCTAAGTCGTCTCTGTATCCGGAGTTGCATCGAGTTGGATCTACACAGGCGACGCCCTAAGTCATGCGGAGCTGACCCCTCGCTCCTTCAACAATCTCAAAGGGTCTTTTGGGAGGCTTATCTTCTTGATAGATTTTCATCAAGGACTTTGGGGCGTCCTTTTGCAATAGTGGACAGGCTCATCTCTGCTGATATTCCGAGCTCGTTTCTGGAGACCCATGGAGACAACATCTCGGTTTTCCAATGGCTAGTGGGAATTGGAAGACTTTCTTCTCAGATACAATCCGCGATGGAGGAGCGAAGACCGAATTCTGCACCATTCAGTGCCGGAGCATCCGCAGCAGCGACTCCCGATCTTGGTGAAATATTATGCCAGTTGCGTTGTTTTCACCACGAGCTAAGCAGCTGGAACAAGTCAGCACCGCTATTCGACAATCCGAGTTGTTTATACGAGACCAGGGAGTTTTTTGAGTTGACATATCAGGAAGAGCGGCTGCGTCTCATCAGAGCAACCATAGAAGTTCTGGGCTCCAAAACGATGCTACCACCTGATGTACTTCTCGAGCCCTGTCTCCAAGCCGCTCGCGCTATCATCTGTTCTTTCGCTTCCTTGCGGGCCAGAAACTTGGTTACTTTCTCAAGAGCGTACATGCACCTTATCTTCACCACGGCGTTGGTGATTGTGGTAGTACTTGAGACACGTATGCGCCGGCAGGATGGCCCAGGGCATAAGACGAGGTCGTCTGGGATAGATGCCGATGAGTGGCTGCGGGATCTAGTCGATGATCGATGGAATCCTGAGCCTAAAGATGTGTGGAATGACTTATCAGTAGCTGGATCTTTGTTGTCATGGTTGGCGGACTCTATGCCAGACATGGCGGTATACAACCAGTTCTTTCAAAAGTTGCGCCACCAGCTTGAGACGGCGGGAGCATCTGGAGAACAACCTACGCAGCTCGTGTTGGAAAATGGTGTGCCAGGTTATGAACCTAACTCATCTCACAATAGTCCGCCTTCCAACACTTCAAGCGCCGAAAATGAGATGCCCTTGGAGAGAGGGGACCACCTGGATACCGGTGGTATCAACGTTCTTGATTTCACAAGCATTCAGATAGAAAACTCACAGCTTGATAGTCTGGGTGACGATGGTATGCCAGCAGGATGGCCACTTGCCTACGTTTTGGGGGTAGAGGGCATTTCGGCTGGCTTGTCGGAGTTTGTGTGGGATACCGTGGTTCCATGGGAAGAGTCGCCAGCAAGATCATCAGACTTTTAGTGCAGTTTTAAGAAATAGTATGTTTCATTGTGCCTACATAACTATGTCCCGAGCAGTGCTCCCTTAACCCTAGAAATCTTGTGACTCCATCAACTAAACTATTTATTTCTTGTGCTCTTGCAAGAACCGAAGTATGCCATCCGTGGCTCCGTTGATTGTAGCAATCTGAGTCTCATCCGTCGCAGCAGCAATATGCGGCGTCCCAACAAAACGGGGACTATTCCAAAGACGTTCATATTTGACCAATGTCGGCGGCTCCTCGCAATGGCAGTCAAAGCCGGCACCCCAGATCTCACCCTGCTCAAGCGCATCTGCCAGATCATCCTCATCAACAATTCCACCACGTGCTGTGTTTATCAATATGGCTGTTTTCTTCATCTGCTTCAACTGAGGCGCTGCAATCATGTTCTTTGTGCTGGGAGTAAGAGGAACGTGCAGTGTCACCACGTCTGCAACCTCGAGAAGCTTGGGAAGAGTTTTGACGCGCTTGTAGGGAATTGTGTTCCAAGAGCCTTCATTCTCGGGGTAATATGGGTCGAAAGCAATGATCTCTGCTTGTAGTCCACCGACGTACATTTGTGCAATGGCTTGACCGATATGGCCCATACCCACGACGCCGATGACCTTTTTAGACAGTAGCATTCCAGCTACCGTCTCCTTTCGAATAGCCTCCCCTTGAATACGTTGTCGAATGACCATCTGAGGTACCTCCCGAGCAACGGTGAGAGCCAAGCACAGCGCCATCTCTGCCACGGCGGAAGCATTAACGCCAGGGGTGTTGCAAACCTTGACATTTTGCCTCTTGCAAGCCTCGACGTCAATCTTGTCCAGGCCGACACCCTGTTTGCCAATGACTCTTAGTTGCGGTGCTGAAAGGAGGTCTTCTTCTGTGATGTAGTAGTCCTTGATAAGGATTGCTGTGGCGTGAGAGTGCCAATTCTCTGTGCGAGGATCACCATAAAGGATGCAGTTAAAAGACTTTTGGGCGTACTTGACGGCTTCTGGGTGGAAGTCGCTGAGGATGTACAGTTCAGGCTTGGTGGAGTCAGCCATCTGTGTTGTAGGTGGTATTGAGCCCATTGTAAAGAATTGTAAAGAATTGCTTGGACAATTTTTGCTGATCCCCTTTGTGGCTCCTCGACAAGCCTCCAGCTATATAACTGACCAGACAATTTGCAGATCGTCGTTGATAGAGTTGGTCATCTGGCCAAGTCCTCGGTATTAGAGCCATCGGGCGTCTTGCGAGGCTTGAGGTCCGAAGCGTGTAATACCCCAACCCCGCACTAATTTACCCCTCACAGTCACATCTGAACATTCAGTTGTACTGATGCTACGGTTTGTGTCATGGCTCTTGGCATTGCCGTCGCAGCATCATCAGTCAGAAACCGTCAATCTACAGTCTTTTTTTGTAAGTAATCACGATGGGGAGAGTCTCAAGGTACAAGTCTTTGTGTGAAACACGGCTGTACGCATGCCATTACTCTTGTTCTTTGTAAGGTATTCAGACAATCTCGAAGGGTCTTGGTCGTTGTGCTACACGGAGAATAGAAGTCTTCTTCAATTTGGTTAGCTCTGAGAAATCACACACAAGATGGCCGCTGTGAGCTGCCTTAAGTACATTGGTCCAACATCCTGAGCGCTAGCCTTGATTGTTTCAAGTTGATCACCAACAGCAAAGTCAACAGGTGAGAAAGCTGTAGCCGGGCTTGACATTGAAATCAGTAGTTTACGAATATCGAGTGCCATGCGTCCGTAATGATTGAGGCGAGGAAATTGGCGTCCCACTACGTCAACCTTCGCAGTGGCAATGTTGAAAGCGTCGTTAACCCCATCACCCTCAAAATTATTCGCCCAGGCTTGACTCTCCGGAGAGAGATGATAAGAGCGTGAGGAACTGGTAATAAATGATGGGACAGCTCCTCCAGAATTTTGGCAGTGAAATGATGACGGTGGCGGGTGCCATGTCATACTCGAGCCATCTGATTCCAGGTGACTTTGAGAAAGGCTCCGGGTGGCGTTCTCTCCTACTGCGTTTCTGACCATGGTGCGAACAGACATGAAGTATAGACATGTAAATGCCATTGTCAAAGAGCTGTAGCCAGTGATGAGAGAGAGATAAGAACGACCGGTCATGTGAACCCTATCTAAACTTCGCGCCACAGCTGCGCAAATTTGTGAAACTTTCAATCTCTTCATCCGGCTTTCTTCAAGGCCCAAGTCGCCTAGGAAAGAAGCTCTGTCTTGAGGTGAGAGTTGGGAGTCGTCAAGATCCATTTCAAATGAGAAAAGGGTCAGTAGCTCTGTGACTGCTAGCCGTAGCATGAGGGTATTATATAAAGATGTCTGAAAGAGATATATGTTACAGCTGTCTGGCTCATCGTGCGGTAGTGAGCTGATCCTCCAACTTAGAGCCTGTCCGAGCAGATGTTCGAAATCGTCTGACGGCGCCGAGGATTGGGGGCTGCTTGGAGTCTCACTAACGGCCTGAGACAGAAGGCGGGCATATTGGAAGAGTTGTTTGTGATACGCGTCTCGAGAAATAAGACGATGGGTCGTAGAAGGGGCCGTTCGGAGATTAGAAATGATTTGTCCATGCTGTGCACATTGACTAGGGGAATTCGATGCAGGATCTGGTAGAGGAGTGGTGATATGTCTGACGTCGATGCTTGGTGGTCTCCCCAGAGCGGCGCATATCAAGACATCCAGAAGATAACACCCCCAAAACGCCCATCTTCGCTGCTGAACTTCCAACAGTGATACGGAAGCAGACTTGGGATCTTCGCGATGATATCCCAAGGCGATGCATTTATTCATTGCGAAGCTGGAAAGATGCCAGGCGGACCCAGCAGCGGAGCAGTGTACTGCAAGAATGACGAGAAGCTGTAGACACTGAATGATATCGATGCCATCTTCCTGATTGAAGACTCTGTCGAGTAGCTCCATGCACTTTCCTAAAAGATGTACCGAGACCCAGGATCCTTGTGAGATGGGATAGGCATCGCTAACGAGTGGTACAATAGTGATGACAGCGTAGGCCATAAACACATGCGCCGGGTCTGTAGCGACAACGCGTCTGAAACGATCCTCCTCGGGGTGTGAAATTGCATCAATGCCCGCAAGCACCTTTTCCACGGGGAGACGTGGAAAACGGAAGTCCACTACTGCGAGGTATATCTCAAGAGCTTTGTTCGCGTCGGCAGGGGGAATACGTAAGCGATGCTTACTACCCTGGGGATGGTGGAGATATGTCGATATACCTTCCCATAGTGAATCGGGGCGTGATGTTGACTCAGGATCACCGCCGTAGGTCTTTGTGATGCCGGCAATTAAACGCGGGGTGGAGAGATGTTTGAGAAACTCGCCCCGACGAGAAGAAGGCTCAGCCATGGCGCTTAGTGAAAGGAATCTCATATTCATGCTTGTGGAGTGCGGTAAGGCTGCACTATCCTGATGCTCAGACGGCCCGGCTGCAGCTGGTGATAGGCTCTCAGGGTCAACCGCTGCAGAAGCATTGTCATTACTGGGCTCTCCTCGGTCATGGCTCCGAAGCTTCTCCTCCAAGAATTCAATCTGCTCCAGCAATCGCGTAACGGGGCCTTTACGAGCGATGACTCTGTTATTGCCGGATATAACAGTCCCCTCGGAAGCTGACCCAGTACATTCTGCTTGAGCTTCTTGGCATGGTTGACAAACAGGGATTGTGCGATCACATCGTTGTTTTCGGCGTGAACATCGCTCGCAGGCGAATAGTCGCTGTTCGGGGGTTGTGGACATTGAAACGGATGGCGAGCGAGTGCAACTTTGCCATTCATTCGTTGTATAACGTATTGAGGATTGATGATCTCGGCGTGGGTCCGCGAGATGCGGAGAAGACCTCGCGGACTCCACCCGAAGGGAACGGTCCTCGTCATCGGACACCCCGCGACGCTAGCTAGGCCCCAGTCACAGCCATATTAACGCTCGTCAACTCAGTAAAGTGACAGTGCAAGTCCAGCGGACATCGAATACAGCGTTCAACCGGAACAAATAACAGCCGTGGCTTGATCGGAAACAGAAACAGAACCTTGGATATAATGGACGCAAGCAACGGAAAACCCATCACGGTCGAAGAGATCAGGGCCTTGGCTCAAAAGCGCTTGCCAGCAAATGTCTGGCGCTATTACGTTGATGGTGCTGATGATCAATTGACGACTTTGAGGAACGAAGAAGTATACAAGAGGTGAGTTTATTCCCAGCCCTCTACATGATGGGCAACAGTCATCAGCATCGGTGCATCTACCCCGAGGTATATTAATATGTCTGACTCAACAGTCTTGTCATTCGGCCACGCATTCTTCGGAATGTATCTACTGTTGATACCTCGACCAAGATATTCGGAAAACACTACGACATACCCATAACCATCGCACCGAGCGCATATCAACGACTAGCTGGATACAATGGCGAAATAGACGTCGCCCGAGCAGCTTTTGCCCGCGGCACCAATATCTGTCTTTCTTCCAACGCCACTACATCCCTCGAAGACGTCACCCAAGCCCTGCCCTCACGCGACCCAAAGTATCCTAAACCATGGTTCCAACTATACTTTGTTCGTTCTCGGGCCATAACGAAGGAGCTTATCACTAGAGCAGAACAGGCTGGCTATGAAGCCCTCGTTCTGACGGTGGATACAACAACCATGGGAAATCGCTTGCATGAGCGCAAGAATCCGTTGAAGTTGCCTGCTAACTTGAGCATGGCCAACATGACTACCATCAAAGGTGGTGGCGCGTCGAAGGGTAGATTGATTCTGAACGCGGAGACAGCAGAGGAGGCTGCAAAGATTGAGAGGGAGCATTCAGATCTTCTTGTCGACTCGGCCTTAACTTGGACCGAGACAATCCCCTGGCTCCGATCTCAAACATCCATGAAGATTATTCTCAAAGGAGTCCTCACAGCTGAAGATGCCCTCCTGGCAGTGGCAGCAGGTGTCGACGCGATCATCGTGTCAAACCACGGAGGTCGTCAACTCGACAGTGTTCCCGCAACACTAGAGGCTTTACCCGAAGTTTCCGATGCTGTAAAGGGCCGTATCCCAGTTTTGTTTGATGGCGGAATCAGTCACGGCACAGATGTCTTTAAAGCTTTAGCTCTAGGGGCAGACATTTGTCTTTTGGGAAGGTCAGCTTTATGGGGCTTAGCTGTGAATGGACAACAGGGCGTAGAGACGGTGTTGAACATCCTGGAGAGAGAACTGTGGCGTACAATGGCGCTGAGTGGCGCTGCGTCAATTAAAGCTATTTCAAGCTCAATGCTGGGGGTGAGGAAAGTTGGTCCAGGCTTCGGTATCGCAAAGCTATAAAGATAGCGTCAAGACTTTGTGCAGCGCTTCATTTGTCGATTCCTTCATCGTATTTGAAATCGCGTGATTAATATTCAATAGGCGCAAACCGGATTTTGTATTACCGATTCCATTTGAAGATACTGCAAAAAGGCGTCAAAGTTAACAGTAATGATGCGGCTGAGAGACGGATCCAGGCACTACTTCCAATAGTTTATGGCTCTTGTCATATGTTATGTTATGTTATGTATATTTTTCGTCCGGGGGGCCGTAGGCCCCGAAAGTCCCCTACTGGGGCACAGGACGTGCTGAGCTAGAGAAATTGGGACCTATCTACACACTAATTACAGAATACTATGACTTCCTCTCGAATTCCAATTCTGCAGACGCGTCGATAGACCTCACACTATCCAGCATATCAACGGCACAAATGGCGCATCTTATCTAGCCTGTTACCCGGTGGCTCTTGTCATTTCATTGGACCGTGAAGCTGTAGGGTAAAGGGGAAGCTCAAGCCTCAACGGTCTTGGAGCTAACGATCTAGAAATTGAAATTACTGTCTGTGCTGAAGTGGATTAAAGCAGTCAAGTTGTAAAGAGTTGATTGGTCCACCGATAACTCAATTGGTGGCCCGGTTTCAGCTTTGTTATCCGCACATTTCTCTAAATGAAGCCCAAGCCACAGCCCGCGCTGCTCGTCCATCCCGTTATCAATTGGATGAACCGCAATTAGCTTCTGGCCTTGCTAACCAGATTAAACATCCTAAACCTTGCAGGGAAACAAAACATGATCCGGTGCCAAGAGGAGTACGGGGTAATCGGAACACGACGAACAATAAGCGGGCTTTAGTTCCAACCAGTACACAATGGCAATTAAACCACAGCTGAACGTGGCGCAACTTGTTTGTATTACCCTCGTAAAGGCGACTCAGGACCGAAGCTGTGCGAAGAAGTTGCCATTCTTAGCAAGCCTTATCTCTGACATGGCACCAGAGCGTTGTATATAACAGCTGGTGATCCCAATTCTGCTAGCAGATCACACGCTCATTCTTTCATTCTTTTTGCCCAGTCATTCTTTTACTATCTATCACATTCTTTTTACGAAAATGCAGTCGTTCATTACCCTTGCGGGCCTGGCCTTTGCCAGCTTCGCAGCCGCTAGCCCTTGTAAGCCGCGGCAAACAACAACTGTCTCGTCTATCGAGATTTCATCTTCTACTGAGATCCCATCCTCCACAGCGTCTGTGACTGCCGCTTCTACCAGCACAGACTATTCCGTCCCTGTTGTCTCTGAGAGCTCCACTCTCTCTACAGTAATCGTCCAGGAGACTAGCACCACCGAGACTAGCATTGCTGAGACAAGCACTGCCGAGACTACCACTGCCAAGACTACCACTGCTGAAACCAGTGCTGCCGAGACCACCACAGCTGCTGGCACTACCACTGCTGCTGAGACCACCACTGCTGCCGAGACCACCACAGCTGCTGGCACCACCACTGCTGACACCACCACTGCTGCTGACACCACCACTGCTGCCGAGACTACTACAGCTGCCGATACTACTACAGCTGAGACCACCACAGCTGCTGACACCACTACTGCCGAGACTACTACAGCTGCTGAGACCACCACTGCTGCCGAGACCACCACAGCTGCTGGCACCACCACTGCTGACACCACCACTGCTGCTGACACCACCACTGCTGCCGAGACTACTACAGCTGCCGATACTACTACAGCTGAGACCACCACAGCTGCTGACACCACTACTGCCGAGACTACTACAGCTGCTGAGACCACCACTGCTGCCGAGACCACCACTGCTGCCGAGACCACCACTGCTGCTGAGACCACCACAGCTGCTGGCACTACTACTGCTGACACCACTACTGCTGCCGAGACTACTACAGCTGCTGAGACTACTACGGCCGATACTACCACTGCTGAGACTACTACAGCTGAGACCACCAGTGCTGAGACCACCACTACTGCCGATACTACCACTGCTGAAACATACTCTGGTACCGCAACACTCACCACCGAGACTGCTGAACCTACTGCGGACCAATCGTGCGATAACGGAGGCCTGGAGTATGCCATCTACCAGCACCAATTCTACAACTCGGATCCCCCCCATTTCTCTTCCTTCAACGCTGATTACTTCCACACTGCCGTCCCTACCTTTACAGGCACCACCTCGCGCATCGGTATCCAGCCTGGCACAGACTACACCCAACCCTTCACTATCTACGAGGGTAGCCCCAGCCAGATGTATCAGTACAAGGCCGTCAACCACCGTGCATTCCTCTACGCCCCCGAGACTGGTACTTACAAGGTCACCATCCCCAACTCTGATGAGATCACACTCATTTGGTTCGGCGACAAGGCCTTGTCAACGTGGACTCGCGACAACGCCGATCTTGAGCAGGACTACCCAGGTGGCACTTCCAAGTCTTTCACCATTGACCTCGTGGCTGGCACTTATACCCCATTCCGACTCCTTTGGGCTAATGCTCAGGGAGAGCTCAACTTCATTGCTGAGGTCAAGGCTCCTGGTGGAAACGTCATTGTCAATGGTGATGGTAGCGATAACAAGTACTTTGTTCGATTTGCTTGTGATGAAAGCACACCGTCATTCCCTGCTTTTAGCGAGGGTGGTTAAGCTGCTACTCGGTTCTAGCGACACACATAGCAAAGTATATAGCACTTGTTGCATGAAGCCCAGAATACCTTTAGGATTACAGCTATTTTAATACATAATATTCAACAACATTACCATTCTTAACTATAAAGTTATTTATCTAGTCCTTATGTGATCTCTTCGCTGGCTGTTAATGAGAGTCAGTGAGTGGGGGCTGCATTGTAGGTAGTGCCTAATCGATAGCCCAGATGAAGAACTCTGTAATGGCTGTCTACGTCTGTATCCTTTGAGGCTCTGGGTGAATGACGTATTGAGAAATATGCTTGTTGGTTTGTGGAAGGCAAAAGTCCTCCCTCAAAGGGAATATGATGCTGGTATTAATCCTTCTTTTATTACTTCCAGGCATCGACGATGACCAGTGATGATCAATAGAGGGAACTCGGCTTCCGAGCCTTGAGACATGAATGAGCCCAGATATATAAATCAGAATCAGTTGTCGTTTATTGAATCGAGATAGACCAAAGTGCTTCATTGAGCGTGTCGTACACGTATCGATGTTTCTTACATTCCTTCAAAGCATCGACGATGATCGCTACCATGTTCACAAGAGGCAACTCGTTTACTGACGCCTTCATGAGAAGATAGATTGTAGATTCTTACAATATAAGAAATAAAATCCTTTTCTTCTTGCAGCTTATGACGATGAAGTTGATCCTTCTCGTCTCACTTATAACAGAATGCAATCGTCAGAAGCACGCTCGGTGTAAGCAACTCGGCAACTAAAGGCTTGAAATTCGGGTAGCTATATCCAGACTATCAATCCTAGAATCCATAATAATAACGGAGAGACGCGGTGTAATTGTGATACCAATCCTTCTCGTATCACAAAAATGATGATTGGCAGGCTGAGGCTTACACATACATGAAATCCTCATGCTCAGCTGCAGCTGACTTCGGAGCGTAAGCACCAGTGATCGGCAGTTTGATCCTCCGCAACAAATTATGTAGTGCCGGGAAGGCTAGTGCGGCTCATAGATGGATCTACCGCGACTATGACAATTATATCTACTAACTGTCAGTCTGCCTGCGCCGCCAGGCAGACTAAGCTGCTACTGTTTCAGCAATACAGAATGATAAGACTGTATCTCTGTAGTCAAGAGAAAGGCCACTATCACGCCTCTTACATTGAAGAATTTTTTTTTACAATTATAAGTTTCAGGGAAGGCCGTGGTATGTCTGGACAAGGAGCTGCGAGATGACTGCTGGGTACCTACATACGTTTAACGTCGAATCTCTCTTCATTTGAGTGGAGTGGATTTTCCCAGTGGATAGGAAGTAAATCTATGCAGATCTGTAATTTTGTCTCACCATCCTTTCAAGGTGAATACATAATGCTGGGTAACTATGATTGGCTTACCACTGCGCCCCGATATTGTGCTCTGAGGTGTAACTTACACAAACCGCAGTAGGAACACCTATCATCTCGTGACTGTTGAACTGACGTATGTCATGGATGAGGTATGTAGGACCTGGACATGTTCAATAAGAAAGTTGTCGCAAAGAAGTATACAAAGCCCCAAAGATTCCTCTGATCGGATTCCAAACCATCAACTTCACTGCACTCTCATCTCCATGACAAACCACTACTTCAAAAAGACTTTACTTTATACTCCACATCTTTGAATCACCAAAATACATTCCCTCATCGTCCTAGTCGCAGCTTTCGCTGCCCTGGCTACCGCCCATCCCGCACAGTCCAAGCCTGAAGGTCTTCATCTCCGCGCCATCCTCGGACCAGCAACCTGTCCCAGTGGTGATAAATTCGCCCTCAAAGAAGAAGACGCTGTTTCGGGAGCGGAAACCTTCAGAGCTTGGGTCGATGCAGGCGCTGACGGAATGGTCGATCTTTCTGGTAACTTCAAGGGCCAAATCTCGGTATGAACCTTCCCTTGTCTCTCCCAACTCGATTTACAAGGTGGACACCTAATCTGAGGGAACATCAAACTTACGGCGAGGTTACTTTCTTTGCCTGCGATTACAAGAGTGGAGCAGCTGGAAGCTTCATCAACGGTAACTTGGTCCAGGCGGTGCTTGGCAAGGGTGAGTATATCGATACCCAGTGCGGCAACGCCAGAGGTGGCTATGAGCGGAGTAACGATCTCACTATTGGTCGCACTTTTGTAAGTTACACTATCTTTTATACGATTCGGATGTATGTGAGCCTGGGGTCCCTAACATCTTGGAAATTTAGGCCGGTGACCACTATTGTTAAGTCTACGCAGACCCTACACATGGCCCTCATATTGGATCATTGAAAGCCTACTTGGTGTGCATATGGAGATATCACAAGGATATAGAAGTGGATAAGTAACTTCGAGATTGATATAAATGGCTTAATGGGTAACAAAACACCTGTCTTTCCCTAGATTTACAGTTATCTGTCTTTATCGCTCTCAATGACACTGTCATTACCGATATCTCGGCCCGTTTCTATGAGGCTCACTCTGGAACTGTGCCTTGGGTGACATTTCACAATTATTATGCTTCCGTATGTAACAGAGCCTGAAGTCTTGAAACGCGTGATATCGGTGTTTAGACGCGCATATCGGAGGTCTTTAAAACACATACTTAAACTCCAAGCTCTGATCTCCTTCCTTCCCGTTACTGTCCTTACCCTCTGCAATTAACTTCTCCTTCTGTCGCATGCGGTACTTTAGAAGTGCATATATAAGCCCGACGCAGGCAAGCGCGAGGACCTCTCCCCCGAGAGAAATCGCATTTCCCATGACGTAGCGGGGAGCATCTTTGATAGGATAGATCTGCGATGCAGCCATTCCAGATGCGTTTGCAAGTGAGATGAGCATAGAAATTGCTACGGAGCGCTTGTAGTCCGGCTGCATGTTGTTGGATACCCATCTACACATCGTTAGTTGATAGTCTACCATGTGGTTTGGGTCTTGACATACGTTACCAAAACAGTGTTGAAGGAGTAGACGCCACCGCCGACGAGGAACATGGCAAAGAATCCCGCAGCCTTGTGCCCCGTACCAACGACGATGGAGTATCCGACGATGACTAGTAGCGGAGAATGGATGAGGCAGATAGCTCGGCGGTTCAATCGATCGGAGACATAAGTGGTGGCAGCAGTGAAGATTGATGCCAGAACGTAGACCGGGATACTGAGATAATTGGCTTGAAGGGAAGTGTAGCTGTATCACTTATTAGCGGAGCTTTGCATGGAAAGCTCGTAAGCACTTACTCTAGGCCCTTGAGAAGAGTGGGGAGGAATGTGCCAAAGCCAAACAGTGCAATGGAAGCGCAGAATAGTGAGACGGAAGCAAGCCAGACGAGTGGATCAGTGAGGGCCATCACAACCTGCTTCCATGAGAAGCCTTCGGTTTCCTTGAAAGGATGGTTACGCTCCTTGATAAGAATCATGGTTGACTTCTCTTCTTCAGAGAGGAACCAAGCTGTTTGCGGAGAAGTCGGGAGACTGAGCCAGCATACGGCTCCGATGACGAGTGAGATAGCACCTTCAATGATGAACAGCCATCGCCAAGCTGACAAACCATGTCGCGCACCCATTGACTGGATTCCATAAGCAATAAGACCACCGAGGGCTCCAGAGAGTGCAATGGAGACATAAAGAACCGCAACACGTTTTCCTTGTGAAGCAGGTGGATAGATCTGGGAGACGACGAATGTCAGAGAGGGGAAGAGACCAGCCTCAAAGAAACCGAGGAGAACTCGACAGGCGACGACTTGGCCGTAGCTGTTGACAAAGCCAGTTCCTAAAGTGATGATACTCCAGCTGATTATGGCAATAGCGAGGACACGACCAGGTCCGAATTTCTTGACGGCGAGAACCCATGGTGTTTCGAAGACGACGTATGAGATGTAGAAATACATAGATACGTCGTTGAATTGGGTTCCATGCATGCCTGTGTCTTCTTCGAAGCCAAATACACGAGCGTTTCCTTCAAATGTCATGATTAGTATTCTGTCCTGTCCTGGCTTCCAAGGTTTGGAGGTATTTACCGATATTTGTTCGATCGAGGTATGCAAATAGAACAAGAAGTGCCATCTGCGGCATGACAAACTTGTCGAATTTTGACAATACCTTTTTCTCGACTTCAGTGATGTCGTTCATCTCGCCAGAGTTCTGATCGATCTCTTGGTCGAGTGGCATCTTGAGATCTGACTTCTTTTCGGAAGCTTCCATTGTCGCCTATGTTGAAACGCTGAGTCTAGTATAATTGATTGACAAGACGTTGCAGAAATATGAGGTTTAAATTGTGGATTACAGGTTCAGACCTACTCTTTTAAGGTCTCTGGAGCAAGCATGCATATCCGAGTTATCACCAGGTGATCGGCTACACGAGTTAAGCGATGCTCACTTATCCACCCCCGCATTTGATAGTCTGATAGTTAAGTTGTAATAACCGTCGGCGGAGACGGTTTGCTCCACAAGTGGAGATGATTCCATGGTAAATCTTTCCCTTTTCATAATTATACATGATAGAGATGAGATAAGAGCGATAGGAGATGATAAGAACTCACTGAAGTCTTTTCGCGCCGGACGTTTAACGCTGCAGCGTTGAGATATAGAGCATAATGCTCGACATGATTCGGCAAAGTCTACGTGTAGATGAATCAATCAGAAGACGTTATTAAGCTTGATAATAAAGTTCTTCTGCCATTACCACCTTTAGAAAGTCAATTGAAACTAAAGTTACTGGCTGTTACCCCGCGTTTTAGACATCCTTGCAGCCATGCAAAAGGTTTATGTCATAGTTCTTCGGCAAGATTGAAGTCACTTCCGAGCTCCAATAAGCTTCCCAACGGAGAATAGTCTCCGCCGACGGCCGACGGCCGACAAGGACCCCACTTTTGCAACTCGGCCGTTATCCTCAACCATGAGAGCGAATTATGACCGTCGGGGTCGATAAAGGATAACAGCTGAGGGGGTCATATACATAACTAGACAATACTTGGACTTATCAGGGAGCCCTTATCGGAGGATTGACATTGACAACAGTAGAGATCTCTTGAGATACGGACATTCGCGATCTTGCTTAAAAGCACCAACTTAAGCACCAAACGACCAGCAAACCAGCAGCGCATCATCATGGGCTCTCTTAGTTTACCACCATTCAAGATTAGCGAGGTCGATCTCGCCAAATCACTCCATGAGAGCTGCCAATTCGGCGCTGCGCATCGCTATGGAAAGTGAGTCTCCCTCACAAATCAACCTTCTTTGCAAAAACTAAAGTGGTTACCCTAGGGCTCCAACAGAAACCGGCATGGCTCGTCTAAGCCTCGACGACTCCGATAAGCAAGTACGAGATTGGTTCATTACCTATGCCAAATCGCTGGGATTGAAGACTTCAATTGATCAAATGGGAAATTTGTTTGCGATTCGATCGGGCAAGAACAATGATTTACCTCCTGTCATGATGGGCTCGCATTTGGATACGCAACCAACCGGCGGACGATATGACGGTATCCTTGGTGTTATCTCGGGTCTCGAGGTTCTGCGAACGTTGAATGATCATGGCTATGAGACCGCAGGACCAATTGGAGTGGTGAACTGGACCAAGTAAGTACCCCGCGACAAGTATGCGTTCCGAGGAACTGGCTGACCATTTTCAGTGAGGAGGGCGCCCGCTTCCCCAAGATGGCAGTCTCGTCAGGCGTATGGGCTGATGTCATCCCCCTCGAAACTGCATGGGATTTGAGGGAGGTCTTGGCTGCTAACCCCAAGTCGATGAAGGAGGAGCTCGACAGGATAGGCTACTGCGGCGAACAGCCCGCCTCGTATCGATCAAATCCTTTCGCCGCGCATTTCGAGCTTCATATTGAACAGGGTCCGATTCTGGAGGACGAGGGTCTTAAAATTGGCATTGTCCACGGTAAGATACATCCCTTCACCGGAGATTGTACGGTGACTGACAGCGGAGGACAATAGGCGTCCAAGCGTTCAAATGGTTCAACATCACCGTCAAGGGTCGAGACAGCCACGCAGGAACAACACCGTTATACGCTCGCAAAGACCCCGTCCTGTGCGCCAGCAAAATGCTCGTGGCCGCCAACGTAGTTGCTAAGAGATTTGACGGTCTCGCAACAACCGGCATCTTTACTACCGACCCCGGAACCGTCAACACAATGGCCCACACCGTCAAATTCACTCTCGATCTCCGACACGTCAAGGATGAAGTCCTCGCAGAGATGGTAAAGGAGTGCGAGACCGAGTTTCAGCGAATCTCTCGAGATGATAGCGAAAAGGGATGTGAAGTCGATTGGGAGCTTCTTGTAGACAGTCCAGCGGTCAAGTTCAATCAAGAGTGTATTTCGGTCGTGGAGCAGAGTGCTGCGGATGTTTGTTCGACGTTACCGCAGAATGCGGAGGGTAAGCTTTGGAGACCCATGATCAGTGGAGCGGGGCATGATAGCTGCTACACGAACCGGGTTTGTCCTACGAGTATGATCTTTACACCGACGAGATCGGGAATTAGCCATAACCCTACAGAGTATTGCTCACCTGAAGATTGGTAAGTCTTTCCCGTACCTGGAAGGGTTGGAGATGCTAACATGATGTAGTGCACTGGGTGCGAGTGTTCTTCTTGGAGCGGTTCTGCGATATGACAAGCTGCGTGGAAACAGGAGCAAGTGATTGAGATAGTTTGTATTATTAGTTGAACATGTGATATATAGGGAATGGAAAAACCTTGTTTGACTGCACTCAAGAACAAGCCATGATAACAATTCTGAGACGGTAATGAGAGTGAGACGTGATGATTTTTTTCCGAAATAGAATAAATCTGGAGAATGGTTAGAATTTATAATCGCGGGCTGAAAGCATAATGAATATCGACTAAAAATATGACTCTCACTGATGCCATGATTGGCTCCATGATAAGGTTGTTGAATATCAACAAGACAGATCAAAGCAGCCCCTCAGTAAGAAAACTTTGTTGCTATATGAACCTATAGAATGAAATACAATTATTATATCTCTACACTGCATTCGCTTATTATCTAAATTCATATTTCATGGCGTACAAATGCGACCATTTATATTCCATGACAGACATGATGTTCGCCGAGACCAACTGCCGGCATTGTAATCACGTGTCCCGGATATCGGCGCAAACTCGGACCCCGCTAATTCAGTACGACGCTCCCTCAATCGAATACCGTGAGCTTGTCCTTATCAGCATCTCCCTCACAATGAATCATGACGAGCACTTACAACCGCACCGTCAAGTTGCGGGTATAAGACGCTATCGATCCAAGTCGCAAAGACCATGCGATTTGTGTCGCGCTCGAAAGGTGCTATGCAACATCCCTGATCCGACGCGTCCATGCCAGCTTTGTGATCGCACCGGACGCGATTGTACGTTTGTTGGCAATCCGAATAAGAAGCCGAGGGATAGTCGGACAAGGCGGACCGACTCCGATGGTGGGGGGACTCCGATTGTTGTACCGCAGCCGGAACAGCCGCTCACGCAGGATGTTGGTGTGTATGAGACGCTGCGCATGCCAGATGGTGAGAAGAGACCCGATCTCAAAGGTCTGGACTGACAGAAAATAGAGGTCCAATCATCCGTAATTGAGCCAGGGCTAGATCTGACCCCGCTAGATGGCACAGTATCCCAGTCCATCTTCTCACCGGGCGGCGGAATCAACTGGGACCTATCATTCGATCAGCATGGAATAGATGGCGGCGACCAGCCGTTTGACTTCTTCGCCAACGGTGAACTTCCTAATCTAGAGCCCCTCGATGATCCAACGCCCTCAGACGATTACGGAGACATTGCCATCGCCACCCCTGGCAGAACAACGGAACTTCCCGCCAGCCCAAAAGCCCTTTTCGAGCGTCTTTCATTCGACCAACGGCCAGACCACTCAACATCACTAATTGGGTTCTCTAACGAGTCAGATCCGTTTTCCCTCCACCATTTTCCGTATTCGAGTAGTGACGAAGTCGACTTTTATCGCGTTGCATATCGAAGGCAACAGCACCCCCAAGATCATGCGTTCCCGGCGAATCCTCCCATTCATTTTTTGCAGAGTCAAACGGGGACTGCTATCGAAAGCCAAAAGATTGTCGACAAGTGTATGTCCTCCCTAGGTGATCGAGTACATCTCGACAAATTGGTCGACCGAGAAACGGGCATGGCTCTAGTAAAACTGTACGCCTCTACCCCCCCTCCCTTTGTCCATCAACGATGTACTTACTCGCCTCTTCAGCTACTTCAGATTTGTCTTCGAATCCCTACCCATCTTGTCTCGCTCTCTCGTCTTTGAAGACTTGAACAAGTTTGTCGCAGAAGCATCAACCGGCGTACTAGCAGGTATCTACGCCCTCGCATTGCCCTTCACCCCCTGGGACGAAAAGCTCTGTCTCGACAGCGCATATTTCAAGCCCAACGTCAATGATCTTTGGCAAGTCTCCTACACCTGCCTGCAAAAGGAGCTTCACTTTCCCCGTCTCTCCACAATCCAGATATTCCTTCTCCTTCTCAATCACACTCCCTTTGACGTAGTCGTCGTCGAGAACCCCTTTGTATGGTCATTGGCAGCTTCGATGCTGGCCATGGCACAGTCACTTGGCTTGAATGTCAACTCAACTGGATGGAGGTTGCCAGCGTGGGAGATTCGCCTTCGAAGGAGATTATGGTGGAGTGTTTTCGTCGAGTATACTTGGCGAGCAGTGACCCACGGTCGATCTTCCATGATATCTGACGACGACTGGGATGTCTCGCCACTTACATCTGCCGACTTTACTATTGATCCTACAGCCAATCTGCCAGAGAGCATTCGAGACCAGTCTCTAGACTATTTCATCCATCTGTGCTCACTGACCGAGATCACAAGTGGTGTTTGTCGACAATTCTTGTACGATATCTCTATCATCTCCTTTTTCGACTTTGCATTGCTTCTTTGCGACTGACAACCCATAGCTCCCTTCGTGCCGTGTCCCGGCCTCAAGTTCTTGAGTCCCTCCTAGAACAGGCACGCGGTCCCCGCCAGCAGCTACTCAAATGGCTGGAGGACCTCCCAGAATCTCTAGCCCTCAGACCAGAGCCGAGTGATAGTGATGCAGATGACTCAGTCAAGAGTCACAGATCCCTCTACGTTGCGTATTACACCACGCATATTCTCGTTCTACGAGCATTACTACGTCCAATCATTGACAGCAACACTCAGCTCAATCATGTACAATCTTCCGTGGAAACAGTCCTACAGGCATGTCGTGGCCTCATCCAAACAGTCATCAAGTTCATACGTGGCTTGGATGCAAGGCACCAATCGGCATTCTGGCCCGCATATACACGGAACTGTCTAGCATATCCCGGACTATTCTGTTACATGCTCTGCCTACAGAAGAGGCAGCCTGAAATGACGTCGTACGACCAGAACCTTCTCGCAACATGGAGAAAAACTCTGCGTACTCGGATGCAGTCCTGGCCGTTCCTACGATTCGCTATCGTCAAGGTTGACGCTATTTATTGGAAGAAGCTGTACCAAGACAAAAACTGAGGATTTGATTGGAACACGTGTAGCATTGATATTGTAAATGGAATGCTATTCACTGTAATGAATAACTGCTAAATTTATAACTAGAAAGATTTTATATCTAGTGGTCATGGATTGAAAGCCAAACCGCTATCAAATTATAAAATCTCGACATTCTCCGCATTCGGCGTGAGTCTGATGGCCGGGACAAATGATATACAGCATTGCGCATTTCGTCGGCCATTAACTTAAAAGCTCCGATATAAGGAATAAAAAAAAGAAACTAATTAAAATTAAAACCAGGAGTATACTCACAAAACTGATGGCTGCTATATCAGAGACTTCAGCCACGATAGTACGACGATATGGATTGGCTGGAAGCATGGATCCTCCTCTCAAGGTTGCATTCTGACTCAGACACAGAAGAATGAGATGTCTCTCGTCACAGTGATTCGATGTTCATTGGAAGCATTGCATGCCACAATGCGTAATTGAGGCGCCAAAACACATGGGGTGAAACGACATATTGAAAGCCTATGTAAGGTTGATTGAACTTTATGTGAACTTTTGGATAGGATGTCGTCTTCTGCAGCCAAGATCATGTGATTTATGTCTCATTAGAGCTTCATGATACACTTTGAGGCTTGTTCTTAATTAATCTGGACCATTGACAAGACAGCGTTGGGAAGTATGTCTTGTAATATCCCTGATGCGTTACACGATACAAACCCTTCACCGAGATTATAATATGCCACCGAACAATCAGAACCCTTGTAGAATAAAAATGTGGTTCATCAACGTATCATGACACTGTCATCATGTATCAAAAAGGCTTTATCGATAGCTCACACCATTTTAGACAACCTTGTGACATTCCTCCTAAAAGGTATTACAGACAAATAAGACGAGCAGATGGTACTGCCCCGCTGCCTAACATCCACTCCCAACATTACAAGTCGGGGGTGTGATGTCTTGACCTTGCAACACAGTTTATTGAAGTCAGCCCAGCAGAGATTTACCTCGAAGTGTAGTGGGAGCGATAAGACGTTCTCCACACCCTGATAATGCCTATATATAGACCCTTTATATAACTTTTCTTCTGCTAAAATCATCCAACAAAGATCACCATGGCAACAATCAGTAAGTCCACCCTGTCCTCCAAGTAAGACCCCGAGGCTAACCCTCCACTACCAGGCAAAGTTGAACATCATACTGTCCAGGTCGAGAAGAAGATAAAGGATCTCTGCCTCCTGGAGGTTATGGTCGATATGTTCTACCGTGTGTCTCGTCTCGAAGTCGTGAGCCACCGCAGCAGCTATCCCGACCTCCTTGTCGCTGCCTTCTACGGATGGGTCGATATCATTGACAAAATGCTCAGCTTGGGCAGCAACCCTGATATCCAAGACTCAAAGGGGGTAACGGCACTACATGTTGCCTGCACGTCTCTGGAGGAAGCCTCGACGGAAATAGTTACAGTTCTGATGAATGATGGTGCTGATCCGGACCTACAACTCAAAGATACCGGCTTTACTCCTATGCATCAGGCCATCTGGGCATGTCGGGGGGAAGCTGACCCCTGGGACTCTAGTGGAAAGGTTGAGGCACTCCTAGATGGAGGAGCAGATATCAACATGCAGGACAGTCAAGGCCGTGCCCCTGTCCATATCGCGTCTTCTATCCCCTGGGATAACAGCCTCTTTAAGCTTCTTTACCAAAATGGTGCAAGGCTTGACCTTGTCGACGACAAGGACAGATCTATCTTGCATTACGCAGCGGCATATGGAGACCTAGAACATATTGAATACCTGCGCTATCTTCGGCTAACAGAACCGGATCCAGAAGGCAAAGACATCAACAGTTACACTCCAATGAATATGATGGTATGGAGGGAAAAAACTGAAAAAGAAAAACTTTGGCAAAACATGAAACGACCAACTGCGGAAGAACTTGCATCTTTCTATTCTTTGATCGAAGAGATAAAGCATCACAGGCTTGAGCGCGCGTATACCAGAACAAATAGGAAACTTAGCGGTGGCTGTTTCCAAAGTAACCGCCCAGGAAAACGTCTCAACGCTAAAGAACGGTCAAAGAAAGGGAAACGTCTCACCCATCGCGACAGCAGGCCGAAGAAGGCCAAGCTCCTCCTGCCGTTGTCTATTGAAGAGGAAGGGACAGTTAGTGGTGTGCAATTTAAGTTTGATACCAGGGAAGGTTAGAGGGCTACTATAGGCAATCAGCATCATTACTTCAGAAAATACTACTCAACCAAAACCACTAAACTCTCAAAGTGAAGAAGAACCAAAAACTAAATATGCAATGTGATTTACTTGTCAATCGTTGAATACAGACTCAAAATACTAAACACATATAGGTCAATTAAGATCGTAGCTTATGATTGGGCTATCTTTAAAGAGGTCCTTGAAGAAGCATATTCGTGTCCAGAGAGGAAGCTGGCCTCTCGAAGGTCACCTAATGGAGAAATAAGAGACTAACTACTTCTTGCCATCCCATTGGCCTGCATAAAAAGCTAAAGGATTGTAATGAACTGTAACTTTGACCAATTTATTTGCTGACGATGCTCTTGTTAGATTGCAGGAAGCCTATTTCCCAATCGAGCAACATCCAACTCAGTGGTCTCGACACGAAAGAATGACTAGTGTGAATCTGAGGTATCCATTGGACTACGTGTGAATCCAGAGGGAGCTATTGGACTGTGTGTGCGACTAGATCGATGGATCTAGTATACCAGAGCTGATAGTTTGATAACCATCGTACATGAGGGGGCTTTATAGTTCAATAGATAATCGATAATCAATCAGTTTCCGCCATTTAGTACACGTTTCCTCTCAGCTGAAACTTGGAGGCTGAGATCACGGCTTGGCTTACAACTTGGCGTGCTTTGCCAACTTAGATGGGGGCTGTTGAGGAAACTCAATGGGTCTGGCGTAGTAGCTTTTCCCTCTCTTACACCAGAACACCATAATACTAAATTATATAGGGTGAAGATAAGCTTTCCGGCATAGGTCTCAACTGCAAATAGCACATGTCACTCACTGCGGTACAAGATAGTATAAGTTCTAATCTGTCCAATGTCTCTACATCCCCGAAAGGCCGACAATTTGCACCATCATACAAGCTTCGCAGTCGTGGAGACATTACCCAATACCCTTTAATTCCTTATCTTACCCTGTTCAAAATGTCGCAGTATACTTTGACAATCAAGATTAGCAAAGACTCGGCACGAAACAATTTTGGGAGGGGTTATAAGGTTCGTTTCGCTTGCGGCGTTGAAGTCGGCTGTCAAACCCACTATACTGTTATTTCATCAACCCTCCGCTTCGTGAACAATGCGAGCGAGGATTCTGCGATTGTGTACAGGGAGATCAATGGTAAAAAACTCCCATCTAGGCCAGCGCCAATGGACCACTGCCTCAGGGTACGGAGGAGATAAAGCCCGTCAATAAGGTTGCAGTGTGGCTCAGTCGGGATGGGCAGACTGGTAGTATGGTGTCTAGGTTCGACGGTGAGTGTAGGCATGTTGATATGCAGGGTAGACATAGTGTGACCCTTGAGTATAATGATGGTTGGTCGGAGCGTGAGTGATGGAAGGGAAGTTTAGTACAGGGGAGGACATGGTTGGAAGTTGACGAGTCACTATGGCTGGCTAGTAGATGACCTTTTGTCGCAGTCCTCAATGCAGCCATGGGGTTGTGAATACGTCGATATTACTTTGACTTCATGAGAGACTATCTGGTCATGGAAGCTAGACGAAGTACAACGAAGAAACACCATGCGTGGAAATAATGGCATACCGGAACGAAGCCTCGAATGTTATTGTATTATTTTCTACGCTGAGGTCACTTTACCTCTTAGGAGTCTGACAAGCTATTCTACCCTACAAGGCAATCTGCCTTTCATGAAGCCTTGCTATTCTCGAACGGATTCAGCAGCCACTAATGGCTCTTTCGGCAGTCACTCTCACAACACCCAACTGGTGATTCGTCAGCCCGATCTCAAGGCAATAAGATGAAGTCTAGTAAGGTTTCGGGGACCAAGAAGCGGCGGGAAACCCGTTGGGGCGGAAAGTTTAATAAACGGGGCCGTCTCGATATAGATTTACGGGAGGTCCAATGACAGCTGACGCGTCGGGGTTCCACTCTGGAAGGTTGTTAATAATCTAGAAACACTCTATTTCGGAGGATTTATACCCCGTGATATTGAAGTATCCTTAATTATAGTCTTATCTTGTGCTGATGTGCTGGTGTTTTATGGGGATAAGCTTGATGATGTGCTTAATTGATAGAGTGTTAATGCTAGGAAAGATATCATGATGGCCGTGAGATACGCATCTCAGCTGGGCAGCGATTTGTTTGCTGTAAATAAATTCCTCCTTTTTGCCTCCAGCGTCAATAATGATATATTTCACCAATTATCACTTGCATTACAGGAATGCCTTGCATTCAACCGCTGCGCCATAGTCGACCGCTGAAATCTCCAACCCTGGTTGACTTGTGACATCCAAGCCTACCTCGTGTTCAACTACCGATCTACACAAAATCTTAGTAATCCTCGGACCTTTTGAAACTCACTCACTGTTAATATCATCTCGTCAAGGCTCAGCTCCCAAACACCACGAGCTTACGTGTTTCCGTCCGAGACCGGGGCCTCTACACCCCTGCACCATGCGGCTGAATGGGAGCCTCAAAACCCAGGTTACATCAGCCGAACCAATCGGGAAAAAGATGTACAGGGAGCATTTACGGTTCGACCTGTTACATTGACGTAAACTCAATCGGTGGATATAACATAAAGGGTCATAGCCTCAACTTATGGACTTTCGCGAGTCAAGTAAAACCATTCGTCGTCGTAATTCTTCTGTGACATCAACGCACGAACCGCTTATGCACGGCCATCAGGCAGAAAAAAACATGTCACTGCTCAATTCAACTCCGCCTCTTAGTAACGGCTTAGTCTACACCAAGCTCCGGCATTCGTGGAACCTGTCAGTAGTGATTGACCTGTGGCAATGCCGGGCTGGCGCGTATAATTACCCATTCAGATATCACCCTGCGCTCCATGTATGGAGCCCAAGAGGAAATGCCGTGAAGATCAAATCGGATCTACAGGAGAATCCCTTGTCGTAAATCGGGGCGCTAATAGTCCAAGTGGGATAGAGTGGACCGGCGGTAGGACCTTTGTGATTCGAATTTCAGGTTTTGATGATCATATTGTTCTCTGGCCATGTCATTACAGATTAGACTTCATATGCCGTCTGTTGATCTATCGGCGAGGCGAAATTGGTAAAAGTGGAAGGGCTGTGATGGGAGTTGGTTATATAGAGATGGGAGAAGCGCTGTGATGAAAAGGGATTATCAGATCTTCATTACTCTGAGTCAAAGGATCATAGTTATTTTGTCTACCGCTTTGTGCATCGAGATATGACAGATTCTGTACCGCGTCTGCTGCGGCAGCTGTGTGACCTGCCGCCAATGGTGGTCAAGCAGAGTCAACAGTTTCGATCGCTTGTAGCTTTGAACTCAGACAAAGCTGATCTCTTGGCTGCCATTCCAACAACCCAACAACATTCTATCACATCTCTTCGCCTCTTATGTCATCTCCTTGAGGAATTACCTGGATCATGGCCAGTCTTCCAACTCATCAAGACTTACACGGGACTCTACACTCTCCTCCCAGAGGATGCCAAGACAAACAGCAACCACGAGCTCTCTTCCCTGATCAAGCAAGCTTCAGCGCTAGTCAAGTCTTCGTATACATCCTTTGCACAGTTCATTGGTTGCGATGACAAGGCAGCCCTACGAGCCCCCACAAATGAGGATGTCATCACTCATCACGAGCTACGGCAGTTCGTTGACAACTTCCAACTACCAGTTGATGCATCTGATAAGAGACCTGTTGTTTCCATCGCGCTGCCAAATGGCCCGCTGTTAGCGGCAACATGCATCGCTGTTACGACTTACTACACTGCCTCACCGATCAACCCTGCTGCTGGAGCGGAACAATTTCGAGCGGACATTCTTCAAGCGAGAGCGAATTTTATCCTAACAACGAAAGATGAGTACACGAAACTACAGCTCGATGCCCCTTGGGTGTCCGATAACTATATCCAAGTCTTCATCATGGACTGGACTCGAGATGAAGGCATCTCGCTAAAGACGCTCGATGGAGAAGCAGTCCCCACTGGCAACAGACAACGAGGCGCTAACATGGCTGATGACATCGGCCTGATTCTCTTCACGAGTGGAACATCGGGTACCAAGAAGGTAGTACCACTCACAGTCCACTCCATCATCGCTGGTGTCGCTTTCGTCATTGAATCATGGGGTCTCACATCCGCCGACATCTGCCTAAACATGATGCCTCTCTACCACGTGTAAGGCTCTTCACCATCCTCCCCGTAGCCCCCGCTAACGATAAGCAGAGGTGGCCTTGTTCGAAACATCTTTGCGCCAATATTCTCCGGCGGCTCAACGGTTTGCTGTCCCTCCTTCGATGCCAACCTCTTCTGGGATGTAGCTGAGGCCATTCAGCCGACATGGTATTACGCTTCACCTTCGATGCACTCTATCATCATTGGAGAAGCAGCCGCACGACCAGAAGCTTTGCAAAAGAGTCGAATACGGTTGGCTTGCAATGCTGCTGGTGGGTTGTTACCCTCTTTGGCATACCAATTGAGGGATACGTTTAACTGTGTCGTGTTGCCGAGTTATGGAATGACAGAGTAAGTCACTTACACCGTAAAGATGATATATGCTAACAGCTTTAGATGCATGCCCATCTCTACCCCTCCACTAGACTACCGTCTCGATCGAGAAGGTACATCAGGTATCAGCACCGGCCCTGAACTCACCATCCTCGACTGGTCCGAGCAGAACGTCACAAACGGTACCGTCGGAAGAATCTGTGTTCGCGGCGAACCTGTCTTCCCTGGCTATCTCAAGACCGATGGTACATACGACAAGACACCTTTCAACGAGAGCGGCTGGTTCGATACAGGCGATCTGGGATACATGGATGATGATGGATATCTTTACATCACTGGACGGAGTAAAGAGGTAATCAACCGTGGTGGAGAGTTGATCTCTCCATTTGAGGTTGAGAATGCAATCATGACGGCTTCTCGGTCCAGTGACTCGTCTATCTACGGAAGGGTTTCTCAAGCTCTGGCGTTCTCAGCATCGCATGATGTCCTGCAGGAGGTCGTCGCTATCGTTATCGTCACACCTCCCAATGTTCCGCGCGTTGATCTGAGGACCCTTCACGGCGCATTGAAGTCTTCACTTCAGCAAGCCAAGTGGCCTGTGTTGATCACTTACATGAACGATCTTCCCAAGAACAACAACAAGGTGCTACGTATCAAGCTTGGTCAACGCTTAGGACTTCCTTCTGTTACTGATGATACACCTCACATGGGAAGACATTGGGATGCAGTATGCCCTCCGGCTGATACACCTTTGTCGGAGTCTATTCAGTGCTCCCCTAGCTCTGTCGACTACACTAAGCTTGCGACACATATCCAGGCCATTGTATCAGATATCGACGTCTTCTGTCTTCCCAGCAGTCATGATGGTTCACCAGAAGCCGTCCTTGCGCCTAGGAAGGCTGATGTTAATGTGCACTCTGAGCTTGTCAACAACATTCGACACCAATTGGTATCGACCATCGACAACTACATGATCCCAAACGAGATTCAGATCATGCCCCGACCATTTCAGAAGGATGCATCTGGCCACATCGACGTTGAAGTCCTCCATGCAGAACTCGAGCAACTTCAGATGGCTTCTATGAATGAACTTGCCGCTAGCACAGAAGGGCTCGTCACCAAAGCCTTCGCCGAAGTTTTATCCATTCCACCAAGCGACATTCCCCGCGAAGCAGACTTCTTTAGTCTCGGTGGTGACTCGCTTCGCGCTGGTCGCCTTCTGTCAGCGCTTCGTACCGAGTTCAGCATCAGTCTTCCCATCACTACTGTTTTCAATGGCGGTACTGTTACCTCCATTGCTGCACACATAGACAAGATGCTCGACAGTAAGACCGATGATTCTGACGAACCTAGGGCCGTCATCGGATGTACCGAGATTTGCAGTTCCACGAACCCCTTTCTCATGATACTTCAACTCTTCCCCCTCGTGATCTTCTATCCCTTCCGCCGCGCCGTTCAATGGACAATCTTCTTCGTCACCCTCGCCCACAGCCAAAAGCTACCCACCAACCATTCCCTCCCCGGTCGTTTTCTCAACCTCACCGTCTCAATGCTCATCGCCCGAATCATCATGGGATTCGTATCACCCATCGTTGGCATCATCTGCAAGTGGATCATCATCGGCCGCTATCGAGAAGGGCTGTACCCGATGTGGGGGATGTACCATACACGATGGTGGCTTGTGCAGAAGATCGTTGCTATTTGCGGCAAGGGGTTCTTTGATGCGAATGAGGTGACTGAGCGGATCTACTGTCGGCTTATGGGTGCGAAGATCGGGAGGAATGTCAAGCTCGAGGGTACGGCTCTTGGAGAGTGGGATTTGATTGAGGTTGGTGACAATTGTAACCTTACAAAGTGCATCTGTCGACCTTTTGCTGCCGAAGGGAATACTTCCATGTATCTTGGTCGCATCACGATTGGAGACAATTGCTCCGTCGGAATGTCTTCCATCATTGCGCCTGGTACCAACATGCCGCCTGATACATGCCTGGGCTTCAACTCTTCGAGCTGGGAGATGCAGGACGCGAGTGAGGAGTACAGAGATCAACTTCCAAGTGAGAAGCCCAAGCCTCACTGGGTGTTGAATGTTCTGTTCACTATGCCCCTCAAGCTCATAGGTCTGTTCCTTTCTGCTGTTCCTTGGATGGCCGGCCTTGTTGGGATGGTCACTACACAGGGTCAAAAGGTGAACCATAAAGCTCCATTGAGGAGCAGTGTGGACTGGTTTACCCAGCCTAACCGAATTGCCTACCATTACCTCGCGCTTGCTCTTGGCTGCCTTTTTGGTCCATTCTTTCTTTTCGGGTTCGTCATCTTGGCCAAGTCTGTACTAGACTGCATCTTCGGAAAGATCAAAGCTAGTTCACGAAAGGAAACGACCACGGTGGATATCTGGAGAGCGAACTTGATCAAGGCACTGTTACCTGAGGGAAAGCTGCACCGGATGACTTCTCTGTTTGGACAGCACTACGAGGCTACCTCAATTGCGCTGAGAATGCTTGGGGCCAAGATTGGTCAGCGGGTTTACTGGCCTGGTACTGGTCCTAGTATTGGCGACTATCATCTCGTCGACGTTGGCAACGATGTCGTCTTCGGTTCGCGCTCTCATCTTATTACATCTGATGGTATTGGTTCTGAGAAGGTCACCATCCAAGACCGTGCCATGATCGCCGATCGTGTTTGTCTTCTTCCTGGTGTCACAGTTGGTGAACGAACTACCATGGGATCTGGTGCCGTGACAAAGAGAAATGGGAGCTATGTCTCTGATGGTACTTATGTTGGGTCCAAGGCGGGCGATGCAGTCTGTTTGTCAACCGGCAGTGACCACAAGGTCTCTCGCTCTCACATCCGCAACATGCAATCGGAGGTTACTCTCACCAACGACAAGAAGTTCAGCGATGAGAAAGAACGTCCTGACACACAGCCAAGCATGGGTTCCGGAAGCGATACCGAGGGCAGTGATGGTAAAGATGACTGGGCACAACATCTCTCTCCATTTGGTCGAGCTTTCTACCTGAAGTTGGCACCTTACCACGTCCTTGGTCCTTTCGCAATCTTCTGCTACTCTGCCTTCTTTACAGTCTTTACCGCTGTCTACTGGGATGTTCCCAGTGTCTCATCCATTCAGTTCGTGGGTGTCATGTTCAGAAGCTCCTTTCCTAGAGGCATGAACGTCTGGTTTGATCTTGTCGCCATCTTCTTGACCATGTTGGCTGGTATCGCCGTCCTCTCCACGATCCAATCCGTTCTTGCATTGGCTATAATCATTGGATCAAAGTGGTTGCTTATGGGCCGTCGCATGGCTGGTAATTATGATTGGGACAAGTCGCCATACTGTCAGCGCTGGCAGATCTTCCTCGGAATTGAGCGCCTTCGCCGGCATTGCTACAAGGGTAATGGTATACTTAACCTTCTTACTGGAACACACTGGATGGTGATCTACTTCAAGCTCATGGGCGCCAAGATTGGAAAGGACTGCGCACTCTTCGTCAACGGTACCCCAAGCCTCATGTTCACGGAGCCTGATCTGATTACCCTTGGAGATCGTGTTGTCGTCGATGATGCTAGTGTCGTTGCACACATCAATACACGTGGAAAGTTCGACTTGAATAGGGTTGAGATTGGTGATAGGTGTGTACTCCGAACTGGGAGTCGGCTTTTGAGTGGTGCGCAGATGAAGAGTGATAGCTGTTTGCTGGAACATACGCTTATCATGGGTGGTGACGTTGTCGAGGAGAGAAGGGCAATGCAGGGTTGGCCGGCGGAGGAGTTTAGCGGGAAACGGATTTGATTCACTTGTGGAGGAGTGATTGGGTTGACTATCATATAGAATTCCTTGCAATGGCGTTTGGTTGGGGCTTGGGAGGTGGCAATAGTCCGCCTTCATTCCAGTAAATCAATTCCGGTTTAGTTTGTGCATCTAGCCTGTTGGGGCACCTGGAGATAAATATCATTTATCATATTTCTCTAGTATCTCACTACTTCGTATTATAGAGGTATTTTCTTCTAAGCCTCTCAATTTAAAGATATATGAAAAGTTCCTATTGTAAGAAGGTCTGCACATACTTGATGCTGTAGCGACTAAGAGATCGCTGTCTCAAAAGGAAACGAAGTATCGGCGTATTAACTAACCTCAAGAGATGAACTAAAGGAGAGTTTGAGTTGGTTGACCCGACAGCTGATGCTTGCGTCGCGCGCCTTACCTCACTATCCCTAATAAAGGACGGAAATAGAGTAAGCTTTACTAGTCACTAAGCTAGCTGCGAGCAGGCATGTTGATAAAGGCTTTGGAGACAAAACATTCCAGCTGGGTCTAGCCTTTATCACGTGATTGTAAGCTTTAGGAGCACCTTTCCATTTCTCCATCCAAGGAGACACTTTCTCCGTGTAGATACACACTCTTTTGTTTAAGAATTTTTATAAATAGAAGGGGCTCTAGATGAAAATGTCATATTCATATGAGCAGCTCTTTGTCAAGCCAAATCATCTTTTGTGGCAAGTTAGCCACATACTTCGGCAATCCTTTTGCAAAGTTCTAACTCAATATGCAGGCTTAAAAATCTTCTAATCGCCATCTCAGTTTTGACGTTTTCTACCGTCGTCTTTTTCGCGCTACATACATCGCCTCACGTTCCGTTCCGACCAAAGAACATTCACAATTCATTGGTTTCATCAGACCCGCCGCCGTGGCCGCCGCAGCCAGCTGAGAATAGTCGATATACCGATAGGCTTGTTAATTTCAAACCTGAACACCCTACGTTCAGCGAGGTACCGCCCATAGACGACAAGCGCCTCGCCGTATTGCTGCCAACCTTTGTGAGGTCCTCTTTTTGCTTTATCTTGGTCGCGAATCTAATATCATATCTAGGATGGACATTTCCCCCAAGTCTCTCGATACTTCCAATCTGTCAAGTGCCTCTGTGTGGATCATGACAAGGTGGACTGGCACATCATTGTATCCAACTCAGCGGAAGTTGAAGGCCTTACTCAGCTACTCTCGACACTCGAGGCCTGCAACCAGACTTTCAGTCGGTGGAAAACACCAAAGGACAACGTTCCTGGGAAGAATCCCAGCTTCAATATCGTGAACCTCTATGACATCCTCCCAGCCAGACTACGGACGGACCTTACACCTGAAGACACCAGCGCTTTGTTGAAGAAGTTTGACAAATATGCTTATCAATCGATTAAGAAGATGGCTGCAGCCGATCATTTTGATTATGATTTGGCTATGTGGCTTGATTCCGAGGCGATATTCGTTGCCCCTGGCGAGATTAGAGACATCTTTGAAGGCCATCTGCGTAACCCCATCGTCTGGCGATCCAGAATGTCTTTTCAAGAGCGCGAGAAGTCGTTGATGGGCAATGCAGCAGCCACTCTAGGGCGGTCCATTAATTCTTTTGGTGATCAACTTTGGTTGCTGGAATCCCTCCAGTGGATCATTGAGAAGCCCATATGGAATGACATGGTCTTGTCCATTGAGATGGCTCACGGTGGGAACTTTTGGGATATTTGGATTAAGAACTCTTACCCTTTTGAATTGCTGGTATATTACCTTCATATTATTGCACGCAAGATGGAAACAGTTAATTCTATATTTTCGGATTATCGCGTTCTGGAAACAGAGCGTGAGCTTATTCGCTTTGGATTAGGTATGTATTGTTTTTCTGATTTGGGGTCAACTCTGACTCTTTTCAGCAGAATCTATCTCAGCCATGGAGGATAGAAGAGGAACAGGGTTTATGGAAAGACTCCCTCATCTCATCATGAAACCGCATTCAGTTTTAACGCCGAACTTGGTAGCATTATGTAGGTGCTATTCTCTTCGTGCGTTGCGAATGGATAACATGGACAACTTTGAACAGAGTGCCCTGGACAGGTTTCTCATTGATGGAGACATCAAGATGTTAGTGTCAGGAGCCCCAGATATTCACAAGTGGTGGGACGACCGTATAAAGAATGGTGAAACTATTAATAATACAGAAACTAGTTATAGTTAATTAAAAGGTAGTTAAATATTTAAAAAATGGTTTAGGCTCTTTATATATATTTAATGAACTTAATACTAGCCTGAAGACAGGTTGCAGGCAACATAATAACAGCATGGAGGCAACATGGTGAAGACCGGATAATGGCCTGAATGCGCGCAGACGGATCTTTGTAAGTTGACGCAGTTAGGAAAGTCACGCCTCAGGCTAGGTTATCCCGTAGACAATTCACGGTTACAATTATTGCAGCTGCCAGTACTGCGGGACGATTCTCCCCAGGATTATGCAAATAGCGACGAGCAGACATAAATCGGACAACTCTTACATATTTCCAACTTCAAGCTAAGACCTGTCAAACCTATTTAAGCCTCTATTGATTGGTCTCTTTCTCTCCAGCGGCTCTAAGAACTTACAGCTATACTGTCTGAAATGTGTAATAATCACCTCTGAATTTGCGATAGGCACAGGCTAATTGACAACTGTCACTGAAGTTAATGTGCCAATTTTCATTCATGATATTCAAGGGCGTTATTCAAGTACACTCCATTAATCTTGCTAGGCTATATAAACCAAGAGAGCATAAAAAAGTAGAGGACGCAAATGCCTCCCGCGTTAACACTCCCCATAAGAGGCACCATAGGTGTACGAGACCGCTGACTGGAGGCAACTCCAGAATATATGCCGCATACAGCTCAGCCTCCTTACCCCCTATATATCGCCTACCCAAAAGGCTTTGCGAGAGTTAAGAAATGTCCAATAGGCTGTTGACCCTGAACTTGGCCGGATTATACATTCATCACTTGAATCTATGCCTTCGCAGCGGCATGCTCACTTACAAGTTACAGCGTGTGCAAAAAAGTCCACACAAGGATAAATCGTTCCGTGCTTTAGGGTTTAATGAGGATGTTGGACCATGATGCTACATCACTACTTGTCGGCCACACGGTTAAACCTTAGGATGAATGTACCATGATGATTTACCAGATCCGCGGGCGCCGAACTTATCCAGGTGCCGCACCTTGAAGGTCAATAATTTAGCGCTACCACTGTATAATCATTCTGACGGCCGCTTGCTCCCCGGTAGAGCCGGTTTGCACGCCCGCTCGTTGTTGTATGGTTATTACATATAACAGGTTATCTCACATTGAAAAGCTATATCAACCGAATCTTACTCCTATACTCTTTATTCTGCGATTTTTAATTAAATATGTTCTTGATTATTGCATTGTTATTCAATATTGCTGGGGTTATCGCAGCATCTAGTTTGGCAAATTGGTCCCGACCATTTTCGCTCCCGTTGAGCAACACCTCAGGTCGAGCCGCTGAAATACAGAAGACGCGTCAAAGTTTCACATACGGAACAGATAATACTCTTATCGGTGTTAACCCATGGCCTTCGGGACCACTTGGAAAAAAGGCCGTCCAGACGCACTACAATGCTTTTGAAGCAACTGAGGCGCCCGTCTACCAGCACGTAGACCAGGATGTTGCCCACGCCCAAGCGTCCCTAAACGACGTAAGTCACCAGCACTTGTCCCGGAACATTGACCGTTACCGCTGCTAATTGTTCAAAATCAAGACCCTCCACTTGGAGTCGTTGGAAGACTTTCAGAAACTATACCAAGGCCAGTGGCAAAACAGCGTCCCAGGGGGACTTGCTGAAGGAGTCCTTCGCAATGACAAGTCGGATCTGTTGTTTGCAATGGAGCGCCTCTCGGTACACCCGGAAAGCTTACGACGTGTCAGACCAGATGAGCTCGTCGCACTGCGTGTCGAAGACAAGATTGCACGAAGGATCACGACAAAGAAACAGCACTCTCTCCAGAAAGAAGGGCGATTATTCATCGTCGATCACAGCAATCTGGCAAATCTGACATTGACAACAGGTCGCTACGCTGGCGCTTGTGAGGCGCTGTTCTTCATTCACCCTACTTCAGGGCAATTCTTACCCCTGGCTATTCGTCCCAACAACGGCTCGCCTTTGGTTTACACTCCTCTCGACGAAGAAAACGACTGGACTCTAGCTAAGATACTGCTTAACATGAATGATGTCTGGCACAGCCAGTGGTATCACCTCGCCGCAGCTCATATCTCTTCCGACCTCGTCTGGATGTCAGCTGCCCGTTCATTCAGTGACATGCACCCAGTCTGGGGCCTGATCCGTCGCTGTAAATTTCACTCAAGATCTTCTAGAAATGCGGAACTGATCGCGTCGTGTAGTGGGCGTCAACACTTTCGCATACCGCGTGGGAGCTAGCGAACTCCTTGTCAACCCCGGCGGCGACATTGAGAAGAATTTTGCTTGGAATGGCGAACAGGCAATCAAGTACAGCCAACAGATTTGGCGGTCGGATTGCGCCCCCTGGCAGTCCAATTATCTCGAAACAAAGCTCAAGCGACGGGGTTTGATAAACTGCAATTACGGTCCTGAGCTGGAGAAATTCCCATATTACGACGATGCATCAGTCATCCTAGGTGCTCTGAGGACTTTTATCAGCGCGTTTGTTGACGCATATTATCCTTCGGACGATGCAATCACCACGGATAACGAGCTCCTCGGATGGTTCGATGAGGCGGCCAATGTCGCCTCTATAGTCGACTTTCCGGACTCCATCTCTACCAAATCGGAACTGGTCGCTGTGCTCTCCCATCTCGCCTATCTCATCTCAATTCTTCACGGTTCGCTAAATAGCAATAGTCTTGTGCATTACAGTGCCGTGTTGCCAATGCACCCGCTATCACTTTATCAACCGCTGCCAAAGGAAAAGGGCGTCTCAAGCCTCGTACCGTTTCTTCCAAACCTAGAAGCCTCGATACAGCACATCGCGCTCGTCGCTTCCTTCAATCAAGCACAGATTGCTGACACTCCTGATTCGCTGCGTTTCCTTTTCAACGAACCTGAGTTCCAGGCCCACATCAACAAAGAGGTACGCGCAGCAGCCAAAGCATATTCATCTACTTTATCGAGGTTTAGTAAGGAAGTCAAAGGAAGAAAGCTTGATAGCAATGGTTATAGTCAAGGAATGCCGTTTGTGTGGGATGTCTTTGATCCGGCTAAGGCACCTGGGATCCTTGCCGCCTAGAAGACTCTCGTCGCGGCCCGGACAACGCTATCTTACGACCTCGACATCAGCCTCGCGTGCAAAGCAATCTTTTACCACGCAGGAACATCGATAGACACGAGTGAATAAACGGGCCATCGCAATGGCAGACCATACGTTCACGTTCTCATTCATATATATACATCTTAACAGACCCTATTATATTAAATAAGAAGTATATTTACTAACCTTATAATTAACTTATAAACTTAATACTATTATAACCTATTAATTACCTTAAACCTTTTTTTTAACTCTTTCTTATAGTTTATATAATATTTATATATATATTATTTTAAAACTATAAATTAAGTTTTTTATATATATTATTTTAAAAAGTTATTTTATATTTTCTTAATATTTTTATATTAAAAATTAATTAATTAATATAATATATATAAATAAGCTTTCTTTTTAATATTATGTTTTTATTTTTTTATTATTTTATAAAATTCTTAATTTATATATTATTAAATTAAATTATCTTAATAAATATATTAAAACTCTTTATATTTCTTAAAATTAAATAGAAAAGTTATATTTTAAGTTTAACTTTTATTAATTCTTATATTATAATAATTAGTTAAATATTATAATATAATATTTAAATAATAAGTTCGATATATTATTTATAATTAAGGCCTATGGCTAAGAGCTTATAATTATTATATAGAACTTAGTCTTAATAGACCCGTATTCTCTGTTAGCTTTGCTGACTTTGCCGGCCTTGTCGGTGGTTTCGGCATGAACTCTGATATAGTTCTGCCTACAGTAGACCAAGTATTCGAGTTCCCATTTGTCAAAAAGCGGACAGAGGAGGAAAATTCACTCAATCCCATCGAGCGGATGCAGAACCTTTTACAAGGTCCCTGGTTCCGCCCGGCTACTGAGAGAGTGTACTGGGGTGCCGCTGGTGTCCGCATTACTGCTTTCCAGATGCTCGCGGCCAACGTTGTGCTAGTCGTCCAGTTCGGTAACGGCAACGTTGTTATTGGTCTCTTCGGCGTCGCGACCTGTGATTTCCCCTCGATGGCGTCTCCAGTTAAGTTTGCCCACGCGGAGTTAGGCATCATCTGCACGTACTATGTCAACAGCGGCACCTTCAAGATCGAGGCACAATTATCACCGCGCTCCTTCGTTTTGGCTCCACAATGTCACTTGACTGGAGGCCTAGCGCTCTACGCCTGGTTCAAGTCCGATCTCGCCGCGAATGTCAAAGCGGGTGACTGGGTCCTCACCATAGGGGGCTACCACAAGGCCTTCCATCCACCCCGCCAGTATCCTATACCCCCTCGACTAGGAATGAAAACGGCTATTACCTGAGGAGGTGGAGCACGCAGATAACGGCGAGATCACACTCACCTGCGAGAACAGGCTACTGCCTCCGATCGGGAAACCAGACCAAAAGAGAGAGAGTACAGAAGAAGCCTGGTACGTCAAGAGCGGCGAGTTTAACCTGATGGCGACGTTCCAATTTGCAGTCACGCAGGCGGATCTCACGGAGACGGGAGAAATATAGGTTCCCGATGCTACAGGCCGCTTAGCTATCGAATCGGAAAAGGAAGAGACACGGTCTGCACATGCTGAGATCGAGGAGGTACACAAGAAGGTGTTTGGTAAGCCGATGCAGCTCGAGCTGACACTGAGCTCAGTCGGCACCATCGATGTCACAGCACCCGTCCCGAAATCGGCCAGCCAACAATTCTTCCATGTCCTCGAGGAGTGGAAAGATCAGAAGTGGAAGATTTTGCCTATAGTCAAACCCGCTCAGACTTCACCCTGGGGAAAATGTAAGTTTATACATACCTGGTTCTCTCTCCAAATCATTCCTCGTCCTCGCTGGAATTAAACGAGACCAACCAACTAAACCATCCATACAACAAACTCACGCAACCTCGATCCTAGCTTGTCAAAGCCACCCAAAGAGGAGCATTTGGACGGCAGCGATGCCACCATGCCGCTTATCATGGGCCTGACACTACACCCACCCAAACCAGCTCTGGCCGGCGACATGATCAACAAGTTCAACGTCACCAGCGATCACATGGACAACGTATATCTGCCTGGAGATATGGAGCGCTGGCCTCTGTTTCTCGATATGGAGAAGAGTCATGACCCAGCTTGGCAGCCCCAGGGTTCCAGCAAGACAATGCCATGGGAGGACCTCTGCGACAAGTGGAGAAAGATTGCCGACAAAAGGCTAGTTGCCGCTGTGAATCTTTGGGCGAAGAGGCTGCCATTTGACCAAGAGAGCTTTGATAAAGATCGCAAGGGAGAGGAGAAGAAGCCAAAATTCAATCCGCTTAGACGGCAGATGCCAAGAGCACTTTTGGATAGATATGAAACGATGATCCCGGCTTTGCCCTCGGTGGCGGTGGGCGTGTGAGGTGGGGATAAGGGAGTTTAGGAATTATAGTCAAGCTTCTTGTAAATATAAATATTAATCTAAGTATTTACTTAATTCTATTTTATTTTAAATGCTTTTTAATTTATTTAACTATTTAAATTTCTAAATATATTAATACTATTATAGCAAGAACTAAACCTAATAACTTTATATACCCTCTCTAATTAGTAACTCATTACACTAGAACTTCTAATAGGTTAATAGATTACGGAATAAAGCTTTGTCTTTTGAGCATCTGTGATATGGTGTATTTGGGATATATAGTTATATGTTTCATTGTGGCAGGCTGTGAAATTGTCATAAGGAAAATTGTAATTACAGCCTATAACGAGTTGTCCCCTGGTGAAGGAATCATCCTAAGGGATGATCGATTAATTGGCTAATTTACGGGGCTAAAGACGAATGTTGCGGGGCACAATGGGAACCTTGGTTCAGCCTTAAATTTTAAATCATATGACTTTGCCAAAAGTTGATTCTTATCTGTCATCCGTTTCAGGCGCGTCGACTCGAGATGGCCACCAGCAACTTCAAATACAATAGTTTGCAGGAGAATGAGATCAGGGTGTTGGTTCTCGATGCAGCTCAAGAGGGAGACGCCCTCTCGGGCTCCCTCGTCGTTGTTAAGCATGTCCCCGGCGAGCACGTCACGCGGTACGATGCAATGTCGTACACCTGGGGTGACCAGTCAAATCCAGACCGTATACATCTCCGGCATCCGAAACCGATTGGCCACGATAAGTCATGCATTTGCGACAAGGAGTCTTCGGGGTCACTCGCCATCGGTCGCAATCTGGCTTCTGCTTTGCGACAAATCCGTCACCAAAGCAATAGACGGATCCTCTGGGCCGATTCGATCTGCATCAATCAACAGGACCTCGATGAGCGAGCCGCGCAGGTCCTGCGCATGCGCGATATATACAAGTACGCCCAGCGCGTCATCGCCTGGCTCGGCACCGCAGACGAGCACAGCCCTATTGCTATCGCCATGCTGCAAGAGCTCGCCGACTGCGTCGACTTTACCAACGAGGAGGACGACATCTTGGACAACCGGATAAGGTTCAAGCCAGACAAATATGACTTTGTTATGAGAAGACACCCAGATAAGTCCCACGACTGGTCCAAGCCCATGCCCTTCTCTGACCGCCAGTGGCAAGCCTTGGTATCCTTGATATCGCGGTCCTGGTTCCGTCGACTATGGGTACGTCAGGAAATCCTACTGGCGGGTAAAGACACCATTCTCTTGGTCGGCGACGACAGCATGCCCTGGCTGCATTTCAGGAGCGCCATCGAGATAATTGCGGCAAAAAGGGAGGCATTGGCTGGCAAGGTCGACATCCATATCATGGTCGAATTCTCCAACGCACGCAGCTTCTCGGCCCTTCGACACTTGAGGGACTTTTTCTCTCTCGTAGCTTACACACACGCCTGTGAGGTAACGGAGCCAAGGGATAGGGTCTTCGCCCTATTGGGTCTCGCAGAGGGCGGCTTTACCAGCGAAATTGACGTTGATTACAGAAAAGATGTCAAGGACGTCCATCGAGATGCTTTGGTTCGGGCGTCGACGTACCATCAAAATCTCAAGTTGATGTCGCTGTGCGACTCGGCGTCCGAGCCGACATGGATCCCCGACTTGGAGCGGATACAGCACCAGCGGCCCATGACTTACGGTCGCGCTGCCCTTTGCTCAGCCGAGAATGCACATGCCTTCACCAAAGAGCAATTGCTATTGCAAGGTGTACGCTGCGACTACATCGCGGAGCTAGTCGGGCCTCGGGATGGCCAATATTCCCAAGCACAGCTCCAGGTCACTGTGCTAGAGGCAGCGCGACGCTTTCTAGGTCCCCGCCCAGAGACTTGGGATTTCCAAAAGGTTCAGCAATTTTCCCTCATGTTGCATGTAAACGACTTCTTCATCCATCCCCCATTCATCAACAAGATACACGAGCAATTGGCAGAGCGAATCGGCTCCCATAGTAAGACGCTCGGTGGCCAACTTGCACACTTGACTTACTACATGCACAATCGCTCTATATACCTGACCAAGATGGGTTACATCGCGCTGGGCCCACGAGGCTGTCAGCCTGATGACGTCGTGGTCGTCTTTCTTGGCTGCCATCTGCCTATGGTCCTTCGGTCGATAGAAGGCGACCAGTACAAACTAAAAGGGCCGTGTGCTCACCCAGCACTCTTGAACGGCGAGGCAATCCTTGGCGAGATGCCTAAGGGTTGGCGCCTACGGTACGCCAAACGAGGTGAAGAACCTGTCTTTGAGAATTCAGAAGAAAAGCGGCAGCATATAGACCCACGGCTGGATAATGTTCCTGTCCCGGAAGAATGGGAACTACGTTGGAGGGATGATGGCACCCCGTTTTGGTATATTGCTGTGAAAGATCGATGGACCAACTTTGATCCGAGACTCTCACTGGATAACCTTAGGAACAGGGGGGTGAAAGTGGACGATTATATATTACGGTGACAGCGTTAGAGAAATATGTCAAGATCCCCCTGTTGGAATGGCGAGGAATTGTTATATTTGGCTAATTAGAGCTAAACCTTTATAATTATTATATAAAACTTAGCTTAGAAAGAATATATATAAGTAAAATATCGCAGCTAATAGTCTCCTTTAACTCATCGGCTTTAACCTGTACGTGAACACAAATCGTTCCCTCGTTATCTCCCTTGTCGTCTAGCTATTGAGCGTCCGTGATCCTTGCTTGCACCGTAACGCACATCAACCTGATCCTGAGGCATTTGAGCGACTGCATCAGCCATACACTGCACAATATTATGTCTCATAACTCAGCACATCTGTCCCTGGGAATAGCTAGCCCAGCGTCCGGCCAGTTCGAAGGGCCACGAGGTCGATACCTCGAACCGAGATACCCAGTTTTCGTAACCGTGATCCGACGTCGAGAGCATCGAGGTTCCGCAGCGCGAAGGTTGTCAGGAGAATCGTGCCTCCGAGTATTTCTTTTTTCAGTCGCAGCTCGAGAATAGTAATGCGAGGCGGCGAGCCTAAGATCGTTGCTTGGGAGAGCGCGAGGGCAGCGCCGATAATGACGATATGCATTATCTCGGCCAGGTAAGATTGCATCTACAGGCTGCTAGCCGGATTTAAGCACGCCTGGGAATGAAGAATTATAAAAACGACGTGTCCGGGCAGAAATGTTATATTCTGCGGGGACATCGAAAGGGGCGAGTGACTAAACGGGGCAGCTTGAACAATTGAGACCCGACGGAACCCGCAGAAAGGCAGGTTCATGACATATTCAGCTCGGACTTCAGGGTTTCCATTGAAGTGGCTCCTCGCAGTGTTGTGAGGCTCTGGAAAAGTATCAATTCTCGTGTCAATGTTACGATATGTCACTGATTGACTTGTCCTATCAGGAAGCAAACGAACCTACTTGCTTCAAGCACTAAGAACATGGAAAAGAGATGCAAACATGAATACAAGCTGCGCTTATTGTCCAATAAGCAATCTTTGTTATAGACAATGCAAATGATACCAAGGACTACCTCATATCAGTCCTAACTTCTGTGTAAATTACATAAGTTCTTAACCACGGGTCTTAACTAAGAATATAGGTACAACTATTTTAATCTGTCGGGGTTGCGTTTCCAAAGAAGAGTTCAAGGGCCACTTGAGTCTATTTGCTGATACTAAGATATAAAATATCACAATTATATACTGGCAGATACGCAGCGATTCGCGCCGAAGCTAAACTACCAAGCTTTACTGGTTTAATAAACTTGATTCATGGCAGTAGGTCAGACCACGTGGTCAGATGCGCGAGAGACTTTCCATCTCTGGCAGAATGAACTTTAAATGAAAATATCAATTGATAATTTATAGTCTTACCAAGAGGCAATACCCAGCGGAACTAATACAGAGGCCAAGGGCAAACCACTAGAAACCGTCTGGGCATGAACTCTCTGAAATCAAGAATGGGGCTCAATTTTCTGCCCCTCATCTTATTCTCTTCACTTAAACTACACCGCTTTGCCAGTTGCTCCACAAGTCTCGTTGGTCTGTGGAGCGCAGTTCCCTGGAGTTCTATGGTCTGTCCTGAACACTTCAGTTAAAAGGACACATACCGCCTTGTGCAGTGCGAGAAAGCTCTTTTCATTAGAGTTTCGGGAACAGAAAAAAGCTCGTACTCTTCCGTTAGGTATGCTAGGTGAGGTGGGTACAGGGGCTGGTTGTACGTTGGCGTGAGCATGGATCTTGCAGGTTAAAGGAAAGTGGTTTGTAAGTAAAAGATGGTGTATCAAGTGCTGCAGCTGTACCGAAGGAGCTCATACTTGCATGTGAGGCTTCGTGAGCATGAAAGGATAACACCCGTCTCCTTAACCTTGACATAGGTGTAGTGACTGTGGATGCGAGTTCTGGTAGCATTTTTACGCCTCGATGTTAAGAAAGCTATTAGATGTAGCACGACTCATGAGAATTAACTTTCCAAGGGTCCGTTTTGATTAAATATGAGAAACCCACTTCACATGATGATCCATATCCACCTTTCATCCAGACGGATACCAAATACGTAACCTAATTGGCGAAACAAAAAACGAAACTTAATATTTGCACGCTTAGAATACAGTGACTCGGATGGTTTCCATACCTGCAAAGTAAATGATAAGTTTTTAACTTTGCAAACTGGACCCATATGCCCTGGAATTCAAATAGTCGGTAAGGAGGACTGAGGCAAGTGTCCCTGAGTAGGTATCCAACACGAAGTACTTATACCCCCAGCCTGCTCCTCACGCCACTATTTTCTGTTATTAAACGCAAAATTTCTATACAATTATCCATCAAGCTGAAGCAATCTTTTTTTGTCACACCATGCATCCCTCTAGTATCTTGGTTGTGGCGGCAGCCCTAATGCCTTTAGTTGCTGCAGACGGTTGCGTGCCACGAAGCACCCCTTGCGTAAGTAATTACATAATCGTTATTAACGATTAACTTACAAGGTATACTAGTCTCCTATTGCAGTGTGTGAGAGAATGTCTGGCATCAATGTGTGTGCTACGACGGAGAAGCCAAGCCAATGCTCGACAATGGTTGTTCCCGATTCTGATTCTGGATCTGTTTCAGTGAGTCTTACAAACTTCATGTCTGCAGCTCACGAAGCTAATACGTTGAAAGTGCCAGTGCTGCCAGGCTTAGCCTGTCACCATGGATGCAGGTTATGTTAATTAGTTAGGCTTTGTGGTTTGTTTTCATCCTTGGAATCTATGGTTATTGAGTTCAGCCGAAGTTTTAGGAATACAAGATCAATGGTCTAGTAATCCTCACAGAGCTCCCTCGTATCTTATAACGTAGCTATAGCATTGACTTCAGAGATCTGCGAAACCATCTAGTATAGACTATATATCAGTGAACCTTGACACGATTCGAGTCAGCCACTAATTTACTCCTTCTCATACTTCTAATGCTCAATACACTCAATGTCAGTAGCTTCAAACTTCTTCTCCGATGCTCTCTCAGAGTACGTCTCGAAAACTTCGGAGATCTCTTCGAGTGATCGGTTCTATAAACTCAGTCAGACAGGCCAATGCTGGAAAAGAACAGTGGAAGACTTACCTTAGTCTCGGGGAACATAAAGAATACTGTGATAAGAACAATGCAAAGCCAGACACAGTACACGATGTAGTATTTCCAGCCAAGGTTCTTCAGTCCAATAGGGTTAACGAACTGGTTGAAGAAGCTAGCTCCTTTGATGGATCCCATAAGAAGTGCAATGCCCTTGGCGCGGATGTTGAAGGGGAGAATCTCGACAGGGTATGCGACAGCCAGGGGATTCCAGCAAATGTTGTATGAAGAAGCGAAGAAGATGACACAAGTGAGAATTCCCGCACCAGTTGCTTCTGACTTGGTCCTTGCAAAGACACTGCCGGTGATGGTCCAAGCGACCATGCCAGCCAGCATGCATGAAGTTGCGACGACGAAGAGAGGGCGACGACCGACTCGGTTGACGAGGTTGGCACCAGTCATAGCGACGATCATGTTCCAGATCTGAAGGATACCATTGATGAGAGTGATGTCTTCTTGTAAGTTGATACCGATCGATCGAAGGACGGGAGCAATGTAGTAAGACTAGATATGATCAGCGAGGTGCATAAAAGTCTTTGTGACACGCGACTTACGACCAATCCATTCCCAGACCATTGAGGGAAGAAGGCACAACAAATAATAAGGAATGTGCGATGCCTGTTAGCCTTTGTTTGGAGAAGCTCCTTCCATGATCTAGAGCCGGCCAACTCAAGTTGAAGTGCAGTTCGGATCTCGTCAAACTCAGCCGCTACGAAAACAGAGTCTTGATCACCGTTGGCATGGTACTTGATGAGAATATCACGTGCTTCGTCATGGCGATCCTGACCAACAAGCCATCGAGGACTCTCGGGAAGAAACCAGAGACCAACGAGGTTGATGATGGCGGGGAGTGCTTGAAGAGCAGTGGGGAGACGCCATGACCATTCGGAGTTGATACGGTATGTACCGTATGTTGTCCATGCTGCGATGATGGACTAGAACCGTCAGTTGACTTATATGTTGTATCGTGGAGATATTGGACTTACTCCCCAGTACCAGAGTGTGTTGTACATCGATGTAAGAGTCGTTCGCGATTCGGGATGGGCAAGTTCGGCGGCGAGCATGGGGGCGGAACTGGAAGCAACGGTGATTCCGAGACCGATCAAGAATCGTGAAGCCATGTACATAGAAGCTGAAGAGAGGATTAGCCTTGGTCGAACAAGGTCGCCAGGAAATACTGACTGTTGATGCTGGCGGTCTGGATGACAGTCGAGAGGATAACAATGATATCTCCAACAGCCATCGCCCATCGTCTTCCATGATGATCAGACAGCCAAGCTGCAGGTATCGTTCCGAACACGGCGCCGAGAGGAAGAATAGCGTTCATGATGCCGAGGAGAGAGCCTTGAGGATGGTTGAAGTCTAAGCACCACAAGTTAGCTACAATCGATCGACTTGTTAGTGAGTCACTGACAGTTCTGCCAACGATCGACTCCCTGAATGCCATTCATGAGGCTCGAATCATATCCCATTGCAGCACTAACGATCAGAGAGCCAGGAATGAGAAGAAGATACAGCCTCAAAAGGCTAGGATTCTTGAAGAGCGAAGTAGATGCCGGGACGGTCATGATTGCGAAGCTGATGATTATCGATGATTAGAAAGAGCTGCTGATGATCTTCAGCTCAGGCTGGGGTAATGCCTATTTATGATCATTTCGACATGAAGAAATTGTTTTATCGTGGAATAATCAAGTGTCACTTGACTAAAGACCCCGACGCATTCCAAAAATCTGGATCGTGAACTATTTCCCCATCTGGGGTAGCCAATGGCTGAATCTTCTCCGCAAAACTCTATTAGCGACCTGGACAGAAGACGAGGCGCTAGTTTGTGGTGGAGATTGGAGTTCATGACTTCGGCTCATACACCGAAATGCCCCGGCCAATCAGAGGCTAGGATATGAGATCTATTGTGTCGGCGCCACAGCCGAAATGCCCCGATGAGGTCCAGCTAAGGGGCTTGCCCTGTTGTTGATGTTGAGAGGGCCAAGGAGCTGGATCTGGGTCAGGTAACAACCCCGAGCTGCCCCGGAGTCAACACGGAGACCCCGTATTTTGTGGCGAGATGTCTTTGTCATGCCGTTTCCCCTCAAGATATCATTCATATTCGATCATACCTCGTCTAGTTTTAACATTTGTATCAACCAGATCCAGCTGTAAGGCTCCTTACTCTAACATCAGCGCCCGATCAAGCAACAAAATACAATGGGATCCATCCACCGCGACCTCTCAGCTGAGCTATCACCTGAGGATGCTATAAGTCTTCTCTCCGGACAAGATTTCTGGCGTACTCGTGCGAATGAAGCTCTCGGCCTGGGTTCACTCAAGTTCTCAGATGGTCCTAATGGCGTTCGAGGAGAAGACTGGATCAATGGAGCACCATCTGCTGCTATTCCTTGCGCGACAGCTCTAGGAGCCTCATTCGATGTCGAGTTGGTATCAAAGTTGGCTGGTGTTCTTGCGAGAGAGTGTAAGCGCAAAGGCGTACACGGGCTACTTGCTCCGACCATGAACATCCATCGTTACCCTTTGTGTATGTACCATCACAGTGCTCCATGGGCTTCAACTGACTTTGTAGGCGGACGAAACTTTGAATCCTTTAGTGAAGACCCCTTGCTTAGTGGCCTTGTTGCTGCGTCTTTCGTTAAAGGGTTACAAGCGCAGGGCATCGCTGCCAGCCCAAAACATTTCCTAGCCAACGAGGCAGAGAACGGCCGACGATGGAGCGACAGCGTTATCGAAGAGCGAGCACTACGGGAGATATATCTCGAACCGTTTAGAATTGTTGTTGAAGAGGCTGATCCGTGGTGTATCATGACTGCGTAAGTCTTCAAAATGTTTGTCAGATGTAGAACTTTGCTAACCGGACAGGTACAATTCGGTCAACGGCTCATTCTGCTCCGAATCCCAGAACCTTCTATCCATCCTCCGCGACGAATGGCGATACAACGGCGCGGTCATCTCCGACTGGTTCGGAACCTACAGCACAACAGAAGCCTTGAACGCTAGCCTCGACCTCGAAATGCCAGGACCTACAAAGTTCCGCGAATACAATAAAGTGTCGGAGGCTATCAAGGGGGGAGAAGTAAAGAAGCATCAGATCACGGACTCGGCTGTGAGGGTTGTCGATCTTCTTCGAAAGACTGGTCGTGCTGGAGAAGCTGGTTTCCCACCACCGTTAAAGGCTGAAGAACCAGACTATCTCGACGATGTCAAGTTGAGAATGTTGATCCGACAGGCTGCTGAGTCAAGTATGGTGCTTCTCAAGAATGAAAGAGATACGCTTCCACTTGTTGATCGAGATACCAGACTCGCTGTGTTTGGTCATCATGCGACAGATCCTTCTTTGTTCGGTGGGGGGTCTGCTAGTCTCAAAGTGCCATACTCATCAACTCCGTGGGACGCTGTGAAGAAGACGTATAGTAACGCTATGCTTGGAGTCGGCGTAGCTGTCAACCGACTTGTGCCACTACCGAACGAATCCGGCCTTGACATTGAGAACATCACGCTTCTGTGGTATAACGGGGATCAACCCTCTACAGAAAGTCTTTTTCACTCTCAAGAGTTGAACGACACTTTGTACATGCTTGTCGAGCATGCCCCAGGCGGCTTGTTAGACCGATCCGACTTCTGCACGAGCATGAAGTTTCAGTTCGTCCCTAAAACAACGGGTTCTTACAATCTCAGTCTCAGCGGCCCTGGTAACGCAAAGTGTCTTTTGGACGATCAGGTCATTCTTGATGTTGAAAGAGATCTGAACATTTCCACCGAGGACTTTCTTTTTGACCGCTCAAAATTCGAAACCTGTAGAGAAGAGTCACTACCTTTGGAAGCGGGTCAGTGGTACAAGTTCGAAATCCTGAGCTGGTCGTCAAAGCACAAGGCTCAGAATGTTAATCGTGAGTTCTTTATTCAGGGTTGCCGGCTAGGTCTTGCACTCGCGAGCGATGATGATGTTGCCTTGGCTAAGGCAGAGAAGCTCTCAGGGAGTGTTGAAACTGCCCTGGTAGTTGTGGGTACTGGTACGGAATGGGAGTCGGAGGGATTCGACCGTGTAAGCATGAAACTCCCACGTCGACAAGACGAGCTCATTCTTCGTGTCGCCAAAGCGTGTCAGGGTCGAACAATCGTGGTGGTTAATGCTGGATCGCCTATTGACACGAGTGCTTGGATTGATGAAGTTGATGCAGTTATCTATGCGTGGTTTCCAGGTATGGAATTCGGCAATGCGCTGTCCATAATCATATCTGGAGAAGTATCACCCTCAGCTCGACTTCCGACCACGTTCTGGGACAAGGTGGAAGATTATCCAGCTGGCCACGTTGAGAGCCTCATGACTTACGACATGAAGATCCAGTATCGGGAGGGTATTTACGTCGGTTATCGTAAAAAGTCGCTTCAGACGTATTAGCCCCGTTTCGCTTTTGGTCATGGATTGTCATACACCACATTCAGCTGTTCTGTCAAGAGTCCTCCCAACAGTGCGTTTGATCCCCTTGATGCCACAACCAAGGTTGTTTTGACGGTACAAAACATCGGGTCGTTGACAGCAAGTGAGACTGTTCTGCTCTTTGTTGAAGCTTTGAGGCCAGCGACACCAAGACCAAATGTGGAGTTACGTGCCTTTGCAAAGACTGATCTTGTTGAGCCGGGAGGTTGGCAGGATTTGGAGTTCAGCTTAAAAGCACGCGACTTCTCCCATTGGGATGTTAAAGATCAACTTTGGCGAGTTGACGCAGGAGACTACTTGGTCCGTGTGGCTGGGTCGCGAGGAGTTGGAGACTGGAAGGAAATCGGGGATGTTGTTGTGAGATTTGAGGAAGGGATGGCAATAGAGTAGAATAGACATTTTGAGACTTTTATCTTGATTTAGTTTCCAGCATTGTCTCACGTACATTCGCTCATTGAATAAAAACTGGTAAGTGAAGAAGTCTTTTGCCAGCGTTAAGTCTTAATGTACTAACGGAGAAGCAAAGCAGTCAATTGGATACTTAAACTCAACGATCTTCCCCTGTTGTTTCTATATGTGACAAAGTGACGGACAATCCCTTCTACACACATTCCTTCCACTGAACATGCTCCACTTGATCTTGACCAGTCATGAAGCGAATACTATTCTCAAGAATGACCCTCAAAACCTCCATCTCCTTCTCATCGCGAGGTCCATAGATCATCAAGTATGTACTAGCAATAGCGTATTTGTTCTTGACCCATGAGGTCTCAGGAACCGAGAGCCTATGTCTCTCTCCCCAGCCCTTCTCAATGATGACGCGAGCGTCTGCTGGTGAGAGGTATAGATGGACCGATAGATCAGGGTGCCCATGTCCGAGTTCTCCTCGAGCGATGATCGCTGTCTTGGGAAGGATTCCGGACCGTGACTCGAGCAGTTCTTGCGATACGAAGAGGGCGTCGTGATGGCGTTCGTATAATGACTTCTTGGTCTCGAGGATCGAAGGGTGTTGTCGTGCGGCGTTGGCAAAAAGGTTCTCGATGTACTGACAGACAAAGTTAGTCATGTCATTGAAAGTCGAAACCAGCTCGGAAAAATGACAAACGGTTCTCATTTGCTTGGGCGCATGCTGTGATAACTGCCGATGAGGAGCGATTCCTCCAAGGATTGCTCGCTCTCCTTTACGGCGAGGGAGGCTCTTGATCTCTGGATGGCTTCCTTCTGTAGGATAATCGGCAACATAAGTAGCACCAGACTTACTCAACGCAAAGGGGCGGATGCCAAAGGTGATCCACGCCCATCCCTTCACGTTGTAAGGAGGACCGCCAGGGCCGAGGGCAAGATAATCGCGGTAGTCTTTGATACACCATGCTGCGAACGTTACTAGAGCTGTAGCTCCACAAGTCGTAGCGACAAGCCATGGACGATGGTGCGCTGTGCGCTCCAGCATTGTCTTGAGGTTTTGGAGATCTGCCATAGTGGTGAAGTCAAGGCCGATGTCTTGAAGAGCTGGTGGACATGCTGGCTACTATGAGGACGTGTTTGTTTATATATCCTCATGCGATCAAGGAACAGAGAAGCGGGTTCACCCGTGTATTTGTGACACCATTGCTCAGGTGTTGCGATGATCTATACCTATTTCGGTTGAGCTGACTGTTCGGGGCATTTCGGCCTCTGGACCGACCCCAAAAACTTCACGCAGGGGCTTGACTCGGAGATCTCCAGTAGCCCAGACCCTAGATCCTCATCCTGGTTCCGATAGCGGATGAATGCGTCAGTACAGCTCGAGTGTTTATTCCAGTGCTAAATAGTCGGCAATGCTCCCCGTCAGTCGAACTATATGTCCATCTTCTCTCCAGGTTTTCGACGTCAATTCTCTATCACTTCTACTACTAAAATGTCAACCCAACGCCTTGTTCGCTTCGTCTCGAAAGATGACGGCAAGACTTACTACGGTGCTGCAGACGAGGCCCTCCAATTTGCTAATCCTCTGGAGACGGGAAGCCCATTCTCACCTACGACTCAAACTATCGACAAACAGCACGGTATTCAAAGGCTCTTATGTCCCGTTGACATCAACCATGCTCGCTCTGTTGTTTGCATCGGGTTGAACTACACGGATCATGCTGAAGAGGCCAAAATGCCCATTCCAAAGGTCCCCGTCGTTTTGTAAGTATTGAAACACTATTTAGGCATATTTCCGTGAGTATATGTTCTGACAATCCTAATCAGCTTCAAGCCAGTGACGGCACTTACGGGCCCACACGACGATCTTGTCCTCCCCCGAGCCTCTTGGGAGAAGGGAAGACTAGATTACGAATCAGAACTGGTACCAGTCCCCAACAACAGCGACAAGGAAGATATTTATATATTTAGGTAATCGTGATTGGCAAGAGGGCCGCTCGCGTCTCCGAGGACGATGCATTGGACTACGTCTTTGGTTATACAGTAAGTCAGTATCCTCCGAAAGGTTGAGCCCAACTCACCAGTAATCTTATCACAGGTCGGCAACGATGTTTCAAATAGGGCATGGCAGCTTGAAACTCACTTGGGCGGAGGCCAATGGTGCTACTCGAAATGCTTCGACTCTACCGCGCCTATCGGGCCAGCCATCGTGTCAAAAGATATCCTCGGGTCTGCAGTCGGCCTTGGAATTAGGGGTACCTTCAACGATACCCAAGTGCAAGACGGTAGCACCAACAACATGATCTTCTCAGTAGCTGAGATTGTGTCTTTCTTAAGTCAGGGTATGACTCTGCTCCCTGGTAAGCCCGCCCATCTTAGACTCCATGTGACAAGTAATTGACTCTAGATAGGAACACTTATCTTCACTGGAACTCCTGCTGGTGTTGGTTTTGGCAGGAAACCTCAGATTAGTATGAAGGAAGGCGATATTACCAAGGTTGAGATAGATGGCATTGGTGCTATCTCTAACAAAGTTGTATATGAACAGTAAAATTATTACAAGATTGTATCATTTCAACAGAATCAGTTTTAGAACATCCCTCGAGTGAGAAGGCTTTTAAAAACACCCAAAATGATATTGAAGGTGATAATTGAGCGACCAAGCTTGCTAACAACCAATTACATCGTTCCCAACAGCCCTATTCTCATGCCACTGAGCATCCACAATTAACGCCCAAAGCTGATCCGCGCAAAAGGAAAGACTTGCACTCTCCTTATCCCAAAGCCGAAGTTGCCGATACGCATCTTGGCAAGCATCCAAAGCGTTCTGACTAAATTGTCCTCCATAAATATTCGGCATGGCTGACCCCTGTAACGTTGGGCATGCGCTATCAAAGTTCTGAATCTCGAGCTCGCCTACATCCATATAATGAACGACATCTGGCAGATGACATGCCGCGATGAGAGAGAGAGCTGCTGACCAGATATTCCGTGCCAGAAGCCAGCATCCGTAATGTCGAACGGGCTGTTCTGACTGCTGGTGGAGAAACTTCATTGCATAGTATAAATACTTCACCGTACCTTTCAATAGAGCGTCAGTGTTAGCACCTGATTGGCTTGTATCATAGTGAGCATCTGCGAGGGCCGCGAGAAATGGACGGAACACCAGCATCATCAGCTGTCCTTGTCTATCAACCAGAACCTTTCGCATTCGCTGCTTGATGGATTGCTCCAGAGTTTCAATTGTTCCTGGGGAGAAATCGGAGGAAAGCTGTGAGGCAGCTCGTAGATCCGCCGGGAGGGAACTCATCCTATTTACTAGTCAGCTACAGGTCTATAGTAATCAGGCAGGTCTACTCCGTAATTTCCGCTGCCTCATTCATAAGACTAACCACTCGTTTATCTGACGTTCAAACTCGCACGCCAAAGGATAACTGGTGCTTATGCTGGAGGCTATACTGCACCCAGTGGGTTCATCTGTCGAACTATCAGACTCGGTCACAGATCATGGCATGACAGTCTTACTACCGTAAAGTTCAGCCTTGATACGCTCAACCAATCTCCGACTGGAAGTCTCAGCTAGGTAGTAATACCATGTATCCGTGTCAAGCTACGAACCGATACTCGGCCATTCAAACGGCTGAGGAGGCGGTGGCGGAATTGGAGTTCTTTGGATCAACCGCCCGAGCCTGCCTGGTTTCAAAAGTCCAAGGTAGGGATAGATCTCTTCGGTCAATTCCAGCTGCATTTTTGCCGTGGCCCAGAGTACTCGGTGGCTGAGTTTCTGCTCTAGAATATTGGGATACCTGTTTTGTCAGCGACTTACAACTTGGTATGCAGGAGTATAAATACCTTAGTAGTATTGTTTCAGCTTTGGCAGCTGCTGTCTCAACATAGCTCCAGGCTTTCCATGGCTTCAAAGCCCACATCTGATAACTCGCCAGTAGTAACAGTGCCTGCAAGTCTTTGATAGGTGAGCCATCACTGTAAGCAGTGACTCCAAGCCAAGGAAGCGCCAGAGTAATATAATTGGATTGCACAAGCGGTTGCTTTTCTGGGGCTGTCCTTGCTGAGACCTCACCCAAAGCAAGTACCAACAGCAAGATTGCCATGTCTGGAGGATGTAGTCCTGCTGGCAGCGCTTTCTGCACTGACCAATGTTGAAGCTCACTATCTTTGAGTAGGCGATCTTCCAAATCTTTCAGGAAGTCAGGATCCAAAATGGGGGACTTGCTGTGAATGTTGACGGCGTAGTTTCTGATGAGTGATGCCGCGAGGCCCACTGATTCTGGAGTCGAAGAATCCACCGGTATATCGTCTGACATAACTTGATCACAATCGAAAGGATCAGTCGTTGGATCGGAACTCAGAAATTCCGCCTTTATCGAAGGACTTAGTCCAGGTGTTTCGGTAGCTCCATCACGGCATGGTAGCAGCTCGTCCCGATACATCTCCCAATGCCGATGTTGACCGCATCTGGAGACTGGGTGTCGAAACACATTCCAAGACATGATTATATCCCCACCCGGCCATTCCCTCCATGATTTGGGTCTTTGCTTTACAGCTGGCGCGGGCAGATTGCTACTGGGGACTACTAAAGCTCCACTAGCTGTAACGTCCATGAGCTGTTTGAGTACATTACTTTCCATTGTCTGAATTCTATCCAGGATGAGCAAAGATGCTTTATCCAAGCTTGATGTCTAATGTCAGTAAGAGTGATACTGGAGGATAGTCGCCTGGTAGACTCTATATCTGGATAAGTACAATCCGAGTTGGTCTTGACGCAGAAGCCACACCGTGGTCGTTGGCTATCGCACCGCGACTTTCTGGATCTTGATCAGCATATTCTTGACAGCTTGAAGGTGTGGGCAAAACAAACCTAGCTCTCCAAACTAGACATGCGTGCAAGGCGCGTTTTCTAGAGTACTGACCTCCAGCACGCTTGCTTGGCTCGGCCATGTTTATTTAGTGATTCTGTGTCGTGAAACTTTAATCTATGGCAGTTAACAGAGAAGAAGGGAGCCCAGAAAGCTCCTGATATGTCCCCGAAGACTCGTCGTCAATTTGTACCCCGCCTAAATTTTGACCTAGAACTCAAGCTTTGGACTCGAAAGGAGCTGAGATAGATTTTCGTATCACACTTGTCTACACTGAAAGATTGATAGGTAAGAGTTGAAAAGTAGGCATGTGGTTTGCACAGTATGTTCCTTGCCGGGTGAGAAAAGGGCAACTTTGAAGAAGGTGAGATCATATCTACAGTGGCAGAAAAATCCACTCCCGAAGTTTAACCTTTTGTCCAAGACAGCGATATCAAGCATGAGGTTACTAACCTGAAACGAAAAGAAGAAACTATTTTATGTATTATGCGTCGAACTGGCCGATAAAATACCGTAATATTAATCTATGAAGGTCCAAGTGAACAACTAACTCTTCCTTTCCCCAGTCTATGATGAACAGGCCGAGCAATCGACATTTCCGTCCTTCTCAAAATACTTGGAACCGCTTTGAGATGAAGTACCAGAGTTCCCTGGATTGCCACTATAGCTTGAGCAAAGACCACCATTTGGAAGTGAGGCAAAATCACCGAATTGACAGCTCGGGTTATTATCACAACGCTGCATACACTCCTCAAAGCTACCGACATGAGTGTTGAAGTCGATATGTCTCTGGAAGGTTGAAACATCAATGTTGACTGCTTGGTCACAGAGGACCTCGAATTCGCAGTTGCATGAGGTTTGCGAGGGTGTGTAGGTCGTGCAGATTGGTCCGACTGAGCGGGTCTTGGTGGTAACGGATGTCGTCTTGTCTACCTCGGTGGCTTGCTGGGTGATGGTGAGGGTGTCTTGATAGGCGGTGAAAGACGTCGAAACAGTGGTAACGTCGGCGGTCGTTGTTTCGGTGATTTGAGGTCCAGGGAGAGTGACTGTGACTGTTCGTGTCTTGGCTGGCAGTGTTGTTGTGCCGACAGCGGGTACTGTCTCTGTAACGACATTGATCAATGTGTCAGGATGAGGATCGACAGTCTCGGTGACAATAGGTGCAATTCTAGCAATAGTGGCCACTTCAACGCCCATACAGACGCAAGCACTGCTGTACTGCTCGGCATCTGTGCATGTTCCAGCATATGATGGGATGTCTGTTGGCCTGAGAATGTTCTTCGTTGATCGAACAGCAATAGCACGCTTGGAAGGGAGGCCAAAATAGGTTGTCTCCGTGATTCTAAATGAGAGTTAGAGTTAGACTTCGTTATCATAGTTCAATACATACGTATTCACGTCAGTCTCCACAACGTTCTTAGTCTGCGTTCTGTTGGCTTTTTTCCTTCTTTGCAGGTAGATATCTAGATACACTTACGTTACTGTCGGTTTGAAGGTAAGGGTCTGGAGTCTGTAAATGCATTTAGCAACATCATCTGAAGACGGATGAAAATGAACTTCCTGGCACTTACGTTAGTGACTGTGGCAGTCTTAGTCGGTGTGACAGAACGAAAACGGCCACAGGGTCCGCTGTAATGCTGGTGATGGCCTCGCACCAGATCCGCGTCAAGATCAACTGGAGTGGTCGTAGCTGTGGGCAATGATGTTTATGCCCTTTCGAAGGTTGGCGATAGGGCAGGGGTAAAGTGGGTTGAGTCAACCTGCGGCGTCTGCGAGATGTGCTCCAACGGTTTTGATCAAGTTCAATGCCTGGATGTCGTCCACCATGCCATCGAGGTTGCTGGTACTTTTCAGGAATACTGAGTCACTGATGGGAGATATGCTACTAAGATCCCAGATGGGGTTACGGACGAGGAGGCTGATCCCATAATGTGTGGTGGTTTCTCAGCATATGCGGCTTGCAAGCGAACAGAAGTTAAACCTGGAGAGTGGCTTGTCATCCTTGGAGCCGGTAGAGGTGTAGGTCACTTTGCTTTGCAGTATGCAATGGCTATGGGCATAAGGGTCATTGCTGTTGACAGGGGCAGGGAAAAAGAGCAAATGTGTCGAAGATTGGGAGCTGACAGGTTCATGGATTCGTCCAAGGATTTTGTGGCCGAGGTGATGAGAATCACTACCTACGGTGCCCATGCGGTTTTGCTTGCCGCCCCATCAAAAGAGGCATATGACCTAGCGCCACACACTCTGAAATTCCGTGGAACCATGGTGGTAAGTAGTCTCCATCACTTCCGAGCACGTTTACTCACAAGTTTCACAGGCCCTTAGTATTCCAAAATATCCCACCATCATAGCCGGATCGTCTGCTGCTCTTATCATTGGAAAGAAACTGAGCATTATTGGAAGCCTTGTTGGCACCAAAAGGGAAACTGACGAAGCACTCGACTTTGCAGCAAGGGGATTAATCTATCCTGTTTTGACTAAAGGGACGTTGTATGACCTTGATAGGTTCTGTGACTTGCTCCAAGCTGGAAAGGTTCCCGGACGGGTTGTGATTAAGGTATCGACCCAGAGTCTGAGAAAATAGAACCCTTTGTGTGATTTTAAATCTATTACCGCTGCACAACATATGGTCTCCTTCCATCATATCGGGCTTGTATCGCTTTCTATATTGTCTATCAAGGAAGGCAAAGGTATCAACCGGGCCACATTATGGCTGACAGCTCATCATAGAGGAGACTGAAGCTACACTTCAAATACCAAGGGAAATAGATGTGCTTTGACACTTAAAGATAAGAATTACCAACTGCTAAGCAAGGCTAAATAGACAAGATTAATCTCAGAGAAGAATTTCCAGGGCCAAACTCCATGAGATATGCGAAAACGGTTATTGTCCCGTCATAAAAACCGGATATGCTCCTTCATAACCCGGTACTCTCCACCAGCCATCAAGGGCTCCCTAACATACTCTAGCCATAGATCATCAGCACTATGCTTCTTCACGACGACACTCAGCACTCTCCGCTCTCTAGTGATTCCATATGGCCAGATAAGTCGGTCTCTAGGCCAAACTTTAGCCAATCCTTCAGCAAGTTCTTTTTGCTCCCTCGAAGCCGTAAACCTGGTCAGCTTCGTTGGAATGTCTGAGCAATGACTACCCAGATCCCAAAGCACAGGCCATTGTTCTTTCTGATCTTCAAGAAATCCTCCAGCCCACTCGCTAGTCTCTTCTCTTGAGATAACGTCAAACTTGTGTTGGTAATCTTTGAAATCTTTAGTGCCCCTTGGTATCTTGAGTCCTCCCTCCTCGATCTCGATCACTCTTGTAGCCATTGCAATAGTATGCTTAATCATTGTGAGACTCTCAACCCGATTAGTCTTTTCTCGCTCGTAAAGAAGTTCAAGTGCTCTTCTGCGAATAGCAGGCTGCCGGCACTTAGCAGCTACCCAGTAAACTGGACCAACAACCTCGCTTTCAAAAGTAAATGATGGTCCCTGCAAGATATCAGCGTCGTATTTAACAACGAAAGCTGCAGAATCAGTAGCAATGGACATTTCGCAAAGACTGTTTCTGTCACAGACATAGTCTGACCCTGAGACCATGGAGTCGAGGAACACTATCATGAGACAATGCCGCATTGTGAGGAGCTTTGCGGTTCTCATATCTTGCCTGTCGAGATCGCTGAAAGCAAGGCATGCTTCAAATGCGTGACGCCAATTCGCCAGTTCACGGATGATATCTTTGTGCCTTGCCTGCAACGCATCTCCGTCAACTATTGACGTAGTATCCGAGTTCTCTTCTTTGACGCCCTTGGAACGGTACGACTTGACGTCGTAGATGAGGGTAAATCCGATATCAACGAGGTAGTACAAGACGCAACGTGCGTCAGCCAGAGAAGCGAACTTGAGTGGTGTCGTCGTCATATGAAGAAGATGCCGTGGGAAGTCAACTCTGTCATTACCAACATACGCGAGTCGTAAGTATATCGGAGCCAAATATTGCCGAATTATGTCGGTTTCTGGTGTTTTGCGGTCCTTGATATTTGCAAGGAGCCTTCGTCCTTGGAGGATGTGCATCTTGGCTGCGTTTTGGTGCTCATGCCCAAGCATGAACTCAATACAGACAAACAGTAGACATACAAGTAGAGGTTTGACTCTTGACTCTGTCGCTAAGGGCCACGACCGAACGGCAAGGATGGCTTTGTTGTACTCGACGATGGCGGGTCTGTAGTTTGGACAGATGTCTCTCGTATCCTTTGTCTTTTCAGCATACATCAAGCTGATTGCCGAAATGGCATGCCGTATCGCAGGATCAGTAGGTGCAAGTCGTAACACTAGATCACCCCAGAAGTCGCTATCCACTGTGTCACCAACTTGAAGAGAGACATGACCTCGGTAGTAGTCAAAAGCATGAATGCTCAGTTCAATGCCAAGATCATCATTGAGAGCACGCGTGATTGGTGGACGTTCTCGAATGATTAGTGTCTGTTGGGTCAGACTGTCTGTATCTCCATAGCCGTCACATTTTCGACCAGTGCCAATACAACGTTGGCAGCCTGGCCTCGCCTCGTCACATTTTATCTTGCGGATTCTGCATGGATTGATCAGTATAAGATATGATCTGAGTGGATCTCGTTAATCTCACCTGCATGTCATGCATCCAGTGCGAGCCTTGGGGAGTCCCTTGCGGTGTCGCGACTGAGAAGCACGTAGTAAAAGTCGTGGTTGCTCTCTCGACATGAAATTGGTGGCAGATGGGTTTTACTACCTCCCAGGGGGTCAGCGGAGCATCGCCAACGAGGCGAATTGCATACAGAAGACATCTTGCCAGTGATTGCAATAATCAAATACTATGCAAATGATGTACAGAAACGCAGTACTTACAGTGTTAGACTTTGAAAAGCACCTCGTTGGCTGTCTTCGGAAAACGTTAAGCGGTGCTGACTCTGGGGATATGCAGGTGAGATCTCAATTAGTGCAATTATCTGAAACGGCCAAGCGGAGTAATCTCGACTGTTTTTATTAGCTCTAACCCTGGATGTGGGTTGGCGCTTAATAGCAGGTTAATGATCGGATAAGCACTTGGCACTTTATTTTCTTTCGTTGCTGATGTTGTATCGATGTAACCTTGAGCAAATTGATATTGGCCAGGTGCATATTTACGAGTCATGCACCGCATCGTTAGGCTACTTGACCAAGTCAGTAAAAGCTTTAAAAATAGAGACATGACTTATTAGTTCGCTTTTTCAATACCGTACACTCAACATTTCGCAACGGGGCAGTGGGCACGGGTAGCTCGCTTACACTTCTCGAGATAGTTAGGCCATATAATTCCAGCTCTCTGAATGGAGGAGAGGTCTAAAGAGATAGTTCGCAGCGTAGTCGCAAATTGTTGAGTGTATACAGTATGTATGCGTGAGAAAGGTTATTCAGTTGTGTAAAGAACCCGTTAATTTTTGGAACACAACGTGGGAGGAATGAAGTGAAGGCTTGTCTTGGACCATTTACCATCACGGGTCACGACGCATAAGTATATCAGGTGCATTCAGGAAAGAGAAGAGATTATATTGTGAGATCTTCGAAAACAACAATCTTTCAGTAGCGAATAATAAAATTCGATTATATAACAGCAGCTTAATTAATAGGTCATATTTTCCATGTCATGAATGAGAGCTTTAACCTGGACCATATCGCCATCATCGTATTTGGGGATACCCTGGACTGACCCAAACGGAGCTGCCCAAGCGGCTAAAGTATCATCAATCTCTCTCTCGGTAAGCTTCCATCGTTCAAGCATTGCGCAAGCAAGGTGATAATATTCGTTAGCATGTTGCATGAACCCGATACGTTTCCACATATTCTCAAGGGAGTAACTGTCGGAATTAGATACGATGTGGCCACCTCGTTGCCATAACCACATCCAGCGACTTAGGCCAGTGGCTGCTGGAGTTACTTGTGATACGTCCACCAGAGTGGTCTGATACTGGAATACCAGACAACAGAGAGCTGCGCTCTTATCAGACAGGATAGAGATACCAATGGCTCACTTAACGTACCTGATACGATGGTAAACATATTGAATGAACTGAGGCCATCAAACAAGCTCAAGTCTACATCATGGGAAGAACAGAAAAGTCGAACAACAGAAGATAGCGTCAATCTGAACTGATTCTTTGTTCCCATAGTTGCCACGTGGAGTTGTAGAAAACATTCTGCTGCCGACTCTGCTTGGAAACATGCCTCAGGACAGACTAGTCCGGTGTTGAGCTCGAGTGATATGACCCTCGGTGGCAGACTATAGTATAGAACGAACGCAGAGTCAAGAAGATAGATATAAGTTGCCGTTCTAGATAGTTAGGAGAAGGGCGATAAAGTGCAACTTGAGTTTAACATACCGAATCATGCTTTCAACAAGGATGAACTTGGCCCATTTTTGCTGAGTAGAAGATGTGGTACCCAGCTTCGCAAGGCTCAAGTTGTAGAGACCAAAGGATCTGGCAATCTACCAAGCACTATTAGACTAGTCCCCGCAATGCACAGCCATGAAGACGTACCGAGACTATGCGACTATAACGGTCCTTTCGAACACGCTGTCTTCCCTCTTTGGATCCCTCCCAATTCTGGGCAATACATATAAAATACGCAGCATGCAGCGCCTTCAGCTTATCCCACACAGCCGACTCATCGCCAACAAGGTCTGAAGACGCAACGATAGAGTCATCATACAAGATATCGTCGTTGAAGACCGCTTCTTCAACGGGAGTAAGCCACGCTGTTGCACGGACGCAGTCGTTTGAGTCTGGAGATAAGCATGCCCCCAGAACAGCTAGCGATGCTAGAAGTTCAGGAGGCTCCACTTCGGGGTTGAATGTTGGTTTGTGGATGATTGGGCTGTTGGGATACCAGCCAGACCAGAAGAGAAGGAGATATCTGCGCAGATTATTGGGTGAGAAGAAGTCGAAACAGCCCTTTTCCATAACTGGAGACCACGCTGTTCCAGTGCTGGAACAAAACCGCGTTCGGGTCATTGCTCTTTTGACCATGCTCACAATCTCGCGTGTTTTGACGGCCAGGGTCTGACAAGAAGAGTCGTCGAGGGAGTTATATAATTGTAGCCTTTGAGACAGGGTCCCGCAATCGAAACCATCGGCAATGCCTGATGACTCTGTAAACCGTTTTAGAAACGGTAGAGCCAACCTTTCTCGTGAAGCAGCCTGATCGAAGCAGGATACAAGGTGCATTTCGTTACCGTAGATATCGTTCCAGATGTCAAAGTCGAAGCGCGGAAATGGCAGTGACTCGCATCGAAGCCACTTAAGTGAGTTGTCCATAAAGTCAGCCACGACAACAGGCATTGCCTCAGCTTCTTGAACAACATAACTGGATATCTCTTGTTGGTATACATCATTCGTCTCTTCTGGTGACGAATCCTCTGAAGCCTTGGAACTACGTACTTGCTCATAATAGCACTCGTAGTCCCGTATACTGCATGTGCTGCAAGGAACATTGCGATCACAAGCGCGCTTCAGACGAACACAGCGATTGCAGGCCCTTGGTTTCTTACCTCTAGGTCGACGAGCAGGCAGGAGTGGTACCTCTGACCCAGTTTCGAGGCGCACCTTGCATGTTCCCCAGTGGCGTTTGAGGGCATCTCTGAGAAGCATCATAAGTGGACATGGCCATGGATAGTAGAGGTAGATGAACATACCGGCGAGTGAACGTCCGTTGGCAAAATGAACAAACAGAGGGCGGGTCTGAGACTCCTGTCAGGTTGGCAACGGCCGTCAGCCAAGGAGAAAACAAGAATGAGAGTAGTGACTAAAGGGCAATGGGTTACAGTACATACTTGCGCGGCGGGGTGATGAATCCGAGGGTTGGGATTGAGACGTAGCTGTCGCCGAATCCATGATTCGCAGGACAGTTCAACTCAGGTCTTATGGGCACCCGAGCTCAATACCTGCCTGCAAAAAGTGCCTGTTGAACTGTCAAGATCTTGGCTAAAGATGCCATCGGTCGAATGGCACAAAATTGTACAACTACCGATATGACAATCCCACATACGGATCACAACCCGTTTTGTATCTAGCTAGAACCTTGTTTGAAGCAAAACGCGGGGAAATGACAATGGCGCTATCGTCATTGGTCTCTTTCGGTTTGTGGCGGTGGAATTTTCCCGCTTTCCCCACATGATGAACATGATAACTTGCGCTGAGTTCAGTTTAGTCAAGGTTGTCTAGAGTGCGGAGGTGGAAGACATCGCGACGCCGTGTAGTGGGGCTGTAAAGATATCATGGCCAAGTCACAGCGATATAAATGGCCTTGTGTCGTGTTAATATGAGATAAGAATCAAGAGTAACAACTACTCTACCTTAATCCAATCACTCAAACTCTCAGCCGCAAGAACAATTATTGCCATGTCTCCACCTGAAGAACATCATGGCCTCAAGTCCAAATGGCCCCAAGCCTTCGATCTCGCCGGTTCCAACTCTCCCTGCCGAATCGAAGGAGAAATCAGTGATCTCGTGGTACTCGGTGAGATCCCATCTGCTATTGACGGAACCTTCTATCGAGTCATGTGTGATCCTTTCGTCCCTCCTCATCCCGACAACGTTCCTCTTGATGGCGATGGTCACGTCTCTGCTTTCAGGATCCACAACGGTCGAGTTGATATGAAGATCAAGTATGTGGAGACAGAACGATACAAGCTTGAAAGAAAAGCCGGGAAAGCTCTGTTTGGCCTCTACAGAAATCCCTTTACGCATCATCCCTGCGTCAGAGCAGCCGTGGACTCAACTGCCAACACAAACATGGTCTACTGGGCAAATCGTCTACTCGCACTCAAAGAATCTGCGCTTCCTTATGAGATGCACCCTGACACTCTCGAGACTCTCTGCTACGATCCTTTTGGAGATCAGATCAAGGCAAAGGCTTTCACAGCTCATCCGAAAATTGACCCATTTTCTGACGAACTCGTTGTATATGGGTACGAGGCCAAAGGTCTAGCGACCAGAGATATAGTCATTTATGCTCTCGACAAGAACGGCATCAAACATGATGAGCAATGGATTGAATCCCCCTGGTGCGCTCCCATCCATGATTGCGTCATAACACCCAATTTCATTGTTCTCATACTTTGGCCTTTCGAAGCCAATGTGGAGCGAATGAAAGCAGGCAAGCAGCATTGGGCTTGGGACTACAATCTGCCAGCCACGTTCATCGTAATTCCTCGTCGGAAGACCTCCAAGATTCCATCCTCATGGAAGCAGGGAGAGCACCGAGTCTATCATTGGAAGAATTGTATGAATATCCATGCAGGTGGCGCTTGGGAGGAAGATAACGCGAAGCTGTATCTCGAGTCATCGAGAGTCCATGATAACGCTTTTCCATTCTTTCCACCTGATGACGGAAGAATGCCGGCTCCAGACGCCAAAGCTGACTTTGTCCGTTGGGAGATTGACCTCAATGCCCCAAGTGGAACCCAGATGGTAGACCCAGAGATTATCCTCGACGTCCCATCCGAGTTTCCACGAATGGACGAGCGTTTCATGACGAAGAGAAATGAGTATATCTTCTTGAATGTCTTTATCCCCGAAACCTCCCAGGGCGGCACAAACATCTTCCACGGACTCAATGGATTGGCTATGCATAGTCACAGCACTGGCGAAACTAAATGGTTCTTTGCAGGCAAGGATTCTCTCGTTCAGGAACCAATCTTTATACCCCGTACGCCTGATGCGCCCGAGGGCGACGGATGGATTATTGCTATGCTGGAAAGACGTGTTGCTAATCGGAGTGAGCTTGTCGTTCTCGATACCAGAGAGTTTGAGAAACCTGTTGCTTTCATACAGCTTCCTATGCATGTCAAGACTCAGGTACATGGGAACTGGATCGACAGCAGGACGCGCACATCTACAGAGGAAATTGTAAGGCAGATTGGTCAAGTCAAGATCAGTGGAAGAGGAGCTCTGGAGCCATTGGCATGAGTGCCCTGGCGAGAAATCACTTTTAGTCATCATATCCGTCCGTCCTTAGCTATGGGAATTATGAGATTGTATCGTATGAGATGTATTTGTTATAACGAGTGTCTAGCCATTTAGAAATTTTCAGATCTCAAGTTGTTGTTAAGAACATAAACTGATTGCATATAAGAGCCTCCATCCGTTTGCATGTAGAGAATCCCCATCAGAGCCAAGACCCAATGATAAGCCTAAGTCCAGCACTGTCCAGATCCAGGGCCGGGCTGGCACTGCATACGACCGCCGCCGCAAGACCAGCAACCGTAGTCACCAGCACACTGGCACTTTCCGGGGGTGCAGTCTGCGTGAGGAGAGTAGCAGGGGAAGCAGCTGCAACGGGCCTCGAGGCCACGGAGGGCGAGGAGGGGCTATAGAATACGGTGTCAGTAGAGCTTCAAGAAAAATGTGAACAGGCGGAGGTGAAGTCTCTTACCTTGTCGATACCAGTGTAGGTGTAGCCACCGTCTTCAATGGTGACGGTGTCGGTAGCAGGAGTGGCAGTTACGCCGAGAGAGAGGAGGAGAGAGACGAAGAGAGTGGCCTTCATGATTGCTGCAGAATCTGTTGAGGTTGAATAGTTGAGTAGATGAGTGAGGATGATGAGATTAAAAATTACGACAAACTATTCGAGTTCTTATAGTCGTGAGCAGTCACGCAAAAGGCAAATCTTGTGAGGCTCGTTCATTCATTGAGTCCCAGGATAGTATTCAACTCAAGATCCCCTGAGACAGTCTATGTGCTGCACTTCGCCTCATGCAACTCGATCCTCTCAAAAGTTCTGTAACATAAGAAATTAGTCCATCATCATCATCATCATCATCATCTCGGGTTGACGCTTTACTCATTGGTCATCGCCTCGCCGTGAGGTATTTCTCATCTAGGAAGTGAGCGGCTATACATACTAGGATACAGCACTTGTACTTACGATCATGTATAATACTGGTTTAAGAAGAAATCACTGGATGTCACCGAGGCAAATGAGTGGTTACTACTCCACCTGCATAAGGGAGGATCATTGGGTTTACAAGGATTCCCTCGTATAACATAGACTGAAAATTGCACGTGTGTGGCACGTCGCCCGATAGTCCGAGTGGGAATAAAGGTGCATGTGCCGCAAACTCGGATTCCACTTGAGAGCTCGGGACCGAGATATTGTGCTCCATAATTGATCAACATGGACCAGAATAGCCGCGAACGGTGATCTCTTTTGGATTATTTGTGATTCCAATTGTGTCACTTGAACTTGAGCGAAAGTACAAGCGAAAGTTAGAGCAGCGAGTGAGTGTTAAGTCCGACCTGGGGATGCGAGGGCTAATGCAATAGGTGAGATTCCTTCGATGGACGGTCCACTTTCCCCAGGGTTTCTTAGCTTCGAATCTGTTTCTCCGTCTTGCTGACAGTGCAGTAATTTCTATTCTCAACGAATATCGACAGTCTTACTTATTACTCTAGAATAATGGCAAAGCAATGCACGATCCTACGCGTGAAGATTACAAACACTAAAACTGTACAACTGCTGTCTTATTCAATCCTTATTACTCAGCCTCTGTTTCAGAACTGATTCCACCCATTACCAACACCTAGCATCGTAACCATAAGCACTTGAGTGATTCCATTTTCGTCTTACCAGTCCTGAAAATCATACCTAATTGGAGCAAGGTCTTTCAACTCAGCGTCTTCGACTCTCAAGTCCGCAGGACAGCTAAGTAGTGGCTTAGCTCATGCAATAATGTCCGTGGGCCCCTTTTTATCACGACTGCCGATTGGCCCGGGTAGCTTACTCGGAACTTATATGCGGCGCGGGCCGCAGGTTATTCCGTATAGCGTATGGTCCTCCAGACTAACTGAGCCCAACGGGTCTCTCCTCCGTAAAAACACTTCCTCTTCTAGACTAGATTCCTGAAGCAAAGATCTTCCGTCATGTGCCGCATTTAGGCATTAAATCTAGACTCACGTAAGACGGCATTTCAGGAAGGTGGCCTCACACGGCTCATTTATTCTAATGCCGCCGTATGATCGACGAATAGTATTCCAGATGTGGCGTTTCATGTGAAAGATGACTGCATTTCTTCTGCCCTATAGACGTGGCGCCTTTCGGATCTCGGCATACGTACACCCCCAGAGTTTGACCTATCGGTCTTTACAAGATACCCGTTTCCGCGTTTAGCACTATTTTGTAAAGAGGGCTTTTGGGGGTTTGTCCGACGTATCCGCGAGAGAAGCTACCTTTATTGCCTTTTTCGTGCACCGCTAGCTGAGACGGTGTGAGATCCATGCCTGTCGAAGGAACAGATATAGAAATCCTCACAAGTCTAGGCCTTCTTGACTGAACCCTTGGGCAGGGGAACCTCCAGCTTCACCTCCGTCAGACTCCCAAGCAATCTCCTCCACATCACCGCACTCTCCTCATTTGCCGTCCCATCGGTTATCGTCACCCGGTTTCCAACAACAATAAGCGCTGATCTTGCCCGAGTCAGAGCAACATTCATCCGTCGCATGTCCTTCAAGAACCCAATCTCACGGTGCTCGTTGCATCGCACGGTCACAAACACGACGATGTCTCCCTCACGTCCCTGAAACCCGTCGATGCTCGAGACCTCAATGGGGTATGGTATACTGGAGAGATTGCGCTTGAGAACTTCGGCTTGGCGGGTATAAGGCGTGAGGACCACGATTGAGTGCGACGCGCTCTCGGTCTCTGAGCCACTGGTCAAGAGCTTGCAGATGTGAAGGCAGAGCTCTGCTTGTCCTCTATTCTCTTTTGACTTTTGTCCTGGCATTTCCTTTGCGTCGCAGTTGATGAAGATAGCCCGTTCATAGTCCATCGGCCCTGGACCCCCCTTCTGCGTCATTATCCTTGCTGGAGGAAATGGAAAGTCAGATCTGATAGGTGGCCTGGCAGAGCTACTGATGCCCGACTTCAACTTTCCCTCGTAGAATTGCCCGGAGCTGAACTCGCACAGTTTTGGATGCATCCGATACTGGGTATCTAGCATCAATGTTCTTAAGCCATCATCGCCTTCGGAGTACTTCGCTTTCGTGTAGAGTCTCTCGAATAATGACACATCAAAGTCGAGTGCCAACGCAGTCTGATTGACAGTCGGTCGTAGCTGCACATGATCTCCAACAAGAATCGCCTGTGAGCAACCCTTCACAAGTGGAACTAATGAGCTTGGTTCTGTTTGTTGAGAAGCCTCGTCAACGATGACAATATCGAAGAACTCTGAGCGTATTAATCCAATGCCTGCTCCAATGCAGGTGGTGAAGATGGTGTCGCTACGTTTAACCATTTGTGTGGCCTTCTTCATAGCCTTGTAGTCGGAGTGGATTTCCAGTCCAGCCATGGCGTCGCATGTATACTTGCGCAGATCATCGGCGACTTTGCGCACCTACATAGGGTTAACAAACTTAACCAGTGAAGATGAGCACCTGGTGACATACCTCAGTTGAGACTCGTACCAGATCTGGTTGAGTTTTCCTGACCAGTGGCTGTCTCTGAAGACGTTGAACATACCGTCGCATCACATTGTCCACTGCGTTGTGTGTCGGCGCCGTAACCAGAACCCGGGCTTTCGCATTAGCTGTTTGTAATGCGCATATCATTTCAACAATTGTCTCTGTCTTTCCAGTTCTTGTTTCTTTCTCCGCCTGTCGCCCCGATTTTGCACATTGTGATATTCTTCATCATTGTTTCCAGGTCGAGCAATAAAGATCCATGAGAAACGTCGCTGTTTTTCGAAGAGCTGGAAGACGTTGCCATCACAGTACAGTTGGTACTGCATCTTGGTTGGTAGCGACAGACGAGCCTGTCTCTGTGGGCCTTGCGAATGCGGGAACGCGAAGAGGCGACCTGTGTTGTCGATGACGCAGTCTTGTGAACGCTCAATCTTGTTCGGTATGTAGATCGCCAAGGATGATCGCTCGTCGGGTTGGAACACTATGAGAGTGCGCTGGAACAGCTCTAGGTTTGTCGCAAGAGCATCGTGAAATGTCGCGAGGCGATCAATCGACGAGTCGTATGTTCTCTTCCACTTGATCCCAGGGTAGTCCAAGTGGAATTGTTGAAGCTCTGATGGCAGAAGTATGCCCGATGAGCACAGAGCATTCTGGACCAATCCTGTCGCGGTAGCAGACGGTGGTAAATGAGCGAGGACCCACGCTTTTTGATCCGCTGTGAGAATGTTGAAGTCGAAAAGATGCATCAGGCTATCGAACGACGTGTTGTTTTTCAGACACCAGGTATATGCCAGTTTGACACATTGCGAAAAGAGACGGTTGAGCTCCTGGCACTGGGCGCTCATGGGGCCGGCGACACAGGCCCAGTCGAGATATAGGTTCTTTACTTGACCAAGGGAAGAGTTTTGGTACTTTGCAAAGTAAACAAGACGATCGTCGTCGGTGATAAGGCGGAACTGGATTGGTTCTCGACCCCCAGGGTATAGAGCTGGAGCTGAGACTGTTGATGGGATCAGGTCGGGGTCCCAGGAAACAAAGACTGTAAGAGGTCAGCACACAGACTCCAAATTATTAGATGAACTCACATGTATCACCGTCTAGGTCACCGCCAGACATAAGATCAGCGGCTGGTCTTCTTCCTCGCGTCGAAAAGACGATACAGTCGACCAGATGCGAGAGTTCCGGCCTTTCAACAACCTTGAACTTTTGCCAATCACCAGGATGAAGACAGGGGTTTCTGATGACCATTATCTCAGTGTTCATCAAAGCATGGGGTAGGCCATTCTCTTCCAGCGTCACCTTGACGGCACATTCCCCTTCCTTCAAGACATCCCATGCATCACACACACCAAACAGAAGCCTCGACCTTTTGCACGAATATGCGACATTTTTGCCCGCCCTGCTTGTTCAACATTTTTTTCAGTTCGTCATTGACTTGACGATTGATCTGAGGCTTTACGCTCTCATGCCCTTCGAGGAGCACGCGCTCTGCGAGATCGGGTCTGTTGACGTAGCTCAAGAAGCGGAATGCATCGAGGAAGTCGGACTTGGCGTTCTTGAGTAACTGCATATGGTTGCGTTGCTTGAAGAGAAGAGTTTCCTGAGAGATGCCCAATGCGTGGAGAAGAATGATGCTTTCGTCGTTGAGGAAGCCATATGAGAAGGGCTGAGATGTTAAACGGCCAGCGAGGTCTGATGGACTACTGGGCTGTTTACCTTGGAGTGCTCGACTACTGCAAAAAAGTAATCATTGCCACCACTGAATTTCTTCATCGACTTTCGAAACTTCAGTAATGTCTTCTGCTTCTTCATTCGAGGATCAACAGTGACGACACCTTCATACCCCCGATAGCGAAGTTGAAAGACCGAAGGCGTGTATCGACTGTCTCGAAAAACGATTTTTGTTCGTCGGGACAACTCATGTGCGAGACTGGGTGCTATAAGGCCACAGCCATCGGTGAAGACGTACTCGTCTGTCTCAACATCTGGGATATTCTCACATCGGTCGGGATTGATGATCATGGCCGTCTTGGAAGATGAGAAGAGTAGACCAATTCGCTTGGCCTTCTTGCCCACTGTCTTCATTCTGGTGAAATCGCCCATACCCTCGATTCGCCTCGAGATCTCCTCCTTCGTCGCCGCCATCAGAAAGCATGATCGCGACTTGAGTTGGGTGTTACTGTGACCATAGAAATCATAGTGTACCCCGTTCAAAATGATACCAGCTCGGAGACATCTGATGATGTAGTCCGAAACCTCTTGGCGAGTGCGGGGCTGTAAATCTGTCGTTGGCTGTTGCTCTTTGGCTGCGGCGCCGAAAACGAGTGGTTTGAAGGCTTCGATGGAGAAGAGCATTAATCGGTCGGTTGGATGGTCGGCTGTGGCGCGATTTGGCGTGTTGGGCTGAACTTTGAGGATCATTGAGTGCTTGCATTCCTTGAGGTCGGTTTGAAGGCTGATAGCCTTGATGAGATTGGCTTTCTTGAGAGTAGAGGGCGACGGGAGACTCGGAACCTGGAAATCCCAGACATTGTCGTCGAGACTCAAGACTGAACGCAGCGTAAAATGAAACCCTGTATCTGCCTTTTGGGATGCCATTTTAGCTCCTGAAGTCTAGACTGAGGCTTGAGATTGAGATTGAGATTTAGATGAGCGGAGTAAACCCCGACGCGCTTGAGGGGGTAGAGAAAGTGCAAATGAGCTCATCCAATGATGTTAAATTCACTGCCGTTGGTGATTCATGGTCATTGGGCATTCGTGTTACACCGCATGCTGACCCCCTCACTTCTTCAACGGTCAAAGAGTCTGCGGCTTATTTATTCCAACCACGGTCGCCATGTCTTCAGATGCGCATATCCCAAATATCTACATCATTGGACCGCAATAAACAGGCAAAACAACACTAGTCAACAAGCTACACAATGACCTAGAGCACTGGCTCGCCGATATTTCAATCGATAAACCACAAATAGTCTCCGAAGTCGCCAGAACTGTTCTGGTCAAGCACAAATACTCAGCCCAAGATATCCAAACGTCAACTACCAGGTGCTTTGAACTCCAACAACTCATTCTTGAAGCACAAGCATCCTCCGAGAAGGAAGCTCTAGAGACCTCCAGTTGGTTCATCTCCGACCCTTCCGGGTTCGACCCTTTAGTCTACGCAAAGCGATATGCCGCCCCAGATGCTGTTCGACAGTTGCAGAAACTGCCTGCCTGGAAAAAGGTCAAGGCAAGAATGGAGAGTTCTTTGATCCTGGTCTGTGAAGCGGGGACGCCGTGGCTGATGGACGATGGTGTGCGATTGATGCCTGGAAGCGATAAGGAGTGGATGCAGCTTTTTCACGACTTTTGCGAACTGTTGGATGACATTGGGCTTGAGTACTGTGTCGTACCTCGGACCATGTTGTATCTCTCAAAACGGGCAGACCTTGTACGTGCGAAGTGGACTGAGAGACGACAGTCTTTGATTGACAAACGATAGCACAAGAAGTAAAGAGAAGTAAAGGATGGGGTTCGTCATCAAATCAACGGCACTTAAGACCTTCCATAATTATAGATCTTGACATATACATACCTTGCATGGCTGGCCCTCCTCACCTCTCTGAGGAAGCGCTTTGTGGCAGACCTCGAGAAGTCCCAGTGTCATAGGTCTCTAGCTCAACCGAGTATGTGTAGTCAGCGCATATCCCGTTCTGCCCATTCACCAAAATCCCCTTTTCTGAATCCTCGTCACTCAATCGCTCCCAATTGTTATCCCCGCGGTTAACGTGCGTAGACGTTATACTTCGGTCAGTAGGGTTCGTGAACACGCGCTTTGGGCCTCCGAGAGCTGCTATCGCCTATCCTTCCACCACCAATCGTGATGAGAGTGTTTGCGTTGAGTGTCCCTGTTGAGCCTTGTGATTCTTGCCCTCGGACTCGCTTGTATAGGATTCGTAATGATGCAAGGGAGGCGGCGATGCAGCCAATACCAATTTCGACGGCGAGGACGTAGACTGTTATACAAATGTTGTAAAGCTTTTGTGCTTCCAATTGCATCCATGTGTTGAGATGGTCGTCTTTAGAGCCGATGCTGACTTTGACAGCGTGTACGGCGAGTCCTGTGTCGGCGATGTAGACCCCCTGCCCTGGATTGAATTATTAGTTAGACCTTGCATCAACACGCAATGGAAGAGCCGGACTTACCAAGCCAGCTACTATAGAACTCCGACGGCAACAACACCAAGACTGAGAAACACCAAGATAAGCACGGTCATCGTGAGCGGGAAGCCCTCCAGCGTGACAGCCCTAGCATTTTCGCCAATCATTTGCTGATTATCAAGCCCGGCATCTTGAAATCATTCCTTGAACGATATTACGCTAGAGCTCGGGATTTTAGTTCCAGTCAGTCCCCCAATCTTCTTGGACAAATGCGCCGCGTAGAGTCATTTAAATAGCTGCACTATCGATAAGGGGCGAGCCTTGCTGACATTTTTTAAACTACGATATCACATGCTGTTATGAGATGGACTCGTGAATGACATTAGCCTGTTTCAATTTCGAAGTCGCACAAGATTCAACAGCTATTGATCTAGTCTCTGCCGAAAATAAATTAACAGGGTACAAGCAAGATATAGTCTTCCTTACTATTATTCACCTAGAACCTGTTCTGCATATACCATGGGCCAAGCCAGTGACCCGGATGCAACAGCGACAGACGTACCCATGTCTGGGCCGTCACTCTCGCCCACGCTTAGTGGAATTGCTGCGGTCGTCATCGTGGTTTCGGCTCTTCCCGCCTTAGGCCCTTCACTACTGTTTTTGCCAGTGGCCTGAGTCTTTACATTGACGATCAAGATGCATACTGAACCGAAGAATGCAACGCCCCAGGGCGCCGGTGGATGTTGAGAGTCATATGAACGCCGTGGACGATGTAACCGATGTCAACACCCTCACTTCAGCCCAAGACTACAAGGTTTCTCAGGTGTCTACATCGCATGCTGCCTTAGGGCGGCATGATTCTGACTCTTTGAAGTGTGGCATATTACGATGTCCGTTCCTGACCACCAAGTGCTGAGATCAAATTAGCGCGATATGTCTTAAAGTGTTAGACGATTGAAATGCGCAAACATCTTTACACCGCGAGTGCATCGACCGATGGCTTGACAATCACCCCATATGCAAGTCAATATATGTTGCACGGCCGGAACCAACATTTGAAAGGTTAAGGCTAACAAACCGCGTCATACTGAGGGTGGGGCTTCTCAGCTTTGATTGGTGTATATGTCAATTTAGGGTTGAGTAAAGTGTGCGGCAGCTGAGATAGATGTCATCAATCAGCTGATCTCTTTTACATATCCAGGGCCATTCGACGATCTTCCAATCAATTTTCTTGTGATTGACTACACCTTGTTGCAGCCATCAGTTCAGTTGAGTAAGCACTATCAATATCTTGGCCAGATTGTTGCAGCCATCATGGCATGGCTTTCCACTTAACTTACACGTGCAGAAAGACTCGGACTAAGTGAGCGGTGGATGCAGTTACACTGTGTCCTCTGTGGTTGTCAAGCGCCACAATACAGGATTGTTCTGTCAGTTGCACCTTGTTGCATGTGATGGTACCCGACCAGACAGAGCTATGTCTAATCCCACACCACTTGCTCCATTCAACAATAAACAACTTTGTAGCGGTTGATACTGCTTGTCATTTGATACGACAAATCGAAAAATACAGTAACTGAGCGTATTGAAACATCCCATGTCCGATGAATAAGATATTTATGTAAGATTTACGTTAAATGGAGCAATTCACCAGCCGCCTCATAAAATATATACAGCACCGCTCGCTCTGCACCCTCATGATAATCTGAGTGGCAAAACCACTGAGTTCGCTTGAAACAACCTACAACATCATATCTTCAATCCCATCACCCCAGCTCCATTGCAAAAATGGAAGAAACCGGTGTTGCGCATAAAGTCATATCTGTTGTTCTCCGTCTTGCTGAGCTTGCCTCGGCTATAATCGTCCTGGGCATTATCTCGCGCTTCACCTACCTCGCTGGCATCGCACAGGTGCATATCGATGGACGCATCATCTATACCATCGTCGTTGCGTGTCTCGGTATTCTTTATTCCATCTTTTTCTGTCCGCCATTCAAGTCCCTGTTCTTGAGCTTTCCCTTTGACTTTGTAATGTTTGTCATGTGGCTCGTGGCATACTGCTTGCTTCAGACGGTAGGGCCTTGCCATTCTCTCATCACCCCACAGCTAACAACACCTACTAATCCGCGATATTTGCTTTTCATAGAGAACCGGTAGTCATACTTGCTCTGCAAGTTGGTACTACAATTATTGGGGCTACTACTGGGGTCGCTTTTGGCGAGTCGGACCTGTTGGGACAGTGAATATTAACTCGGCGGGTTGCTCCTCGTGGAGGACAGTCCTTGCGTTCGCATTCATTTCGTGGTTTCTCCATCTTCTGAGTGGATTTCTTGTGAGTCACTTCCGCCATGTCATTTCTAATTTGAGCAGAATGGGACAAGCTGACGCAACCAAATACAGGGTATTTATGTTTTCCGTACTTATATCAGGCTCGACGAGACAAAGACCGATATCAAGCACCATGCGGAAAAACTTACCAGGTAAGCACTCCAGAGCATGAGCTATCGTGGTATTTAAATGGTAGACTAATGATTCTTGCACTCAAGAGGTGACCCCAAAATCCATGGTTATCAGCGAAATTCTGAAGCGACAGATAATGTCTAGACCACAATGCCTCTGTCAGCGTTCTAGCCCGGGGAGGGCAGGTGGGGGGGTAACTTTTGGAGTAAGCAGCCACAAACGTCAAAAGCCGAAGTACAAACTTTCCTTGGTCCACGGAATATACCATAACCCCACAGATTGAAACAGGGATGTAGCATACATGCACTTAATATACTGGATTTAGTCTTACACAGGGCCATCACAAAGTCAAACAGGGTGACCATGAAAGTATGCATTGACTTATCCAATCTTAAGCTACTCAAATCATACGTACAGTAGCACGAAATTGAGAAACAGAGCAACTCCCACCACTACCGCACACGGTACGAGGTGTCCTATACCACTGGTAATGATCTGCTCCGGTTCGTACGTACCTGGCATCGTTGAGTTTGTCGTACCGTTCCAACAGTATCTTGAGAAGCAGTCTCTGCATTTGGACGGCACGGCCGTCCCTGTGCGGTCAAAGCTGCGAGCCAATATCGCACAGCCTACACAAGCTGGCCAGTCGGGGTCAACCGTGCCATTTCCCATGGTGGCGACGTTGTACCCGTTAACAATGATCTCATTCCGTTCCGTGTCGCTGTATTCGAGATCAAATGTTGTCGAGTTGGAGTGGTACGTATACGGTGCGTTGGGCAGGTAAACAATGAGTGGTCCCGCCGATTTGTTGGAGTCTGCGCCGCAGCCGAAAAAGGTGGGACGCTTGTTGAGACCAAGGTTGACAAAGGTGTTCTGATCTGGTATTTTGGGAAATTTGCTATTCTGTGTCGACGTGCCTGCCTTGGATCTCTCGTATGTTGCCAAGAGCGCCGTGCCATTTGGCCACCGGGTCATAGTATCAGCGGAGCCATCAACAGCAAAGATGACATCGACCTGACGGTCCGATAAGAGCAGTGGGTGTATAGGAATGTTTTGCAGATCTTCCCCACCGTCAACGAGTGTCAAGATTGTCGTGTTGGCATTTGAGTTGTTTGTGGGGTTATACTTATAGAAGGGATTAGGCCAGTTGGCGATATCCCTATTCTCCTCGCCAATATCTGCCAAGGTATTGTTTATGGCTCCAAGTAAGAAGTCCGGTACATTCTCAGCCTTGTCGATCTGTAGAAAGGCCTGGTTGAATAGTGAGGCAGATGTCCCCATGACAAATCCGACGTTATCAACCCCCGCGATGCAATTTCTTCCTCGTTTGATAGTGCCGTTATCGAAGTCGGAGCCGACATATTTCAAGGGTGCAAATGCGGCAAGCCCAGGATCATAGGAACCCATTTCCCAAGGGTTGAACTCGACGATGGTGGAATTGCTCGCTATCTCGAGTTGGCCTGTTACCCGTTCGACCGCAACAATAATGGGCATAGGCGTTGAGGCATTGGCGAAGTCGGTGTCGTTCGCAATTGATGAGAAGGTATATGCTAAGGTGAGGTCAGCTTTCTACTCCAGAAAAGAACTCATGGGAGTCAATACCTGGTCCTCCATCGCTTGCATTGACAAGCTGATAAGACAATGATCTTCCCCAATAATCGGTTATGCTCTTGTTGTAGCCCGCTTCGACCTTATCATTTACGTCTTGGTATAGCTCGCGGTAATATCGTGTTATCGATAGGTCGGATGGCCCTGTATTGTGTCCAAGTCAGCCCATGTCACTCAGCGCTTCTCAATCTGGAGTCTAGCCCCAACAAACCTTCAATAATTGAGTCATCAAACTGCCAGAGGGTTCCTAGAAAGGCACTGGATCCAGAGACGATGGACTCTACTGTGGTGAAGTTCTGTATAAAGAGACTTCCCACAACCCAACTACCGCCAGACAGGCCACTCAGGTACGCTGCTGCCTGTAGGATACCGCCGAGATGTCCTTTGCCAGTGGAATTCTTGGTTCGACTGTCAAAAGCGGCAATGGCACCAGCCCCATTCATCATGGCCCTGTAACCCCCGCCTGAGATGGCAATGCCGATTCGGGGCAGCGCGCCGCCATCACTAGCGATGCCATCAAGATATTTATCAGTATCTATATCACCAATATCAACTCGATTGAGGACGTCCTTCAATACTGAGATCGTGTTGTTGTCACGACGTTCCAGCCATGCTATTTCATCAGTTGACAGTCCAGTTGCCTGTCGGATGACCGGCCGTGTATCCGGGCATGAGACTTGGCCTGGAGCGTAGCCATCAGGAGCATTTGGAACCCCTCTGCGCTCCATAACTGGTAAAGCCTCAGCATCCGCGATTCCGTTCTGTACTACCAAGTCACGTGTTAGGTTAAGGGTCACTGATGATCTTAGAGTATTGACTTACTCGCGGGCGAGGCCATCAGCACTGCAACTTTGATTAATTGTTTGCAAATCATCATCATAAATTGTTAAGAGCCCTAATTTTGCCTGAACTCATGAGCTTTGTGAGATCGGTTGGTGAGGTCAAGGATAACAATAGTTTTGACAAGACAAAAACAGTAGTAGCTTCAGATGATAAGAGTAGCCTGCAATTCGCCCTATGGCTGAAGTGATATTTTGGACTGATACATGCAGCCAAACCCCGAGTTCATCTTTCCCCGCGACCATGTTTTGTCATAGTTACGCATCCCCCTCGCTTAGCTTACATTGCATATTATTTCGAGGCTTGATATTACATACGCACGCCATTTCAAGGTCAGCGAGTTGGTTACTTAATCAGGACAGGGCTGCTATACGAAGCCGCCTGAACTAATCAAATATGGGTGGTAAGCAAGTGCTCCAATAGATAACTTTATTCGACCAACAATACATTCACCTGTGACATCGCATATTAACTTCCGGCTGACGCACAAATACAATGACACTTTGTCCATTCAATGGTGGTTGAAGCCACCTACAATGCCCTTGGCACAGTCCACAGGATATTTGGTAACAGCTGCCGACACACCATCATCTGGGCTTGGATCTGCCATTCTCGTTGGCCCTATAAGAGCATTAGACTTCCACGCTATCCCCGTAAGTATCAGACTGACCAAATACGAAGACAACGACAGCCTCCTTGCCCCGCCCGCCCAAGATGTTAACCGTGAAATCAGATACGGCACAAGAGGCATCAAATTTGTTTGGCCCAACATACGGTACATTCCACGTGAACGCAACCTCGTTCCTCCCCTCAAATCCCACAATGCGGTATGTTATCGAACCCTCAACCCCTCCGCCAATATGACTCGACTTGCAGCGCAGCATGCCGCTCTCCCCTGCTAGTATTGTCTGCGGCGGCTGTAGGTCTGGCGTCTTGTTCCAATGGCCATGGTTAAGAGTTGGCCATTCAGGCTCTGTATTGAGCTCCTCATTGGTGTGGTTCAGAATGACGATCAGTAGCTCCCTCGTGGCCATGGTGTTGTTGTTGGCCTCAGAAGTGTCAGTCAGTAGGTAGATGTTGATCAAGACTGCGTACAAGAGTTGAAGCTAGATTTGACGATGATGTACTCAAAGAAGAGTGTTTGAATGAAGTAGCGGTTTAATACACTTTATAGGTCTCTATTGGACGACACCAAACCTGGCATCTTATAGCGTTAAGACGGACAAACTAGAAGTCACAGCCCCCTCACTATACATGCCTCTGCAGCTATAGATGCTCATAAGAAAGGATGACAGGTTATTGAGGGGATCTCCAAGTTGGTAACTCACCACCATCCAGAAAATCCACCCCTCACCCACCCTTGCCAAGCTGCACAGGGCGCGTCATATCATCATAATCTCATTTGAATACAGTGTATAAGCGTATACTGAGAAGGCACCAATGGTCAAGATGGTGGGGAAACATCGGCGGCTGATCAAGTTTAGCGGGGACGATTGGTGCGGAGAGTTGTCAAACCTTATCAGTGCACAATGTCACATCGTTCAGTGCAAGTTGAACGACCTATAATACTGACTGGGCCTGCAAGGGTTGCCATATGTCACAGCAGTGCCTCCGTATGGGAGCGGAAACGTCATTTCGAATCCGAAGTGATAAAGAACACTGGATTGGGAAAAGCAGGGACCTAGATCGTCAGGGCAATCGTAATTTGAGTTTTAATAAAGGTTAATCTAGAAAATCATACCCCCGCACACATTGTTACTTATGACCGATAAAGTTTGTGAATATCGCCATCTTATTAGTTCATGTGGTTCATAACATGCTCAATGATGTTATAGCTACGGTAGCAAGTAGAGGGGCTCGCGGCTGTGTGCTAATTAGGCTTAGCATTAGAAGTCTGTTCACAAAAATGAAGAAAAGTTTATTTGTCGCATAGGCCAATAACTCGATGCAAATACCCTCCACGCTGAGCAGATTTCAATTCCCGTCATGTCATTGTTTTCGGAGGAGGAACACCGTGCAACAATGCGTTTCAGCTCCGCTGAAACTTGTTTGGCATCTGTGGAACTACCGTATAAACTGACTCAATTGAGTAGTGCCTGTAGATCTACGCTACTACACTCATTTGACCAATAGTGCTATTTAGCAAAGTGTCAGATCTTTCTTCATTAATAGGCTAATCGGCTGATTAAAAATGCCTAGCGCGGACCCATAGGCACTACTTAATTTAGTCGGTTTATATGGTAACCTAGAGGACAGGCTAATAGACCTCGTCGCCGTCCAAGCACGGTCTAATGGTGGGAGGCGGCCACGCAGAAAGACTGGGACTTCAGGGCCATCACTCAAGTTCACGTTAAGCTCAGAAGCCAATAGATATGTGAAGAGAAAAAAGAATAAGAATCTGAAAATGATACCTAGGTCACGCCACAGGTGGGAGTAGCTATAGTCGTAGCTTATCTCAAACTAGGCGTCTCCATTCACGTAAGTCTCTCCTGCCACAGAACCAGGCACCGGGCATGCAAAAGTGTCACCTATGAGATCTTGGGATAATTGGTTCTGTGTGCTTAGTTAATAAGCAATGCCTTAAAGGCATGAGAGAGCGGATTAATATACGAGATTCATTTGAACCACGGATGCATATAAGGACCAGGAAGAATAAAGCCAAGTGTATATAACCAGTGCAAAGATGAGGAAGCCAGAAATGGCCATGGCCTAGGGAAGAGTGATAGCTGCTGCAGCAATAGTGTAGAATATTATAAATATTGCCAAGGTCGTTATAAAGATAAAAAGGAAGAAAATGAAGAGCTGCGAGGCTGTCAACACAAGGTCGGAGAGGAAATAGAGAATGACTTAACAGAATACGGCTACCACAAATTTGAAGGGAGCATCAATCAGGACTCTTGCGAGCGCATCAGTCGACGGCCGAGAATGATCTCGCCAAACAGTGTTGTAAATGTTGAGGCTTTATCATCCCAGAGCTGCTGCATACATCTTTTGCGCAAAGGGCGGTCTGCATTGAAAACGACAGTGTCTGTGCCGCTCTCGTCAACATGCCCTTTGCTTTCAATTCATTCATTCTGTCGAGAGGGGTCCTTGTAATACTGCTCAATCTCTACCATCAGAGAAGCATACTCAGGCGACTCGCGCCAATACTGTTCGAGTTCTCATGCGTTCTGGGCACTGAACTTTCGTGACCTTGCTTCGCCAGTCTCTGCGCTGGGTTCGTGATAGCGGTCACCAAGTCTCCCGATGTTTGTCTAACATGACGCTGCCATCCCATCCGTTCAAACTTGTTTAATTCAATCATACCACGATGAGTGTCTCTATTTCTAGGTTTGAAATTGTTGAGAATTCACACTCCCCTGTCCTTTCTAATATTGGGCGTGTGAGAAGGGCTTCTATGCAGAGAGCTTGAACCCAGTATCAGAGCTCAGGACCCGCTCGAGGTCACTACCCAGCGTTTCGCCCCTGAATCAGTCGATGCCCTGAACAACCTTCTTATGTCTATTCCCTGACCCTCCAAGGGCAATAGTCGCGAATTCCCAGAGTCCATCAGCAAGCACGTCGTAAAAGCATTTACAAATATTATATATGTTCATACCATTATAGATAAGGAGCTAGCATCTACGGCGGCAATGTACAGCACGAGCACTAGACTGCTTGTCTTTACTCGGGGGGGTTCGCATGGGGGCCGAGCTAGACTTGCTCTCATATTAGAATCTCGTTTACATAGGGAGGGAGGGTTCTACCGCACGAGTCTCAGTTTAAGGAGGCACTCCGGCCCATCCTTACACCAGAAGAGGTTCGGTGGGCTATATACCTTGGTCGAGTCGAATACCTCCTTGGCTACCTTTTACCATCAGGGAAGGTTAATGAGACCAAGCCTTAAATTATTCTTTTATGTGAATGGGCTTGGGATCTAAGGCATAAAAGGTAAAAAGCAGGGGAGGGTATTCTGGTATAGAAGATAAAGGACAATCCTGTAAAGCTAAAGAAAGCGTTAAAGTACTATATAAATATAGTGGAAAAGATTGGTAAGAAAAAGAACTGAATAGAAGGGCCAGATAGACAGGGAATGAAGGTGAAAGTTAAGGTTGTTAAAGAAGATACCTTGTAGCTTATATTTATATAATATACTTATCTTTTTGCATTTTATCTATATATCTATATGTAGCTTCTCTAGAAATCTGGAGTTAGTAACACAATACAGCCCCTTTGTATTATACCTTAGCTATGCTTCGGCCTGAGCAAGGATGTAGGATATAGGGTATTAGGTTCTTGTACTGGGTATCGAGGTCTGCTTTGGGTTGGAGGAGAGCTGCTATGCCCGGAGAAGGATGAGGAGTTTGCGAAATATGCGGAGCAGAGGGGCTTAGTTGTTTAATATGTCACGGCACAGATATTAAACTAATACCAGATTCGTTACGCGGGCTCTCCTGGTGCTCTCAAGCCTGTCGATTGGACCCCTGCTGGAGCAGAACGCGCAAGGTGGTCTCGTCAGCCCATTCACACGAGTCACTACCCACTCAGTGCCGCACTAACTTCATTCATAACTGGTTAATACTCGTCTCTCAGTATAAGGAGTTGAACTTATGAATCCTGAAGACGCAGGATAGGCTGACTCCGCAAGACAAGGTGTAATTTATGCGAGAAGATAGCGGGCAATGGGGTTGCAGTTAACATTCTCCAATGCTTGCTTTTCCAAATATAACTCGCTTCAGCATTGTACTTTGACATGCCATTTTATCCAAAGTTTTGCTTCTGCGGCAAGACTCGGGTCTCTGGAACCCGAACGTGAGAGTACACGATGTAACCTCGACTTCAGTCGCAGCGGATTCATCAAAAGCCTCACCAATGTCAACAGTCCTCCGTTCAAAATACCACATATACAGCGTTCTTTAAGACTTTAAATAACGAATGACTTTGCCGCCGGGAAATAAATCCAGACAGAGAAATGTCCGAAGCTCGCGAAAAAAGCCTCCCAATTTCGGCACTCTCATAGATTTGGTCTAGACAAATAGGGTAAGGGGTCTTGCGCCCGTTGTGAAAGGCTAAAGACAAGCTTTCAGCTAAGGTTAAAATTGTAACGTCGTGAAAGCTCTAGAACTAAGTGGAACGGACTTGGGATTGTTTCAGTCGGTTTAGTTTCGACCAGTGTTTAGCAGGAGGTTTTATATGTTAGCTAAACGATTTTGAGACTGGTTGGTTTTGGGGCATGGCATGATTGTCGATAACATCAGCCCATTGATTTTTGCTTTTTTATGTTTTGCATGTAATTTTCGGCTACTGGGAATGGCAGTTTGATAGAGTCTGTGAGCCGAGTTAATGGTCCATTTATCTGCAATACAATCGTGGAGATACAAGTGACGATTCAACGCTGATCAAAGCATAATTTATTCCCAGTAAATCTCTTATAGCAAAGCTTGTCTCTCACTCGAGCGCCTTTTTACCGTTTCAGATCTCGGAAAAAGCGGCATGCAACCAATAGACCCCTACGGCCCGAGACTCCTCGGTTAGCACCACATTAGCCAATACCCATGCCCTTGTCTTGGCCCTACGGGGATTATATTTCTACCGGTTCCTTCTGGCGTGTCGATCTCTTCGGGAAGTCCCTCCGAGCTCCCTATTCGAGATCCAACACGACATCCATCAATAAGTACATGTTGTTATTTCCAACGGACAATTTCCTTGTGCTGTGCCGCAGACGCATGAAAATCAGTTACTTACAGTACGTGTCAAAGGGCCGAAGGAGAACGCTGCGGGAATTTGCTTGCATTTTCTCCCGTCCAGTGAGCTTGTAAAATTTCCGTTTTCTTCCGCCGACTGGGTAACGAGCGTTTCGAATCCTTGCTTTTTGCTGCTGCACTTGAGATTATGACAGGGTGATTCGGATCATTGCATGCATATTCCCAGAAATATGCTTCATCAGTTCTTTGTAAACCAACTGCGCCCGTACCTGGTGGCTTCGTGAAGCGATCTGACATTGACCAACGGTTTGGCGAGACATAAGCACTTTACCCCTGGACTTGACAGTTTTTGGCCAGATGCATATAATACCCGTCTCACAAAAGGCCCGGACATTTGTGGTGTGTCAGCTCGTGTGTGCCTGCCCCGGTATTGGATGCTTCGTGAAGATTATGATGCTTTTTATTGTGCTGTAGTGTAAATACTCATGTGCTGATTTCGGAACCGGCACCGCCGCACACAGGCTGTATGCAAGGCGTCGCAGAGAATGCTTCGGCTTTCATTTAATCTACGCCAACCCCATCTCGTTAGATCTAAATTTTGAACCTCGACTTTTGGATCTCTTCATTTATGAGTTGAAGTGTCTGCTTTTTCATATTGAGATATGGCTGGTGTCGCTAAAGAGGCCGTGGTGGTAAGTTAGCATTCGATCTGATCCATTGCCTTGGTCAATCCGAGCCATGATCTGCATTTCTTGGCAAGATTAAGATCATGACTCGCTTGCTAACCGTGATCTACATTGCAGCCCATCGAGGCCGTGCTCTTCGGAATATCAACGCTCCTCGTCCTCGCTCGTCTAGCACTTCGAACAATTCGACAACACCAGAGTCTCACCGTCAGCGATTGGTTTCTCATCGTCTCTTTACTCGATGCCGCTGCGTTATTTGGGACCGATACGGCTGCGTATAATTTGGGGGGAATGGACGAATATGACCCAAGTGCACCGCCACGAAGTATTGAGGATCAGATTACGTTGATGAAGGTCTCGTTTGCGGGCAACTATTTCTACGATACGGGTGTATACTTTCCGAAGTTGGCGTTGTTGGCGCTTTACTTTAAGCTGATTCCACAGACATTGCCTGTTTTGCGCAAATTTCTCTATGGAGTTACAGCTTTGACGGGATCATTCATGCTCACGACATGCTTCTTGGATACCTTTTGGTGCGGCTCCAACGTGTCTGTCAACTGGGAGATTGATGGAGAGTGCAGTACCTTTGACTCAAAGACAGTTTTCCGGATTGATTGGGTCATGAATCTCATCTCCGACATGCTTGGTATGTCCATCTCAGTGAAACTCTGTTCAAGTAATCACTGACATTATTCGAAAGTCTTTGCACTGCCTTTCCCGCTTCTTTTTGGTCTACAGCTCAGTAGGCGATACAAGGCAGGTCTGGTTGCGATCTTTGCATCTGGACTTATCACATTGGGAGCAAGCATCGGTAGATTTGCGACGGTCGAGGCAATTCATGCCTGGACCAATGTTTGTAAGCCAACACTCTCAACTTGAAGTCTTGTATCATGACAATATTTACTGACTCCGCCAGACGTCCTCTCCATGACAGAGATAGCCGCCGCAATCGTCGTAGTATCTCTCCCAGCACTCAAATCACTCCTCCACGGCCTCGGCCTCCGCTCCTCGAAGCAAAACACCACACAAACAGGCTCAGGCTACAACAAACACTCAGGTACAGTGACAACATCAAGTCACTTCAACAAGCTGTCAAGCGGCCGTGACCACAGAGAACTGTACGCCTCCACCGCACGCGTGGCGGTGGGCGCCGAAGAAGACTCCGGCAGTGAAGTGGAGCTGACCAACCTTCAAGGTATCTACAAGTCGGCCCGCATAAGTGTGACCTACCAGCGAAGAGAAGACGGTGACTGGCAGGGTAACTCGGGACGGGGGTGAAATGCGCTGTAAGATAAGTGACATTGTGGATGGTGGGATGGATGTAAGCATTAGATATGCAGGTGAACCAACAAGAAGGGAAATAGCCGGGAATAAGAGTGACAAAAGAGGGTCAGAGTGACCCAAGTTATGTATAATAAATAAATATGCATATAGAATATGACACTTGGCCAAAGAATCAGACCACCACGCATGAATTGTTTACTAATTCACCGAGTGCAATGGAGGAAGAGCTGTCATTGAAACGTAGTGAAAACCGTGAACCAACTGAAAAGTCTACGACGAATCCCTTATTGGTGCATTAACAAAAAGATTGCCTTCCACCTTTACAAAACTCAAAGATCAACCAACACATGCATCGTCTCAACACTTTCCCTGTCAAATTCTTCCCATGTTACATTCGTTGGTCCCACGTTTATTCTCGTTTGCATATCAACGGAAGACCAACCCGACCAATGATGACATCTCGCTAGAAACCCCTCCAGTTTTAGTCCCCATGTCAACACGGCCCCGGTTATTAAATCCGTAAAGCAAAAAGACCGTTGCAACATTGCGATTGCTTTTTCTGTTTCCTGATACAACCATGGCCCGACTTGTGCCGTACACTTGCAGCGGGTAAAACTCACCCCATGGATCCTTCAGGGACCCTTTAGTGTTGCATTTTGTAGGTCGTTCGATGCTGCTTTTCTTTTTTTCTTCTGTAACCGAGGTGCTGGTGCTGTTGCTGTGCGGCGTATTAAATAAGCCCATGAACTGGAATTTTAAAGTATACATGCAGTTCCTGCGGACAAGTGTGAACCTTAATTCTTTTTCTTCCTCTCTATTGCCGCGAGTGCACCATTTTATTCCCCATTTTTTTGGACTGGAAGACAGTCGGATCACAATGGCGTTCTTCATCGATGGAAAGGACTGTATGGTAGGTCACTTCAGCTGTCGTCTGATATCAGCACTCATACTCATGAACTTCTAGATCTCGGAATGGATCTTACTGGCAGCCTCTTATGTCTTCGTCGGACTTCGTGTCTACGCGCGTCTCTTCCGTGCGCGTGAGAAGTTGACTTGGTCCGATTACCTTCTACTTCTGTCTGCCATCAATGCTCTCGCCCTCATCATCTGCGATACTCTGACTTTCCAGATGGGAGTCATGGATGAATATGAGACATCTGTCAAGCTCTCCAAGGTCAGATTATCGCAATGCTTCCCGGATCATCACGCGACTAACCTCTTCATCTAGATCTCCTTCGCATCCAACTACTTCTACGATGTCGGCATGGGTTTCCCCAAGATGAGCATGCTTGCTTTCTACTGGGCTTACTTCCTCCCCTCCACCGGTATGAGTTCCGGTATGCGAAGGGCTCTATACGGTATCACTGCCTTTGTCTGCGCGTCATACATGGCAATTCTTTGGGACGACACTTTCTTCTGTGGAAAGGATGTATCCGTTCAGTGGTCTCAAGAGGAGGGCGCTTGCAGTGTCTTCTATGCACCTGAGCCATTCATTCTCAACTTTACACTGAACTTGGCTTGCTATCTTGCTGGTATGTGACCCTTTCTTCCGACACGTCGCGTTTCTTAACAAATACTAACTGAACTTCCAGTCTACGCCCTCCCTCTCATCCTGCTGGTCCAGGGTGTTCTTCAGCCCTCCAAGGGTGTCACTGCTACCTTCGTCCTGGGTGCTCTGACCATCTGCACCACCATTGTGCGATTTGTCACACTCAAGGTTGGCACTGGACAAGAGAATCTTGTTTGTAAGTCTACCCTCGCTCAGACAATACCAACTCAGCATCTGACATGTTTTTTCCAGACCCTATGAGTATGCTTGAAATGGCACTTGCTATTACCGTTGTCGCACTACCAGGCTTGAAGCCACTTGTGGATCGCTCCCCAAAGCATGAGACGAGGAGTGAAGTGATTGAGATCAAGAACTAAGGAAGGACAATACTTTTACCTGGTCCTACGGCTACTTAGCTCGTTACTTCTCTTTCGAGAGAGTGACTATTGTTCTCGTCTATAAAAGTGTTTTAAGCTGTGCTACACTTGTCCCACGCTCTGTGCACTCTAGATATTGTAATAAATTGGTATCTCGTAAATTGAAGGTCGATGCATTCTAATAATAGAACATGGCTTGCGGCCGAAAGGGACTTAGCGCACAGTGGTTTGGTATCTTGTCTACTGTGGCTTTGCTTAGCTTACTCGCGTTTGTGGCTCTCTGTAGGGTAACCTAACAACTTGGGACAAGTTACAGATCTTAAATAGAATTTATAACTATACAACTGTAAACACTATTAAAGGCTTAAATGAGCAAAATTAAAGAAGGCCAGCTATAGTTTTTTTTTTTTTTTTTTTTTTTTTTTTTTCAAATAACCGCCAATAATGGGATTTACCCTTATTTCTTAGTTGACATTCCAATTTTACAAGTCGGGGCATAGAAAGTTCCGAACCAACACCAAATTTTAGACGGTGACATCATTTTGTCAAACTCCCTCGGGTTCTACTCCCACCCGAACCATATGGGGAATCCAGGCCTGTCCAATCATATTCATGAAATGAGATCGTGCATTCAAAAACGAAAGGTGATAAAGTCTATCTGCCCTTTGTAATATCATTAATTGATTATAAAAGACTGTTAAGCCCATTCACAAGGGAGATTTCGCTTTACCCTTTCACCTTTCAATCCCGCAACGTCTTCAAATACTCAAATATGGGTGTCTCACCTGTTCCACCAATCGCGATTATTGGCGGTGGCCCATGTGGCCTAATGTTAGCACGTCTGCTCCAAACCGCAAGCATCAACTATGTCGTTTTTGAACGCGACGGTTCACCAACATCAACCGTCAGAAGCCAAGGCGGCACGCTGGATATCCACAAAGAATCAGGCCAGGAAGCGCTTCGTCGCGCAGGTCTCCACGACCAGTTCAAGTCATTGGCTCGATACGATGCAACAACAATGACACTGATGGACTTTCAAGGGAAGTTCCGTGCTTCATTCGGGGGCGACGATGATGGTGACAGACCTGAGATCGACCGTCAACAGCTGCGACAATTGCTACTCAATTCTTTGTCCACTGATCGTATTCGCTGGGGCAAGATATTGGATGCTGTTTACGAGAAAGAAAATGGAGAAGCGCGTGATTGGACTCTCAAGTTTCGCGATGGATCGACTGAGAGTGGCTTTCGACTCATTGTCGGAGCAGACGGTGCTTGGAGCAAAGTGCGGTCTCTTGTGAGAGTCAATGACCTGTATTAATCAGATTAATCAGCTGATGTTATTCCTAGGTCACCGATGCTAAGCCTATCTATTCTGGGAAATCGTTCATTGAGGGCCGAATATCCCCAAGCAACTCTCAATACAAACTGGCGCAGCAAGTAGCAGGCAAAGGAACAGCCATGGCAATGAGCGCCAAATCCACTCTCGCAGTGCAACAGTTATCAGATGCATCATACCGAATGTACATGGGCGTAGTGGCACCTGAGTCCTTGACGCGTCCTGGAGGTGATGCTGATCCAAACGACATGGAGAAAGCGCGAAAGACGATGCTTGGACCTGGAGGCTTTTACGAAAACTGGACGCAAGACTTGAGACGTTTGATCGAAGCATCTGAGGGACCGTGGCGACCCTGGCCACTTTATCGCCTCGACAAGTCCCTCTTCTCTTCTAATGATGACCAAGATGTACACAGTGACCGACCTCGATGGAGGCGCGTTCCCGGCGTTGTTTTACTTGGAGACGCTGCGCATCTCGCTACTCCAAATGGCGAAGGCGTGAACCAAGCTATGTATGACGCGCTTGTACTATTCGATCAAATCATCTCCGAAACTGGTGCTGATCGCGAAGGAAGCTATGATCAGAAAACTGATGCAGAAGCTCTAGAGCGGGCAATTTCTGCATATGAGAAAGAGATGCGACCTAGAGCTTACGAGCATATCCAGAGCAGTATCGACATGGAAAACATGATGTATGCTGATGATGGGGCTCAGCAGATGATAGAAGCTTTCAAATGTGCTCACGACGAGAGCTGATAGATATCACAGCTGCGATTGAATTGTAATGTCAACTCAACTCTTAGATAATAGAAACAAGTCTGTTCACCGCTTAACAATGCATCCGCAGCCTCCTGAGATCTTCAATCTATGGACCAAAACTGCATTAATTCCGTCATGGCAGTGCACTCTTATCTCGACCAGTGATATCGTCTGAATTTCGGATTACTTCCCCCACATGTTTCCCGTGGCTTATGCTAATCTCGATGACGTTAGCTCCCGTAACTTTGCAAGAGCCGAAAACCCACTTGTTTTTCGGGTTGTGGGAGGTGTAAGTGACGCGAATACACTCAGTCCTTCATAATGCCGTTGCCAAGGCTGAGACACCCACTTCTGCTGTCCACTCGGATTGGTGTTGCGTAACGGACGTGTAAGCTGTAAATCTCCGAGCCACCAATCCGACGGGCTGTATTATATATAAAGCTAAGCTTATCGCTTCTAAATATGCTTCTTTACAACCTTCTCACTCATCAATCCCTTTTAGCCTTTGTTCAAAATGGTCTCTTTCAAGTCCCTCGCTTCAGCGAGTTTCGTTCTCGCTGGTCTCGTCTCCGCTCATCCTGGCGAGAAGCATGATCATCAGAAGATCAAGAGACAGATCCAGGCCCGCGACACCATCGCCAACCTTGGCCAGCGATCACTGAACGCATGCTCTAGTTCTCTGCATGCCCGAGAGTTGAAGGCTCGTTCGATCTCTCGCCGAGCACAGAAGGTCGAGAAGCTTCGTGAGAGACTTGGCATCAAGACTTGTACGCTACATATTCCCCTCTCGCACTTTTTCTGTTACTAACATTTGTTACAATAGCTCCCAAGAAGCACCGCCGGGATGAAGACGACATCGTCAATTGGGAGGCTGTGAATCATAACCAGACTGGAGTCTCAAAGAATGACATGTTCACTCCTCTCGAAACAGTATTTGGCGCCAACTCCAGCTGTATCCTGTCTCCCGAAGTCACCGCCGGCCCATACTACATCGTCGGCGAATATCTGCGATCCAATGTTATTGAAAAGGAGTTCTGCGACGGAGTGCCTCTGTTCCTCGAAGTCCAGTACGTCGATGTCTCAAACTGCAATGGAGTCCCCAACTTGGCTACCGATGTTTGGAACTGCAATGCCACTGGTGTTTACTCCGGTGTAAGCTCCCAAGCTGGTTTGAACACCACTTTCCTTCGTGGTATTCAGATCACCGACCATGATGGTGTTGTCCAGTTTGAGACCATCTTCCCTGGACATTACGAGGGACGCGCTACCCATACTCATCTCCTTACTCATGCCAATGCTTCGGTTTCTTCCAACGGCACCATCCAGGTTTGGAACAGCCCTGTTTCTCACATCGGACAGCTTTTCTGGCCCGAAGACCTCCGGGAAGAAGTTGAAGCTCTTGCTCCCTACAACACCAACACAGTCGAAGTGACCTCTAACGAGGAGGATATGTGGTCTATCCTTCAAGCCGATGAGTCCTATGATCCCTTCCCTCAGTATGTCTACTTGGGAGACTCTGTCCAGGATGGAATTTTTGCCTGGATCCAGATCGGCATCAACGCTACTGCGGACTATGCTTCGGATGATTATTACGGTGTTGCTGGATACCTGGACAGCGATGGTGGTCATGGCTTGGATAGTGGTATTGGTGGAGGCGGCGGTGGCCAAGGAGGTCAACCTCCTTCGGGCAGTGGAACTCCTCCTACTGGCCAGCCTACTGGAACCCGCCCTGCCTAAGTAGTCGGATGCAGAGGCTTGCTCCATGGTAAATTAGGCCTCCGAACAATTGCTCAAGCTGCTTCGAGAGGAGGCAACCAATTGGCGATTGTGAAATCTTTGAATCGGCACTGCTCAAAGATTGGCTGTTGATAGAGGAAGGGGAATGGCAAACGTGTAGCAACTATATTTCTTGCGATATTTCATAAAACATGGTCAATAAATCACAGAAATAAGTGTTTCCTTAACTACAATTACCCATACTTATCCGTTTTCACCTTTTTGACAGCGCTATATTGCTTTTCAGCTTCCTGTTCAGTTTCAACACCGGCTTTGTTCTGTGTAAAGCATTCTGTTTGCAATAGCCTAGAGCACTAGAAGTCTGCGTCGCACGTAAATCTATAGCTTATTTGCGCTATTTCGAGAGTCACTTAGTATTGGCCCTGATAAGGCTGTAGGCTGCTTGAACTAATCGCTGTAGTATCCCAGTAAAATTGACAGTGGTACATTCTAGCAAATGGGGATTGGGGGTCAAGGTGCTCGAAATGAACTACTGCCGAATTTGGTTCGGTGTGATGAATTGACTGACGATTCACCACGTATTGGAGGCATGGTCATTTTCATGTGGCATCTCCGCGTTTCTGCGGAGTAACATCAATCACTGGGACTTAGCGGGCGCACTTCAATCAAGTGAGTTTCCATTATGTCATATGCAGCTTAATGGGCCAAGAAGAGACAAGAATAAATAAACTCGATACTAAATTGGCAGTTGGTCCAAGAACAGTCATAGGGACTAATCCATGGATCCGCTGTGCAATCTGGAGGCCGCAGCAGCTCATGCAAATTCGTCCACTTTCTGTGTATGAGTGAGGTACAAGAGTGAGACAGTCCGACTTCCGAGATATAACGGAAGGCTTTGTAAAACTGGCCTGGTAGTAGCTGCTGTGGAACTGGTGGTGGCTTGGCTACAGGGCGATGTGACCATCTTAACATGAGACTTGCAGCTTATGAAGATTACTGGACAGCGAGTAAAACGCCAGAGAGTGATTTCACCGCAACTGGACGAAAGAGGGTGCAGATTCATATGCGGAACGTCACAGCCCATCATACTAAGAAAGGGTAGACAGACAAGCTTTTGGACTTTCAGTCATAAGGCTGAGAGTATCCTTGTTACATTGGGGGCTGAGCGTAGCAAACTAAATTATGGATAATATGATCTTGCCCGCTCCTCGCATTTGTATTCTTTTCCCCCTATCCCAGCATGCATTTTATACGATCCAAACTGCAAATAGGCCCTCCTACTACCAGAGACTGGCTTGATGATCTCTATATGGTCGCGGGGCGCGGAAAGCTGTTAATATTCTTTGAACAATGGCAGCCAAGTTCTGGTTCCTATCGATGGCAGTAGTGGTTACTAGGCTTCATTTTTCGATCCAACATGACCCCGTCAAGGACTTTTGTCGACGATTTGGACATCAGACAGCAGCCATAAATCGAAAGTTATACATCGACGGGGGACTCGTTAATTGGAAGCCGCTCGAGACTGACCCAAAGAATTATACAAGTATGCTACACACTCGCCTCTTGCGTGGAATTAAATAACCATTTCCCCAGACTCGTGGTTGTTATGGCACGACCTTGATCATAACAGTAAGGATAATATGCCACAGATCCATGCAAATCTCAGCAAGAATGTATCGATTCCTTCAGTTCACGGCGGCGCTCTTTGGGCAGATGATGTCAACTACCGTCTATTCCTATTTGGTGGTGAGTTCTTTAGCGGAAGCCCAACCACTAGAAACTTCATGTCCTACGATGTATGGTATGATCAATGGGATGATTTCGGGCCGCCTTCTGAAGATATCAAGCGCGTCAGTTATGGGGCTGCTACAACTGTAAAGGAGCGAGGAGAAGGGTAAGTCGAGGGTTTCTATGGCTTGGATGGTCTTTATACAACGTTCAGTACTAAGATCAATATTCTAGGTACTACTATGGAGGCTACCTTTCGAGAGCTTCTGTGCCTGACTGGAGCGGCGAGCGACGCGCGACATCAGATTTGATTCGGTATCAGATGGACAGTAACACGTGGGCGAAACTCTCAGGACCAGACGATATAAATCGCGCTGAAGGTGTCATGACCTTTATCCCCGCAAGTGACCGTGGTATGCTGGTCTATTTTGGCGGGTTTCAAGATCCTGGCGATAATGGCACCATGGTCTCACAGCCATTGGATGAGATATTCCTCTATGATATGATATCGAACAAGTGGCACGTTCAAAAGGCAAATGGTACCATTCCTGAGAGTCGTGGAAGATTCTGTGCTGGAGCTGTATGGACTGAGGACCGCAGCAGCTACAACATGTATGACGCCTCGATCCTATTGACTGTTTTTGGCCTTTTTATTGACGATTCTAACTTATGTATAGATACATAAATGGAGGTCACGGGCTGGAAGGACCTGGATTTGACGACGTCTACATCCTCTCCTTACCATCTTTCACATGGATCAAAAGCTATCCTCTCGACCAAAACGGAACAGGCTACTACCCTTCGCACAGCCTGTCGTGTGATGTCGTCAACCAAGGATCGCAAATGCTCACTATCGGCGGCGCATTCCCACAGGATGAAAGCACATGTGATGTCGAAGAGGTCTGGGGTGTTCACAACATCGATTTGGGCAACCAGATCAAATCGAACTTCAAGAAGGTTTGGGCAGGTTATGAGCCGACTCTCTTCGGTTACAAGGTCCCTGGCTTTGTGACGAGCGTTATTGGTGGAACGGAAGACGGAGGTGCAACTAAGCTCAAGCCTGACTATGGATTTGTTAACCATGATCTTGGCGCGTTGCTTAGTATGAAAGCAGTGTTTTCTAATCGCACGAGGCTTGATGATGGACGCACTGATCCTGCCGCTACATCAGAGGAAGGATCAAGTCCCAAATCAGGGCTTTCCACCGGTGCAATTGTTGGAATTGCTGTTGGTGCTGGACTTGTTGTGCTGGCAGTTCTAGTTGGTCTGTGGCTAATGCGCAGGAGGCGAAAAGCGCAGGTCAATATCCAGTCAGGCCCTACGACAGAATCATTTTACTCAACCCCATACATGCCACAAACCGCAAGCCCGGTAAACTACCATCAGTCTCCAAACAGATGGCAACGCGGAAGCCCCGGAGTTCAGGAGTATGAGGGGGAGGACCAAAGTCAGGTCCATTACTGGAGACCGTTTCAGGTCAACGTGGAGCCATGCGAGATGGATGGCCAAGGGACCAGATCACCCGAGTCTCACGCGGAGACCGAGTACTATAGGGGCCGTCGAATCTCTCACTGAGCTATTGGCAAGACAAATACTTGGATAGTAGAAGAAACGAGGATGTATTAGTTTTAGATGATATGAAATCACAGAGTGTATGAGGGCACATCCACACATGGTACGCTGGGTAATTGATAAGGGTTATTATATAAGAGATTAAGATATGGCTGTGCTATCAATACGCACTGTTTACCTTTGGTAATTTTTTTTTTAAACGACGTTATTATTTCTCCATGCTCTTGGCGAGTGCAACTCCTCTTCGCTCTCACTCATGGCTGTTTTCGTTATCTTAACTTCCCACTTAGTCTCCTTCTTAATACCAAGTTTAAGGTCACTCGGGTGTCTCGAGTCGAAACCTGTCCCTTTCTTTTCAGGGCCATCCTGACGACTCACAGAGGAGAGTGTATACGCCTCTCGGCTTGAGAAGGCTCTTGGGGTTCCAGGCCCAGGAGTGCGTGGAGATGACCCATAGCCAGATGGACCGAGTGATAGAGGCTTGCTGGTCAAGTTCAAGCGGAAGGCTATTTGTTTAATCAGAGGTCGCAGGGTTGCCAGGCTGCTTGCTGTGATTGCCAATCCTTGCTCAATTGTTGACCAGATGGCAATGTCAGTGGTATTCCCTGGTGGAAGCATATTAGTTGACCGCCACGTAACCAGTGAGGAATCTTGAGCTTACAGAGAAAATCAGGCTTCCCAAGAAGATGCAAGTATGGAAATCGGGCAATGACGGCTGCGCTAGCACTATATCCATTGTCAGTACAATTGGTGTCGTCTGTGGTATAACAAAGACGTACATGCAGCCCATGGCGAGAAGAGGGATCAGTGAGTATTTCGTTCGCTTGTGCAACTGCAGGTTCCACACGATCCACCCAGGGAGAAGCGCAAAAACGAGGTCGGAACCAACAGCGAAGACACTGTAGAGAGCTGCCAGCCCAATGACAACACCGGGATCAATGCATTTGCCGTCTTGATCCTTATTCCAGAAGAACGATATCGGGTGACACTGGAAGAGGGTGACAAAGAAGAAAATGCCGCAAGAAAGGGCAGTCGAAAACATGGCGAGATAGATAGTCCATCGTTGGATCTTTTCGGTTGTGACTCTGAGCAGAAAATAGCCGATGGACAGTTTGCAGGATATCATGGTAAGAGCGTATCCGAGATAGCAGAACCACCAGCACATCATGGCCGTGTGAATTTGATCGGTTTCGAGGTCGTCGTGATGTCTACCAGTGCCAAAAGTGACACCAACCGTCGATGAGGTCGCATAGCAAGTAAAGAATACCTAAGAGAAAGGGAGAGGTCAATTACTGGGAACTTGTTGCAACGAGAAATACCTTGAGGCTCAACATACCATGGCGACGACCATGAGCCAGTCGTCCTTCCTGAACCCATTGACCATGAATAAACGAACATAGCATCTCAAGAGGCAAGTGATCAGAGCCATGGCGAAGAAGGTGATATTCACCGCCATGAGCTGTGGCCCTCGATTCTCAATGTGAGCTGCCATAATGGGACAGATCAATTGATGTTTTTTGCGCAAACAAAGTTTGTCAGGATTGAAATCCTGCCAAGAGATGGGTTCAAGGGGATGGGAAACTTTATATGAAACGTGGATTGCTATTGTATTCGGTATTATACCTACTTGTACTGTACTAATTGTTGCATTATGTTCTAATTGCGGTATTGCCGTCCGACTGCAACTGCTGCGGTGCCCCGTACGTGGCCAAGATAAGATACCTCGGTGCATAATTTGGAGCAGACAGAAACATGAGCTTGTCCAGACACTATATTAGTATCAGTCCGTTAGTCCGGCTTTCTGTCATCCAACGTTAGCGTACCGGTACTACTCAATTAGCTGCTCCCGTTCAAGGAGGTTCTACGGCAATCGCCAAGGATCTGAGACAGACTTGGTGTGCATCTGCCAGGGGGGTTGCCCCATTTGGCGCACATCCGATGTAACCTCAGTTTAATTCCGCGGTTTGACTAGTCTCACTCAGGCTGGGATCCGTTGATCATGAACAAGCACCTGCTACGTTTAGCCCCTATAATGTTTGAACATAAAGGCTTGGAAAGAGGAAAACAAGTACCGGCCCGGAAGAAACACCCAAAGAAACCAATAAATCCGGATATCCAGTCAATATAAGAGGTCCATGTATAGAAACACTAGACTTCACGTGGCAACTCTCCACTGCATCTGGAATGATGAGATCAGGGATTAGTGGAGCAAAACAAGGGGTAATCTCCAGAAGAGGGGAACTTACCAATGTTCACATGCAAAGAAGTTGCATGTGCCGATGTGATAACTTCACCTTGGCATCGAAAGTCAGTGGCCACAAAGTCACGTAGACTACAGCAGCGTTTTAATCATTACTATATACTTGTGTATTTTGTATTCTAGTATGCATTGAGTCACACGAAGGATCCACGGAAAAAGATTGCCCCCGGGTTGCCCCTGTCCCACTTATCAGGGCAGGACATCCCCACCGGTCTACCCGATAGCGCGGTATATCCGGTTCACTTACTGACTTTAGCAATAAGAGGAGACGTATTGGCCTCTTTACGGTACAGATGGCGGAAGCAATTAATAGCTATCTATGCTAAGGTCATCTTTATCACTCACGCAACAATCATCTCTCTGAGACCACAGACTATTGCTAATAATTCTTGCCATTGCCTGCAGTGAGGACCTGGCATCGAGATCACTAAAGGCTTTCCGGTGTAGGTTGCAATGCCGTCACCAACTACGATTTAAAAGCCACTATCATTTGTTTCAGGTCTCACACGTCAATTAGTCTTGGCGTCTCAAACTTCGCATTCCACTACTGGACCCGCTACCATGGTACGTGGTCACTCGTCAGCAGACGCAATCTCTGTATCTTTCTGAAAGGTCCTCAGAAATTACCCTGTAGCTCAGGCCTCAATCGGCTCCTGTGATGCGATATCGCCAACATTGGATGTCCTATTATTTGCTTGAGGAATGGAGTATCCACATAGGCATCTAGCTTTAATAGTGCTGATGTTACTGTATTGTATTTTGCAGTCATAAGTTTATGCAGTCTCAGCCTCTTGCGGCGAGTGTTGGTAACGCTCGAGTTCAATGATGCTTGCTGGTAAACGAAAGCCTTGATTTCCAAGGCCATTCTCTGGTTTGCGAAACCTTTGCAACAGGGATCGACTTCTCTACGGTTTGTGCTAGAGATAAATGACGTACTTAATGGTTTCGGATACTTGACTTGATCCCAGTGTCTTTGCGAAGGGTAAGGCCAAGTGATGACGACAGAGGACTTGTGGCACTGAGTCTGACACTTTTAGTTTTATATGCTTATCAGAAATGAGACCAGGGGTTACAGTCACAGCAACAAAGTGGCAAGGAACGCCAAGTCGATGAGTTGTAATAAGTAGATTCAATGCCTACAGAGACTATGCTGAAGATAAAAAAAAGAGATAAATAAGATATTCTCCCGCATAAGAATGAAAAGAATATGATTGCTAAGAAAAGGACTGGTTCCTTTTAGTACTGATATGGGCTGGCTCCCAAAAGCGCAGAAGGCGCAAAATCAGCCGCAACAGGGTTCAAAGAGCCAAAGCGCTCAAAGATTGCGGCCATAGAGTTATGTGCTGGCTGCAGTCCGCCATCGACCCATCCTCCAAGGAATGACGTGCAGTCACTGTTGATCAAGACTCGCGAGCTCGAAGTATCGTTGAGCTTCTGGTAGTCATAGAACATGGAAGAGATAAGCTTGTCTTGTCCTGGAAGACCGAGGGAGAATGCACCATAGGAGTACTGATCAAGGGGCCAGTGGACTAGGTAAACGTCATCGTCGGTCACGGGGTCGAGGAAGTCAGCGTAGTTGGGATAGCTGCTATCCCGCATGATCCGAGCAATCTGCTCCTTGAGGATAGAGAGCAGCTTGTGAGGATCTTGGATGGTCAAGATCGTCTGCGAGAGATCCTCCCAAGCATACGTGAGAAGGACCATACCATAGTCTGGATGTCCGTAGTCGAGAGTGTAAGCCTGGGGAAGGTCTGTGTCAGACAGAATGACTCGAGGGAAATCGGCTGGCTGGTCGTTCCAGAACTTCTTCGTGCGGATGTAAAGCTTGGAGGAGGCAGTCATGTGGAGGTCGGTGATACCACGGTTGACTGCAGATGACATGATGGGCTCGTTGGTCGTGTCCGAGACATCTGCAAAGGCGAAGTTCATGGCTCGGCTTGAGGTACCAACAACAGCAAGGTCGTACTCGACCTGGTCAGCGGTGGGGTTACCGTTATCAGAAGATGGAGTTTCTTGGATAACAACATAGTCAACATCATCACCACCACCGCTAGTGATCTTGGCAACAGTGTCAAACTTGGTCTTGAGACCCAGGTCCGTAGCCCGCTGCCAGATAGCCTTGGCCAGCTTCCGGATTCCGGTCGCTTGAAGACCATCGCCAGTCATCTTCGCAAAGATGGCCTGATCAGACTCGAGACCATTGACGATAAGACGGAAGATCGAGTTGAAGCCAGCAGAGTAGACGGCACCAAAGCCACCGGAGCCAACGCCGAGGGTGCCGAAACGCTCAAAGTCATCTTCAGTCCAGACTTGACCCCCCGGACCGTCCCACTCGTGCTTCTCTCCAAAGATACGCTGAAGTGCGGTGTAGCAACTGTCGTTGCCAAACTCATCTAGGTACTTTTGCCATTCCGGGATGACTTGGTTGCGCGTCTCGGTGTCAGATGAACTGAGCCATTCGGTGAGTTGAGTGGCCGCGGTAATCGACTGAGCACCACCAGTCAAGCCCCTAGAGATCAGAGAGCTCCAGCCGTTGCTAACTTACTCGAAGCCCTGAACAGTGATGTTCTGACTGATCCAAGAGGTAGGAGTTTCTTGGTAGAAGACAACAGTGGGAACTTTGCCTGGATCAGTTCTGAATGAATGTGTAGTTGAACTCATTGGCATAATAATACAGAAGATCTTCAGACGGGGGAAAACGCATCGCTCCCATCTCAGCAACGTTGACACTATCAGGGGTCTCAATGGTTCGGAGACGGCCGCCAACATCGTCTGTGGCTTCGATCAACGTGACATCTGCACCAGCCTTGACGAGGTTGAAAGCCAGAACAACGTTGGTGATGCCACCACCGACAAGAACGACGGAGAAGTTGGAGGGCAGAGTTCCGAGTGGCTGATTGATATCACCCCCAGCCTGGTTCCATGCCGAGTACACAATTTGAGGTGTATCGACCCAGGCCTGGGGGCGTACCTTTTGTTCGCCGATCTTGGAGGTCTGTCTCTTGACAAAGTGCGAATTAAGGACTGGTTTGGGAGGAGGGAGGGTGCGATCCTTCTTGGGATGCTTGTGAGAGTCTCTCTTATTATTGAAGCTGAAGAAACGCATGCTGAATGAGTGGAATATTGATTGAGAGATTGTTTATGAGCTTGAAATGAGTGGATGAATGGGAATGATAATTCAGAAGGTAGGAGAAATCTCTCTGTCTTTATAGATAGTTAAGCTGATGTCTATTTACTGGCGAAGTAGTTTGCAATGGGTTGATAGATCTGACAGTTGACGCTTGCATCGCGCGTCTTACCTCGCCATCAAGCCTTCACCTCAACTGCCGAGATTGGCCATAGGCTCTATTCCAGAAAGCTGACTTAGACTAAGCCAGGACCGACTGATGTGGGCAAGTACCTTGAGCCGGATGAAAACCTCCTCGTATGCTTGATTATCACTTCATGGATTCCTCTCGCTGTGAGAAAGTATCGTAAGTGACCTTTTGCGGAATGATAACGTGAAATACCTATGCGAGGTGGATATCTAAGAACCAATTTGTGAAAAAAAGAGAAAAAAAAAAATAGAAAGTTTCCCCTGGTCGAGACTCATTTCTAAATGACCTGTCAGCTGGGGAAAACAACTCAGTCGCAAGGTCCCCAACTGCAAAACCATGTTTCGGTGTGATATGAGGAACTCCCTTGATAGACCCTTGCCTTTGATGACAGGAGCATTCCGACAAAGACCTGAGGACGTCACCTTGATGCCCAACGAAATGTCCATAAACTGATCGAGTTAAGTGGCACCATTTCTATATCTGTCAGATGGGTTTTGTGCGCCCTTGAGTCAAAGCGGGAATTGCTGTCTTGAAACTGCCAGCCTCGCTTGCTCACTACACAAATCAACCGATCCATCCAAACTTTCGACTTTCCCGATCTGAGAACTTATCCCAGTTGGCAAGGCGGGAGATGGACAGATTTTCATCCGTCCGTGCAGAGAAAAATATAAATGTGTATGGAGTGTAGTATTGACGCAAGGATGAATAGATATATACAGGGATAGTTTACATTCCCTTCTGCCGTAAAGGGACCATCTTTTGGTCTCTTACTCGATAATTAGCTATGAAATTCCTCTGTTGACTATGAATCACTTTCCATTCGGCCGGAAAGCCGGCAGCAATACCGCTGCCTAGCTCCCGTGCGGGCGGGCGGGAGGGCGGCAAGTCAAACTAATTGCCAGATAGCCTCGAGTATCCATACCGGTGCGTCAATGACATTTCCTCTTACAGAAGATGATATTGCTCCTTAGAGATGAAAGGGACGGTGATGGATCCTCGAAAAGTTTATGTTCTGTTCTATGCAAAGATCGATTTAGTTCTATCGGCCCGAGACTGATTGAACGGAGATGGTAAATTGATAGTGGATTTCTACTCGATTGGCTGGCACTGTCTCAATCCTATGTTACTGATTCTCGTGAAGTGGGTAGAAAGGTTGATGACACCCATTGCATAATGGCTCTAGAACGAGGAAAAATCAAAATTTGATAGACAAGGGGTCTCATTCAGAACTGTCACTCTCGACTTCGACCGATGATACTACTCTCGGAGTCTTATCCCCCACCTGTCATCCAATCAGCTAGAGCCTGTCAACGTGATATGACGTGATGATAGGTCCTTGTACGTGCCCCTGTAAACTTTGAAGGCGCTATGGTGCATTATTATTCGTTAAGCCGATGAGCCTGGCCACCTATCTTTTGCAAATATACGGATACAACCTTGCGATATATGTTGACATTTTGAGACATTGGGCTCGACGAGACGCACTGGCCTGCTTGTTGTTAATATTTGAGGAATTAAACCGGGGTATGACTAGCCGAGCGACAAGAGAAAAGAGGAGAAAAGACTCTTATTGGTTGGTCGACTATTGAGACGGAAAAAAGATAAAGAGAAATAATAGTCCGATCTTGACGAAAGGGAATATTTAAGTCGAATACATTCATCTCAAAGACACTGAAATAATTCCATAACAAATTCACCATCATGAATTCTACGTACACTCTTGCACTGCCTTGGCCTACCGGCATTGCAGCCCTCACCGCCTCCAACACTTCATCCTCTTCACTTTTCTTGGATAATCAAGACCAAATCTTCTCAGTAGATGACTCGCAGTATCTCGCAGTCACCTCTGATATCGTTTCTTCCATCTCATACTCCTCAGATCCTGCTCACGGACCTGTTACCTATATCTCCGGCTTGCTTTCTAATACCACTGCTGATGAGCTCGAACAAGTCATCAAGAGTTCATTGGAGCAAGATGATGTTTTCTCGGAGGCCTTTCTCGATACCATTCTTGTCAGTGCGGGCGATGAGGGGGATCTTGACTCCTCAGTCGCGAGCTACTTCAACAGTCTCAACGCAACTGTCATCTATGGAGGGGAGAGCGGCCCGAGTCTCTGCGGCAATTCTACCTTGACCCCATGCCCCATGTTTGGCCTTGCAGACGGCAGTAGCCTCAGCCTGAGCAAAGTCTTCCGGTTGTATGTCGATACCTACAGAACATTCATGGTTGGAACATATGAATCGGGAGATGGCTACCGTCCTTTACCTTATTCCGATTCGGAATGGGGCGCTCCATCTATCCCTGTACCCTCAAGACTTTACAGTATCGAAGATGACAGACCTCTCGCTGGGAAGCGAATTGGAGTCAAGGACATCTACGATCTGGAGGGCATACAGACCACGGCTGGTAGTCTAGCGTACGCCTCTCTTCACTCAAAGGCCGACACGACAGCTCCAGCACTCCAGCGCATTATCGATCTGGGCGGAGTAGTGGTCGGTAAGCAGAAAACAGCCCAGTTCGCTTCACCCCAGAGTCCTTGGGATTGGAACGACGTCATTTATCCTCGCAACCCCCGTGGAGATACGTTTCTGACCTGCTCCGCATCCTCTGCTGGAAGTGCCTGCTCTATCGCCGCGTACGATTGGCTTGACTTTGCTATTGGTACTGACACCGGCAAGTCTATCAGGGAACCTGCTGCCGTTGCTGGCATTTTTGGTAATAGACCCTCCCAAGGAATGATCGTCATGGATAACATCGTCACCAATGCATTCAACACGGATACTGCCGGAGTCTTTTCCCGCGATCCGGTTAGTTGGGCCAAGTTCGCAAAGGCCTGGTACGATCCTTCCCTTCATCAAGACACATCGATCAATGGCTTACCTGCCTTGTCCGTGCCTGATGTCCAAACTTTCCCCAAGCGTCTCCTCTATCCTGTTGATCATCTGCCAATGCAGAATCCGGCTGCTGAAGCTATTCTTCAAAAGTTCCTGGATGATGTGACGGATGCTGTTGATGTCACTGTCGACAAGATCAACTTGACGCAGACCATTGAGAAGACGCTGGACCGACCACTACAGGGCATGCTCGACGATCTCACCGTTCTCTGGACTCATGACCTGATCACAGAAACGGCTGATCCACTGATTGCCAACTACAAGCCCGGGTTCCCTCCTATTGATGAGCCTTATCGATCATTCTTCCGCAATGCAGTGGCGGACGATAGCAGCTACAAGTCTGCAATGGAAAACCGTACTCGCGATGCAGCTCTTTGGCACAAACAAGTCCTCTTCTCAACAAACAGCTCTTGCTCCGAGTCCATCTTGCTATACGACATCGGCACAGGCGGTCTCCCGTCCTTTCGCGAAAAGGACCTGAATGATTCCCCAGGAGCTGCATCACCTGTCGATCCTCGGGGTCCAAAGGCTGTTTCAACTGTTTCATCCTACTTTGGGGACGTAGATATCACGGTTCCCATTGGGCAGGCTACCTACCAGAGCAACGTCACGTTCCAGGAGGAGGTCATGCCAGTTACTGTTAATATCGTTGCCAAGAGAGGATGCGACTTTGTGCTGTTAAACCTTATTAACAAGCTGGTTGCCAAAGGCGTCTTGAGTTCTGTAGACACAGGAAAGCAACCATTCAAAGAATGAGTAGGATATACATCAAGCCAGTGATTCTTTAGAGAGTCATACTGTAGATAATAGCTTTAATTAAGGTTAAATTAAGTTTAATATAACTATCAATTTGCTTTTATCTATGTAAATTTTATACTGATATAATTATTAACTTGTAGTAAGGTTGAGTATAATCTAAGTTTATTCTCTGCCAGATAAAGCACTACCAATAAAAACAACTTCAACAGCAGCAAAGCTAGAAAGACAAGGTCAGTACGCTCGTCGTGGGTTTAAAGTCTTAGACTAGGATTTCACTTACGTTGCAGTTGCAACAAGAATTTCGACTCGTTTCGCTTTGCTGAAAGACAGCTGTAAACAGGACCGTGATTCCGATTCTCTTGTTTGTGGTCGGTACACTGTTAAGCGCCAAGATGGTGAGAGGAGGGAGAATGGCGGCAATCACAGTAACAATAATGCTAGTGAGCCGAATTATGCCAGCGTCTCGATACGTGACATAGCCGCTCTCTTCATCGATTACCTGGCCCATTCTCATCTTCTGGCCAAACCTACGATGAAACGGTCCAGCGACAAATCTCATAATACCTCGCGTAAAATGATCGTCGTCCTCAGCACCGGATTGCAACGTCACATAAAGGTCAGGATCGTCCATTCCATCTCCGGCCCAAGTGTTGATCTCCTCTCCAGTTTGGAAGTTCTTTCCGCCTTTATCCATAGCCAACCAGTTTCTCAGGCTTCTCAGCTGAGACTTCTTTGGACTCTGGAGTTGGCTCATTTCTGAATCTGGCAGGCTTTTAGTAAGTGAAGTACTTTGAGCCACCAACACATACACTGCGCAAGGAACCGATCTATGAAATTTGATTAGAGGTTTTATATATATATCTCACTATTTGAACATACTATACCGCGTCAGCTTTTCCTGTAGTTGACATAGGATCTGATGCTGGGCACTGTTGTTCTTTTGGCTGTCATAGAAGCTCCTTCCATACTTCTTTTCTTCCTCTGTTCCGTCAGTCTCATCAAGCGAGTTTTCCCAATGGAACTCTTTTCGTAACTGGAGGATCTCGGCCTGCAGTGAAAGCAAACATAGGATATTTGCATCATCAAAACGTCGAAAGATAGCCAGATTCTTATCACCACTCATCATACGTGCTAACCGCACGTATATCGATGGAGGTTGGTAGTTCATGTCGTCGTCAAATAGCTTAATTTTTGTGATATCGCGAGAACTGGCTTTTAAACCGGAGAGAAGATATGTCTTGAGAAATAAAGTTGCAGAGCCTGCTTTTCAGCTTAGCGGGGTTGTCAGCGCTTTTGTAGCAGCCCTTGACTTGTTAGGCGTTATCTATACTTGTGATTCCAGAATGCCTTGCTCTCTTATTCGTGGGCGCGACCCTTTATAATTCTTATTGGACAAAAATTGACGCAACTCTCTTGGCTTACCACCAGAGGTGAATCAGGCTCTGATCCATTTACAGGTATTGGTTGAGGAAAGCCCAGCTGAGAATGTCTTGAAACATGCGGGCTGAAAATGAGGCGGCAATAGAGGTACCTCATTGACTTTCTTATACTTCTGCCTACCCTTCTTTCTCATTCTTTTATCCTAATCACTTCCGCAAGACGCTCCGCGTTTACACTATCCCTATCTGTCAAGCAAGAGGAGAAGAGACATGGACGCTCTATACATCGCAACTATTTTCATTTCCCTCTTCAGTGCTGTGTTGACGCTCACTGGGAATACTTTCAACTGGATGAACAGAGTCCGGGCCATTGAAGTTGAGCTGAATCTCCACATGCAAGAGATCAAACTACTAAATGGGGTACTTGAAGAAAGCGAAGAATTTATTGAATATGTCGCGGATGAGCTGCCCACCTCAATCCGAAATGCGCATCAGCTCTGCCGAGCCCACCAGGATATCTTAGGCGAAAGCCTCTGGTCAAATGACCTCGGTCGTGGCATCTACACCAAGAGCTCGGCAAAGACAGCGTTTCGAAAAGTCAAAACAACGCTGAATGAAGATGAATGGAAGAAAGCTTTCAGGCTCTACAGAGGCTCGGTTTTCATGCTCAGAGATCTTTGTGCAGAGTGAGTTCATATACTGCTCTGTGTTAATAGACTAATTTCAAGGGCCTTAGCATCAAGATGCATATACAGCTTAATATGACGTAAGTATTTATCCATTTCGCTCTATTATTGCTAAACGCTGATTACTATTAACTAGAGCGGCTATGGCTCGACTAGACGAGGAGTTTGCGGGTGCTCCGTCGGCAAAAGATTTAGTTGAGCTCCAAGGAGACGATTTCTTTGTCATTGCCTATATACGAGCGCAGGATCTGTCAGATTACCCAAACCAGGAGCGCAGAGCTGTACCGGCAACTCTGAAGCTAGATACTGGCGCAGATATCGATCATGTTTCTCAGCAGTTCTTAGTGGACGTACTCGGACTTCAAGAAGAAAGTTTCCTTGCCATCCCGGAGCACGAACAGGAGCCAGTCACTGGTTTCGATGGCACACAATACACTCCAAGATACCGCGTCAAATTACAATGGTCACGACAGCTGAACGGAGAGATGAAAGATCACATGTTTCTGGTAGTTCCAAACTGTCCATGCGATGTGGTTCTAGGAGCAAGGAACTTTCTTCAACAAGCTACTGGCTTTACAATAAAGATACAGATTGCCACAGGTAGAAGTAAGTGTTGGCAATGAAGAAAGTGAAATATATAGTGATGTTTGCTAATTTGTTTAATAGAACTAAGCGAGTCTGAGCAACAGCGTCAAGATGAAGCCATTAGCAAAGAGCAGGCAAAAGAGCGTGCCAGGTTCGAGGAAGCCAAAGCGAGGCGTGTGAGGAGGTCATGGACTGGGCGATTGTCAGCAACAGTCGAGGAGGATATAGAGATGCAGAGTGGACCAAGCCCGGTTGCAACGGGACAAGAAACTGCCAAGTAAATAGTGATGGGATCCGGGGCTTGTAATGTTGCTGTGACTGATAATGAAGGAGGCGACTCAATATGCCGAGCAAACCTTTGGCGGGTTTATGGCTAGCGAGACATAAATATATGGGCTCTCAGGCCCTAAAGTAAACATTTTAGATAGTATGTGATGAAGGAAACAGAGTTCAGAAATTTCTTATAGGTTCAATTCGCTATTTTGAACTGCCGAGAACCATGTGTCGAATTCTGACGGGGAGTCTTAACTTTTTCTTGACCCGGCCCGAGAACCCTTTTTGGCAATCTTGTTCCCAAGTGACTACTGTTATAAAAACAAATCCAACACCCGATTGTATCGAATAAGCTTTTTATTGTCAAGTAGCTAACAAGACGTTGTCCGATCGTGGCCAAGTTCGCCGGAATCTCACCCCCAAACCCTCGGTCCATACATTCTAAGAAAGTGCGGCTCATGTTCTAGAACGATGGAAGCTGAGATTTACCGTGCCAGATGTTACCATGACGGTAATTCATGGGCTGGTCCGGCCACTGGATCGAGCTAGTCACTAAGCTAAGAAAGAACTTTTGTGACCCGTTTGCTAGTCAAGCGATGGAAATGGGCAAGTAAAAAGAGGCCTTGAAGCATGAACTCACTGAATGTCATTGTTTAAAGTTTGCCGTCAGGGCGCATTTTGCAGATGCTAAGTAGTGCATTGCCCTCTGTGAATCCCTGTTGTTAAAATTGGACTCCACTGGCATGCGGACGCCGAGTTTTCCGATATGCCGTTAAGCTTTAAGAAAGGGATTTAAGGTTCTTCAATTTACATGTATCTCAAAATACGAGAAATGATAATAATAGTACAAAGTATATCCTCTAAGTAATTATTTATTAAGGGAATATATCCTCTGTTTTGACCTACTATTCTTCCTCATTCTCACTTGTGCCTCTTTGCCCTTCCAAACTACTTCAAGATGGTCCACCAGTACTGGCTTACAGCGCTACCTATCCTTGTGCTGGATGCTGCACAAGGAGCTGTCGCTACTCCCGGGGGCCACGCAAGAAAATCGAACCCATCGCCTCCTGGACTGCATATCCTGCCTCTCATTAAAGATAATTCAGATGACTATAATTCATATCTTGCTGAAGTGGCGGCTGGCACTCCCCCCAGAAAATGAAGCTGAATCTGGACATAGCCAAATCGACAACTTGTATGAGCTTCGTGCTGGCCACCGTTGTTCTCTTCACTAATGCTTCTAGGGTTTATTTCCGACAAGACTTTCGTGGAATGTGATGGCTGCAAAGATGGGTACTACCAGCTCAACAAATCCAAGACCTCATCCCCCGTTTTGGGCCATACGGCAATCTCTTATGGCGATCCAACAACATATCCGCCAAGTAACCTCACGTTTGATCTAGATTTTCATAGGGACACGTTTAGAATTGCCGGAGTTAGCATCCCTAAACAAATCTTTGGTCTTTTCAACCCCTCCAAGGATGCATTCTCTGGAATCGGCGGACTTGGACTTGGCCCCAATCTGGAACACGGATATAAGCCTGGAAAGATCTACAGCTCTTTCTTGGACAACCTCGTTGCAAAAAGAGACATTGCAAGCCGTACTTATAGTGTTGACCTACACAACCACGGCTCTAAGCCAGGCAAGTCCTTCTGTCGTGTGAACAGTACCAGCTGCTAACGCTCTGCCTGATAACAGCATCAGTTATTCTTGGTGGCATTGACACAGGTAAATTCAAGGGCAAGCTTGTAAAAAGGCCGCTGGTAAAGGATGAGCTTGGCACATTTGGGCAAGTACTCGACGCTAACCTTGAAGAAAATACTGATCTAACCTTGGACATTCAGACCTTCGATTGTTCTCACCGGGCTCCGTCAGACTGTCCCCAAAGGGAAGAATCACGCCAGCGAAGTGCACAGCTACCAAGTTCACAAGAACGACTCGGTCTTCCTCCTCGACAGCTCGAACCAGTACCTCCGATTCCGCCATTCCTTTGTCGATCCTCTCTACAACACCCTCGGCGCGGTGAACGACGGAAATGACGCCTATTTCGTGCCTTGCGAGAAGCGTAACATGCCTGGTAGTTGGGACTTCCAATTCGGCGATGTTACGATCAAGATCCCTTACAACAAGATCATCACCACACAGTCTGCTGATAAGGGCAAGACTTGTTGGGTCGGTGTTTTGACCACCTGGAAAGGACAGCTAGTTCTGGGACGTAAGTTGGCCTTGTTTTCTGTACAGAATTCTGTGAATATCTGCTGATACATTGAACAGAACCTTTCTTGGAAGCCGCCTATCTTGCCTTCGACCTCGACAATAAGCAGGTTGCGCTGGCTCCACCAGCGAACTGCGGTCAAAAACTAGTTGCATTTGGTTCCGGACCTAACGCTATTCCTGAGCTTAAAGGCTGTTAAGCAATGTGCCAAGATGGTGTGAGTAGATGGCAGAGATAAGAGTAAGATTGTGTAATAGAGGTTGATGATTGAGGGCCTAGTGGGATCTGGCTGTTTAAGATCCTTAGTATTGTTGTATTAGTTTATTTTATATAGTTCTCAACTTGCCTTTCTATACACCTGGCAGTTCATCAACCTGTAGCTGCATACCCCTTCCTCTTTTGGGCAACCGGCTTATGGACTTGAAACCCAAGGTCCCGCTGTCTCTTCTCCATCACATCAATGATAAGCTAGCATCTCATCCCTGGGATCTTCCGGCTCCCCTTCGTCATTGAGCCTATTATACATGGCCTTCCACCCCTGGTCAAGGATGGCAACAGCATCAGTGTTAGCTAAGCGATTCTTGTCCCACATAACATATCCCCAGTGACGAAATGACGGTGGTACGAAATCGCCATAGAGGTTGCTATATAACTCTTTCCAGAAGACAACCCAGGCAAATGGAGGAGAGTCATATTTTTCGCCATCGAAGCTCATTTTCTCTCGGTTGTCCTGTGCTTTGTCGCGATCAGAATAGTGGTTCTCACGCCTCGTCTCTTGGTGATAAGGTCTTGTTGTTTCGGAGACTATATCTTCTACCACTGAAACAATCTCACTTGATATTAGCTTTACTAGTTCGGAATGACTTGGGATCTCAAAGGCGGCAAATAGGACTGGCAGCCCTCGTGAGACTACCCCGTTCCTATAATAGTCTGCAAACACTTCAACAAGGTCAGCCAAGCACTCCTGAATACAGATTTGAGTCTTACTATCACTGGCCAGGTGGAAAGCCCCGGGTGGGGTATGCGGACCTGTTCGTTTGTCGTCGAACGATGGGTTATCCGGATGCAAGTCCCATTCAACCTGTTCAAACACGGTGCGGTATTTGGCTTGCGCAAATACATTGATGCATAAGATCTCTTCAATTTCCCAAGCCTCGAAAGCGTCAAGAAGTAGCTGAAGTCTTTCCTCAGGTTGAAGAAGCCCATCATCGTGGTAGAAACCGCCACCACCATGTGCCGCGCCGAAGAGGCTGCAGAAGATTTGGAAGCGGTACAAGCCACGCATGATGCGCCTTCCTTCTGTTCTGCTAAGTTCTTTAAACTCAGACAGACCGTCCAAGTTGGCCCAAGTCCAGGTAATATAATGCTGAAGCAATGTACGGATGACAGAGGCATGAAAAGACACGATGCGGATGACATCGTCCTCAGGCGGTTGCTGAGAAAGTGACTCGGTTCCCCCGGACCGGTGTAGTTTATAATCCTCGACGTATAGCAGCACTTTTTCGCGGGTTCTTGTCGACCGAAACTCATGTGTGTTATATAGGTTGACATTGTAGGCATCAATAAGTACATCGCCTAATTCCTGTTTCAAGCAATGCCATAGCCAGAAAGCTCGGTCAAGTCGATACTGCTGATGAAAGGTGGGCGAGGCATGCACCAAGGATGAAAGATCGGCGATGGCGTCTACGGCAAGCAATATCTCATTCCGGATCTCAAAAGGTAATCTCTCAATTCTGGAAAGGTCGATGCTTCCACGACAAGATGAGCCAGCACCCGCTGAAGGCGAAGCCGGGGCAATCGTCGGGGTAGGCTCCGGAACAGGCGGCTCATGACGCAGCCTTGGGTATCTTTTCAAAAAGAATCTCTTTAGTCTCTGCATTCCGGAAGATAATTCAGAGATATCGGGCAGCTGGAGGCTGCTGTCTGATGAACTTGCCGACTGATGCCGAGGTTACATTCGCGATTGTGTGTCGGGGCAGTCTCAGCAGGGCGTTTGCGTTCCAATCTTAGGCAAGCGTCGTCTTCTCTAACACGGATGATCTTTTGTGATTATTTGTTGACTGTTGGTGAGTGTAGAAAGGTCAATGGTGGATAACATAAACTGCCCGAAAGTTACAATCGCGTGGTCAGGGTGGCGTTTCGTGTTTCAGAAATCGCGCGGCTCGGAGCGAGTAAACCAACCAATCAAATCGAGTATGCTAGCGCCCAGCACAAGCACCCATTGCAACAGTCAGATCCATGATACGAGGCTGTGTTTGTCGGGCACCCTGTAACATTGACGAATGGTTCCCCAAATCAAGTTTACCTAAGCTCATCCACTTTTAACACATATCCCAAGGCGGCAAGGCTTCTCAAACTTTACCAGCAAATACGCATCGCGTCTAAATGCCAAGATGAAGACCTCGTTAGGTCTCCCAGCCCCTCCAGCAGGTATAATATTCCCGCCGAAGGTAACGGTTTGTTGGTCCTGATATAGAAGTACACCAACTTAGTGGCCATTCTACCATGCCCCGGCCGATACAGATCAAGCCTGAAACTCTAGAGACCAGTGGGAACGGCCATTATTCAACCAACATGTTACTAAAATCAGCTCCTACAGAGTCACGTCAAAACTATAGATAGTCAGTAGTTGAAGCTCATTGAGTATATAAGAGAATTCTTTTTCTATCTTTGATTTAATACAAGACAAGCACAATCATCAAGCCATTAAAGCAGTACAGATCAGCACCAATCTATTCCACCTTGTATTTTTCCTATTTCTTGCAATATATTAACGATATTGCTTCTCATCACGTTTCTTTTTGCCTCTTCGAAAGAGCTTCCACTTATACTACCAAACACCTTAAACCGATCTTCATTTACTTGTAGCTATGTGCCACTCGTGCAACACCAGAGGTTATCTTTGCAGTCGTTGCAAAGGTGGAAGGGGTCCCATCACTCAGGCACGAATGGAAGAACTGGAGATGGCAACGAGGGTAAGTTCTGCTGCTGACCAGGTCTACTCTCCGTCACATTCTAACCACTTGTAGCCTGCAGAAACCTATCGCCCTGGATACGGGAACGCTGGGGTTGCACCCCTTCCTAGACATCTGGAGGCTCGAGGAATATCTTCCAGTCGTACTGCTAGCAGCTCTGGCCGCAGTAGCTCCAATGCACAATCCAACAGACAATACGAGCCGTCTATAATGTCTGCTGACTCGTGTCAAAAGGTCGTGGATGGATTGATGTCCCTCAGATACGAGATTCAAGACATGGGTCAGCGGATTGAGGAGTTGATTGATCTCAGAAAGCGGCTCTCTCATAGGGCAAAGAGAGTGAGCGATGCAGAGTACCAGCAGGCCTTGAATTCCCCGTCTATGATTGTCCTCTATGAAGAGTACAAGCAGGCGGTTACGTATAGTATTGAGTGCCAAAGGGCTGTCTTCGAAAGGAGAGCCAAGTTTGACCACAACTATAACCGCGCGAATGAAGAAGATCAGCTGGAGATATATAAATTACAAGAAAGATGGGTGAGGGCTGCCATCAAGTGAGTGTCAATTCTGCTAAAGAAAGGGCGATTGAACACTAACTGACTAACCAACTATTAGCGCCGCCGAGAAGCGATTGAACTACTTGCAACAGTATCCATTTGCCTACAAGGATACAGAGGCAATCTTGGGCCATATCAAGGCTGCAAATGACCTATTGAACAGTGCTCTAAATGGTTTGCGCCAAATTGAGAGAAACAAGGATGGTAAGTAGAAGTCAGATAATTGGAAGCTGGCAGTAGTTACTCTTGAAGCAACGAGATATTCTGACATACTGTTTAGTTTTATATGGCCGAATTGGTAGAGGAGGTCCACATGGTGTTTATTAATATGCCTTAGAAGGATAAGTAAGAGTAATGGTTAAGCATAAGAATTTTAAGTCACATATATTTAATTGGATTGGCCTTCTACAAATGAGTCCGAGCATCCCCAAATTAATCATCTTGAGTGTTAAAAGAGTAAATAGTAAGCAGAGTAAGCAAGGCTTGCCACTTATATGACCTGTGTACGGCATGGATTAAGCTTTATTCCAACAGTGAGTCGTTTCCACTAAGCCGCTATTACACGTGAAGAATCATAACCCAGCCCTTCAGGGAATTCAAACTTAACTACTCACTCTGCATTCTTCAATACATTATCGTATCATGACTCATGATGCAACTGCTACTCTTGTTCTTGCACACAAAAATCAGGGAAATTGGATAATTCAGCCTTGCTCGGTGCCCATTCATGTCGAGCTATTTCTGGCGGTCAAGAGCTTGAGACTTGGCGACGTGACTCAAGCATATCTGCTTGATCAGTTCTCTAATTAGGTACATAACTTTATGTTATTACAAGCTTCAATGACATTGACCAGCCAGGTTTTACGTGGGTCCCGTCTCTGTTAGCTTCTATAACAACCATCTCACTAACACTTTGAAGCTCGACTGTTTTCTGTGAATCCATCTGTTATGTAAGACTCGTGGATTTATATATGTTACGTATAAATGACAGCTTCTCATAATGTCACTTTGGACCAACCTCGTTCATCATATTCAAGCGGGTAAATGCTAAAACTGCCAATCCATCACCTTGCCTCCTCCTTTTTAGTTTTCTTGGCGAGAAGCTCATCCAACTTCTCATGAGCAGAGAGCAACGTCTCCCCACTTGTACCAGTGTGATAAGGAGTATTCGTCGGCCCATCAGATACGCGAACGACGTAGTTCTTCGGTTGATCATCAACAACCAATCGCAGCATGTCAGGTCGTGAGTAGTGACCCACACAATCAGTCAAGGTTTTTGCGTAGTCGATCTTATCTAGATCAATGTCACAGTAGATCAGGCCGTCAAACAAGGGATCAGTAGGCTCAGTCAGCTGTCGGCCATCCGGACCAAAGACAGCTGCGGCACCACCACCTCCAGCGAGCATGAAACCGTCCTTGTCTGCGTTTCCTTGACCCTCACTGTTCAGCTTGGCGCCTTCGGCGGATAATGGCTGGTTGGTTACGAGGACGTAGACAGCGCCCTCCAGGGCATACATGCGACTGGCTGTGACTTCGTTGGCCTCTGAAAAGACCGAGTAGGGTTCAACAGCGGATTCAGTCCACTTTGCGTTGAATGGCCAGGCAGCGATGTGAACTTGTTCACCTTGACAGTAGGTGTGATACTTGAGGAGCGGCTGAAGGTGCTCTAAGCATGATGGTTAGCATATCATCACCATAATGCATCATCAACTTACCCCAACAGTTCAACATGCCAATTTTTCCTAAGGGAGTGTCCACCACGGTAGTAAGAGAATCTCCTGTGGAATCTCCAAAAAATAGTCCTCTCAACATGGGTAGGTTTTGTCTTACGACGATGAAGAAGAATGTTGCCATCAGGACCGATGAGAACCCGAGCAAGATACAACGAAGCTCCAACTCGCTCACTGAAACCAAAACATATGTAGATGTTGGCCGCTGCCGTAGCTTGACAAATCTCAAGCATCTCGTCCCCATAGGCAGACATGCTGTTTTGCATGTACTTCTGCACTAAGGGCATATTCTTTCTGTATGTTCCTGACCATAGGAAATTGGGATAGCCTGGCAGCCAAACTTCTGAGAAGGCTATGAGAGATGCCCCGTTCTGGCTGGCCTCGTTGATGAGTCGGATCGACTTTTTGATACCGGCGGCTTTATCGAACCAGCATGGTTCAGCTTGGCAGATGGCGGCTTTCCATTGACGGATTGACATTTTGGTTAAAGTAACAGGTGATAATATGCAGAGGAATATGTATTGGGACAGTGCTTTGGATTTGCCAACGTTAAAAGATATATGGTATGTACTTATATACTTATTGCCCCAATGTTCATAACCTTTCGATGGAGCAATATCCATGAGCGGGCATCATGTGTCTCGCCCACTTTCTCGGGTAAGCATTATCCATAACAGAGTTCCATTAAGCACAGTAGAATAGCCTAGTGTTTACCCCGCAGATTATGGCTCTAATGATATGCAGGGCTTGCAACCACCAGCGTTCAACTAGACTCGGCTAAGCATTATCCAAGCCCAATCCCCTCAGTGAGACTAAATCTAGAACCGATGGGGAAAGCCACTGCGCACGTCCCCCTGGGTCGTCTCAACAGTACCCGAAACTCGGCATGGTGCATTCGTTGATTCAAGAGATAAGAGCTGCACAAACTGGACTGAGCTGTGATAACCAGGTAAAATCGACTGCCTTCTGTACCTCTACGACTTTGTGTTGATAGAGTCTGATTATTTATCTTCTAGCCATTGTGTTAAACCAGAAGTGTATTTGCTAACCTTATAATTGACTCATAAACTCAATACTACTACGACCTTCTAATTACCCTAAACCTTCTTCTACTCTAACTCTCTTTTACAGCCTATATAATACTAATATATATATTATCTTAAAACCTTTATTAAATTAACCTTTTCTTATACATTAATATATCTTAATAAATTTAATAGCTATATAAGTAAAGGTATTATAACTAAGGGCTATTAAGTAAATAAAAATATAATTATTAAGCTAATTATATTCCTTTATATTAATAATATAATTTATAATATTATATTATTTTTAAAAACCCTTATAGCTTTTTTAAGTTTAAAGAGTTATTTTATATAATATTATAAGTTATAATATAATTATAATTTTATTAATATAATTATTAATATAAATTTAATTTAAATAATATTAATAAAAAACTTCTCTTATTAATATAAAAGCTATTATCTTACTTTCTTATTATTTTATAAAATCTTTAGTTTTTATAATACTAAGTTAAATTATCTTAATAAACTTTTTAAAGCTTTTTATACCTTTAAAATTAGATAAAAAAGTTATAATCTAGGTTTTATTCTTATTAATATTTATATTATAGCAATTAGTTAGGCATTATAGTATAATATCTAAATAATAAGCTAGATATATTATTTATAGTTAAGACCTGTGGCTAAGAGCTTATAATCACTACACAGAACTTAGTTTATCTTCTAGTTCCTTTGCTCAAGTAGCGTCTTGCGGAAGCCCCGGTTCTGTAAATAGTGTACCAATCCATCCCTGATAGTTCAAGCCTTCCCTAGTCATGAAAGGAATGTCCATGTCAAAGCAATAAGCGCCTTCTGCTACCCAGAGGGAACTGCTAGAATCATCCCCATCAAGTGCTTGTGTTGTGCCAATGATAGCATCTCCAGTCGCTTTCCCACATTCTGATTTAATGATCCCAAGTGCACCAAATGCATCTTCACTTACGGACCATTCCCGCGCCAATTGGCGAATTGCAAGGAGCGCACGTTGGCTCCAGGCCCAAGCAGTACTCATGTCAGTGAGCGCTTCAGCCAACACTTTGAGTGAAGCTATAGCACTGTCACGGTCCTTGGAATCTGTGGAGGTTGCTTCGAGGAGAAGAATTATTGATGCCGTGAAAGCACAGTGGATGGCTGAGATTGGTATTCGTCGCTGAGGGAATAATCAGCATAACAATGTCAATGCGGATGCAGGTTTGCTTACTAAAGTATAATGTTTACTGTAGAGCTTGAAAATGTTACTGATGGAATGTGAGGACTGACTGCACTCCTTAAGATGACTTGATCCGGTGCTGGGATGAAAGCTGCCAGGGTCCAATGTCCTTCGCTGCACTCCAACAAACGGTCGATGCAGTAAGATTACAGCAACATGAATCTGGAGGCTTCAACGTTATCAGTGCTTGAAGCGTTGTAAGGTAACATCGTAGGACTTACTGAAGCAAGTAGATGTGAGGTAGTGTGGTTGCGAGTGGCGACGGTGAAAGAAGACGAAGACAGCTTGGAAGGTTTATTTGAAACTCGATGATATTGACATGTGTTTTGGTAACGAGCTCCATGATTCGAGACTTGGCATGTTGGCTGCCAGGCCTATATCTACGGAAGTTTCAGTAGGTAAATGAGCAGACCAGAAATGCGACTCACATCTCATCTAGTGCTGATGATGTGACCCTGAATAGCTGGACTGTAGCGCACACATTGGAGACTTGATGACTTCGGGGGAAGACAATGGGTTCACCAAGTGGAGATTTTGAATTCCAGGACTCATACTCTGCACTATGCTCAAAGGAAGGCAGAACGGCGGATATTTCGTGTTCTTGGATAGTGGATGGTCGACCAAGCCCAATATTAAACAATCTCAGAAGGCCATGTTAGCTGTAAACGTCCCTACTACAACAAGGGAGCAGGAGAAGGATAGTAGCTAGAGAAATAAAGCTCACTTATCTAGAACATAGCATCCCCACCAAACAATAGTCCCAACTTCAGCTTCATCTTTCGTTATATGTCCGCTATCGGCCCAGTGGCTACGGTCAAGATGAAGTCCAAGATTGAAGGCCATTCTCGCTGCAATGCCTGTAATGTCACTGTTAGTAACTTAGAATTCCAGCTATGAAATCTCTTACCGCAATACATCCACCCAAGAGCCTCTTTATCAGTAGCTATCTCTCGCAATCCAAGTAGTGCTGTTGCCTGGACTGTCGTTACTTTAGGCACCTGGCTCTCGTAAAACAGTATCGTCTTGGCCTGTTCGGCCAATGCATTTCTAGCCGTATTCTGGTCAAGAGGATCTGTGCGCAGTTCAACACGATCCGAATATCGAGCAGCAAGCGCCAAGACAGCGGAAAGCAACAGAGGTAAAGCATATCGGCCGGAGTGATTGATGTGCAGATCCTCGAGGAACAGTTCCTTGACGACAAGGTACTGCCATGTATTCTGCCACCTCCAAAAGAGGTCCAAGAGATGATTTTGTAACTCATCGGATACTTCAACGAGAAGATTCAATTGGTCTAGTGTATCTGCAGCCTGTTTCTGTAGGTCATGCGATGACACTGTTGAACTTGCTACAGGACTGTTTTTCAAGAGCGAAAAGTTACTCCTGGAACCGAAGTAGTGGATCTGGCCATCCTCGCCGATGTTGAGGGCTCCAAGTCGGTCGCTTGTATCCCTGATCGGAGATCTGTAGGAGATTGAATCGTCAGGAATAGAATCACCCTCTGAATTACTGCAAGTGTCTTCAATAGAGTTCAACGGGGCTCTATCCTGAGATCCAGCGTCGCTTTGGAACCGTTCGAGTTGGGCTTCCAATGTCCTAATCCTCTCCTGGAGCGCCTCGACATAACATTTGCTTGGAGGCCTGTGATAATAGTTAGATGCTTAGCGCTACGTTATTAATGATTCAACGTCAACGACTATTGATGGAAAAAGAGACTAGATGTGTTTACTTTCTATTACTGTCCTGAGCTGTGTATTCACAGATCTCGCCGGCTGTATTACACGTTGAGCAAGAAGGATGTTGGCAGTCACACTAAATCCAGTTTAGCGCCAAAGAGGTCTCCCTTACGAATTGAAGATAAGCTCACCTTGACCCGCTTGATACGACATGTGCTGCAGGCTAAAGCTGACCGTTGACTCAGCTTTCCAGAAACTGTCACCTGAGATCTCATCGTATAGAAATCCTGCTACACGCAAAGATTGGCAGAGGTACACATTGAACGAATAGTATAGTATTAGAGCGGGGTTACACGCTACACGTGATGTACTTTCGTGGTTCCCTTATCTGTATTCACGCTTGTCCCAAGCGAATATAACTTCCACGCTAAGAATGGGAGGGCTATGCAATAACAATTACCCCGGATCTACACTTATTATGTAAGATGATCAAGAAGATGAATAGGTCCAGTGCCATTGACAACATGTTTGAGAGGCTACAGGTAGGAGACTAAGAGATGCATGGTTAAATCCAGCCGAGTACAGCCGTGCAGCCACGAGGTATGCATGCGATACTGTATAGATACGGCCAATAAACCATTGCCGAATGTAACCTTCCAAGTGCTTTAGATAGGTCTGCAAGGGCTAAGCAGCAGTTCTGGTTAAGCATTATCCAGTACGTCTTCGTATCAACAAGCGCTACCCCAAGATAAGCTTCCCTGCATATTAGCGTAGCCAAGGGCGGAGTCCGCTCCTCTAAGAGCATGGACGCTGATTGGCCATCTCTATCCGGGTAAGCAATATCCAGAGATGTTATCCTGTCTTGACTACTTGTGGAATAGTATGTCCAGCAATTGAGATAGCCCCCTTTGGTCAACGCCAGTCAACCAACGTATTCACCCTGCTAAGATTGCAATAGTGTAGGATTATACAAGCCATGGGCAATGGTAGTAGTATTTGAACCTTCTCATGCGCCCCTGGCATCCAGATAAGTTGCAAGATAACTATCCCGAATATAAGTACATACCTTTTACAAGAACTTACTTCTGATACTACGGCATGGCCCTCATTTAGTTCCGTGGCAAACCACTTGGTGGTTATAATATTCTGGTACGTCCTACTCCATTGTGTGAGTGGAAGAGATCTAATCTCTGTATCGACAGATCATCGCTTTTGCAACTTTTGGAAGCATTACCTACGGATATTGTTCGGCCATCATAGGATCAACCCTCGGCCAACCATCCTTTCTCCATTACTTTGGTCTCGACACAGCCAGCAACGCAGCCGCTCTCATTGGCGCAATCAATGGACTCTTTCAGGGTGGTGGCCTCATCGGGACTTTGACCTTTGGAGCTGTCGCTGATAAGTTCGGTCGATGCAAGGCTATGTTTCTGGCAAGCTGTACTTGCTATCATTGGCGGTGGCCTTCAAGCTGGTTCTGTCCACTTGGCCATGTACCTCGTGCCAAGGTTTCTGACAGGTCTGGCTATCGGTGGACTCGTCATGCTTGTGCCCCTTTGGCAGAGTGAGGTTGCGCCCCCTCATGCTCGTGGACTCCTCGTTGGCCTTCATGGTGTTTCAATCTTGGTTGGATACTCATCATCGGCTTGGGTCGGATTCGGCTTTTACTTCGTCAACGCAGACGGAGCTCAGTGGCGTCCTCCGTTGGCCATACAGTGCTTGCCTCCTCTCATCCTAGCATGTGGTGTCTACTTTATTCCCGAGTCTCCACGATGGCTTATCGACAACGATCAGCACGAAAGAGCCGAGGCCATTTTGCAGCATATCTACGGAGACTCGAGTGATCCCAACAACCATGCAGCTCGGGCTGAATTTGCTCAGATCTCCGCTCAGGTAGAGCTTGAGCGTCACTTGCCATTATCTTGGGCTTCCCTTTTCACAGTCCCTCATTATCGAAAAAGGGCCTTGATTGGTTTCACAACTCGCCTTGCCGGCCAACTTACGGGAACGACCGTCATCAGCAACTATGGACCTTCACTGTATGCGGCTCTTGCGCATGGTGCTTCTGCTAGTCTCGCACTCTCGGCTGGATGGCTGACGGAAGGACTTGTCTGCAACGCCATCAATGCCGTCCTCCTTCACTACGTTGGAAGGAAATGGCTGATGGTTACCGGTCTCATTGGCTGCGCCATTTCACTTCTTGGTGTAAGCATTATGGTTGCTCTTTATGGTGGCACGACAAATAAAGGAGGCAATTCGGCTGGTGTTTTCATCTTATATCTGCACCTTACCTTTTATGCCACCTGCATGGATGCTTCGACTTATGTCTACGGCTCTGAGATCTGGCCTACCCATCTTCGCGGAAAGGGATTTGCCATACTAAAGTCAGAATTGAAGGAATTGTGTTAAGTCTGTTTATGTAAGTTAGTTGGCGAAAGTTAAATCGACCTGAAGTCATAACTTAATTAATTAAATCCATATATTAGGGCATATAACTAATTAACCTTATAAATAAGAATAGATAAAGTAAAATTAGTAAAAAAGCAGTAGTTTAAACTAGGGATTATTTTATTTTAATCTTTTTTATTTTTATAATTATCCTTTTAAGTTATATAATTATTATTTAAAAAAACTTATTTTAATTTTTTTACTTTTTATATATAATATTTTATTTTTTTAAGTTTATAATTTAGCTTTAAAAGGTATATTTAAGTAGTTCTAGAGTTTAATATAGTTTAAATATTTATTACCTTTATAATTAATAAGGCTTTATTAAATTAAATTATTATAATTAGCTACCTTAATTATAGCCTAAACCTAGCTATATATATGCCAGCTAAAAAGCCTTACTTACTTATTAGCTAGCCCTAACCTTCTTCTTATAACCTACCTAAAAGGATATTATGCTTTAATTATCTATTATATAGTAAGTTATCTAACCTAATCTAACTTCTAGCTATAACTACTAATAGCATTATAGCTACCTTATTATAATACCTATTATCTAAAGAAGCTTATAGGCACCTAGGCCTAATAAGCCTTATCTAACTAAAGGCTATAATATAATCCTTAAAATTAAAGAAGCTCTTAGGTAAAATAAAGGTAAAGGTAATATATTATATATAATAGCTATAAATATTAAAGAGGACTAGTTTAATAAAGATAATACTAGCTATATTAAGATAATATTCTTTAATTATAAGATCCTCTTACTTATATAATTTATTTATAAAAACCCTTTAATTAATAAAGACTTCTTTATTTATAAAAAGTAAAAGCTTAAGGATTTAGAAAAGAAGCTATATAAAGGGATATAGCTAAGCAGGAGGGAAAGGGGGTTCCTTAAGGCCCTTAATAGTAGCTTATATAATAAGTAGCTTAAGGATATCTAGTAGCAGGCTAAGAAGGTATTAAAGAAGACTAAGAACCTATAAGGATAGAAGTAGGGCAATTATAGGGTTTAAAGGAAAAATATATTAAGTTTTATATAAGTTTAATTACCTAAAGTTAAAGACTTAAAGTTATAACTAAATTTAATATTAGTAATAAAAAGAAAATTAAATAAGTTATAAAATAAATTATATAATTAAATAAGCAAATTAGCTATAATATTAATATATTATTAATATAAATAAAGAATAAAACCTTTATATTAAGTTTTTATTTAAATAGTGTTTTATAAATATAATATTTCTTTAAAATATTTTTAAGTTTATTTTATTATTTCTTTTTTTTAAGTTATTTTTAAAGTTTTAATTATTTATTTAAGTTATATAATTAAGTTTTAAAATAACCTAGGATTTAGTAGTTTTATTATTTCTTACCTTTTATATATTTATATTATACTCTTATTAAAGATAGTAAATTCTTTATTTTATACTTATTTATATTATCTTTTTTAATTAGGGTTTAAGATCTCTTATTATTTATTATAATTAATTTATTATTACTATTAGGGTTACTAGAAAAAGTAACCTAGCTAATCCTATAATTAATATATAGGTTTTTTACTTATTATTACAATTCGTGCCCGTAACAGCGCTATAAGGCTCTATCTCTTTGACCGGCACAAGGCTACAGATAGGTCACGACATGGGGCGGGCGCCAATCAAAATGACCGTGACGATCGGTACCTTTAACCACACCTAAATTAGCGTGTGATAGAAGTACCAACAGTCAGCATTGTTACAAATCGCTACATCACATACTTTGCAACCGTATCGGGTCCTCCGAATTCGCTGATTTCCTGAAATGGGCTCGAGATAGCCTCCTTTTTCCTTCCTTTTTTTAAAGGGTCGAGGCTGCCCTTGCCGGCAGCCTTTGCAAGCTAGGCAGGCCGAATTTTTGCCCCTTCTGACATAATTGATATCTCTTTATAGGTGAATTTGCCGTGCTTTAAGATCCTCGCTGTCTTCTTCCTTCCCTATACGGCATCTCTTCCTTATGCCGCTATCGGTGCCGTACTTATTAAAAATGGCATTATAAATAGCCTCTTTCTAGTCTCGAAGCGTACTATAGGGCTTCTAATAAGGCTGCCGGGTCTTCTTCTGCAAAATAAAGCTATTCGCAAGTATAACATCAAGGAGGAAAGACTAAAGCAACGCCTGCTAAGGACCGCGCCAGAAACGATACTGATATAAGGTATAGGATCTTATCTAATCGCCGCGATCCACGTGATTTATTTTATTATTATACTGAGCGGCAATAGAAGGAATAGGGATTATCCTAGCCTGATCTCTATTGAAGACCTCCTTTAGGCGTTGTGCCTCTGCCTTTATGCCTCTTTTAGCGGGCAACTTCCTCTCTTTTGGTATGCGGTTAAGAGGGGTTATGCCGTGTATAGTTAAAAGGAAGAGCACTATAGAGCTATCTTTCTAAGCGATTTAAAGGACCTAGAAGGAAGGAAAAGAGATAGATTAGTAAGGGAAATATAGGTAAAGTTATATATATCTGTTTATCCTTTATTAGGATTAAATATACCTCGTTATATAATAAAGGCATGCTATCAGGAAGCTTCCTGGTCTCTTTTATCTGCTTTATCTTAGTAGTAATGCCGCAGTTAGGGCATGCCGTGCCTATAGCCCTGTATCTAAGCTGCTAAAGAAGGCGGAAGAGCTGCAGCGATAAGAAGAGGTTATTTATAAAGACGTGATATATCTGCATTAATAGCCTTTTTAATAGATAAATCACGATACTCTGTATATTATTAAGAGGGATTTTAGTTTATAGCTTTCCCTTCTTGCTATATGGCGTTAGTATCTCTTAGTTAACCGTTATAGCTATAACTAGTAATGCCTTTATATGCTAAAGCTATTATAGAAAGTAGCCCTATTATATAATAACCTAGATTTTAAAGCCTATTAGTATAGGCTTTCCCTTAATAAGCATTATCTCTTTTAATCTGCCTGTAAAAGGGACTATATACTTATCTATAATTAAATTAGTCCCTAGAAGATAAAGCTTAATAAATACCCTTTATATATACTTAAACCACTTTTAAGCCGCTTAAAAGGTTTTTAGAAAATCCCTCTTATTACTTATATTAAGATTAGTGTAATTAAAAGTGTAGAAATATTATATAATTAGCTCGAACTTCTGTAATAGTATAAACTTTATAAATAAATAAAGGGGGCATTAATCTCCTAGGCTAGGGGCCTTTTAATAGTCCTTAAGGGATATTTCCTTATAAATTCTTAGGTAAATAAGGATACTAAGCTATATATAAGCCATTATAATAGAGATGCCTTCTTAAGTATATAACTATAAGTAGTTAAAAAGGGGGGTATTCTAGCTATCTTTAATGCCATTATTAATATAAAAAAAAACCCAGTCTTTAGTATATCTGACCTATAACTATATAAGGGAAATAGGCATAAAAAGCTAGAATAATTTAAGTAGTTACTAGGGCAGAGGGTTAATTTAAAAATTATAATATTCTAGGTTAAAAGGTTAAAAATCATTACTGCAGCCCTCTTTAAGCAGAATATTAGGTGCGCTAGTAGGGTTATTAGCAGCTGCTGTAAAAGGCAGGCTATTAAAGCTATAATTATCTAGTATATATATCTCTTAGGAGCTTATTGTTTTAATTAAGACTTACTAGGGTTAATTTATATAAGGATTTTAATGATTTTGGTGGTGTTGAAAGAAGAAGCTATCTGACGGGAACTTTACGTACCAGGCAGGTACCTGCAAAAAAGCGGGGTAAGTTACTTGTTGTAGCCTTGTGCCGGTTAAAGAGATAAGCAGCTGAATGCACTACTGTAATTGCTATAATAGCAGTTATAGCCCGATCTTTTGCCCTGTGGCGTAGTGGTTAGGTGCAGCTGTTATACTTATAGCTAGTTTATATTAAGAAGAATATTAACTTCTTTATATAAAAGAAGGATATTAAATATTATTTTTTAATTTTTTCTTAAGATAAAAACCTTAAGATAATTAAGCTCTTAGTTTATAATTCTATTATTATAATTGAAAAGTTATTTTTTTATATTAAATAGTAAGTAAAGGTATTATTTCTTTTTTTATAATAGTTTTAGCTATATAACTATTTTTAAGTTAATAAAGTTTTATTTAGCTTTATAATTAATTTAAATATTTAGCTATTTTCCCTTAATTTAAACCTTTAATATTAGGCATTTTAATATTAGATCTTTATATAATCTTAAAGTATTTAATAATTTAAGTTATTCTTATTTTTACTTTTTACTTATTTAATACTTTATTATAGATAATATATAACTTTTCTTAATATATTTATTTATAATTATTATTATTATATCCTTCTTTATTAAGGCAGTTATTAATAAATTTATTATTAAATAGTTATTATTAGTATTATTCTTTTAGCTTTATACTTAAGTCTTTATTTAATATTAATTATTTAAATAATATATCTTTTTATATTATATATAATTTATTTATTTCTTATTAATATTATATTTCTTTTATAATATTTAAACTTATATTATTAATTAATAGGTTCTTTATTAAGTAATTATACTTTTTATTATTAATTGTTTTTTAATATTCTTTTTCTTATTTTTAATAGTATTTTTTAACCTTTACTTTCTTTTAAGTATATTTTCTTTAAGTAATTTCTTTAAATTCCTTTTTAGCTTCTTTAAGTATCTTTAATTCTTATTAAATTTCCTCTTTAAGTACTTTTACTTAATAAATCTATTAATAGTATATTAAGTTAAATTATATTATTGTTACGATTCGTGCCTGTAACAGCGCTGTAAGGCTTCTATAAGGCAGCTATAGCACACCCATAATTGCTTGCATAGCGATTATGGCCCGATCTTTTGCCCTGTGGCTTAACGGCTTGTGCAACCGTTATAATTATAGCCAGTTTAAGATTATTATACTAATAATATATTAAGTATTTATACCCTATTTATATTAATAAT